TGATTAATTAATATAATAATATAAAATTTATATTATAAAAAACGAAACATTTTATTACGATTTAATATTTTAAAGTAATTAAGTATATATTTATCGTGTTATTTAAATACGTAAGTAACTTAAATAAGAAAATAGTTAAAAACGACCGGTATTATTACGCATTATTAACATTAAAATTATATGTTTTATATTTAAAGAAAGTTAGTATAATATAATAGTTATTTATTTTATATATTTATTATATTAATTTTAATTAAGTTATTTTAAAATAAATATAAATAAAAAAAAATGTTTTTTTTATTAAATTTAACTTTTAATAATATTTAATTATTAAATGCTTTATATTTAAAGATTATTATAAGGTTTAATTAAGAATTAATTAATCACGTGTTATTTTATTTTATGTTATAATTAATATTATTATAAATTATGCGATTTTTAAAGTTAATTAAAAGATAATTAAATTATTAAAAAATAATATTAACGATTAAAAAAAATGCGATTAACGCGAATTAAAATTTTAATTATAAATTAAATAATAAAACGTAGTGAAAGATGCGGGCTTAAATGGAAAAATATATAATTATATATATTTATATTTAAGGGACGTTTATTATAAATGTATTTTAATAATATATAATTACTTATTAATAATAATTTTTTTATAAATAAGTATTATAAAAATTCCTTAAATTAAATAAATTATTTCGTATTATATTAATATTTTTTTAATTAACGGAGATTTTTAATTATAAATATATAAAACATATTTTTAAAATAAAAAATGTGTATTTTACTAGGTTTATTATCATGATAATATTTTTTAATTACGTAATTATAAGTTAAATATTTTATTTTTTAATTTATTATAATATCGTTTTTTATTTTAAAAATATTATTTTATTATTTTATTTTTTTTATTTTGTTTCGATTAATTAAAATTTTTCTTTTAACCGTAATTTAATATATTTAAAGCGTTAACGGCGAATATAAGCTATTTTATACTTTATTATAAATATTTATAAAAGACTTTTTCCGTTTTAACATTTTTTCCCGGAATTTTACTTTATTATTAATTTTAATCGATTTTAAAATATAATTAAATTACGATAAAATATTAATATTTTAAAGGTTTATTATTTATAGTTTTTTTTTTTCTTTTAATGGGGATTTATGGATATTATTTAATAATAATTTAATTATATAAGTTTAAAACTTCATTAAATAATAAGTATTCGATAATTATATATATATATTAATTTTATTTTTATTATTTTTTTTTTAATTATTATTTAATTTAACTTTTTAAAAAATGTTTTTATTAATATTTAAATTTATAATTAAACTTGATTATAGTATATTTCGAGTTAAATTGTAATTTTTGCTTATTTTGTTTATTAAAGCGTAATATTCTTTTCGGGAATACGGGTGAATGTTTATGTAATTAATATTAATATATATATATTTTATAACCTTAAAATAATAATATTAAGGTTTATTATTGTTTTATTTTATTGTTTTAAAATATAGTATTATTTATTTTAAATTAAACTTTTTTAATATAATAATGTTTATAATATAAAGATTTATTATTTTAATAATATTTTATAAAGTAATTAAATTTATTAGTACGATATTTAGTGTAATAAAGTAGAGTTTTAATTTTAATAATAATTATTTTAATTATAAAAGATTAAAACTTAAAACATAAACGCATTAATTAAAAAATTGTTAATTAAGAAGAATTTAATATATTTTATAAGTAATTAACTATTAAAAGTTCGAATGTGGTTACGGAGTTTTTGTTTATTATATATGTATGAATTAATCGTAATAAAAGTTAAAATATTTAATTATTATATACGTGATACGTTATATAATTAATATATAAAACTTTATTTTTAAACATTTTTTAAGTAGTTTATAATTTTATTATTATGAAAAAAGTATTAAAAATAAAACTATTTATTAAAAGTAAATTATTATTACGCGTATTAATAGTTATATAATAAATGAATAATGGTTTAATAATAATTAAATAATGATTTAATAATAATTAAATAATGACTTTATAACGATTAAATAATAACTTTACGATGATTAATTAATGCTTATTTTATTTTAGTTTAACGAGATAGTTTAATTATTTAGGTTTATTCGAAACGTATTATTTATATAAGTAATAATATATTTTATTATAAATGGGATATTAAAAAAACAACTTATAAATTTTTTTTTTTAATATTATATTTTATTATAAAATAATTTACGTTTATATTATAAAATGGAAGCGATTTTTAATATATTTATTTTGATATTTAATGTATAAAACTTAAATTAATAAATTAAAATATTAAATATAATTTTAAACGCGTAAAATTTATACTTAACTTTTAAGTGGTTTTACGGTAAGTATTATAAATTTATTATTTAATCGAGGTTTAATTATTATTCGATTAAGGTTTAATTATTATTCGATCGAGGTTTAATTATTATTTAATTAATGGTTATATTATGTTAATTTATTAATAAGATTTATTTTAAATTTAAATATAATTAATTAGAAACCGTTAAGTATTAATATTGATATTATTTTTTTAATTTTTATTAATATATATATTAAAATAAAAATTGCGTTTTTTTACCGGCTTTAAATTGCGTTCGATTACGAAAGCTTAAAACTTAAGTAATTAAAAAAAAACAATTATTTTTTAAATAACTTTTATAAAAAAAATTAACATAAGTATATATATAGTTTTTTTAAACTTTTACGTTTTAATTAAGAAATATTATAATGAAATATAAATATAATTTTTATATTTATTATTATTTATTTATTTTATTATTTATTTAACGTTTAATGATAATTAATTAATATTAAATATATAATCGAAATAAATTTAAGTTTTAGTATTATATATAGCGTTATATTTAAAAATAAATTTATTATATATATTAATTTATTATGTTTATTTTATATATTAATAATAATAAATTTAGCGACATTAATGTGATTTTTATATTAAAGTTAATACGTATAATTTATGTAAATATTTTAATTTTAGTGTAATTAACATAAAAAGTTAATTTATTATTATTAAAAATGTTTATTTTGGAAGAAAAATTAGCGGGTAATTTATAAGTAAAATTATTGTTTAATTTTTGTTTAGTTTTTATTTAATTTTTATTTAATTTTTATTTAATCGTTGTTTAATTATTATTTAATCGTTGTTTAATTATTATTTAATTATTATTTAAACTTTATTAACTTTTTAATTAAATGTTTTTCGCAAGTTTATTTTTATAAAGAAATGATGTGATTTTGTTTTTTTTTATAAATTCGGGTTAGTAATTATATAATTAATAAATATTATATTAGTTAATATTTAATAATTATAACCCGTTAAGTAATAATATACTTCGGTAAATCGCCGATAATTTAAAAAAGATTACGTAAGTTAATATTTAAGTACGTATAATATTAATTAAGTTATTATTAATAATAATTATTTAATAAACGAAATTTAAATTTTACCGTTAAATAAAGTAATGTATTTTATCGTTTTATATATTATATTATTTTTAATTATATTATATTATAAAAATTAATATATTAATATTAAAAATAATCGTAAAATAATAATTTTAAAAAATAATTTTATTAAACCCGATATATTAAGTTTAAATAAAAATAGTAATATAAATAAAAAGCTTATTTAATTAATTATATTCTTTATTAAATAATTTTTAGTTAATTTATTATTAAATTAATTTCTTAAAAAATAAATGAATAATTTTAATTTTTTTAATGGGCTTTTTTAAGATTTATTTAAGGTAATTAAAAATGTTAAAAAATATAATATTTTATTAGAAATTTTATTAAATTTATTTTTTTTTTTATTATTTAACGTAAAAAAAAACCCCGATAATTATGGTTATAAAAATAAGTAAAGCGTTTATAATAATAATTAATATGAATATAAGGTTAATATTATAGTGTTGTTAGAGTTGGTAACGATTAACCTAGTTATAAAAAAGTACCACTTGTTTATTTCGAACGGTAAAAAGAATAAAGTAAAGTTTAAGCTAGATAATAATATTATCTTATCGAATACGTATTAATTAAAATTAAGGCGGTAAAAATTGTTATAATTTTTCTTTTTTTAAAAGTTTTATACTTAAATTTTTACTGTTTTTTAAGTTGAAATAAAATTTTTTTTAATAAAATGAATTAATTCGTTGATTTGATTACGTAAGAAAAACTTAAAATGCGGAAACGTTTTGATGCTTTGGCGGTTTAAGGGATTTGGCCCGCCGTTTATACCTACCCACACTGTGCACGGATTACAAAACGGCTGTGCTGCCCTTTTACAGTTACTATAGTGAGATTATACATACACAGTTAGAATATACATCAATGATAAATACCAAGCACTTGAGGATGATTGATCACCATAATTTCACCTGGTCGTTCTTTCCATTTTATATTCGGAGATCAAAGTATAAGAGCACAGACCACACAATTCTAGCCAATTAGAATTCTGGTTTAAGCTTTTATAGGTTTGCGTATTTCATTCTGATCTATTATATGGACTGTGCTACCAGCTGGCATCTCTCGATGCACTTGATCTATGCGCAAGGTGGGAAATACTATATATACTCAGGGAAAATGCACCTTTCAATCCTTTCTTTCTACTCACCACTTACCTATCTTCTCTTGGTTCTCAACCCTCAACCCTAAGAAAGATAACATAACCTTGGAAGTTTTACTTCTTACCCTTCACCTAACAACATCTTGGCCTTACTAAAAGCAATCACATACTCTCAAGAACGCTTTGGCATATAGTCAAAAGGGACAACTATCCAGTTCCGTTTCCTTCCTTGTCAACCGGTTTACACTTCTGCAAATTATCGTCGCTCTTCAGAACGCCGCTCTACTTCGACGATACTTTTTACATCTCATCCATACCTAGGTACTTTCCCCGACCTATCTATTAAATATGCAGCAACAACACGAATTGGATTTATTTTTCTGGCCGGAACTACGGCGTCCAGAGAGAGATATCCTCGTCGCGATGGAGAAGCCGTGGGTCGCGAACATGGGTTCCTCAATGGCGGGTTGGATCTCAGAGCATCGGTAAGATAAACTTATCCTAAGTCATCTTGACTATTGCTTTAAGATTTACTAACTATAAGTAGCAACATGATTCGCTTTGATTGCCTCAGCCCTTTGGAGCTCTTACCTCCCGAGATTAAGCTCATGATCCTCAACTTCTGCGATCCTCAATCCGCTTTCAACGTTGCCTTCACGGGTCCGATCATGTATCGCTTTGTGAGGCTCAATGAGGCCCGGATCGGCAGACACATAGTCTGTCGAGATATCAGCCCTGATCTAAGATGTCTTGCTGCGGGGCGTTATTGGATAGACAAGTTCGGATACCCGGCCGCTCGTGGTGAAGCAGGCGAACGACGTACCAGCGGAAAGAACATATTCACCGAAACTTTCTTGATTCGCGGCTTAAACGACGACAGGGTCTTCGATATCATAAACCCGCATTCGTTTTATGGCAATTTCCAATTCTCGCTAGGAGTCGCCCGCACGATCATCTCTTTCCACGACAAAATCCGCTACTTCGCTTCAACCCTGGCAGAAAATGCTGTTAACAAGGGCCCCTTACCAACACGCCCGTTGAGCAACGGAGACCCAACAGCTCCCCACCATGTAACGCAAGTGTCACCCGGAGAGTTGCGTCGCTTCATCAAAGCGTTATACATATTCGATGTGGCAAGCGTCGTCCTCCCTTACGTGGAGTTTCTTGAGCCCTCCAATCCACAGTATGCAATATGGCACAACTTCTGGGAAAAGTTCTCCCCTTGGGAACAACAGCAAGTCCGATGTGTGCAACAAATGTTGGAGGACTGGGTTGATCACCGTAAGTTCAATATTTAACCATCAATACTACATGAAAGACTATGCTAACAATATTCTAGGTGTCGCACAGCAGGGCGGTTATACCATGAGCCTTACAGAGGGATTTATACAAGCGCAGTTCGTGATTGACAAGGGGGTACCGGGTCTATGGGAGCTCAGGACGGACAACGCTGGTCGTGTCGAGACTCAGATAAAGGACTTCCTTGATAATCGCATCTTCAACACCCTTCCCCCTAGAGGCGAAATCACGATGCGGGGCATGGACGAGTATTGGTTAGACAGAGACGAGGTTGTGGACGAAGTCAGCCTAGATGCCACGTATCTCCTCAACTTTTACGACGACGAGGACATCGGCCCCCGAGACTCCTGGATACACACGCTACTCGAGAACCGAATCTACCACCGAATTTTCAGGTCTGGATATTTCCAGCAGTTTTCATGCGAGTCTTGCATGACTAAGTGGGGGTACATTTTCTGGGACCGAAGCAAGTTGGAGTGGCATTCCTCGAACACCATGCCATCTGGAGAAGAGATGGTAAAGGTCGCCGTAGATGCAGTTCTACAGCATGATACATTCAGGCGCGCGGAGTGGGGACGCCAGAAGGGGGTTTGTACCAACTGCACATGGTCCACGAGGGTCAAGGCTGAGTCAGGAATATAATGGAGAATCTGAGTTTAGGTCTACGATGACGCTACTCTAGCCATAATTTCTGAGATATTGGCTATCATAAGAAACCTGCCACAACAGGCAATATTGTACTTAGCTCATAAGAATCATATGCTTCCTTATACGCAATGTCGGCGTATGAGGACTTGGGGAAATATTTTCCTAACTATAGGCTTCCACAATGCGAAGTTTTCAGATACTCTGATACGAAAAGCATAAATTGCTGACACTCTATGTGATTGGGCTTTATACATAACATTATAAGTTTTGACTTATCATGATTGTAACATCATCAACGGAATTGTATACGTGAGAACCTGCTTACCTAATCATTGAATTTGATATGAATTTTGAACTTAACTTTTCATACACATATAAATACTCTCAGAAGTCCTGAATATATATAGTTATGGGAGGATAGGTAGGTATGGAACATTTAGAATTGAACGTTGTAAGTAATTGATTGATAACGTGGTAGATAAATCCTTAGTTGTGATATGGCTTAGTCAGCAATACAAATAGGGGGAAGAACTAGAACGGTGATAGCTGGCGCACTAAATATTCCCCATTGACACAAATGATTATTTGATTCCTACCTACTATTAGGTATGTAGGTATTTACCTAAGCATTCGAAAATGTAATATTCGTTTGGTTTTACGACGAGATCTCGGTGGAGGAGGGTTGATATATTGAGGAACCGTTGCAATTATTCCTTTGATACTAAGTAATGATTGAAAAATGTGCACAATCTGACAGTTGATTATCGTTCCATCCAAGTTTTAATTACTCAATCTTGCTTTAGCTTACATCATCGCTATGATAGCCCTTCTATCTGAGTCCCCGAACTGAGGCCCATCTATCTATTCTATCACGTGAATGATTCATCTCCGGGGTAACATGAACTGCGACTAAAGCTTGGAAAACTATAAAGACCTTATGCGAGATTATTAATGAATCAAAGTGCACCCTACATAACAAGAATGCATATGAATGGAATCTTTGACACAGTGTCTGGATCATGTAGGTATAGGTAAAAAACATCATGTTTATCTATACTGGCGGAATCGCAGCTAGGCTCTCTTTTAGTGATCAAGACCCTTCCAGTGCTACTAAGTCTCTAGCCCCGTTTCCAAGCTCTATCCAGCACCTCATTATCCCATCAGTTCAAGTGAAGTAGATAACTGGATCGTTACAAGCCAACAGAATTTTTCTTCAAAACTCCAATTTTCCCAAGGTCAGTGCATTGTAAATTCAAGACCATTCTGTATCCCATGAATGTTAGGTAGTTACCATTCTCCAGTCCCTAATCCGGGATAATCGTCATCGCCCTGTACCCGGTTGACCCATGGCTCGTTGGATTCAGCGTCCGGATCTATTTCATAAATTCTAGGCTCGATGATCTCGTCGTAGACATCATCAAGCCGCTCCGATTTCGTATATCCCCGGGGACTGATCTTTGGGTCATGATACTTGGGGTTGAGTAGTATTTCCTTCCATCCTTCATGTCGCTTGGAGATGAAGCCCAGCCTTTTTCGGAGGAATATGCCCCAAAGAGGGTCAACTCGGTTTTCGAGGATTATCTCTCGGAGGTTGTTAAACTGAGACACGTGTTGGAGGATACGAAGGTCTTTGTAAGCACGGCAATTCGTATACCTGATCCGTTTAGGCGGATAAGGCAGGATGTATTTCCCAAAACCAGAACAAGTGTCCAGATTCAAGGTCAAAGTATTGAGATTTGAACTGAGCTGTGTGGCCTTCAGAAGTTCAAAGATGTCCTCCCAAGGATTCTTGTTCCATCCCCTCACGCCGAAACATGGAGCTTCCTCGTCCACCTCGCAGGAATAATTGATTATCAAATGTCGGACCTTCGAGATATTATGCGGACCGATCTTTCTGAGGAAATGTGCCCAATCGCTTAGGTTACAGTTTATGGTCATTTTCTGGTACACAATGGGTGATGCTTCTTGGTACACTTGCTTGCAGACTTCGAGGAGTCTGATTGCTTCCAAGCCATCCCACGGAATAATCATGCTATTGTCGTCGATTTCTCCATGATAACTACTGTATAGGTAGTATTCGTAAATCTCAAGTCGTAGCTCAAGCGGCAAAGAAAGGAAGCTAGGTCGGGCAATGCGGGCATTCGACTGGATAATCGTAGATGGAGGCATGTCGATCAATGTTTCAATGCTTAATTGCGTTTAGATATGGTCTGATCTTGTGGTGACAGCGTCTTGTTGGTGATTGACGTGTATTGACAACAATAAAAGCCAGAGTTGGGTTGCTGGATAAATGAAATTGTCGAGTTTTAAAGTGAGCTAGTTCTATGCTTCAAGTCGCAAGTGAAATTTGTAGAATTTGTAAATGGAGGTGGTCGTCTATCTATCTATATATATATATATATTTGTGGCGTTCAACTGTGAACTTAATGCAGTGATCCGAACGCCATGTCAGACACCCCAAAGGTTGAGTTCTTCGAGATTGGGCCATCGTGACTCAAGCACTGTACTGAGCTCAGGCCAATTAATGTTCATACACTGCATAATAGCGTCTCTTTGAGTACGTGATGTGGGTACTCTAACAATGAACAAAGAGAAGGAATGTCCTCAGCTAACGGTGATTAACTTGTGGGTATACCAAACAGTATACCGTCCTAGTCTCATAGCCAGATTTTGACCAATACCAGGGGCTTCCACTCTACGGGAGCCGAAGTTAGGTGAGTAAGGTGGATCTTTACCTTGCCATGCGGCTGGAAAGACATCGTTGAAGACGCTAGGGCCTCGCCCATGAGCCTATCTCTGTGATTTCGAGGCGCTAAGAAACTGACAATACGGCCTTGGAGTGACTACATGCAACTTTATTTCCAACAGAGTTGACAGCTAGCATTGAATGGCGTAAAATGAGTTGAACATGCCGATTATAGTGCACATTGTAGCCAAAGCTATCCCCTGTTTTCCAAAAGAAGATCTCTTTTCCACTTTTAACATGTGTAGGTGACTTATATAAGCAACGCAGGGGATAGATGGACGGATATTCTAACTCTTTCATATTGAAACATATAGGACACTTTTCAACGCTATTTTCACAAGTTTAACTTATTATCTAAATATAAATTTAGAAAAGTGAAAAAGAGGAAGGCGACGACGATAAATAAGACGAACAAGACAATGACGATATTGGTCACAGTGTTTGCTCGACAAACATGCACCACTAGTGGAAACTCAAACCACAAACCCAAAGTACAAGCCATGCGCTATTGGCTTAAAGCCGTGTAAACAGAAATATAAAATCACTGTGTAACATTTTTTTCTTAGTGACTAAACCCCGTAAACAGGCTCAAGTTGTAGCAGCTACCCACCGAAATTTAGTGAACAGACCGCTGTCAGGTTTCGGTTTTAGCACAGACTAAATACCGTATGGATTGATTGCTCATCTAATGACGCACTGGGCAACGGACGTGGCTAATGGTCCAAGTTTTTAACCCGAACCTTCGTATCTTCATATGATAAAATAGATGATTCTCAAGAGATGTTAAATTGCGCCTCCTACAAACCATATTATAAGTAGGCACCTAAAAGATAGAGGCTTACACCTAATTGAATGGTAGGTACCTACTTGCGCTAAAGTCGACCTTTAAAATTGAAAATTTCCTTCTTGGGACATATTGCCAATGCTGATTGGTCACCCTGCCCTCACTCTGTCATCTTGACGTAATTATCAAGGTCTACTACTAGTCGACACGAATATTAGAGTCGACATATAAGTATGAGATTAAAGGCTTACTTATGAAGGTATATTCAGTTATTTACCTAGGTAAATAATAAGATATTCGATAGGAAGCATGGAGGCATTTCATCATCAGGGAGCGCACCAATAAGATATGCCACGCAACGCAGAAAAAGGACTGACACGATGAATAGTAATATACCCGACACCGACGAGGTATCATCTCAATTCTGATCATCTAAGTAAATATGCTATTTGAACTAGATTCAGTACCGTTTGTACATCAATTTACAAGTGTATATAACTCCTAAAACACCGATTCCCCATGCAATGCTTAAATGGTTCATGCTCTAATGCTTCAAGTAATTCAAGAAATCATTCGTCCTCAAATTCCTCTTCGCCAGTCTGGAACACGTTAGTAAATACTATTTGAGTTAGGTAATGGCTTAACTCACATTGTTGTGGAAATCTTGTCCACCGTTGGTAGCTGCGATGACGCCTATTCGAATGCAGAAATCTCCAAAGTGTTCTTCCTCCTCACGTTCCAAGGAATAGCGTTTTAGCAAGGGCTTCATTATAGCCAGGATTTCGTCCTCCTTAATACTAGATCGGTAAAGCTTGTTTAGTCGCTGGCCATGATAACCACCACCCAAATACATGTTGTAAGCGCCGAAGGCCTTGCCGACGAAGGCAACTTCCGCTAGCCAAGGACGGGCGCAACCGTTCGGACAACCTGTCATGCGCATAACGATCGATTCTTTTCCGAGCCCATTCTCCTCAAGGCATCCCTCGAGCTTGGAGATAAGGACGGGTAGGTAACGTTCACTTTCGGCCATGGCCAAGCCACATGTAGGGAAAGCGACACAGGCTGAGGAACTGAGACGCATACCAGAGAACTGGACATTGTCAAGCTTATACTTCTTCATAAGCTCCTTCATCTGTGGGAGATCTTCATCTGCGACATTGCTGAGGATCAAGTGTTGGTTTCCTGTCAATCTGAACTCGCCTTTGTGGACCTTGGCGATTTCACGAAGACCGGTCTTCATCTGGAAGTCGGCCGTGTTTTCAATCCGGCCATTCTCAATGAAGAACGTGAAATGGTTCATTCCAGTCTCGTCCTTTTGCCAACCAAATGTGTCAATGTTGCTCTTGAAATGGAATGGGCGTTCCGGTTCGAACGATTTACCCCACAAAGCCTCAACCTTAGAGCGGAAAACGTCAACACCCATATCATCTATAGTGTACTTTAGTCGAGCGTGCTTCCTGTTCTTGCGGTCACCATGATCTCGCTGCACGAGCATGATCTTCTCACAGGCGATATGTACATCCTCAGTCTTGGCGAATCCCATCATGCGACCGACTTGAGGATATGTCTTCTTGTTATTATGTGTCGCACCCATACCACCTCCAGCAGTAACGTTGAATCCCGCTAGCTGACCATCATCACCCTTGATGGCAATTAGACCGACATCGTGGGCATATACATCCGTATCATTATGCGGTGGAATAGCGATTGTGATCTTGAATTTTCGAGGTAGATATGTGGGGCCGTAAAGGGGTTCGAAATCCTGGACAGCATTACCGGCAACCTGTGTTTTCTCGTTGTTGTCATCTGTGAGCCAAATCTCATGATAGGCAGTAGTAGAGGGTAAAAGATGGTCACTGATCTTCTGTGACGAGGCCCACACTTGCTTGTGGTACTGTGACTGAGTGGGAAGAGAGCTGCACATGACATTTCTGTTAACATCTCCACATGCGGCAATGGTAGTCATCAGCGACCTATTGATGGCTTGCATAGCTGGCTTTAGCTTTCCTTTAACCACACCATGGAACTGGAAAGTCTGCCTAGTTGTGAGCTTCATAGTCTCGTTGCCAAGGCTTGTACTGATGTCGTCCATTTGAACCCATTGCTTCGGGGTAGATACACCACCGGGCAGCCTACAACGGATCATGAATGAATATGCAGGCTCCAAACCCTGGGCCTTCCTCTCGTCACGAATATCTCGGTCATCCTGCATATATGTGCCATGAAATTTGGTGAGCTGTTGGTCGGCAGCCGAGATAGCCCCAGTCGTCGGGTCGTTCAAACCTTCGACGATCGTACCTCTAAGATAGTTTGAAGCCAACTTGATATCCTCGTTTGTGATCGGTGCCGGTTCTTCTGGCAGTCCCTCAACGTTCGCAACACCGAGCGCTTGCCAGATTTGAGGTTCCCATAGCGCATATCCAGTTTGGTATCCATCAGGATCTTGGTCATCGCCCAATCCAACCTCTGATAGACGCTTACCTCCGAAGTTCGCTAGTAACCTGTCAAGGTCTTTGGCGGGCTTGTTGTAGTAGACTCTGTCTTCTTTTCTTGGCCAATAGTGCTTATCTCCAAGACCGAATATCGAGTAGTTGACCGATGCGAGATCTAGGTCGGTACTATCTTTGATGGCATCCCAGAAGGGTTTGCCGTTCTGGGGGAATTCACCTTGGCCGGCGGTGGAGGTTATGAGCACGATATTTTCCTCCTTTGGAAGATCTTCAACTGGGTAGTCTTCCATTGCCATAACAATTGTCTTAAGACCTCGAGCACGACCTCTCGTTCCAAGGCGCTTCGCCAACGACTGTGCGTTTCCATTATCTGACGCAAAAAGGATTGTGAGGGGTGCGCCAAAAAGACCTTCCAATAGCTGGTTGTACGCATCTCGAGCCTTTCGCTTCTGTTGCGCACGAACCTCCGTGCCAAAATCTTGGGAGAGACTCGCAGCAAATGCTGGCTCGCGTCGCATTAGCTGGGTCAATTTGTTATCCCTATCCAAAAACTCTTTAAGCTCATTCTTGACGCGTTCGGAGTCCAATGAAAAGTTGGGCTCTCCCTTATTGTCGTTCTCCGGGTTCCATCTGTAGAGTGGCCAGTAGCCAAGATCCACAGCTTTCTTGGTTTCTTGCAAAACGGTCAAAGGAGAATCCTGTTCGCCGAAGTACGGCAGATATGCAAGCACAACCGAAGGGCCATTGAATTGATCAGCTTCAAGCATGGCCTGGAGAACTTGAGTGTATGAACTGTAAACTGCGGTAGATGCGACATAGGCATTGCCGAAGTTCATTGCATACAACCCGATATCTTTCTTCCGCCTCTCGGCGTCCGCTGCAGCACGCTCAGAGTAGGGCGTAGAGTCGATTATGAGCATATTTACATTCTCACCGGAGGCCAGGACATGGTGGACACCGGAGTTTCCGAGATCGTATGCCCAAGCATCGGAACCAACAAGCCATAACGACTCTTTTCTAAACAAGCCCTTGCTTGATAAGAGGTCTCGGGCAATCGAAGACCCATCAGTCTCAAGCCTGGCAATTACATCATCCGCAATTTCGCCAGCCGCCTTAGCATCTTCGGAACTCGCGGCCCACTTGGCCAGCCAATTGACGGGCGATTCGGTAACGAAAGATCCAGTACTGGCGGCTTGCTTGACCTGCTTGACGAACCTCTGCCGGTGTTCCTTTCGGGCGAGAAGTGAACCAAAACCGAATTCAGGGCTGGTTGCTATTGTGGACGAAACACCGGCGGTTTTTGAACCAAGCGCGTTTGCTATGTAGACTTGTTTGCCAAATAACTGGTCAAGGATTTTGGTGTAGGCAGTCTCCAATTTCGGCTGCTCTAGGCCATAGGTTTGTGTGTCTTGTGGCACGCCCGTCTTTCCCACTTCTAGGTTTTGTAGGGGCTTTTCAGAAGCTAGATTTTGGAAGATACCCCTAAGAGCTTGGTGGATGGTATCAGGCGTTATGTATCCCAATTGATGTCCAACGACGGTGTCAACGCCACCAAAGCCAGTCTTTACTGATGTCAGAACATCAATTAACAAGGGACCCCATTTTGTCGTCTTTCGTGAAATTTGCTCCAAGACTGCAATGCGCTTCACAGATCTCGGGATAGCCTCGATGAGTTTAGCGCCTAACCATGGTCGATATAGTCTGGCTGTAATCAATCCAGCCTTTGCGTAGATATCTTCCGGCTTAGCTGCATCGAGGGCCTCAGCGAACAGGCCCGCATCGGAACCGAATACGAAGATAGCCTTCTCTGCGGTTGCCGGACCAGACCACTCAAAAGCATTGTAACTGCGGCCAGTGGTAGCCTTTAGTTGAGACCATATCGATGTCACATATTTGTAAATATCCTCAGATGTGACTAGAGGTGGAGCGGCTTCGATTGTTGTGGCTGAAGATACACTTGGTGGGGCACTGGAGTTACTTCGTTGGCTGGATTTGTCTGAAGCTTCGGATGAAGCCGCCTTTGAAGCCGCACTAAGTATCGTCGAGTCCGCTAGACTATTTTCCGTAACATTTGGACGTATCTCGGGATGATCTGAAGCTACAACAACTCTTCCATCATCAGCGTAGATGCCTGATTCCGAAACCGAACTAGCTTGGTAGCGACGAACGTCGTCTAAATTCAATAGGTCCCGGAATGACGCCGCGTCTTCGGCCGCTATCGGTTTATCGTGGGTACAGGAGCTCGGATCGAAGAAATGAATAACACCCTTTCCAGAACGAACTGCCAGAGCATGCGCGGTAATGGCCATGTCCTGTGCTTCCTGGAGAGATTCGGACTGGATGAATGTCCATCCCGAATTTCTGATTGCGGTTATGGCAGAGTAATCGGGGAAATTAGCAGGGTATAAAGAAACGTGAATGACTACTGGATAGCTCGCTAGCTTATATAAATGCGCAATGGAAGCAAGGAGAATATTTGAAGTGGTCGTTACGGAGGTGAGGCGACCGGATCGGATGGGCGCGAAGACAGAGAGAAGAGGGTCGACATTGTGTCGGACAGTTTGTATCTGGCATCATTAAATTAATTGATAAGTTTCATGTTACATGATGAAAAGAACACACCTCAGGCACAGAGCCATCAGTCTTAGCAACTAGGCCTGAGTCTTTTCTGGCAGCATATCTCTTAAGGTGGGATGAGAATGCTGAGTCCTGGCTTTGCGAGGGCTGAACTGAGACAATGACGTCGCTGGCAAGGTAAGCGATTCGTGCCGCTACAATTGTACATTAAATTAGTTATACTGATATCTTTTCCACTTTCTCTTGTTTCTCTTTTTCCCGTGAGAGTTGGATATCTCTTGTCCTTCTTTTGTTCTTTCTTAAAGCTAAGAGGATAAGGAATGGGAGACAATATTGGAAGTGGATGGCGGGGTACGTATAGTTAGGATCGATATTAGATGAAAACGAGTACATAATAGTAATAGTGCAATCGTGTAATAGTGTAATAAATTAGAGCTGTATGTACTTACCTGCCTCTTCAGGCGTTCGAATCTCGATATTCTGGGTCGCCATGTCGGACTCTGATTTGGAAACAGCAGAAGAGTCTGCTTTTCCAAAGAGGAACGACATGTTGTGTGTCTTAACCCCCTCTACATATAAATTGAAGTGACTACGCTAGAAATTCTTTTTTTTCCTTTCCCCGGCATTGGTATTGGTAAGTGGGAAAGGTCGACCGATGGCGACAACCTAGACTAACATAGTTCAGACCCCGAATCAATGGATGTGGAACTTTTTATGGCCCCGCAAATGCAATTAGTCCGTCATTCACTGTAATCACGCAATCGACTTAACCTTGATTAGTCTTGAGCCTCGAGAGAATTCTACCAATAATCAATCACACTTTGTCAGAAAACGCCATCGTTGGCCAACCATATCCCCGGGCTATACCTTGCATCATCTCGAACCGGTAATCGGGTGAACCCCATATTCTATCTTCCAATTGGGACGGCTTCCTTTGCCGTTTAACGAAACGGACCGAGAGCCGCTATCAGGTTCGACTTTTAAAGATATTATCAACAAGATGCGTCGATAGCATCTTGACTACCAGGATATAGTAATGTTTTCCCATCATTGATATTAGTTTTTAGGTCGGGGTAAGCTGTCAAATAGTAATAAGACTCTACCGATTGGTTACCGTCGCGTTGTGCGACAACGCCGATAGCCGCCCGAGCCTATACCTAACACTTGTAAAAGTCTCAACAACCAGTCAAGAATACTATACAATTCCAGCTTTTTATATAGCATGGACTTTTGAATGTACATACAGTTAACTTGTATAATTATCTAGTAACGTGTATTGTATAACTACTTTATATATCATTGAGACATATATCTGTTATGCTTTAACATTAATGAGAGATACATCAAGTCTAATATTTGTACTCCACTATTGATTAGTTGCCTCTGAAAGAGTACCCAGGTAGATGAGCAAACTCACAGACACATACATACCATGAAACGAACACCGAGATTTCCCCAGACAGGAAAACGGTCGATGGTGAGCTGATTAATGATAATAACATGCTTCAAAGTTGTCCGGATAGGTATATATTCAACGCCTGATATTGACTTAGGTTCATGTTTAAGTAAGCAATACGATCGGTCACTTATCTACATGTAGTGTGGTGACATAGACATTCTTAGTAAAGAAAAAAATGGTCAAAGAAGATGCTTCGAATTCGAATTATAGAAATAGAGAAATAGAATACCCGAACCTAAAACATGTTAACCCTTTTGGGGGAAGAACCACTGTCTTATTGACTTATTACATCCATGTACCACGTATCTACACGAGCCTGTTGAGCGCCACATCATGAATAATCCTACCCTACGCAACTAAGCCTCAAAACTGAGCCTCGATTATCTAACATAAAGCGCTGAATCAGCGTAAGATCCGGAGATCGGGCGGATCCTAGCTCAAATTCACGTCATTGGCAGTAGCACCTGTCTGTGGTACCACCACCAACCTAAGAAGCCACCACCGAGGGGTATCGTGACAAACGTGGGGCACGAAGCTTTAACTCAACCCATTTTCCGAAAATATTCATAAAGGAATCACGAATTCCGAATTGACCAGAATCATAGTATCAGCGCTCACAATTGATGAACAGGAGCGAATCCGACTAATCCATAAGCCTCATCGGCCCCTCATCTCAGCCCGCGTTTCATGAATCCGTCGCTGTCGCGGGCCGTCGCAAGCGCACCTACCCGACTTCTTTTCGCCAATCCACGTGCGGTATTTAGAGGCTATCCCGTATCCGGGATCTCGGTCACTTACATCCACACTCACACTCGCCTTCATAGTCGTAGTCATATCCAAACTCAGTTTTGCCAAAGGAACCCCCGTATATCGCTCACCTCTTTCTCAACCTCCAGCACAAAGAAATCTTCAATGGCATCCACAACCGACCTCATCGAGTCCGCCAAGCGCGCCGCCTGCCGGCAAGCCGTAGCGGACCACTTCAGTCCAACATTCACATACGTCGGGATCGGGAGCGGCAGTACCGTAGCCTACGTAGTAGAAGCTATCGCCGAGCTCGGCGCTAGCGTGACTTCCAAAATGAAGTTCGTTCCAACGGGCTCCGGCTCCACGGCACTGATCAAAAACGCCGGGATGGCCGTCTTGCAGGTCCCGGACCTGCTCACCGAAGTCGGGTACGACCCGGAAACGACGGAACACCAGCCCATCGACATCTACTTCGACGGGGCCGACGAAGTCGACGCCGAGCTGAACTGCATCAAAGGCGGTGGAGCCTGCCACTTCCAAGAGAAGCTCGTCTCGCGGCTATCCAAGCGATTCATCTGCGTAGCTGACAGCCGCAAGAAAGTCGACAGACTTCTCACATCCTGGGCATACGTCCCCGTCGAAGTGACCCCCGTAGGCGCGGAGTTCGTGAGGCGCGAGCTGTTGCGTATAGGGAGCAAGGACCCCAAGATCCGGACGTCGGGGCCGACCTTCATCCGGACAATCACGGACAACCACAACCACATCATCGACGCGCCGTTCCCGAAGCTGTTGCTGAACAGCGAGAAGGATAAGCTGGATCCCGCGAACGGCCTGTGGACGCCCGACGCGCTGCTGGCAAAGATCAAGAGCATTTTCGGTGTCTTGGAGGTGGGTATTTTCACCGGGTTCAACGGTCCGGATGTGGCGAAGCTGGGCACGGAAATAGAGGGTGTTAAACCGGTGAAGGCGTACTTTGGAAGATCGGATGGGCAGGTAGAGACGTTGGGTTAGATGTCATTTTTATATCTGGAAACCGGATGTTCCAGTACCACAGCAAAAGTTTATCATTTGGTCTATCTTCATCATCTTATCGAGATGCATTGTAGACTCCAGGTATCTAGTTGTTAGAGCTTAAGTGTAGGCACATAAGAATATAAGACATAAAACTTGTACGGACGATTCCCTTTTGACTACGCTCAAATTGGAATCTGAAAAGGTGATTACATATACTAAACGTCATACCCGTAATGGCCGTACTGGTCCTCGTCTCGTTACTTTGCTTCGTGGATTGACTCGTATTATACAACAACTTTTGACTTGTTCATTCGCTATGCACGGAAATATCCTGCGTGGCCCTCGCTCTCCTCCCCGCAATGTCGCAGATTCTCCTTTAATACGGAGGAACATCACATCCTCTAGCACGCACATCCTTCCTGTTGAGACGTTTGGGTGTTAGTCTTGACATCGATCACTGTAAACTTGTTAGCCCAACCATTTCGCTCCACGTTGAAGGATTGCGGATGCGACCCACTCTGTGATGAAGCCTGTGCTGCTGCGTCTGTCCCCTCCATGCCGGGAAGAGCTTGCGCTATCCTCCTAAAGAGATTCTTGACGTTATGACCCAACTTCGCACTCGTCTCGACGAACATTAGATTGTTCCTTTTAGCCTCCTCTTCACCTTGCGCCGTAGTGACTTCTCGCTTGTCGTTCAAGTCGGTCTTGTTCCCCACCAGCACGATTATCACGTCGTTTCCTCGTTCCGCGCGTACATCATCGATCCATTTCTTCGTATTTTGGAAGGACTTAGCATCTGTCCATACATGTCAGTTGCTGGTGCAAGATGATAATTGTTAAGATAGACAACAGCTCGTACTTGAAATATCGTAGACGACCACCGCAACGCTGGAATCTCGTATGTAGGAAGGAATCAAACTCCTGAAACGTTCTTGGCCAGCTGTATCCCACAATTGCAATCGCACCGTTCTATCTTCAAGGTACATTGTCTACCCTCAGCGGTCAGCCAACCTATGTCATATCTTCACTGTCTCCCGCCACGAGTGACATAAACTTGCCTTTGAAAGGAAATCGATACCGATCGTGGCTTGGTACATATTATCGAAAGAATCGTACATGAACCGCGTTATCAAGGAGGTCTTGCCGACTAAGCCGAGGTACAATGTTAGCTATTGTTCAGAAGTATCTTCTATTTGGAAAAGTATCGTCGAATCGTAGTTCCTAAACGTGCTGAATACATACCGCTTTGTTCGCCGAGAAATACCAGCCTACCGAGAGTTAGTAAGAGGCTTTAAGCCACGAGACGGGTGGGCAAGGCTACTTGAATTTCTTCAACGGGTTGTTGTACCCGCCTGCTCCTCCAGCTTGTGACATATTTGCGTTGAAGTCCTGCTTATTGCGATTTAAGTCGAGAGCTGTGAAGAAACGTTCGACCGGTTTAAATTAGTCGAGATGCGCAGATGTACAGGATATAATATGATCAGTAGAAATCGGAAATCGAGAGTCGAAAAGTCGGAAAGTCGGGTCGTTGGGAAATGAGGAACTGTCTTGTAAAAACGGCAAAAAGTAAATAAATTAATTATTCTTGAAAGATGAATCACTGTATGATTGTTTTGTTTTTCTTTGAATGAGTCGGACCGGGAAGAAACCGACTGAGTTATTGGGAGTTGTTCTTTCCCACCTCACCTGCAAAAGGAGGCGGTCCCTTTCCAATATACCTGGTAAGTACGAAAAATGCGCTTTAGGCTTGCAGCCTTGACAGATTGGCGATTTTGACTAGGACCGGGGGGTCTAATGGGGCTAAGAAACGGTTGTCGTTGGCAATCGATAGCGCCATTCTTAAAAGAGAAAATGACCGACATCCCGATCCATCTAGATCTAACCCAATTCGTAATGATCTAATTAAGTAAGCGCCTTAGGTCCCACTGTCCTGCGGTTAAATCTCGGACAAGTGACACTAAAAGACTGGGGCGCTTATATAACCCATATAGCATCCATGATAGGAGATTTATGACCATCAACCTGAAATTGAAGCATAAGACGAACGAAATATTATAACCCTTACCCGACATTCTCAAGCCTTCCTACTAGAGGTAGATAGGACGGCCATGTGAGCTTATCTGCAACCTAAATGGCATACTAATATAAATTTAGTTACATTGCATGTTTACAAAATTGATTTACTTGTCGAAGGATATACGACGTGAAGTCAACTGGTTGGTGTTTATGAAATGACAATGCGAAGGGTAGCTGAAAGATGCCCAATGCTACCTTGAGGAATGCATGGGAACAGAAGTGGTTCAGAAAGAAGATGGAGATATTCAATAGAGAGTGTGGGCATTTTGCCTCCAGCCTTGTTGCTCTTTTGCACTTCGCATATATTCTTCGTTTCTTCGTCCCTCGGTTCTTTACTATTGAAGATTATCTCACTAACAACACTCCTCACGGATTATATCTTTCTTCAAACATCACCTAGGGTATTATAAAGGACTTAATTAAAATGGGCACAAGCGATAACAACCAGCAGCCAGCCGGTTCAAGCCATAACCACGAGAACCCAGGTAACGAAAAGATGCAAAATACTACTAGTGGCCCGAGGCACACTGCTACTAAGAAGAAAATCATCATCTGTTGTGATGGAACCTGGAATAGCGAGAACAGCAACGAACAACGATCCAATGTGTCGGAAATCTCGAGGTGTATCATGCCGTACGATCAGGATGGTGTACCGCAGATTGTCTTCTATCAGCCTGGTGTCGGCACAGGAACGTCAAAATTGGGAAATGTATGGGAAGGACTGACAGGCAGAGGTAACTCATTACCACTCACCATACTAGCGGCACAATCATTACTAACCGAATGGCCCAGGACTTTATGAGAATATATGTGAAGCCTATAGCTTCCTATGCCATAATTATAGCCACGAAGACGATGAAATATTCTTAGTCGGATTCTCACGAGGCGCTTTCACTGTTAGATGCGTGGCCGAGTTCCTGAACGACGTAGGGTTGCTTGAGAAGAGAGGGATGATGAACGTACTTGAGGTTTTCAAGCTTTGGGAAGTTAAGATTAAGGTACATTCTCTATGCGGGTGGGGCAGGAGACTAAAGCCGTCACCCGCAGAGTTGCTGCAACAGAAGATCAACGATCTCGAGGGCAAAGGAGCTCTTCGTCGGAATATCAAGGTCAAGGCATGCGCTGTTTGGGACACTGTGAGCTCACTAGGGATCCCGATGCCCTGGTTCATCCCCCAACCTGGACCACGGAAACTGAAGTTTGTCAATTCACATCTCTGTCCAAATATAGAGCATGCCTTCCAGGCACTCGCATTGCATGAAAGGCGACGCCACTTCCTTCCGATTGTGTGGAAGCTTGCACCTGAAGCACAGCACAACACGGAAAAGATCATTCCTGATCGTATCGGGCAAGACACCGGCGATATCGGGGCTGATGTACGGAGACACCAGGCGGCACAACCAGGCGGCACAGTTCTGAAACAGTGCTGGTTTCTAGGGTGCCACGGCGATGTTGGTGGTGGAAACCAAGAAGCAGGGCTGTCGCATATATCTTTGATCTGGATGCTTTCGCAGCTCAATCCGTTTTTATCAATAGGTATTGAGAATCTTCGACAGCCAGCTACTCATGCCAATCGGCATCACGATGAAGAGATCGCAAATGCCGCCGAGACTAGCGATATGCGGAAAACTAGGACCGGTATCTGGTTATTCCTTGATGTCCCTCTTAGGTTACCTCTGGGTGATGGAGAGATAGACATGTCGTGGAGAGTAGCGAAGCAATTTACGAGTAGTTCAACTAGTGAGTATCTGTTTGGATCGCTATTCAATTTATGTCCTCTTTGCTAAGATCGACTTATAGTACGGGTTCGTGACTCCTTGCGAGGCCTGTTCCGGATCGGTGGCTCTAGATTGAGGGAGCCGTGTAGCCGGTTTTTGGGAAATTATGGCATAGAAGAAGTGAAGAAGCCTGATTTCTCTAGCAGCAACGAAACGATGCATTTCACTACCCGCCTTCTACTAGCCGATGAAATCATAATGCCACCCCAATCCCTCAAAGACACTCGTACAATTTCGGATGGAAATAAAGAAATCTGGAAATTTCCCGGTCCAAAGCTAAGCTGTAGGGAACAGAGGACGCCATACGTGGTGGGCGAAGATGAACCTAACGCGGTCGAGATGGAACTGCTACAGTGGTGGCTTAAAGTCTCACAAAGCTGGCTTATTCATGGGGCCAGTAATGGTAAGAAAGATGGAGGAACAAAACTCGGAGATATCACACTCCCATTATTAAGGCGACTTAACGACCATCGTCCCCACGGTGGTGACTCTCAGTGGCCTAGACCCAAAGACAAGAAACCCTCTAGTTCTATGAAATCCATTGCGCAGAACTGGGGCAAAGAATTGTTTGGGAAAAACAAATGAGGAATGCTTCAAGGTTGGATTCTAAAGACTTGGAGGTGTCGATGAATGGTAAAGCGGGTCCAGAATGGCTTATTGTTCCAAGGTTTTGATTGGAGAAATTGCTCAGTGGCTGAGGTCCTAATGAATTTCTTATCTTATCAGAAAGCTAAAAATTTCTAGTTTTGATAGCCCCACTAGTAACGAATTCAAGATTCTATCTCTATTCAATGTTAACCAATTCTTCACCAAGTTCAAGTTTCCAGTGCAGTGCTTTGATATCGCCTCGCTAACAATGCCAGTCTTAACCCCCCTAAAGGGCTCGACCGAAGCGCCTGCAACTTACAAGCAGCCCTCGAGAAAAGGCAAGAAGGCATGGAGGAAAAATGTTGATGTTACTGAGGTTGAGAAGGGTCTTGAGGAGTTGAACGAAGAAATCATCAAAGGGTTTGTGTGCAATTAATTATCCTCATTATCGTTTAATAAATTCTAATGTGTTCATAAAATAGAGGCGTTCTCGCTGAGCTACCTTCCGAAGAACTCTTCACTGTCGATACAGTTGGTGATCCATCATTACCGAAAAAATTTCCCAAATACACTTCGAAACCTCTAAAGGCCGATGAAATCATTGCCGCGCGATCAGTCGTACCAGGTCCTCCCCCTTCGCGCAAGCGCCCGGGCGATAAAACTACCGATGGTATTATCGTAGAAAAGCGACCGAGGAGGGAATACGTTACACACAAAGAGCTTAACCGATTGCGAAGAGTGGCAGATGGTGTCCATGAGTCTACAGTTGAAGTCGCAGATGCATCATACGATCCATGGGGGGCGGTAGTCGAACCCGAAGCACGAACATCTACATCCATAGAGGATAAGAGGGATGATAAGAAGAAAGCACCAAGATCTTTCGCACAAAAGCCGATATCACTATTGGCAAGTGGAAAGGCCCCGAAGGCTGTACCAACACCTACTGGTGGATACAGTTACAATCCAGTCTTCACCGACTATGAGGCCCGTTACACCGAAGAATCTAATAAGGCCGTGGAGGCTGAACGCAAGCGCCTAGAAGCCGAGGAGGCCGAGCGTCTCAAGCTAGAAGCTGCGGCCAGGTCAGCTGCCGAAGCAGAGGCTGCGGAAGCTCGGGCCGAACTATCGGAGTGGGACGAAGATTCAGAATGGGAAGGCTTCCAGAGCGGCGGCGAGGAGCTTAAGGTTAGCGCGAAACGACCGGGACGCAAATCCCAGGCGCAAAGAAACAGGATCCAGAGACGGAAAGACGAAGAGCGCCGGCTCAAACACGAGGCGAAGACCAAAGTCCGGAAAGCTCAGTTAGAGGAAATCAAACGAATCGCAAAGGAGGTTTCCGAACGTGAACTCGAACAAAACATAGCGCTTGCGAACCTTGAACAGAACGAGAGTAGCGCCACCGAAGATGATGAGGTTCTTCGCCGACGTCAACTGGGCAGACAGAAGCTACCAGAGAAAGATCTAGAGCTTATTTTACCAGATGAGCTACAAGATTCTTTACGCCTCTTGAAACCTGAAGGCAATTTGTTAAAGGACCGCTACCGGAGCTTGTTGATTAGAGGAAGATTGGAGGCCCGAAAGAGGATCACATTTAGGAGGCAAAAGAAGACTAAGCTCACAGAGAAGTGGGCATACAAGGACTTCAGCATTTAAGGCTAGTAAATAATAGTTAAGAGACCAAGCAATCAACAGAGCCGCCGGTGAAGGGCATGAATTATTAGCAAATTTTTGAGGCTCTTCAGCTATGAGATGTTTTTTCTTCGGTCCTACATCGGAGATCCGACAATCTGGGTAAGTCGGTAGCTAACGTCGTAACGTTCCAACGCATTAGAACGAGCCCCCAGTTGCGTGTAGAAGATTGGACAAGTTCCAATTTTTCATGTATGGGCTTAGTAACGCATACATGAAGAAACGAACTACAGTGAATGATTTCGCCCACCTAGCACATATCACACATGAGATACGAGCAGGGTTAAGCCTTGATTTATTCCAATCTCGCAAGTTGAGATATTCATATCAGATGAAACTGGTGACAAATTGGGTAAAAGTCGCAATATTAGTACAGAAACTAAGACAAAGGATTGAAGTCTTCACTAATGTAAAGCGGGTCCAGGCACAGATAAGCTTGAAAATCGAAGAGCGCCGGGGCATTCCCACTGGTGGTGACGGAGATCGGAGTCCCACTACAGCGGGTAGTGCGTCATACATCCATACCTGTACGAATTGGAATTCCCGTAACACAAGTTTGGCCAGGGAAGCGCCGAAGGGAGCCATGAGACAATTCATTCAAAAATATCCTTAACATCCGTAATATCTCAATTAAGCTTCACTTCTTCTAGTTTCCGTCTAGTTTCCGGACACGTAAATTATTGTCCATTCCTGCGACATGTTGCGCTGCGTTATGATCCAGATACGTCTTTCATTATAGTCATTCGTTATCTTTACACTTTGAACTGGTGAACAACTACCGATGATGCCGACCCAGCTAGGAGCTGCTGCCTTCGCTCTCCGTGCCGGACGTCAAAGCTCTCCTAGCTATAATCTCATATCCTCAGCTCTCCTGAAACAGCCGAAGCGCGTTAATGTTCGCCAATTCGGTATCTTCTCTCGACCGAGCGCCTCTAAACGAAGTAACCCCGCGAAATCAATACAATGGCTATTCCCGTCCAAGCGCGCCGTTCGCGCAATATCCGGGAAACCCCTCCCTCAGAGACGATCCGTAATACTTAATTTCGCATATCGAACGGCTGCAGTTTTTGGAAGTGGGGTTGGATTTCTAGGTGCACTGCTTGTAGGCTTCTTTCTATACGACTCAACAACATACAAAGAAACGTCGGTTGTGTTTGGCGATTGCCATGTATCTGAGGCCGCCCTATCACCTCGTCGCGGAGGACCAAAAAATCTTCCCATAGTAGAAGCGCTGCTTGACGATGAGGATAATGAAGAAGCCAAGAGGAGAAAAACTAAACCACGACTCGTGATCCTGGGCGGCGGTTGGGGAAGCGTCGCACTTCTGAAGCAGCTCAATCCCGAGGACTATCATGTCACAGTTATTAGTCCGAAAAACTACTTCCTTTTTACGCCTATGTTACCCTCTGCGACTGTTGGCACTCTCGAGATGCGAAGTTTAGTCGAACCTATTCGTAGGATCCTAGCGAGAATCGGCGGGCACTATCTCCGGGCATCCGCCGAAGACGTCGAGTTTTCACACAAATTAGTTGAAGTTTCTCAAACTGATTCCCGTGGGCAAGAAGTCAGGTTCTACGTTCCGTACGACAAATTAGTTGTCGCCGTAGGATCTGTGACAAACCCCCACGGAGTTAAGGGACTTGAGAACTGTTTCTTCCTCAAGGACATCAACGATGCTCGTATGATTCGAAATCAGGTTATGAAGAATCTAGAACTTGCTTGTCTTCCAACTACACCGGATGACGAACGTAGGAGGCTGTTATCATTCGTTATCAGCGGTGGCGGCCCCACGGGCGTCGAATTCGCCGCCGAGCTTTTCGATTTATTAAACGAGGATCTAACTAAAAGGTTTCCTCGACTCTTACGAAATGAGATCTCGGTTCATTTGATTCAGAGCAGGGGACATATTCTGAATACATATGACGAAGCCCTTTCCAAATACGCCGAAGACCGATTTGCTCGTGATCAGGTTGAAGTTCTCGTCAATTCTCGGGTGAAGGAAGTGACGAAGGACAAGATCATTTTTACTCAAATAACCCAAGATGGGACAATGCTCACAAAGGAGCTCCCGATGGGATTCTGCCTATGGTCGACTGGTGTTTCTCAGTCTGAGTTATGTCGACGAATTGCTGCGAAATTAGGACCAGCGCAAAATAACCGCCACGCTCTCGAAACCGATACTCACCTACGGCTCAACGGCACACCCCTCGGCGATGTCTACGCGATAGGCGATTGCTCGACCGTTCAGAACAACATATCAGACAGCATCATTACCTTCTTACGCGGACACGCATTCAAACTAGGTCGGGATCCTGAAACCGTCGAACTTCACTTTAGCGACTGGCGGTCTGTAGCCTCGAACGTCAAACGACGGTTCCCACAAGCAGCCTCGCATTTAAAGCGTCTTGATAAGCTTTTCGAGCAATTCGATAAGGATCAATCTGGCACCCTCGACTTCGGCGAGCTAAGAGAACTACTCAAGCAAATAGACAGCAAGTTAACATCGCTCCCAGCAACAGCGCAGCGCGCCAATCAGCAAGGCATCTATCTCGCAAAGAAATTCAACAAATTAGCGCACGCCGCGCCTGGGCTCACAGCAAACGATATCAGAGATGGAGACTTGGATGAGGCGTGCTATAAGGCATTCGAGTACCACCACCTGGGCAGCTTAGCGTATGTGGGTAATAGCGCGGTATTCGACCTCGGTGGCGGTTGGGGCGTGACAGGAGGTCTGTGGGCGGTATACGCGTGGCGTAGCGTGTACTTTGCGCAGAGCGTAGGTGTACGGACGAGAGTGCTTATGGCGATGGATTGGGCAAAACGGGGGCTTTTTGGACGAGGTATGTATTCCCTTACGATGTCCGTGGGTGAGTAAGTGAGTAGTTTGCTAACGTGAAGATAGATCTCATGAGTTTCTAATGGCCTTTTAAGACTACTCAGGAAGAGAGGAGTATAGAGAAGGTGCGGAGTTCGATTTTTACTCGCCAATTGTCAGATTCCGATTCCCAGGGCCGGTATGAGGGATATGGATGTTATGACAAACGGGAAGGCCGGGCTCAGGTTTAGGTGGTTACGCGAAATTACAGAGATGATATCACGGTTGATTCCGACTGAGTTACGAGACCGGCGTAGGGGTTTAGACCATTGCGAACTATCTGCCTAGAATTAGTGGTAATGAAAAATGAAAAATTAAAGATGAAAGATGTGAACAACATATTACGGAGTCTCATTTTACCCCTCCTCGTTAACTGATTAGTCATCGCTTTTGCTGAGCATCTGAGGATCTCGAGGAAGCTAACTTACAATCTAACACTTCGAAAATGTCGGTAATTTAGAAATGTTTCTTATATGCCCTAGTTCTGCAGCTGCTTAGGTATCTTTGACGGTGGTAATCTGGTGTCTCTACCTGAGGTGTTGGATAAGTTTTATGGTGGGGTTAAGTGCGCCATAGCTCCAGGGCTAATACACTAACGACTAGCCTGGGAGTTCCCCTACGAATGCACCACGGTCGCTGGAAACAAATCCAAAATAGTGGCCGGCGCCCCAAAGCCCCGAAACCCCTAAATCTCAGCAGCGACCAAACGCTCTTTTAGGAAAATATCAGCCGCTATAATCAGCGCCTCGTATCTTCTAAAAGGTACCTAGGGAGGTACCTAAACACTGAAAATTAAGCCAAACGAACCGAGCAAATATAGAACACAATTAGCAGTTAGGGTTACCGCGGTTGCTGTAAAGGTTTTATAGGAGTCAACCCTGAGCACCTATTCGAAACCGCTAACTGGTAATCGCGCCTTATATCTTTACTGATTTAACCCAGTTCATCCAGCACAAGTTTCAATACTGATTTAGAAAATATAAGGTTCTGATTATAGCTGTTAACGGGTACGAATTTAAGTGAACCTTTTCGTAAAAGAGTTATTTCAATTGAACTTTTGCTGCTTTTGGCTGCTGCAGAGATTTAGGGGGTTTCGGGGTGGGTAGGTACACTGAATTAGTGCTGTAGATTGCTATATTCGGGGAAGTCATATGCTAAGTTGGGATCCTGTATCTTAGAAGCGGGAATTTGAGAGTCGCTGTAATTGGTAGCTTATCGCTAGAAGATAGAAGGTGTTGGCAACAAGTACAGGTCAACCCTCAACTTTACAGAGTGGTTTGCCAGGTACCTATATATACCTGTAACCGACTACTAAACTGAGACATCCAGCTGTTTCCAGTGACTTGACCTACTGAAAACAGCCACCCATGAGCAGCTATTAGTGCTGCTTTAGGAAGCATTCCTGTGTAATAGACACTGTAAGAAATATAGAACTCTACGTACCTACCTAGGTAGAATGTCCAATGTATTGTACTACTACGTGGATATAGGGGAAGCCTTTGTTTCCAACAGTATTCGAGGTTGAAACTGAGAATTTTATATCAACATCTGATAAACTACGATACATCGGTCATATTTCATACGCGACACACATTCCTCACGATGAATTTTGAAAAATTGCGCCTAATGTGTCACTCCTTTATCCATTTGGATGGGACAGCCAAACAGAAGCTCACCTGGCAGGCATAACTTCCTCGGTGAGATAATAATCGCCGAGTTCAAAGTTCACGTACCACAGGTACCTAGTAGCTACTTGCGTTTTAGGGAGACTTATTATCATTTATTCCTCAATAATATTCAATGGTTATCTAAACTTCCAGACTTGTGGTATAATATCTAGATATGTACATGGGTATCCTAAAGTCTTATGCTTCGATTCACTGTACTTCTTCTCGCAGCTACCATTCGATGCCGACGGCTATTTGATTGGTAGTAGGTGGTAAGAGTAAAAGAAAAACTCCCCACGAACCAGATAGCAATGAGGTTGGGAATGCAAGATAGTTGTTATTCGCAACAACTGCGATGGGCCTCGCCAAATTTCCCGTCCCACCCGGTATCGCAAGAGTCGCAATCTTAGCGACTTCGTTTTTAATTTTGTCCATCACACCATCCATATCCTCATCTCCCAACCTATTGAGGTAATGGTTGACCCAGTGATGAACTTCTTCTCTTCCTGAAATAAATTCATCTGTTCCCTCCGTATGGTCTCGGAGCCATTGGTCCTAGTAATGGTGAGTGCTCCGAAATAGAAGCAGCTGCATCAGCGACTGCTCTGCAGTATCAGAATGATAATACGAAGTGAAAATCTCATCCTTCTCTAGTCTAATTAGTGAGCATACCACTGTGAAAGGGAAGGGGTTGAGAGTGATTCTTCACGGTGTTCATATTAAACACCACTAGAGTAGTTCATGGCGAAGTCAACATACCCAGAAGAAGTGACGGCGACGGCATTGTGCGTAGCCTGAAGATGGGAGAAATTAGGCTTGCGGGCAAGATCCATTAAACCTCAGCATTAAAATACCCCAACATCAAGCTATCCCCACATTTGGGTGCTGTGAGCCGGAAACCCTAATAGATGACATGTTAGCAAAGAAACGTGAAACACGGGTGTAGCAGTGAACATGGGAAGGCTTACCCTCTAATGAGATACTCTCCAATAGACCCTCCATCTCTGGCTGGTCAAGCAGACATGATGCACTTGGTGAAGAGCTCCACCGTGAAGTGACTGGGCAGTTCATCAACCGAAATGCGGTTGAGTGGTTCGAAATTATTCGGCCATGTGATGATCGCCAGGAGGCCCTGTCGTACAGACAGCCTTTCCTTCTCGTTAGTCTCATCTTAACTTAGGTGGTCGAATCCGGTGTTAAGGTAAGATGGTGGCGTATTGATTCACTTGAATGTGAAAGATGTTGAAACATCAAGTATGCGAGAAAGAATTAAAGTCCTCGGCGATAGATATTAGGAGTCTAAGAAATGTCGATATTTTCACTTCCTCGTCAAAGCCACCAAGGCTCCACAAAATTCAGAGGAGGTCCCATAGTTGCAAGGGATGTGATGGAAGTTGATCTAGGAGGCTATGTATGCCTAAGGTTGAGAAGGTAACAGAGACCTGTCCTCAATGGCCACACAATGAGCCCAGGGCTAGACCCTGTATGAATAGGGGATCAAGCAAAGACTGGGAGGATTTCCCATAGTCTTAAAGTTGTGAGGAAGAGGTAGTTAGAAAATATTGATGGGTATCTCTAATTGGTTTTCTGTATTCAATAATGAATAAAGAAGTTGAAAAGAACAGAGGTGTTGGAATCTCTGGGGGTTTATATATTTCTTCTGTCTGTACTCAGATACCTAATTACTTCTATATAACCAGAAGGGGCGATATAACCTCTGGAAGCTATGAGTGAATATTCCCCCTATCTTCAAACGCACAAGAAGCAGCACCGTGTATATTGCCTAATATCTTCTCAGGTCAGATGATTCACAGAGCAAGATCACCGCCGTTATTGCCGGGTATAAGGGCGTGCTTTCTCTCAAAGTAAGACATATTATGGTGTCCAGTACCTACGGCGGAAGCAGCGCGGTACCTGCTACTCCATCATCATCACTATAAAATGATGAAACGGGGCAAGAGCGCCGAGGGTGACCGCCGAAACTCTAATTTTCGGGGATCCGAAACCTTAATTTTTTGACAACTTCCAAAGGTTAATTCGGATGGAAGGTACGGCGGAAATAGATCATACTGCCCGTAGTGTTCACAATCACAGAACATACCATGTATCCTGGATATCATACAGTCAGCCCTCAGTACTTGCAATAACAATACACGTCTACAGCCAATGTTCTCGGAGCTTCTCAATTTTCTAAAACAAATCCCGTAGTCTTTCATAGTCGTATCATCCAAATATTGCCCAGCGTTAAGCTACAGATGAAGTATGTGCCATAACAGGTGTCATTGTTAACCCATAGGTACCACGTTCTTCCCTTAACCTTCCTTATATTATATCCTTTAACATGACCAACATGGTTTAAACTTAAAGACCGCAAATATTGAGAAAGAACGGGTTCCGAAACATCCCTACCTATCCGAACAAGATTGCTCGCCTAGTATTGAGTATTTAACTTCATATTGCTACTAGGCATCATTTCTAGAGACTGGCTACCTATTAGACCCTATTTGTATGAGCAACCCGGAGGCTACCATGAAATTTGGTAATAAATCCGGGGGCTTCCTCTTCTGGTGGTTGTGGTATTCATCAAGGTGTAATTATACACCTTGTACGTATCTCGTACCTGCTGAAGTAACTTGGAAGCAAGTAGATGGAGTTCCTAGGGACAATAATTATCGTAGCTTCCAAATGCAGTTAACTTCGAGAAAAATGTCCAACCTAGAGTAAAACTTACTAAACTTAAACGAATGCGAGTGAGTTGGTTCGAAAAGGGGCAATAAGAATCTGTAGAAGACATCCACGTGTTTCTTAATAAGATATTGCGCGGGTTGTAGCCTCCGGATACATGAAAACTTAAGACATGATGGTGAGGCTATTCCAGTCATGCTGAAAGTGTATTTGTAATCCCGTGAATCAAGATAACTACCTACCTAGTTCATGTTTACCTAGATCAAGTAGGCACGATGTAAATATCATCTGACGACATTAATAATAAGATTGCCAAGTCTAATGTTCTCAACAGAGCAATATCTTACCTACCTAGTAACGTCCTCCGCTAGTTGGATAGGTAGTTCGCGGTGAGACCCCTGATTAGGTACCTAGTATGTTTGCGGTTATTGGTGACAAGGATCTTCAGAACAGAACTGTCTAGCAACACCTTACAGTCTCGACCTTCCGGAGATACCATGGTCTAAGGAAACACATACCTTAGATACATGTAATTGCCTAGATATTGCGCAATAGTTCCTTGCCTACTAGGTAGATGTGTTTGTAAGCAACTATCTTATATCTAATAGACACATTGATCACGTGCTCCGGCCAGTTTCGCCGCATAGCATCGGGAGATATTAGATAGTGGAGCAAACTCCTATCATTCTCCGAAGGATGATGGAGCTAATTTTGTCAAAAAGTCATGATCAGTACTATTCCCCTGTTAGCCCGACTGACGACAGATGCCCAGAGCTGCAAGATAACCTCACGTAAGGTCCGCACAAAACTAGAGCCAATCAGCACTCGAACTAAGGTATATCATTTCCATTTTGATCCATAACTCTCCGGGGCTGGTAAGTGCTTCATTAATCATCCATGGCTACATAGAAGCAAGTCCCTATTTCACGAGATGTGAATTTGTAAGGTACCAATTATAAATCAGTTGAAGATGAGAGTATATAAACCAGCTACTTGTTCGCCACGGAGTAGGGGGTATTCCCAAGCAGAAGGCATCAAGGTCTTGTACGTTTTCGAACCATCTTGCACAAGATGAATCTCTTCCAAACCCTCATCATGGGCCTCTCGGTGGCCTCAGCGTCGGCCTCTCAAGGACTACCCGTCCAGTATCCGTTCGACTCGAGCCACTCTGCGCTTATCGGAGAAAACGTATGGCGCTACTTCCGAGCCAGGCCCTCTAACGAGCCTAAAGGAACCGTTCTACTTCTTCACGGGTTCCCAGATCTCCCATATGGGTGGAAGTACCAAGTGCCCCTTTTCACCTCGCTTGGATACCAAGTCATCGTCCCTGAGTTGTTAGGCTATGGTCGAACTTCTTCTCCAGCCGAGATTGACGCATTCTCTTTCCAGAATTTGTCAGATGAACTAGCGGTGTTGCTAGACCAGATCGTGCCTGGAGAGCAGGTTATCCTTGGCGGCCACGATTGGGGCGGTGGGTTAGTGTGGCCCTTTGCCACTCTGTATCCCGACCTCTTCAAGGCAATCTTCTCGATTACGTACCCCTATATCCCGCCTGTGACCGAGTACGTCGATCTAGCCGTCGAGATAGCTGCCAACAAGAGTTTGAACTTCAAGTATCAACTCCAGTTCAGAGATCCCTCGTTCGACAGAGGGTTTCGAAATGCAACCGAGATCCGACAGCTTTTATTGGCGGTTTTTGAAGCGTCAACCCCTGACGGCAAGCAAGCTTTCTCGCCCAACGGCATAGACCTTGATCTTCTTCCCTATTTGCAACAACCGTCACTTCTTAACGATACTGAGCTCGATCAGTACGTGTCAGAATTCGAGCTTCAGGGGTTTCGAGGTCCGACAAATTGGTATCGCACGGCCAGGATCAACTTTGAAGACGAATTGCCGATCGCCCAGGCAGGCCACAAATTTGCTATGCCATCCTTATTCGTCCAAGCACTCCGAGACCCCGTCCTCATTCCGTCGCTATCTGTTGGCATGGACCAGTACTTCGACAAATTGACGAGGGTAGATGTGAACACCACCCATTGGGCTATGATTGAGGATCCTGACAACGTCAACAAAGCCATCCAGTCCTGGATTGCGACATTCGATTAAGGAGCACTGTACCATGCTCGACGTCATAGATGGACAGGACATCTTGTTTAGAGACGGAAGATAAAGCCATTGCCCAGGATTGAAGGCATTCGTTTGGACATAGCCTTTAGAATACCGAAGAATTATAAAAACTTGGCAACCATTTTCTTGCATGACCCATACTCATAAGCTCTATGTCGTGATGCCTTAACTGAACATTTTATCTGAAATTTTATCCGAATCTTCCCGGTGGAACTCTTGCTTAATATCACGCTGAACCTTGATCCCGTTTGGTCTAATCGTGTCCATTTCAGTCTGGTCTGTTAAGCCTCGAGTGACGGTGACTTTTGACGTGGTACAGTTGTTGCTAGAAGCACCGTCGTGAAGTCGAGTCCAATCGAGATATGGCGAATTGGGCCGCGCGCTAACGTGTCGACTACGAGTTCGGGATGACCTGACTGTCGAATGAATTTGTTTGATACCTCGAACTAAGGCTCTGTAAATTAAAGGTAAGTTCGCGCATAATATGCCACCGCACGGTTCCCAGGCCGACAGGATTCCTAGAGGAACTTCCTTCCCTATATAGAAACTAGTTTAGTTAAATGAAATTACTAGGTGATTAGAGAGAAGATGAGGTTGAGATCATACATGTAATATCATCGGACCCCACCGAGACGATAACAGACAGACGAGCAGCGCTGAGGGCGCACGTTCCCAGACCTATCGAAAATAGTAGACATAGAGCTAGTCTTTTATTCAGCGTGGCTTGCAAATTAAAAATGATTGGTATTGGCATAGCAAATATCCATAGGTCGGTGATCAGGTTTGTGATGTTGGTGGAATATGTGAATGCGACTTTATTCACGCATGAAGCCGTGGCGGCTATTGATGCATCCCACCAGCCTTGGACAGGTTGACATCCTAGACCCAGTACGATTTCCATGGCGACAAGCCACATAAGCACGAAAATCGCAGTGATAATAACTACAATGCGAAACCTGTATACTGCGAATATTCGGTAATACAATGCCAAGATTGAAAGTTTGGTGCTGGCGATGGCGACGTCGTAGAAATGGCTAAAAATGTAGTCGCCCTATAGACCATGAGTTCGTGCTCTGGTGATGCGAAGCCTTTCTTACTTTACCATTAGGAACTTCTGCCGATATTCCAGTGGTACTGCTTGAATGTGACGTCCGAGGCCGTTAGGGGCCCCTGAAATATACGGATCAGGATATTATTAATATAGTAGGATTTAGGTTCCACGAACCATAGACCAAGCCAGCGATACATTCTGCTACGGCGACCATCTAATGAAGTGATATTAGGCGTCTTAACTTGATCTGCAAATGGTCGATAGACATACTGTAGCCCAAACCATGAGATAATCGTCAAAAGCCAGACGACCTTGTGACGAAGGTCTAGCTTTAACCCATAGCCTGAAAGCGGTGCTAAAAATCTCGAGGGGGATAGGGATGGAGTAAAATATATTCAAGACCGTTGTCCTAGACTCGGCCAGGTACTCGGGACTGTAGGTCGCTGTCGCCATCAAGATCAATGCCAAATTGTGAACAGCGTCGATCTAGACGTAAAATTGGCAAAGGTATGGGAACAGGACTATAAGAGGTAGATATGGCTCAACCGCTTGGTTCCGCGTAGTAAATATTCTCAATATTTTCCCGAAAAAATCGTTCGGTTCCGTATGTCACTGTCACACATAGATCGATCCCCGGGTTTAGTACGCCCATCAGACGAGATTCCTACTTTGGACCTATGATATTGCACGTAAGGTGGTTAATCATATGCAAGCCTGAGTGATGGGAAAGAGCTGTCGCATGCAATACAAAGCCAAAGCTGACCTCCCAGCTCATGTAGGTTCCATTGCAATTGCTACTCCAACAAGTAGCCTGACTTGTCGGGGGATGTGAACACCAATCTAAAGCTGACTACCACAGGAGCGGGGTAGTATTCGGTTTGTTAAGTTTCGCAGCGCGATCGTCATACACGTGGCTACCTGGTACCGAACGACAAACATTTGTCGGTGCGTGTTTGATGTCCTGGGAGAGGACATCGCGAGGACACTGCAAGTACACGTAGATACTTGGATGCAGAGCGGCCTAGGTAAACTGGTGCCCAGCAACTACACGAAATCTCTTTCATTTTCGTTGAATGGCCGGGAGTAAGACAGGTGGGATATTGGATTACAACGTTGTATTATCTTGAAGTTGAAAAGGTGTGAAGAGGCGTTTTGAGGCGGCTTATGCAGAAATCTTTATGCAGGGGCCTAATCCCGATCCCGACGGAGTCATCATATCTTAGTCATCCACGTGACTTTTTTGCAATCGATAGCTACTGATAACGTGAGATATCATTGAACAAATGCCTAAGCGAATAACAAATTAGCTCTTATCCATCCACTAAATGGAATAGAATGCAGCCATCAGAAGACTCAGAAGCCACCATGTCGCCAATAATCTCGCTTTCCTAACCCTATTCCCAAATCAATATTGGAAATAGGGAATTAACAGCCCACCTTAAGAATAATATACGCTGTAATACCAACCGAAGTGGACAAGCAACTGACAAGGCAAGAACCGTTTCGATTTTCGCACGCAAGGGAGAAAGCAACTTATGGTGCCGGAACCGCCCTGTTTATTTCCTATTTGCTTGATGCTCCAAGCGATACAAATAGTTCATGTCCTAATCCCAGGAAGGCAACTTATCCTTAACCTATTGGAATCAACAAACATTCATCAATACAATAAATGTGTTGCTCTCCAACGATAAGCAGCTCCCTTCGGCGCGGAAATCGTTCATCCGAGAAGAATCGAAGCAGTTATAACTCTAAGGAACCCCTAATTATATATCCCTAGGGTCCCCTTTTAGAACTTTTACTCTCCTATCTAGTACCTATTCCCTTCTTTTGAAACATACCCTCCTCCCAGGCCATGACCAAAGTCAAGTAAGTGTAGACACCTAAGTAGGCTGCTTCTATTTCATGACATCACATCAAACATATTATGAAATTTACTTAATGCAAGTAATGTAAAAGAAATTATTCATTAGATAATACCATTAAGTTCATTAATCATACCCTCACATCAGTAGCCCAATCTGGTATCTCCAAACCACCGCCTCAACGCCCCTATTCCCGTTCCAACATACCCTTACAGCATCCAGAAGACCCAAACCAACAACATTATCTCTGTGCATCCAACGTCTTCAACCGCAGCTGTAAATATTTCACCTCGCTCCCCTGTGTGAGCTCCAAGTTCTCTCTAGCAAACGTCCACCCGCCAACGGTCGGCACGCCCGTATCATCGGGGTCCTCATAAGTCCACGCCTTGCCTCCGGTGCGCTTATACCTAACCACCAGCTCCTCCATAGACCGAAACTCAAAGTAGCGCCCGTTCTGCGATATGTACAGAGCCTGTCGCGCCTCTTGCAGGAGCGCAGCAAAGTATCTACCCAGTATACTCAGGGCTTCGCTATCGCCTTTTAATCGTGGTTGCTCCGCGGGTATGGTATTGACGAAGGCTTGGAGGTCTTTGAGAGCTTCGTACATCTCGGTTTCCAAGTTCTGCCATACGGTGTCCTTGTCTCTTAGCTCGGCGAGCTTAAGGTCGTCGTCTACGAACTAGATGCGTTATGGTAAGCTACCGATCGCTAGTTTCTAAATTTAGAAAGGTATAGAAAGGATCAGATAAGGAAAAGGATATTGAGCCTCAGATTTAAAGCTGGGTTATTGGTATGGATGTAAGTGCGAGTACGAGTGCATGCGAGGCTGAGGCGATGTGCGATAACGCGCATGGAATAACTTACTGCGCCATGAGGATACGCGGCTCTGAAGATGCGATAGATGAGTTCTTTCTTGGTCGGCAAGTCAGGATAGTTCAAACATTGAAGGTGGTTTCTATGCCACCAGGTGCTTGCGAGTCCCCGTGCCATCGATGTCGGCTGTGTCGTTGCTTTATGTCGTATTGTCCAGGGATTATCAACTGTGTTCCCACTATTCCGCGTCAGACTTCAAAGTTGAGTGCTCGTAAATGTCAGATTTTTTGGCTTCTTCAAACTTTCATGGACAGGAAGAACATCATTTATTATATCGATTTCTAGAAATTTAAAAATAATTCTTTTTCTTTCGAGTGAACCTGAATCCTGAGGCTATGCAAGGTATGCAAGGCAAAACAACCGTCATGCTACTGACCTACAGGACGGTGTTTCTCCAGTGCGAGGCATGACCTAACTATCAACACGTGGTACATCTGACATACGTGATGAATCACACTGACCAGCCTCAAAGATTTCATATTCGACGCTCGCAAAGTATATTGATTCATCATCGTTCAGCTGGACTATTATTAGGGTTGTGTAAATCAAAAGTTTCGACTTCGGAGAACAGTTTTTTGTGTTTGGTAAACTAAGACTTTAAACATTTAATATCCAAGGCGATACGCTGTCGCTAGCCAATAAAAGAGCCTACAAACCCGTGCTACCCCAATACGTAGGCAATCACTGGGCACCATCGTTCCCTTTCGCAGGTACTTTGCCTCCTTCCAAACAAGTTGGTTGCCTCAAATTACCCTTACGTAGGTAGCTGCCAGGTAATTACCTATCTAGCAAATTTAGAAAGTAGGTACTTAATACGATTAAATACTATGTATGATAGTTAACCTGATTTATTCCAGGCTAACAATGATATGTGACAAGATATATACGAGTTTAAACCAATATTACAATGCCGATCTTTACTGAGGTACTCTCTTCGAGACAATGCGCCAAAACTCGCAACGCTCGCCGCGACCCCCTTCCCATGTGAAGGCATCGGAGAGGTTGAAAGTATTTACGATACCAAAACCCTCTCTTACATAATAACTTAAGTAAGGGGGTACCGTAACGGTAGATAAGTTGCCTCCCGTGGTATTCAGGTTCATCTGCACCGGCTTCTTAAGCGTGAACTCAGGCCACTCGATATTACCATACGTGCCGATCGGAACCGTCGCATTTTCGTAGTTGGCAGTTGCATCAGAAATTGAGATGATGGGGCTGTTATTGATGATGAAGTTTCCCCAAATCTTTTGCATCGCATGTCTAAAATCCACGTTGGGAAATGTGACGTCGACAGAGAAGTAAGCATTGAGATCGGCGCCATGATACGAGGGAGTAACCGAGTATTGATACTTCCAGGCTTGTCGAGATCTTGTAGTGAACGCCTCAGCAAACCACTGGGCTGGGCAGGCGAAGGTATTCTCAGCAGCCAAGTTGAAGGCGGCCTGTTGTATGCCCGTAGCTATTCCAGATTGATACAGCGCAGTTGGCCCAGTGAAGCCGAGTGTGTCGTACGGGATACCACTACCAATCGGTAAAGATGCAATTTGATACACATTGTTAAGTAGCTCAATATCTTCTGTAGTCAATAGTGGGAAGACGGTCGAAACGAAGTCGTCGAACTTCGTTCTCGTGTCAACTTCCGGGTCGGTCAGGGGCACGCCATCATTAGCATTATTCTAGAACCCATTAGTCTGACATCAAGATACAATGAAGGTCTACCTACACCAACAAGAAGCCGTTTTCCAGTCAAGTTTCCACTTAAGAACTGCGCTGACGGGCGTTCTCGAATATAATCATAATCGATTACAGGTAAGAAGGCGAAGCTGCCAAAGTAGCCTTGAGTTGTCGAAACAGTGCCACTGGCATTCTGTAACACAGCGCTCTCTGCTGCGACAAGGCATTCGAAAGTGTTTGAATAATTACTCAGCTTATATGAGTCTTGATCACAACCGACCAACTCGACGAATTTGTCATAATGAGCGGTTGGAACCGTGTCGTTGTACCTGTGCACCGGTGGGAGATATGGGCTGGCTGCGATGATCTAGAGGTAGGACAATGAGTTAATAAATATTATAAGAAATAAATAGATAGGCACCTAAAAACCTCCACTCACATTATTGAAGAGATTCGACTCCTTGCCTCCATAGGCCAAAGCATGATAAATAATCGAACCAGCTCCCGAAGACTCGCCACCAATAGTGACGCGGGTTGGGTCACCACCAAATTTGGAAATGTGTTCTTGAACCCATTCGAGAGCGAATCGCTGGTCTAACAGGCCAGCGTTGAGCCGGCCACCCGCCTTGACGTCGTCGGATGCGAGATACCCAAATGCGCCCAGTCGGTACTGGATTTCGACGACAATGAAACCATTATTATTGGTATTCATCCAGATACTCGGGTCATATGCAGCCCCAAAGACGGAATACCCGCCGCCATCTGAACGACATTGGTCAGATTCTGGTGAACTGGACCCGAAGAGGAAACGGGGTACGTACGTATCCAGACCAAGACTGGTAGGCTGGTTGCATTAGGAGCTGCGTATACATTGAGATAGAGACAGTCTTCGTCGCCAGGACCAGAGTTAAAGCCGTAGGCTTCAGGAACACCGAAGGCGCCCGACTGCGGGCATATAGGTGGCTGATCGACGGCTGGGATCACTCCACCGTCGTCCCGAAGGGGAGGTTGAGGTGCTTGCCATCGTAGTTTTCCAACAGGAGGTGCTGCATATCGAAGACTATTGAAAGTCAGCGCAGGATTCCATGCAACGTCAACGTCGAATGTGAACTAGCTGCTTACCTCTTCCAGATATTGAGGTCGTACGTATCGTTATAATATCCCTCATACGTCGCGTACCCCAGATCTACAGTAGTTGCCGCTATGACATGACCAAGTTGAAGGGTAGCGGCAAGAATCCACGAATAAATGTTACGTCCGGGTTTCATTATTGACGATGCACGACGCCACTCACTCGGGATAGGATCAGGATGGAATTATTGGCTTACTGGCGAGATGAGATGGCGCTCACCGGTGTACTGGCTCACTGGCTCACTCTCACTCGCGCAGCTCACGTTCCGAGTTGGGAGCTGACCTTAGGGCTTTGTCAGATGGTCGCATCGGAATTCGCATCGGGATAGATTCGGATTTCTCTTTTCTCGAAACATTGTTTGCTTCCCTTTTTTTTCTTTCTCATTTCCCCCCTCCTTTTCGGAGTTCCCTCTACTTCCTGCTCCTTCCCCCTCGCGGGCCATTTTCTTGGCCTAGGAGAAAAGAAAAAAAACGAAAAGGTACCGTATCTGCGTATCAAATATGATGATCCGTGGCTCAGCAATACCCTGTTAAATTACGTGTTTGTACTTGGCTCGATCTTACATATGCGTGGTTCTTATTTGGAACTTAGATCCCACCCTAGCCCAGATCGAGGATGCAAATCACTTACCTTCTTGTCTTAGCACCGACGCCGCCAGCCGTGGTACTTAGGTACGCGGTACTTCATTGGTGTCTATCATTCCGTTAATGGAATAAACGATGTGTGATATGTTATGGATATGTGATGTTGGGGGTTTTTAGCAGGCAATTAGGGTTCTCATTCTAGGCCTCAAGTCCCTATACTTACCCCCTATTCCAGGTACTTGTACCAGCAAAATTCATCATGAAGTTAATTGCAGTATCTCCTCCGCCTTCATCTTAACACTTATCTTTCCGTATAAATAATCAGGCCGATAGACCGAAGCCATCTCCCCATAACTAGGAAATTCATCTCTATCCCCAACAGGATGTGAACCTCCAAAATGTTTACCGTCGCAACCATATGCCATCACTCCTGTTAATTGTCTACCCGGCTGATTATAGAGCGAGAGCGCAACGCCCGGCAGCGAATAGGGAAATTTGAAGATCTTATCACCAACAGAGACATTTCCGCGACTTAGGCCAAGTACATAGTCCGCTTTGAAGTAGTGTGTCTCTATGTTGTATTCCTCCTGTTTCGAACTAACCTTAGTCCTGAACCGCATAATGACCAAAGCCGTCCTTGGAGGATCAACGTCTATCACATTTGGTGGATTGGGATTGTGCTGATCCGGAGAGAAGGAACGAAGGTTGAATGCTGGAATCAATCTTGAGATCTCATCTAGCCTTTTCAGCTGCAGGTTCTCAAGTGTGGAAAGCTGATGTAAGAGACTCATATCTTCGAGATTACGATCATTATCTCCAGGAGATATGAAGGTGACTTTCTGTTGAGTAGAGTTATCCACCAGATGGTCATCCTGGTACTTTGAAGCAATAAGCCATTCTTCCTCCCACTCGAACATATCCTTCCTTTTCGATGAGAAGGGTGAATCGTACTCCTTAAGCCATGCAACAACCGACGGACTCATATTATCCAAATTTACACGGCTCCGTTCGTCTTCAGCTATCTGATCGTCAAGGGAAAGCACTTCTACCACTTCTCCATCAATAAAACCCCTGACCTTAATGTACTTTTCCTCCCGATTTCCAATGCTTCTTATCTGAATGGGTAGCTCCACGTCTAGCCTCAAGATGCGCTTGAGCACAGTTGCATATGCAAATATAGCATCGCTTTCCAACGTCACTCCATCCATCACGGAGCAAAATACAGCAGCAATGTCTTCGTCGTAGTCTACGTTGATGCCGTATTTCTGGCCATCATGGTCGGGAAAGGCAAGACTAAGGAGACAATATATTATATCTCGTGGTTCACGACACATGCGTCTGTAATTATTTCGCAATAGCCAGATTATGGCTGGTTCTTCTGAAACGTCAGCCTGTGGAAGATAGTTGTCACGCTGTGTGCACATTGAATGCATGAGAGAGCCGTGGTTGGCTAGACTAGAACCGAAAATATCACTATCCGAGTCTGAGCCCGGGTCAAATAAATCTCTTGTACGGCCTTCAATCTCATAACGGCGCTTACGAGCAAGAAGCTTGCTATTTCTCTCTTGGTAGTAAATGAGGCTGCCAATGAGTTCAGCGTCGATCTGAACATCTCCGTAAACAAGTACAACCTGTTTAGCGAGAAGAAACTCTTGAACAACCCACGCCCTCTCCCAATAATCACATCGAGACAACGTTTCGAGCTCGTCGAAGAGGTAAGGTCCACACTGATCTTTACGACTTCGCTCAATTATATCGAAGTACTCGGAGGAATTTTCTCGTAAACGGATGAGAGAACTCCTTAGCTTCGGATCTCGAGCAGGACCAAGCCATGCCCACACCATTTGGGCTCTTTTGTATATATTCCCCATGAGTTGTACTTGTTGGTTTCGTTCACGATTATCTTGCTGATTGATACAAAGAGCATCAATCCAGAGAAGACTATCAGATATACATTGAAGGAGAAAAGCATAAAGATTTTCGCGAATTGTCATCACTTCGTTGTCGACGATAATTTCAAAGGTGGGGGTTTCGGGCCCCCAGACATAAGACAGCGCAACGTATGAGGGCGTTGTAGCTGCATCGTTGACATTATAAACGCCGAAAGAACAACGGATGCGGCCATCAGGTTGGAGTGGGTGAAGAGTCAGAAGACGGGTGGCGCCTTCAGGTAATAGATGATAGATGGACGGCATGACAATACACCTAGATATTTCTAAAAACTATGAGCTCAGTTGCATATCTTCATCCTACTCACTTCGTAGGGCACTAGGCAATTGTTTGATGCCCAAAACCAGCCCCGTTATATACATAACGACCCCCCAATATATGCTATTAATTAGTATTATCCCTTTATTCAAACATTACAGGGACCCGACGGCTAGGTGCATTAGGGCCAGAAGAGGCGCTGCGCTGAGATCTAACGGAAGCATCCCCCTTGGCTTTAGATCATGCTTCTTCCCGTTCTACGTAAGACAACCTAACCAACTCAAAACATTTCCATAAACATGAGAATCGTACAATTTAACATTTCAAATAATCTCGCGACATCTAAGGCGTCTGGTCGAAATCATAACTATTCCCAAACCCCCTATTCAAATAAGTCTTCAACGCTTCTTCCCTGGTAACCCAATCCACCGGCACCTCCAAGCCCAGCCGTCCCTCGCTCTCCAGCTTCTCCAACACCGGTTTGATATCCTCCGAAAACTCGAGGCGCATTGGGTTCCTGTACCAAGGAGCAAAATGGATCATCGCAAGCATGACGCGCACCTCCTTGCTCAGATTCGGCATTCCAGCGTGCCATAACCGCAGGTCGCGGATCACGATGCTGCCTTTTTGAACGACTGGTTGCGATGGGGGACATATTGCTCTGCGTTGAGCTAGTAAGTCCTCTTGTATGCGACCGCTAGCTCGCTCGCCGTGCGCCCCTTCTTGTCCGTCTACACCGGTCCCGTTGTGTGTCCCGAGCCAGATCTCAGTTGACCCGTTCTCGGGCGTCATAGAGACGAGAGGAACATTGACGACAAGTGCAAATGGGTGATCCGGATGCTTGAAGTCCGCATCTGAGTGCACCGGTTGACGTGAGGGTTCTCCTCCCGGTAACGGGGGCATGGCTGAATTGGCTGAGCAGAACGTCCACTTAGGACGAGGGCCAAGCACGGCGGTTGTAATCTGTGTAGCTATGGGGTCTGCCAACGGCTTAGTATTGCTGAATCTATACCGTGAAATATGCGAGGGACACTCACTTGTGAATATCGCCGGGTTGAAAAACTCGGCGACCGGAGGGGCATCCTGTTGTAGATTCCCCGTGTTATAATTGAACGGCCCATCCTCGCCTCGACCTTGTAGGACTCGCGCGTCTTGAACCATCTTCTTGTTTAGTTGATTCAAGACATCGTGTGAAATTACATCTTCAACAACCACAAGGCCATCCCTATGCACTGCACCCACCGCCTTTTCCAAATTCCGAGCCTCTAGGAATCCTTTCTGGGCTTCGATACCAGAAGCCTTCACTACTGTAGGTAAACTTCGGAAACGCCCATTAGCAACGGATGCAAAGGTACGACGCCCTCCAAGCGAAGCGACTCGGCAACGAAGGAAGAGCAACAACATCATAGTCTTAGTTTGGCGGAAAGATGTATTCTTCCTACCCATCCACAGGTATTCATTCCGCACAGACCTATTACTAAAACATTATGAAGTTTTATAATATAAAAAGACTATACTGAAACCCATCTCTGGACTCTAGGTGTGCTGTAAATGGTTCGAATCAAAGTTGAAGTTAGCTATGCATGGCGGAGATGCCGCTTTAGGAAATCCGCATCTCCGCCTCGCAGCTAGATGGAGATGACCCGCCAGCGGACACGGAAATATCATCGGTTATTCGAAATGGGGTGAAAGAAGTATAAATCGAACTCGTGATGAATGGTCTTTTCTTATCGAGTAGGACTGCGGAATAGCCAGAAAGGCATTCCTCCGCCATCCAGCGTGCATCGTGTAGCGATATTCAAATTCTAAACGGGAGCTCTAGCACACCGAGTCATGACCAAGCTTTTAGATATATTTTATATATACCTACTTGGTAGATTGTTCTTCTATATGTCTAGGTGCCATAGAATAAAGATATTACCTCAAAGGTATGTCTTTATCTTATTCGACCGTAAAGCACAAAGTACCTAATCTTCGGAAATATAGGTACTTATATATAACCGACCTAAGATATATACTATATGTATATGGTCAATGACTTAATGATAGCATCAACTATGGTTAAGATGCCTTGGCTAGGCATCTATATATCCAGGCTTATGCCTACCGTCTATTTAGATCAGCATCGAAAGTATCTCTTCTCAACCCACCTATCTTCGAAATCGTTAACCATGTCGCCAACGACGACGGCGATCTCTGGGAAAACTTTGGTTAGGCGATAGACGCCTACATAGCCTGCTGAGTATGTTGCGACGACAATGCGGTCTTGGGGAACACCATGGTCTACGAGAACTTGAACAGCCATTAGCGCAGATCCTCCGCTGGACATCTGGGCGTCTAGAAGTAGAACGCTATCATGCTTGCTGATATCCTTAGGGAGTTTCAGGTAGTGCAGTTCGGGTTCTCCGGTCCGAACGTTGGATTGGATCAAAAGACGTCCTGTGCGACCATCAGGAATCACCCTTCTGAGTCCAGCCTCGAATGAAGCGCCGCCGCGTAGGACGATGACCGCGCTGACTTCGCCTTTAGGGGTTAATCCGTTATACAGTCTGCCAGCAGGAGTTTCGACGGTCAATTCCTGGAAGTGAGCATTGTTCAACGCCCTATAGCCGTTAGTAAGCGATGGTAGTAGTTAGGAGATTATACTAACTCTTCAATAAGAAGGCATGAGAATCTGTCAAAGTAAAATATGAAATCCTCGCTTGAAGTGTCAATATCCTGAATTATCGTATTCATAGCTTTGAGTTGAGGGGTTTGTTTGAGGATTATCACTCGATCAGAAAGGGGTTCACTGTCAAACCCGGCCTCCAAGCTTCTGAGAGCCGCGCGGTGACGTGTCGATTTTTCAACCAACTTTCTTTCGATATACTGAGTGACCATAGCTGTACTGATGAGCATACGTATTTCACAGGAATAGATCACGACCTACCCATTGCAACTCGGTTCTCTATGCCGCGTGGCACGATTATGTCTAGAGAAGGATTAGTCTAGATGTTCATATGAGGTGTAGTATGGGGCAGGGAGCTCTAGACTATATTCCTTACCAGCGTGGTTCCTTTGAGGAAGAACAAACTAGAAATAGATAGGTTAGCTATAGTCTCCGATTAGCTCATGTTTAATTACCTTTTCGTAGTTTGGCTTCACGAAGTTAAACCATTGCTTGATGCAACCCTCTACCGTACGACCTCGATCTCTCACATCGCGTAGGACTATATTGGATAAGTCAACGGCGATCCCTCATTCATCCAGGCTACGACTTACTTCGTCTTGAGAGGCATGTATCCGCATCTGCTTCACAATAGATCTAACGCAAGATTAGCGTTGCTATAAGAAACCTACAGTTCTTAAACACATACTCTCATGTCCATTAGATCCATCACCCTCTGGTCATACAGAGCGAAAATCCCTTCCAGAACAAGGACATGAGGGGAGTATATAGTTGTCGTCTCTTCCGCGCGTTGATGTTTCTCAAAAGAGTATACCGGAATCTCGGCACGTTTGCTGCGTAGGTTGAAGATCAGTGGACATTCTTACGGTTGACTTATTATGAAGATTACGATATTCTTACCCTGCCTTCAAGTCTTGAAGTGTCTGTAGCAAGGCATCAAAATCAATTGCCTACAAGACAGCCATCAATACCAGAGCAGAGACCCAAAAGGCTCGATATAATGAGTCTAACCTCTGGAGAGTCGAAGTCATATTCGTTTAGAAAGGCTTTCCTCGAGCTTTCGGGGTCTAGTGGTTTATAATATGAATCCTATGACGAGTAAGACAAGAGTTTACCCTCTTTCTCTAGTTACTCAGGCATGCTTACTTACCATCGACAAGATAACGACCCAAGGCAGATTCAATTTGCTGACGATGGCGTGCGACAAGGTCGACTTCCCAGAACCGGAACTACCTGCGATACCAATGATACTCAAGTCGGCCCATGGAGGGCTATAATGGGCTCGCTTAGCAATTGTATCCGCATCATGTTCAGCCACGATAGTCGGCGATCCAATGCCGGTGTTCATGGCTACCAGTCTAGATTCCAGCTCATATATTAAAGGGTATAATATAAATGAGTACGAATGTGAAGACCCTTCAAGGTGATTTAGAAATATACTACAAGGTTTAAGAGTGAAGAAATAGAGAAGTGATTGCTGTCGCGTGCCCACCTAAACCACTTTGGAGTATCGTAGGCTGACAGCACACAACACACACTTGAAGAGAGAAACTTTGAAGTGGCTAATAAGATGAGACCATGTAAGATGGCACTAATTTTTGGGCACACTAACTAGCCAAAGGTTCTTAAATAAGAGAACCGAACCTGGGCAACCTATTGAAAACAATTAAGCCAAATATACCAAAAACAATAAATAATAAGAAAAAAAAAGAGGAGGATCAGGTCTTCGAAAACCAATTACGAACAGGAAGAGGAAGAAACCGTGTGGGTTTAGGACGATTCGAATTTAGAAGGTCAATTGGAGCTTGGGGCGTGTTGATAACCGATAACAGATACCTACTGATAAGTACCTAGATACCTAGGTAGGTACCTACATTTACTGGAGGTACTTCGCTCATTGAAGCTACAGCCTAACGCAATCGGTCTAGTTCAGGCTCCACTAAGCACGGTTTCTTTGCATTTCTTCAGTCTCGGCGAACCGAAAGCCTGCCTTTTGACTTTCCCTCCTACAACCTCGCTTTTTTTTCTTCTCCCTCTCCATACAAATCTCCCATGTGCGACAACGCCATCCTAAAAGCCCAGCCTCGTGGCGGATATCCAAAGTAGAATAGGTTTCTTCGGGTGCCTTCTTGCTTCACCCGTTTTGAATTTTCTACCGTCCAACTACGTGCCTCTAATTGGCAAGAGGGGTAGGCCAGGGCATGTCGTCAAGTGATATCCCACTTGAGAACCATCTTCGTCACACAAGGTACATCTCGGAACTACTTGATCGCAAAATGGTACGTTGGACAGCTCCGTTAGGCCTTATTCTTGTTGCGTGCGCGGTCGCTAAACGATACGTGAACAGACTTCGTCCGCGTCAACGACGAAATCTCTGAAGCACCCCTTCACGAGACAAGTCGAGGAAGTGAAGACCCCTAAGAGGTATGTTGATCATCAGCCCTTTCTTTTCGCTTCCTTGAAACGAGTTTTGTTATGATGTAACGAATAAAACAATGGGAATCTCTCTGAGAATATCGTGCGGAGATCTTTTATTATCAATTTTTTCTGAACAAAAATTTCTGTCTACGCGTTTTTTTCTCCACAGCTTGGAAAATCGCCGACTAACTTGCTTCCAAGTGATATCAACGCTTTAATCCTTGATTATTTGACCGTCGCTGGGTACCCAAATGCTGCTGCCAAATTCTCTACCGAAGCAAATCTATCACCTCAACAACCGTCCACCGACATTCATGCCAGACAGCAGATTCAGACATTCATACACAAAGGGGAAATCGAAAGTGCTATCCATGCCCTGAATGATCTCAATCCTTCTGTAAGTGTTATTGTTTGTTATTCTCTTTGTCATTCGATTTGCTATGATTAAAACCTGAGTTTACATGCACCACTCATATGATCTTCGGGTCGTTGATGAGGAACAACCACTTTCTTTATGAGCGTTTAATTTATATTCACATCTTCACATGCTTGTATTGCTGTTTCAACGCCAGCTAACCATGTTGACAGATCCTCGATGAAGACGAGCCTCTTCATTTTGCACTTCTTCGCCTCCAGTTGGTGGAATTAATCCGAAAATCACGTCCTGGTGGTGATATTGGACCTGCTTTAGAATTTGCACAGACGCAGTTGGGACCCAAGGCTCCGCGAACCCCTCAGTTCCTAGAGGACTTGGAAAAGACGATGTCGCTTCTCGTGTTTGATCACGATAATTTGGATCCTTCCTTGGCCGCACTTCTTCAGCCAGAGCTTCGACAAGAGGTCGCTGATAGGGTCAACAAAGCAATCCAACAGCGAAGTGCTGCTGCTATCCGTCATCTAGTACAGATGCGAGCATGGAGTGAGGAGGTTGTCCGCAAAGAGGGCAAGAAGGATCTTCCAGCAAGAATTGACCTAGGCCTAGATGGTGATGATTCAGGCGGAGTTGAGAATGGCCATGAACCTATGATCACGACCTAGTGACTCGGCGATCAGGTTTTCCTCGGCAGTCTTAATGATTTTGGTCGGGCCTTGTCTATATTCGGCCCTGAACTGGAAGCTGGGAAGTGGGATATGTTATGATGAGGCGTTATTGAAGGTCAGGTAGGCGTTATGAATCAGGAAATACCCAGTAATGGGCCTCTAGTAGTTACCAGGCGTTTAAGGTTCACGGCTGGTAATTATCTATGCCATGCATATAAAGAGCATCGTGATCACTCAAGGCATGATTCATATGAAGGTTTATGGGAACAGAGTGCGGCGGTCCAACACGGACCGCCTAGCAAGGCGTACAGCACTCGGATGTGTTAAAGATACCATTGTCTAGGTAGCATATGTATTTACAGAACCATAAGATTCGTTTCCCCAAGTTCATTCCTATTCTCCATGTTGTGGAACTATTTAGCTCGGATAAGCTTGAGCTTCTTGGGTGTGTATAAGAAATTGTTGGCGTAGGCTTTGGGTGTGAAAGCACGCTCATTCGGCTCTTGTACAAAGTACTCATATCCTTGCTTCTCGGCGAACGCGATGGCATCTTCCTTGGTCTTGAATTCGAGCTTGGTGCCTTGCATGAAATCACCGGATGATTGCCATCCCATTAAAGGATTCTCCCATCGGTGTCCTTTCGAGAGAATGTCCCAGTCCATCCTCCAGTGATGGGCACCCCATGTTCCGGATTGTGTGGCGGGTTTGGAAGGTCGGTAAATGCTATATATTATACCATTAGAGAATTGCTTATATGTATGGCTGTTAAATATGGATTCCTACCGGACAGCTCTCGCCTGTAGCTCAATCGGAGCACCGGAAAGTACGGCGGCTGGGAGGATGTCGTGATCTTCGCTACCGTCCATTACTTGCTTCGGTATGGGGGTAAATGTGCTGCATATGTTCGTTAGTATGGGCGTCAAACCCATAGTTATGGATAGTATGTAGGCATGTATGAATTCGTGGGTGGGACGTACGATGTTGCTCGGTCGATGTGGACGCCATAGTCAGGCGCATTGCGGGGCTTCTCTTCGGGAACGGAGGGTTCGCCTGATTCGGTGAGGGATGTCGTCGAGTCGTCGGATTTGAATCGCCTCTGCACCATCGCTAAAGCTTGTCGGCTCGGAACCAATCTCGCGCTCCGTAGCAGCGTCGCTGCCGCTGCGTGAGACCGGAGAGAAGCCATCTCGTGTGTATATGTCAATCCCTCCAGGTATGGCAATGGCAATTCGATGTAGATGGTGGTTTGGCGAAGTTGAAGCGGCTTAAATGATAGGGAATATGGAATTAAGGCGATTTAGGATTTGAAGGTTGAGATAATCGAGTTATGAGGTATTTGATTGGCTAGGGCGGCAATTACCGCGCTAAAACGGAATGACGCACGGGCCATGTTCACTAAACGAGGTCTTTTCGTTACTTTGATCAATTGAACAACCGCTTCCCACTTTTGAGCTCATTCAACGTCGAATTAACCTAAGCAAGTATCGCATCACAGATCAACAATTGCGCCAATCATTGTCGCAATTGGTTCTTCTCAGTGATTTATTCGGTTTCCTGTACAATTTTTTCTTCGTCGCGACCAGACCCGCCACAATGAGCTTCGTCACTCGTAGGGCCCTCTCGACCCTCATTCCTCCCAAGGTCCGTCCTATTCCATGGCATCTCACAGAAGTATAGCTACTGGATTGCTAACAGGTGTTATAGGTTGCTTCGCCGAATGTACGTACCAGTTTTCTTCGTACCGCATAATCCGGTTCCCCCTCTCGTTACGATTCTTAGGCTTGGTGTGGATGGAAGGAGTTGAGTTGGGTTTCAGCGCCGGCATACTATTTTGGACGGCTTGGGAAAGAACATCGCACAATTAAAGGGTCTAGATTTGCTGACGGATATGCTGTTAGGCCATCGGCGCTGCTCCCGATGCCCTCCGCATGAAGCGCGTTGTTAGCTTCTATGAGAAACTCCCCCGAGGACCGGCCCCCGAGATCCAGGCCACTGGTCTCCTAGGTCGATACCAGGCCAAGCATTTTGGCAAGAACCCTACCGCCAAGCGTATGTCTCCTACCTCATAGTTCATATATTCGCCTGTAAATTGTCTATATGGAGAAATTATACGCAAGCTAACGGTCTTCTCTTAGCTATTATTCACGCCATCGGCCTCATTCTTGTCATTGGATACCCCATGACCTACTACTTCCACTTGCGTATGTTATCTACTATCCTCGCTTTCTATATATATGTATGTATCTAGGTAATTACTAACATATTATAGGCCACCACAAGAACAACCCTCACTAAGCGGATTCACCACTAAGGTACCACCAGGGGGACTTAGTAGGGGTCGAGCAAGTAATCAAGCTGTATAAAGATAGATGGCATCGAGCATTGTGCATAGATAGCCTCTCTGTACCAGAACAGAACTGAGCTTAGTCTCAAAAAAATTCTACAGTTTTCGATATTACTTTGATATGCCCGTTATTGAGATGTGCAGGTAATACAACAAACGACGACAATGTTTACATGTAGCCCTAAATCGTATTATACATGCCTAGTGGGTACCTAGGAAATGGGAAGTCGGTATAAATATACGTATGTAGGTAGGTATGTAGGTACCTACCTAGGTATATATCTATTAATGGTTTATTCCAGTGACTCACACCTAGGTAAACATGTTATTCTACAAACCACCTGACACTGTCACTGTCCCTATGGGTACTTGATAGGCAACATACTTAGTAGATAGGTAACTTGGACGCTGCAAGATTATTCTTCACTTCTTATCTTCTTTACTTGGTCCTGGAATTAATTTTCAACTTTTCAACTTTTCACCTAACACAATTCACTTCCCTTCCATTATTCTTCCCGTTATTTTCACATACTCTTCACACTTTCTTCACACTTTCTTTACATACTCTTCACGCTTTCTTCACACACTTTATTCCCAACTACATAACGACATTACTGCAGATCATACATATCTAGATAACGATACGTTCATATATTTCTCGCAATTCTTGGTAAGGTATGCATATCCATATTATTTTCTACTTCAAGGTTTTCTTCCTTCTTTCTTGAAACATTCTTTTCTCTACTAGATACATCTATCTGTATCAGTACGTCAACACATCAATACGCGGGCACATGCATGTAACCAGCAGTTACAGCTGTCAACCAGTCGACACCAGGTGGCACTTTCCAGCCCACCAACCCACCTTGTCAGCCACACCTCGCCCTGCCCACTTTTTGAGTCCCACACTCACCTTTTCCCCGTGCTCTTCTGCTTCTCTTCCAATTCCTCGTTTTCTCTCCACTTTTTTCTGCGCAAGCCCCAAAAGCTCGGGATCTTGTAAACTTTGCCAACACGACGCTGAACGTTCAAAGGGCCATTTTAGGACTGAACATTCAACTTTGCAACAACACACTTTTGTAGCTCTCTCGAGGTATTACCACTTAAACCTCTTTTTTTCATATTTCATCATACCGAGAGTGTAGTCCCTCGTACTCAATCTAATTTAGTCGCGCCTTGTGCGATCGAGGCTAGTTTGGTCTCTTCTCTTTTTTTTTTCCTTTCTTTCTACCTATTAGATATTCGGTACTACAGTAATAAGTAACCGACTCTCCGATTTCTGAACGGCGTGACGCCAAGTACGCAACCTTTAAACTGACCACCTCGACTAACCTGTCAGCCTCAAGTTACAACCACCGCATTCTTTCGCGCTCGACCATCGCAACGTACTGTACACTTTGATCGCGACGCAAACATTAACGTTTCACGACAGTTCGAGTTGGATGATGGCGACGGAGCCTATAGTCAATCAGCCAGATGCATTGTTGAATGAACATATCGTAAGTTCTCGTGTCGCCCTCCGCCCTTCGCCCTCCATCCTTCCCCCATAACCTCTACCACAGGCCTTCCATCTCCCTTCTCATCCTTCCTAATATATCCCTTCGTCATCCGCTTCCTATCATTCCGATGCAATTGCTCTTCCGCGCTGTCGTCGCAAACCACTTACTCACGTGCATTATACTATAGGCTGTTTCAAGTAACCTCGCTCAAGATGCTGGGGACTCGGTTTCTACACTAAACGGAACTATCTCCGATGTCGAGAACAAGCAGATCGCAGAGATTGTGGACGAACTAGTCAATTCGGCAGAAGTTTCCGTGAGTGGGGGTTCGGATACAGAATCATCCAAGGCACGCCTCGGTGACAAGAACCATGCGCGTACCTCTTCAAGTATCAAGAAGCCTCAGAGCTTTAAGTCGGTTTCAGTAAATCGCACTTTTCTAGCTTCTAAGACTTCGACAAATCCCAACGCCCGCCCCGACTCCACTACCGGTTCGACATCGTCTACTCCACAGCCCACCCCCAGTGCCTCTGCTTCTCGCCTGAAGCTGGTCGCCAAGTCTGGCAGTAGCCTCGGTGGCTCTACCAAAACCCTCAGCAGCAACGGTAAACCTGCTTCTGCGCCTGATCCCAACACTGTGTGGAACCGTAACAAGCGTAAGTTGTAGTGGAATATCTTGTTTCTCTAATAATTCTAGATCTATGCTAACCATTACAACAGCCGTTACCCAGCCCGAACAGAAGAAACTATCCGATGAAGAATTGATGCATAAGTACGGCATCCACATGGCGGGTCGTCTTGGACCGGAGGATACCAAAGGGCAGTCAAATTGGGCAGATATTGATGATGACGAAGAGTGGGCTCCGGAGACAATAACGTGGACGGATGGTACTAAGATTACCCTGCCGCACGAAACTGCTCCGAGCCCCAGTACAGTCCCAGCCACACTTGACAAGGAACCTCCTTCCGCGCCGCCGAAGCCGAAATCTCCTGTTCCAATATCAAGTGCAACTGGCTCCCCTTCAGTTAGGCCTAGCGTAACAGCGTCAGCGAAGAGTCTCGTGCTCAAGGGTGCACCTGAGAAACCTACTCTGGTAGCTAAACCACCCGCGCTTCCGACGCCTGCTAAGTCCCCCTGGGCTCGTTTACCTCCCATCGAAAAAGTACCTCCTGGACACTTGGATACAGTTAATATAGGAGCTAGTACACATTCTCCTATTATGAAGAGCGCAACTACTCCTACGACCAAAGAGATTGCCGCAGATGATTTCAGTCGATCCGGTTTTCGAGACAGGCATACCGGTAACCATAGTCAGCTCTTTAACTCACACTCTGGCCAATATGATCCGGTCCCAGATCATCGTAGAGGCTCTAGGAACGAACCTCACGGCCGTCAACCCGCTGTCCTGCAGAGGCCTCAATACCATGATCAACAGGGTCCTGCGGAGCCGTCAGCTGCATTTCAGACAAGTAGAACCAGCGCTCAAGAAGGTCCTTATCGCCGTCGCGGCTCTTCTAACGTCAGTGGAACTAGTGGTATCCTGGCACGTAAGCCATATGATATGCCGCCTCCGCAAGATTCATTCCAGTCTCGAGCAGGATCCGTCACCGGTGCCGAGAGCCCCATCTCAGCTCACAACCAGCCTACGCCGCGATTACCAGTGGTCCATCCGTACCAACCGAGAGTATCTCCCGGACAAACTCACGCCACTCCGTATTATAGTTCTCCTGCTGTTGATATGCAACCTACTGATGATCTAGAAATACAAGCGATAGTCATGCGTGAGCGTCGCGAACAAGCAATTAGGCGTCGATCGGAGCAGGAGGCACGTGAGGAAGCAGCTCGGAAGGCTAGGATCGCTGAGAAGCTTAAAGCTATGGGACCGCTCCCTGAACGCAATAGCACCAATAGGGGAAGAAGTAACGACGATTCAGCTACTGTTCCTTCGGAAGTACATGTTGATTCTACGCAAGTAGACCCAAGCGCTGCAGCGCCAGCAAGCGGTACAAGATCTAGCGTTGACAATCGAGCAAACGGAGAGGCTAAGGGACATCTCAGTCAAGCTGACAAACCTCAGAACCAGGCAATGCAAACTTCTGGCATGTCTAAGGCTCAGCATCCGACGTCTTGGCCAGAAGCTCCCCAGCATCAGGAAAGATATACCTCGTGGGGCAATGGTCCCCAGAACGCGCCACGAAATGTATGGGGTGCTCCTGGTAATGACCGCTCTCTCGGGAATGGCACTTTCAACCCAGATTTGGGAACGCTGCCTGATTCCCGACCAGCTCCTATGGGTGATCGGAATCATCGCCCGGCTCCAATCGGGCCTCCCCGATCCACATCGCAACAACCTATCCGCCCTGAGTCCATATCTAGTAGCCGCCTTGCCCCTATTGGACCACCACGCGGTCGCTCTTCCAACATGGCTCAGGGACCGGAGCCAGGTTCCGCAAATGCCTGGAAGTCCTTCGCATCCGGTGTCAAAGATGACGACCGTAGAAGGGCAATAGAACTTCAGGCCAAGATCGACGCTCAGAAAGATGATGTGTCACTACCGATGAATGAGGATTGGCGCAGCCGGACTTCCGGCAAGCCAGTATCAGGCGGTGCTAGACAAGGTCTGACCGATGCGGTCAATAACCATAATGAAGGACGATCCAGCAATTCATTCAATGCTTCTGCAACTAATGCTGCACACAGCGAGCAGCTTCCGAGAGCATCTGAGGAGGATCTTGCAAGATGGAAGGGCCGTATGCCTTCTGATTACGCTGCCGCTAGGGAGGCCAGAGAAGCCAAGGAGGCCACTTCCAAACCGACAGCAGAAGACCTTGCCAGATGGAAAGGTCGCATGCCTTCTGATTATGCTGCTGCTCGAGAGGCTAGAGAAACGGCCACCGGAAAAGTAAACGGTAGCCGTACCGATTACGGTAGACAATCCACTGTTGGTCACTCGAAACGAACCGTACCCAGCCCTGCAGCTCAATCCAGGAGCAGCTCTCGCTTTTTCCCCTCCACCCGAGAGTCGCAATACCAAGATGATCTCCACGAGCAAGTTCGTACAAAATCGCCTACGCCACCTCCACCCACCGCAGATGATCATCCAGTGTTTGATGGTGATAGTACTCGTCCCCACGTGGCGTTGCCACCGGCTCGCCCGATCGTCAAATTACCACCCCCAACCAATTCCACAAACCCAAGTCCCATTATGCCGTCCGCTAAGCCGGTACCGATCTCATTCGCAGCTGCAGCAGCAGCACCTAGAGCACACCAGCAATCCGCTGCCCCCCGTCCCTCTAGCAGAGGGAGGGGCTATGGAGGCATTCATCAAACTCCCTATGAGATTACATCACAGGAAAACTGGCAGGAAAAGATTAATACTCTTTTCGGTAAAAATACCTCGCCCGCACCGGTCAAGTCGATGGCTGTGGATTCTTCAAGTAGAATAGCGTTGGAACACAGTCATACATATGATCCTGCGACGGTTGCATTGCCTGGTCTTTCCCACTCGGTGAGCTCCTTAGCTTCTGACGGTAGTGACTATACTAGCAGAGAGATGGCCGAAGAATGCTTTGGAGAGCAGGAGATGGGTTCTCTACCGACAGTTCGCCTTCCCAGTGAAGCACCGGACGCTTTGTGGCAACCAGCAGAACTTCACATCGACCCCATGCCCATCAAACTGCGAGTTGATCCAATGGGCGCCGAATCATGGAGGTTCCCCACGCCTGAGATTTCCGGCGGCGGAAACGTGATCCGAATTTCGGGTCCTTTCATGACAGAGGCTAAGACCGTTGTGATGAAGCATGAAAACGGTCGCTCGAATAGTAATCAGCGCCGACAGGGGCCCCGTGGAGGTGCCCGACGCTTATCAGGCCGTGGAGGTCAACGCGGCGGTCGGGAACACCCTGACCACCCTGGCGACCACTCGTCTCATCCGTCCAGCCGTCCTTCCACTCGTAGTGGACGTGGAAGTTATAGGCCCAGGATGGAAAATATGGCAGGCAGACACACATCGACTGCTGCACCATCGCAGTGGTCTTGAGGGATCAAACACATCGAAGATTTGATCGTATTATTTCTCCCTAGTGTATACTCAATTGCAATGATGCATTGCAATTTTCATCCTCTTCTTACCGTCGTGCGGACAATAAGCCGGTCTTTGGACGACAGTTTGTACAACAACAACAATAACTAAGTTTCCAGCCCATTTTTTCCCCGCGTTCTTCTCATGGCGAACATGCCATTGGGCCCTTTTCAACTATGATGCAACAGCTCCTGGTTCCACGAAACAATAGTAGCTGACTACTCCGTTCGGCACCGTTATATCCGCCTCTTTATCGACCTTTGACTATTGGTATGCTGAGATATATTCAATCGAGGCATTTGTGCAATTTTCTTCTGCACTGGAGTGGTTGGCGGCGGATCACGGCTGTTCATATACATCGGATGGTCGGGACCACAGATCCTTGGGGCGTTGCCGGAATGGAGGGTTTGGAAAAGTCTCCCTAGTGCGGATGACTAGATATGAATGAGAAGAGCTGATTACCAACTACTAACACTGACAAAAATGATAACCGTCTGGAAACAATGCGGCGGCAAGGCACGAATGCGAGCATGCGTGGATTTTGCCAACGACTCTTCTTTTTACCACCTATTTGAGCTAGGCATGAGTGAGTGAGCTTATCATCATGGCATGGTAGGCCTGTGCGTATGAGCTGGAGAGTATCGATTTACTCTGCCCTATTCCGAAATGTACCTACTCGATACGAGTATAGGTATGGGTAGGCAGAAGCTAAACGATGTCTCAAATCACCAGTTCTTTGCTATTGGCTTAGCAGTTTGCTTGTCACCAGAAACTCATTAATTGAGAAATTCTCCCATGATACATATCGAATGCTTCTTTATGATTAGTAATGTTTGCCGTGCCTGATTGGTGAGCATGTGTAAACGATTGTATTTTGCTATACAACAAAGTGTAAAATCGTATATTAGTAGTAAACTACTGTAGTCCTAGATATCTAACATCTGGATGTTGAGGTAAGTTACTACAAACGTCCGGGCCAAAAGTGTAGACCATCAACCACGTTCTTTGCCTATCTAGGTACTTACCTGTTCGTGGTGAAATAAGCAATTATTTCATACTATGTTCTATCCAAGCTAAAACTAAGACCTGATACCACTAAACTTTAGTGGATAACCGCTGTAATTGAAGCTCCTTAGGCAGCTTAGCCGCTGAAGAAAAACGCCACATGGTTAGACCATTCTCCAATTTACACGGCTTTAGGTCATCACTATCACCCATAACATTCTGAACAACACGAACATCTCATCTCATCTCATATTATCCTCATCTAACAAGACGTGCTGATATCTCATTCCTTAACTACCTAACTCTAGACTCCGGACGCCTTAGCCTCGCTTTCTCAAGAGCAATCCGTAGTTAGTTCATTCATTATCTCCGTTCATCGTACGTGTGGCATGACACTTTAGACTCGTTAAGAGTTACAATCATCCCCTCCCTTCTGTTAACCAACCAGCAAATAATGTCAACATCCATCAATTCATCCATACGTGAATTTGTATCAATTCAATTGGGCATCTGTACTCATTCCTTTGTTCGTCTTCCCTTCCCCTAACGCCATCTCGCATCAGAGTGAATTTCATACCCATGATCATTGTCATATCCCGTTCATACAATAGCTCAGTACTCCTCTATCGCGCAGTTAGGATGTATCACGTAGACGACCTTCTGGGAAGACGACTCTCCAGCTGCCGCCTGGTCCCCTTGCTGGGGTAGTCCTTGGAGAACACCCATTAGGATGTTGTCCTATTTCGTAGTCAGCATCGAGTTACTAAAAGGAGGGAGACAATTAGTGATGGACAAGAGGAGAAAGCATACCTTGACCATCTTCTTCAGCACCATCTTCGCAACACCCATCTCCTTATGGTAATCCTCCTCGCCCTCGAGCTCATCCTCCTTCTGCTCAAGATACCATTCAATGAGCGCGTCGCCGTCAACTCCTTCGGCCTCACCTGACGCCTCGTCCTCGCTCACCCTTGATACGAAGAGATTCACCATGGCGATGTACTTCTCGTACGTAATCGCCGTCTTCTTCTTCGCGGGCTCCGCGGTACTCGGCTCTCTGCTCGCCTGTCCGCTAGCTTGCTCATCGCCATTCTCCTCTTCGTCCTCGCCATCACCCATACGTTCATCGCCCTCCTCATCCCTAGCCCCGGAAACTGCTCTGTCCGCAGCAGCAACCAGCTCTGCCGCGTCCTCGGGCTTATCGCCAAACTCGTCATCATCCATCTCCACGTCGTCGTGTTCGACAGAGATAATACTCTGCCTCAGCAGATTAAACGCTTCGTCGACAAACTCGGTTGCGATATCCTCGACACAATTTGCCTTAGCGATAGCCTCGCTTAGTCGAATCAAACTCTCGAGCTGTCTGACGGTGATACGGTAGCTGTTCTTTCCGATACCACCCTGCGCATCGTCCGCGCGCAGCTCCTTGTACCTCTCGACAAGGCGCTCCTTGGCCTCGTCGGAGAACTCGGGCCGGAAGGTTCGCGCGAACCGGATGTACCGTTGCAGGCACTCGGTGCTGAATTCGGGCTCGATGGCGCTATCGCGCAGCGCGTGAAGGCCGACGATATGTTCCGCGAGATGGCGGTCGACTGCTTCGTTGCATTCGTCCAGGATCACGAAGAATAAGTCAAAACGCGACATGATAGGCGCCGACATATTAATGTTAGACCTGAGCGTCGACTTGCGGTTATATCGCCCCCCAACAGGATTTGCGGCCGCGAGGATAGAGGTGCGCGCGTTGAGCGTAGCCTGGATACCGGCTTTGGCGATGGAGATAGTCTGCTGTTCCATGGCTTCGTGGATGGCAACTTGATCTGCGATGTCCATCTTGTCAAACTCATCGATACAGCAGATGCCGTTATCAGCCAACATGAGCGCACCGGCTTCGATTGTAAATTCGCCCGTCTCCTCATCTTTGACGACTGCGGCTGTAAGACCGGCCGCTGAAGAGGCCTTTCCGGATGTATAGACCGCACGCGGGGCGAAAGAGCAGACGTATTTCAAGAACTGAGATTTGGAGGTAGATGGGTCGCCAACGATGCAAATGTTGATGTCGCCTCGAAGGGCCATGCCTTCAGCGGTGGTTTTATGGACACCGGACATGAGCTGTAGAAGAAGACCTTTCTTGACAATTTCATGGCCATATACAGTAGGCGCAAGAGACTGTACCAAACGACCGTAAATATGGTCACTGTGAACCATCTCACGCAGTTCGTCGATTTCACTAGGCGTCATGGAGTTTAGAATGGCTGTCTGGGCCTCTTCAGATGTTTCGGCTGCGTCAGCCGAACCTTGTGTGAGAGAATTGATGATATCGTGAACTTGACGCGAAGCAGTTTGACCTGGTGTAGACGAGTCAGGGGTAACCATATTTGCTAGGAAGGCCAATCGATAGGTTAGATCGCGAACACCAAGGGATTTCAAGCCTGAAACTCCACTACCACCGACGTCGTTACCGCGTGGCGTATTCCGATCGTCTCGGATTGCTGTAGGTCTAACACCAGGAAGACCTAGCTGACTAACGTCGGGTACGACGATTAATGCACCTGTGAAGATACATTTCTCGCCTGCCTTTGCACGGTCTACCATCTCACCTCGTAGGATGACGTCCATCGTCCGGGGCATACTGCCAGTAGGGATTTCTGAACTGTTCTCCTGGATACGGACCTTTTGCCAATCGACGAAGGTACTTTGTCTGATATCTAACTGCCATGCTAGACGATTTCCACACTCTGCATTGGGACATTGCGTAGGCTCCGTATACCGAAATGTTTGCTCGACGTTTGGGATAACAGAACGACAATTCTCGCAGAGGAAAGTGGCCAGGGAAAGTTCGGGTCTCACTTCGGAGGTACGTGTGACGGTTCCAGATATAGAAAGTAGTTGGCCAATATTCTTGGCGCGTAGAGCACGAACTCGGGAAACTAGAGGAAGGTTGTAAAAGGCAATAGCAAACAGCTTATCCGTCTGTTGATTTGCCGTCTTGTTACCCTGCTCGGATTGACTTCCAGAACCAATATTACTTGCACCCGAAGTAGTTTGGTTGCTAGACGTAGTAGCTTGTCTATGGTCACGGAAATATTGAGGTTCGTATTTGGCGATCATATTGTGGAGGGCATTGGTGAGGAAGGGAAGGAATCGGTAGTATTGCGTGTTAATGGCATTAGCCAGACCGCCATTTTGGTAGCTGGCGATATGATTGTAGTTGACGTAAAAGGTCGATAATTGGTAAATACGCATTCCGTGGATTTGGGCTACGTAGAATTTGTTCGTCGTAACAGCACTCGAAGTAGGCGCACTGGACGAGGCAGGGTCTTCGATGAATCTTTTTCTCAAGTCAATTATGATATCTCCATGAATACTGTTTACGGAATACAGCAGAATAAAACATACTCTTCAATAAAGTTTTCAAAGTGTTCCTGAACGGTGATACCAATCCTATCTTCAACTCGTGGGATGGTAGCAGGATCCCTCCGTCTTGTGCGACTGGGAATCTGGTCATCTGCGAAACCATCGGCCTCATCGTCGCTGGGTGCTGCTAGACTTTCAGAGGGAGGACCTCTTGGTCGTGCTGAAGATCCTCTGTTAAACGGTCTCACTCTAGGAGTAGTGCCGCCTCTCGAAGGTGCGTCGGACATCAACATGCCCGAATCGCTTGGAGTCGCCATTGTCGAATGAAATTTTGTTGTGGGAACGGCAATACGTAGTTAGTGTGGTGTTGAAGAACGGCGTAATTACTACAACCCTTCGATCACGAATATTCGTTAAGATAGAAAAATTAAGGAGGTAAGTGGAGGGGCAGAACGGAGAACGGAGCCTATGCAAATCGCGTCGCGTCCTAAACCTGCTAAACGCGACTTTAGTGTTAGCATCCATACCACTGGCCAATAAGATAACGTATCTCTAAGTGGTTGCAGATGCCAAGGATTTCCACGGATAGCGATAACAAAACCGTCCTCCATCCCGCCAAATCATTTCAATACGCTACAATGCCGTATGCTATCCATAAAACGGTGCTTACCCACCTTATATACATGTAAGCAATATCTTTTCGCACCCGATAAATACATACTTTGTAATGCTTGGCGGGACAGTGAGTATTACGGTGGGTATTACGGTCGCCGTCCTTTCCAGGCATAAATGAATATACCGAAAAAATTATTGTATTTGGAGAATAATGGAAAATTGAAACTTCATCACTGCTACAATAACAACTACGACAAAAAGAAAAAGGAATGGAATAAACCCTTCGTACATATTATTCACCTTACGATGTGTAGTCTTCTATTTTCTACTTACCTTTAAATCTCACACACCTTTCACAGAAAACTTCACAATACATTGCGACCTTGCAATATCAGAGTGAAATCCCAAAAGCAGCATCTCACTTATCCATATCATGAGTACAGCCGTGCTGTAACTACGAAAGCAATGGCGCCAGAGCTATCATCCAACTGGAAGAAGCTACAAGCGCAAATCAAAACAGAGTCCACTGCCACATCTTCACCCTCGCTAAACACCACAACCAAGAGAAAAACTGACGCCGGCCCATCATCTCACTCTCATTCTCCAAAGCGACAAAAGCTACAGACACCCTCCAGGCCACAGGATCGAAAATCATCATCATCAAAACCCCCTACCAAACCCTCCCGGAAATCCAATCCCAAATCTCTCCCAGAAAGCCCAATGGGCGTAACCCAATCCTCCGCCCTCGCCCGCGGCACCCCCACAACCATAACCCCGTCCCTCGCTCTCTGGGCCGAGGACAACGACATCTCGCCCGAGGACCTAGCAGAAGCCTACTCCCTCGGCGCCAAGCACAACGCCTCCTTCACAGCCGCCGCGCCGCCGCGCGTGAACGAGGGATTGGCACCCGGCGTCGAGGTAGGGAAGTACATCGCGCTAGACTGCGAGATGGTCGGCGTCGGGCCTGAGGGGCGGGAATCAGTGTTGGCGAGGGTAAGCGTGGTTGATTTCCACGGACGCCAGGTATACGATTCGTTTGTGACGCCGCGGGAGCGGGTTACTGATTTCCGGACACATATCACGGGGATCACGCCGCGGGTTCTAGCTACCGCGCGCACGTTCGATGAAGTGCAGGGTGCGGTAGCGGAGTTATTCAAGGACCGCATTGTCGTCGGTCACGACATCCGACATGATTTGGCGGTGCTGCAGCTTAGTCATCCCAGCGGACAGGTGCGGGATACGGCGAGGTTCGCGGGGTACAGGAAGTACGGGCATGGGCCGAAGCCGGCGTTGAGGGTTTTGGCGCGGGAGGTTCTAGGCGTGGAGATACAGAATGGACATCATTCGAGTATTGAGGATGCGCGGGTTGCGATGCTGTTGTTTCGGAAGAAGAAATCGGATTTTGATGTTCAGCATGCGAGTCGATACGGCTTGCCTGTAGAAAAGACGACGGCGAGCGAGTCTGTGGGGGGAGATGATGGTAATAGTGGTGGTGGTAGTGGTAAGGGGTCGGCTAAGTCCAAAAATGGACAGGGAAAGAAGAAAAAGAAGAAACGCTGATTTAGAGTAAATTCCGAATAAAGAGAAGCTGCTCGGAACGAGTATGAATATATTTGTTCACGCAATATCATATTGTCGCGCTTTTGATTTTGGTATTCGAACGGCATGTCTGATTAGAACTTCGTGATCGTAACTATGTGTTCCTTTCAATATAAATACGCTCCGCTTCATGCAGTCGTAAGAAACGCAAACTTGGCCCATTTATCATAAGAATAACACTCTTCTATACACCCTCTACCTATGAACCCTCAACCTCGACCTGACTAAACGGGGATATCTTCCATCAACTCCATAGCGCCTTCCCTGCCGACCGTAATAATGGCATCGCCCAGCGTTTTCGTGACAAACCCAGCTTCGCAATACGTAAAGTAGTACTAATAGAAACACCAGTTAGCAATCAACACAAACTCCCATATAAATGGGGGAAATAGGTGTTTTGTGATAAATACCTCCCACTTCCGCCTGAAAACATCGATCTCCTGCTGTGTCATCTGCGGATGCTCCTCCTTCAAGGCCGGCCTAATCTTAGACTCGAAGTTCGTCATGAACTTTTCCTTCCACAGCCGTAAAGTTTTAGCGTAATGGCCACCGATATTCTCGACTCGTTCCACGATCAGCGTGCCCTTTGACTCCTTTGTGATGTGATTAAGTAGTTGAGTGATAGAGGGTAAGTATCCGCCCGGGAATATGTGCTTGTTTATGAAACTAAACATAGGTCAGTAATGTTAGTATAAAATATTAGAAATCCTTAAGAGGATAAATGGTAATCTTACTCTTCGGATTTAGAGTATGCTTCATGTCTTCCCTCGGGCATCGTGATACATTGGAACATGGCAATACCACCTTTCTTCTTTAGCAACCGATCAATGCACGTGAAGTAGGTGCTCAGGTACTCCTGACCGACCGCCTCCAGCATCTCTATGGAGACGATCTTATCGTATGTCGCAGTCTCTGGTAAATTCCGGTAGTCTAGTAGTTGAACATCTATCCGGCCTGAAAACCCTGCCTCTGCGATTCGTTCTTCTGCCAGTGCCTTCTGCTCCTTTGATAGCGTTAGGCTCGTCACTCGACATCCCGTCTTTCTTACTGCTTGGATAGCAAAAGATCCCCAGCCTGTTCCAATCTCAAGGACATGGTCAGTCGGTTTTATTCGGGTGCCATCGATGAATCTGTTAAGTTTCGTGATTTGCGCTGCCATGAGAGTCTCTTCTGGCTCCGCATGAGAAAGCCGTGGCTGCCAGATCGGACATGAGTAAGTCATATCTTCCGAGAGAAAGGCAGCGAACATGTCATTGCTAATATCATAATGGGCGGAGATATTTAAGAGTGCATTTGACAAGGTATTTGTAGTTCGCGCAATACTTGAGATTGCGCCAGAGATGGAAGAGAACAACGTAATTCCATTGCTCAATTGATCTCGGTTCACGATGAAGAGCTGTACACGTCCGTCAGCTGAGTTGCAATAAAAAAATAACTAGCGGGTTACAAACTTGAAAGAAGGCCGTTAAATCGGCGCATTCGAATTCACCCAGCATATAGGATTCCGCAAATCCCATATCGGCAAATAGGAGCAATCTCATCCAGAAAGCGTCATCCTTCACCCTAACTTCGACCCGAGGAATAATGTCAGCTCTCCTGATTGTGTAGTCTCCGTTTGTTGATTCCGGGCTTTTAGAAGTAAGCCTTTGGCCGTATACCAGTCTGGTTCCTGCCGGTTCATCAACTAATAACAATGTACCGACTGTGATCTTAGAAAAGACGGAGAGAACGGCCGGCTTGGCAATGGCCAAGGCCGGACCCCAGGTCAACCCTCCTATAGTTCCGCGAACTAGATCGGCACCGCGAGTGAAAGGCCTAGCGATGACCGATGGAATTGACGGAGCCATTATCTACTGAGGAATTCTCCCAAATATAGATAGATATAAGTGATAAGTAGGTAAAATAGCTAAGCCTTTAGATGTAAACTTAAACCACAAGATTGACTAATAATGCTATGATGACGTTACTTGGGTAGGTAGGTATAAACGAACGCTTTCCATGTAAGTAATAACAAAAGATTAAATGGTGTAACTACTTAATATCTGGCGACATAAAGTGTAAAACGCCAGAGGTAAAAATAAAGGAAAAGAAAGTCCAATCCATAAGTATATTTGTATTAGTACGCTGTAGGGTAACGCCTAGGGATGGCGGTTGTAAAAGCAACAGTTTCAAGCTGTCACCGCCATGTGGCCCGAATTTCCCTATCTAGGGATGCTTGAACTACCGTTGCACTTATTCTACTTCCATGTAGGAACACTACCTACCATGCGTACTACCGGAGTCAAAACGTGAGAACACTAGATCTTCTTTGGTGAGGACCGGCTCGTCGCTCGGGCATAAACAGGGATGGCCAATATGGGTCAAGGAGAGAACCAGGGACCGGCCCCCATTTTTGTTTCGGGATGTACGTGAACCGGCGTTCTAAAAAGGCCTCGTAGCAAAATCCTGCATGCCAGTGAGATACTATGTGTTCTAACAGAGACTTGCTGAAATCATGATCGATATGGGGGATCATAATGCGGCGGGTCTAGCCAATGACAGTAAGATGGATATCATCAAATTGATATTAGGTGAGAATGGCCACTAATAAAATGATGTCTCGCATCTTTTTTTTCTCAGCCTCACTCGTTAATCTAGATTGGACACTAAGATCGAGCATCAATGTACTTGGCGTCTCAAAGAGAATCGATAGGAGTCATTCTTATGTTCAAGTAAATAGGCGGTAGTAAACCTCGTATAGCTCTTTTTCGACCACGGACTAGACGGGGAGGTCGCGTGGGGTCCGAGGGATAGTCATGTCGCGAACATTCCGTCAAGCTGCATGAGACGCTGGCACTGCCGCTGCATAGGCGCAGAAGTAGAAATAAATTTCCAGCCTAGCATCAGTGTGGAATGCAAGTCTCAGGAACCTTATCTTAGTATAATAGGGGAGTCCCCGGTTCGTGTAACAACGAGCAGTTCCTACTCTGCTACTACAACTCGGAATGCCACCATGGCGGGAAATAGCGCATGCAGGTTTCTAGCGATGTCGCTTTCTCTGTGTGATCGTGCTTAATCCATGACTATCTCGCCATCGGAAGCCGGAGTAAGATGGGGACCTGATGGCCAGCTTGTGGAAATCATGCAGGCATCCAATTCGGCAGTCAATGACATCAAGACTGTTCCCATACGAAAACGGACAAAGTATAGCGTTAATGGATGTCTCGGACACACCTTATATTAGTAGAAATATATTCGAAGTGGACCAGGGGCTGGCCTAATTTAAATTAATACAGCCACCTCGTTAAGAAAGAAGTAAAAGGATAGAGAAATTCAGGATTCCTTCAACACGTTGAAATTATTGAAGAAATTGTGTGAAGTGAACAGAATCGTTCAAAGTTGAAATGAATTGACTTTCGGATAGTACTCCACAATGGTGGAGTGAAAGGGATAAAGTGATATTATGCATAATATGATATTGATAACAAACCCTTTAACTTGCAAGTAGCGGGGTATTTTACGCGTCTTAATTGATTTCTTAGTCATACGCGTATACTCTTACACACATTCATGCATAGCTCTTTATCTCTATGACATTTGATGATACCACTTTTACTTAATATCCAATATTTAAACTCTTCGTGAAAAGAACAAGATGGCACATCCAGTCCTTACTGTCGAATCTCGGGACAGCATCTCCAAAAAAGCACAAGTCAATTTGCTTCCCTGTCGCATACATCACGACGGAAACGTCGATCCAATTGACACATATTGGAAACCCGAGGAGGACCAAAGTATGTTGATGAAGTCAACCTCTCAAGTCTGATGAAAATCTAGTTCTCACCAATCAAATAATTTAGATCAGACAAAAACAGCTTATCTTAGAGGCCGGAAACTTCAAAGCAAGGCGGTGAAATTACCGAAGGGTTATTATGGTACTGTCGTTGAGAAGTCTGAGCCAAAGAAGCCTGAGGAATCAAGCAATGACCAAGAGATGACTGAAGTCATCGAAATACATGACGATTCGGACGACCAAATTGAAACAGGCGCAATGCAAGGCAAAGCAACTTTTGACGAACTTATGATCTGGAATCATGAGTCCTTGGCTGATTCTAGTGAAGACCCCTATCTGAGAGGCATGGAAGAATGGATATCTTTTGCAGAACAGGTTTGTCACATTGCCCCTTAATACAGAGGTTTATAAGGATCTAATTGTTTATATCCAGATACATTCATATCCCTCCAAGAACTCTTCTGAAGAGTAACTAAACTGATATCCCATCGGTTCCATGTACATATAAGTTAACGTAGCATTAGCGTTGAATACAGAGGGTATACGGTATAGAAACACCGTGCACAGGGACTGTATGTAATGCAATTCGCACAGTATGTCATTCTTGCAAGATAACAATCATGATTGGTTGATGGCTACTGCAGGTACCAGGTTTAGGGAATTTTAGATCCCGACCACCGATAATTCATCAGCTTTATCGAGCTTTCTAGTTTTGCCCCTCCAAACTTTATCATATCATTAATTCCATTATTTTATCCACTGTCGCGTTTACATTTCCATCAAAATCAACGCACTACCATCGAATTTCATCATGAGTCCTAGCGCGCTTAATGGCGAGGCCGCCGTTGGGCCCGAGGGACCCCGACAAAAGAGCAGATCTACCATCGATACGATACGCGTGGGTTGCATCGCGATGGTCGAGAAAGATGGACAAGCTCGTCGCGCCGAAATCCTCAGTATAAGAGATACCAAAAGCGGCCGCCAATTCTACTGCAACTTTGACAACTTCAACAAACGTCTCGATGAATGGGTACCAGTTAAGCGAATCGATTTCGACCAAGACGTAGAGTGGCCGAATCCCGAAAAAGATAAACCTAAAGATGGAAAGGGCAAGAACTCCACGGCACCCAAGAGGAAGGTTATTGGGAACAAGGCGCAAAAGCGGCCGGGAAAGAGGGAACAGTCTGTTGCTTCTGAGGCTGTTACGCCCCATCCGTGGCCTGATTTTACTGATAGTCAACCACAATCGAAAGCGCCTTCCACGCCGAGAGATCTCGAATCGAAGGCCGGAGAGACGCCCGCTGCTAACGGCGATGAGATGGACGTGGATGAAGATGAATCAACACTTGAAGTTAAGAAAGAGGGTGGCTTTAGTCGAGAGGCGGAGATCGAGAAGCTACGAACAGGTGGTTCCATGACCCAAAATCCTACCGAACTCGCTCGAATCCGAAATATTTCCAAGGTCCAATTCGGCCAATGGGAATTATTTCCTTGGTATTTCTCGCCATATCCAGAGGCTTTCACCCAGGAAGACGTCATTTTCATATGCGAGTTTTGTCTCAGTTACTACGGCGACAAGAAATCATTTTGTCGACATCGATCAAAGTGCACCCTTCAACATCCTCCCGGAAACGAGATATATCGGGACGACTATGTATCGTTCTTCGAGATTGACGGTCGACGGCAACGCACCTGGTGTCGAAATCTATGTCTAATATCCAAGATGTTCTTGGACCACAAGACCCTCTACTATGACGTGGATCCCTTCTTATTCTATGTGATGACTCAGAAAACCGAGAAAGGACACCACCTCGTAGGCTACTTTTCCAAAGAGAAAGAAAGCGCCGACGGATACAACGTCGCTTGTATTCTCACATTACCTCAGTATCAGCGAAAGGGTTTCGGTAGATTGCTAATACAATTCTCATACGAGCTTTCCAAAATAGAGGGCAAACTAGGATCTCCAGAAAAACCACTATCCGATCTGGGTCTTCTTAGTTACAGGCAGTACTGGTCCGAGAATATTCTCGAACTATTACTAGAATGCAATGAGAGGGACGAGAAGTCGAGCATCGAGCAGATCTCAAGCACCTTGGCTATGACCACGCAGGACGTCGAGCATACCCTCCAAGCTCTCAAGATGCAAGTGTATCATAAAGGAGAGCATAAACTCGTCATACCGGAGTCGCTGATAAAGCAGCGCGAGAAGACTAAGCTGAAACAAAAAAGGTTCATCGCGCCCGAACGCATACAGTGGAAACCTCCGGTATTTACGGCCTCGTCGCGTACTTGGGGTTGGTAGGGCGTTTGGTTGGTCTTGTCATTAGGATGGCGTCGGAAAGGAAGCATTGAAATTAGATACCCATATGCCAATATAGAATGTTTCTCGATCTTTCCATTGTCATTTATCGTGGTATCATGTAAATGTGTTCCTTCATTTTCGTCTAATCCCTTAATTACTAATACCACCATCACTCACGTAGGTAGGTAGTGTCTTTCGATATGCAGTAAGTCGCAGTTGGAAGCCAAGTTTCTAAATACTCAATTCGTCTACCTATTACTATTATTTCCCGATTGACTATATCCTACCCAAACGGGTTATAAACAGCAGTAATAGATGATGTTTGAAAATAGATCAGCCCGTTCATTTTCATATAAATCATATTAACTAGTATGTATCTAGATGTTGAGCACATACCCTCTACCGTCTATTTTATGCCAACGCTTTCTCTCTGTAACCCGATACCTCCGCCAGCCATTTATCCAAAGAGGCTCCAAAATACTATGTCAAATTCGCAGAAGTAAACAATATAAACGCTAGGCTAACATATGCGATGAGATATATGTCTAAATTAGTAAATAAATCATAAAAAGTCGTGACTCGTTAGCATTAAGTAGACATTTTCAACTAGGCTCAGCTAGATGTAGGCTGAGTTTCAGCAAGGACTTGTTCGGTTGTTGTCGCATTTTTCTCTCTGGTTCTTGCTTCCTTCTTCTCTATGGCTTGCCTCATCTTCTCCATGCGCTCCTCTCTCCACTGGGGTCCATATTTCTGTATGACCCAAAGGGCAGGAGAGAAGATGCCGTAGATAAAGGCGATGAATGTGTATGTCCATCCTCGTCCCCAGGCGTCGAGTATATATTGTATTACCGCCGTTGCCACCGCACCAGATAGGCATCGGCATAAATTGTTGGCGGCAGTCGCTGTGGCAGGAGCCTGAGGGTATAAATCGACAATTAGGACGTTTATGATCTGGAAAGGACTGGTAACACCTATGCCGATGAAAAATAGCAGCACAAGAGGTACGACGACGTGAGTTTCGTAGTGTAATGCCCAGCCATATCCAATAGAGACGAGCACCCCAATCACAATGAGTGGGTATGCAATTTGAAGTCTAGCTTTTTCGATGGGGAAGCCTTTGAGGTCGTTTCCACGCCTACCTCCAACGCGAACGCCTAACTTCTTAGCTATACGGCGAAAATTCCAGTCTAGGATGTACCCCGTAGAGATTGAGGCGAGCATGGTAGCTCCCCCTAATGGTAAAAAGCAAAGGCCAAGCTGGATATCGTTGTAATGATATATGTCGGAAAATTGAGAGGCAAGAGTGGCAGTGATCAGATTAAAGCCCATGTAGAGACAGGCATTATAACCTAGCACCAATGCCATATCCTTGTTGCGAAGAACAGCGAGTGTATTAAGCGGGTTGGGGAATCGAAGTTTCTGTCGTACGTGACTAGATGGTCGATTCACAGGCTGGCGTCTGAAACGGATATAGTCAATGAGTGTCATATTCCAACCTTGCGGCGGGATGGATCCGTTTCCCACAATCTTCCTTCCCGTCTCTGGAACTGCCAAGATATAGGGGATCATCCAGCAGACGGCGAGAATGCATAAAAACCAGAATATAGCCGCCCACCCTAGGTATTGTGAAAGTAGTCCGCCAATAATCGGGCCAAGAGCCGGACCGATCGTGATGCCTGCCCCGACAATCCCCATAAATTTCCCCCGTTCGGAGCTTGGCGCAATATCTGCAACTACGCCATAGACGAGGGCGATGGTGCCACTACTGCCTGCGCTCTGTACCATCCGGAGGACAAGAAGCGCCACATAGTTTCGTTGGAGGGCTAACCCGATATTGGCACCTAGGTAGATCGTACAGGCAATGATGAAGGCCGGCCGTCTTCCGGCGATGTCGGCAAAGTCGCCAGTAAACGTCGGGGCCAGGCCCTGGAAAATCATATACGTCGTGAGCGTCAAATTGATCTTCGCGACTGACACACCTAGATCTTGGGATAATGCCGGGATTGCTGGAAAATAGATGTTGGCTGTGATTGGTGAAAGGAATGCCGAGATAGTGTTCATGAAAACTATCCACCATATCATAGAGGGCGAAAAGACGCTGTAAGGAGGCCCGCTGGAAACTCGAGAGAGCGTCTCGAGGTCTTGAGCCTCATCACCCCTTTCCTCATCATCTTGAGAATCTTGGTTACTCTCGCTGTCTGAATTTTCTGATTGAGACTGACGTCGACCTTGAACAAGCGCCGAAGGTGTTAATTCTTCTTCTTTGGAAGAGCGATTGTGGTTCTCGTCATCATGATAACCTTTTGGTGGTACTGTTGGTGGTTTTTCATTGTCATCCATTCTTACCATCGATGTTTATTACGATTATAGGAATGACATGGGGGGAAATGCTATAGAAAGACGGTGAAATCTTCTTAAACGATAATTTACCCATCTTATCGAGCTCCGAATTCTGTTTGTGGAATGTGGATAGTTATTGCTAAAGGGTAAGTGGTGGTTGGTTATTCTTGCTACATGTTATTTCCGGCTTACTATGGCGAATAGCCCACATAAATGATAATGTTACTCTCCGAGTGACATTATTCCCGGTGATCTTCTCAACGTTGGGATCGGCTTTTGACCGATTTACGGTCCTCTCCTTTACCTCGGAAGAAGTAGAATACTTAGTAGGCGGAAGCGAAGTCGGGACGGCGTCGGATGATATCTACCTACCTAGGTAGGCAATTACCTATCAAATTAATTAAAATGGATAAGCCTTCGTTCGATATTGCAGTGAAATCATGAAGGTGAACACAACATATTTTTATTTTGCAACTTCTGAGTTCAATGTAAGATAATCTAGAAATCTAGGATTCGTGTTGTTCTATTTGTTATAGATGATATGCTTTGTCCTGGTAGTACAAACATAGGTATGCAGCCAGCCGTACCTGCCGTACGTAATTGATTTAGACCGAGCTGACCGAGGTCGCTTCCACCTTGAAGAAACTTGGTGTGCCACAAACGAGTACATAATTAACCAAGCCACTTTAAATACTAGCCACATCGGCGCCAGTAACACATTTACCTCCGACAAACAACGAATCGACATCATTTAGTGCATTTAGTGCCAGGTGGATTCTAATTATATTCAATTGAACAGCTTGCTGGCTTCTTACTATGTAAACCCCAAGCAATTTTCGAGAACCTCGGAATGCTTGGTACAACAACGATGCACATATGACCTCGCCGAAGTTTTGAATTTGCTACCGCTCTCATCATGACTGACCTTACGCCTGTTTTCAATGGCTTCCTCAAACGACATGAGGCTTCTGTTACGAAACGGGGCTTCAGCTTGGATAACCTAGATGATTTTCTGAAGGAGGCCTATAGAATAGCAAGTGGCTGCGACCAAAAACTCACGCGCTTCCTCTTTACTAATCTTCTACGTTAGAATTCCCACATCGCCTCACTTCATGCCGACCTTAGGTCTATCAGACAATCGTATCTCTCGACCGCCCAACCCCGAAAAACATTGATCCGCTCGGCGCAAAAAGACAAACAGTCGCGGCCGCTCTCAGACCGAGAGCGCGAGGAGATAGATGCCAATTCCAAGAAAATGCTGCGGGAGCTCAATGCGAGCATCCGCCGCTTAGCAGATGTCGAGCAAGCGCGATCAGAGATCGAATCTAGGGTAATCCAGAAGAAGTTCGCGCGAGGATTAGGTGCTTTGGGGGCATGGGCAGCAGGCGGGATGACGATCAACAAATCCCCTGAACATACGGCGGCGGAAGAACGCGCAAAGATTATCAGTTCTCATCGAGATAGCGTCCTGTGGCTTCTACGACATCGACTTCAAGAATGCGTCCAGACACAGCAGAATATGATGGAGATACGGTTGATGAGAGAAATAGAAAAGAATAGAAGTGTGTTGGCCAAATCGCGAAGACAGGAAGTTCCGTTGGCTGCTGTGGGGAATATGCACCAGACTGGAGGTACAACGGAATCAGAGAGGAGAGCGAGCCAACCATTGCCTCCTGACGAAACACCGTCCCACGCCCCTACAGGAGACTTGACTGAGGAGCAAATACAAATGTTTGAGAAGGACAACCAAGACATGCTTAAACATTATGAAAGCACATTGGATCAAGTTAGGTATGTGTACTCGTAATAGGGGTAATGGGGTAACGGGGTGATGAAGCTAACGCATACTTGTAGAACTGCGGAAAAGTCACTACTTGAAATATCAGAGCTCCAGACACAACTTATCGACACATTAACGACACAGTCGGCAGGTATTGAACAACTAGTAGCCGACTCCGAAAAAACGACGGAGAATATCGGCGGAGGAAACAGACAGCTCAAACAGGCGACTCAGAAGGCCAGCCCAGCCAAGTACACGTTTTTCGCGACTTGCGGGTTATGCGCATTCTTGATTGTATGGGATTTGGTTATATAAAAAAGAGCATCAACAATAATCTGATCTGCTTGGCCGTCTTATAAGCGGATATTGTAATAGTAATAATACCCGGGAAAGCGAAAAAGAGCATATAATGCAATTTTGCATGTGAAGGGACGACGGCTACAGAATATGCATCACATGCCAAGTAACCAGGTTACCGATTGTAGTGGTCAGTCAATTTACTAGGTGCATCTAAACAATTCAATCAATGCCTAGTACTAGTCAACAATCTTTGGTATGGTATGGACTAGGTAGTTGATGATACTATTTTATTGCGAGAAAACAGCTCTCGGAGCTCTTTACGTAAGCTCGCTTACATAAGCTCGAGCTCCTTATATATGCCGCATTTTACCTATAATAAATCGGGAGAACATTTTCACTTTTAAACCTCACTTTTTGGTTTTGGTGCGCTAGCTTTTACTTGTGACAGTTATGAGCCCTTCGTTGCTTGGATCTTTGGATAAGATCACCACTATTCCCTTGCTGGTTGTGTGTTTCTCTTTTGAAGAAGACGTTGCTCTCCTCTTTGAAGTTCCTGGGGGGTGCTTCCCTCCAGGATGATTGTTATTTTAACCTGGGGAGTAATATGAGATTAGTTTCGCGGCATCCTTTATGCTAACAGGCATGTCGCGAAGGGGTGAAATCGTTTAAGAAGCTTTGTAAAAGCTTACTTAATTATCTTCGATTAAAATATTAATTAAAATATCGATTAAAATTTAAATATCGATTTAAATATCGATTTAAATATTAATTTAAATTAAAAAATTTTATTTTAATTTTTTTTTTATTAATTATTTTTTAACGTTTTTATTTATTTTATTAATAATATTTTATTTACGATTAAATTTTTTTACGTTAAAACGTAAATTATATTTATTATATAATAAAAGTTTAAAAATGATTTTTTAAATAAACGTTACGAAAACGTTATTAAATTTAAATTATTCGAAACGCGTAAATTATAAAATATAATTTAATAAAAAAATAATTTATATTTATATATTAAAAATATATATATATTTATAAAATAATTAATTTAATACGATATAAATAAATTATTTATTTTTTACGAAATTAAACGTTTTTTAAAATAATTGTTAAAAAAATTTTATAATATTACGTAAATTTTAAAAATTTAATTTTAAAATTTAATTATATAAACGTTATATAAATTTACGTAAATTTATAATTATATTTTAATTTTAATTTTTTTAACGGTTTTTTAATTAATTAATTAATTAATTAATTAAATTAAAATTAAAATTTATAACTTTAAAAATTACGAAAAATTTCGAATATTATTTTAAAAATTACGAAAAATTTTAAAAAACATTAAAATAATTTTAAATAAATTTTAAAAATAATTTCGTATAAAACGGGTTATTTAATTTAATTATTATATATAAAAATACGTTTTAAAAAAATTATTTATTTATATATATTTTTAAAAAATTACGTGTTTTTTTTATATAAAAAATTTTCGCGAAAAATTAATTATATAATTAAAAATAATAAAAATATTTAAAAAAATTATATATATAATTAACGTTTAAATTAAAAATATATTACGAAAAAATAACTTTTAAAATTTTTTATATAAATTTATTTATATAAATTCGAACTTTTTATATATATCGCATTTTATTTATAATAAATTAAAAAAATATTTTTATTTTTAAATTTTATTTTTTAATTTTAATACGTTAATTTTTATTTATAATAATTATAAATTTTTTATTATTTAAATTTTTAAATAAAATTATTATTATTTTTTTATTAATTATATATTTTTTTTTTAAAAAAAATGTTATTTTTTTTTTAAAATTTTTAAAAAATGTTTTTTTTTTAAAATAATCGTTATTTTAATTTAAAAAATAATACGAAATTAATTTTACGATATTTTTTATATTAATAAATATGCCGTAAAAAAATAAAATTATTTAAAAAATTTTATAAAAATTTATTTAATTATTTTCGATTAAAATATCGGTTAAAATATTAATTAAAATTTAAATATTAATTTAAATATCGATTTAAATATTAATTTAAATTAAAAAACTTCGTTTTAATTTTTTTTTATTAATTATTTTTTAACGTTTTTATTTATTTTATTAATAATATTTTATTTATAATCGAATTTTTTTACGTTAAAACGTAAATTACATTTATTATATAATAAAAATTTAAAAATAATTTTTTAAATAAACGTTATAAAAACGTTATTAAATTTAAATTATTTAAAACGCGTAAATCGTAAAATATAATTTAATAAAAAAATAATTTATATTTATATATTAAAAATATATATATATTTATAAAATAATTAATTTAATATAATATAAATAAATTATTTATTTTTTACGAAATTAAACGTTTTTTAAAATAATTATTAAAAAAATTTTATAATATTACGTAAATTTTAAAAATTTAATTTTAAAATTTAATTATATAAACGTTATATAAATTTACGTAAATTTATAATTACATTTTAACTTTAATTTTTTTAATAATTTTTTAATTAATTAATTAATTAATTAATTAAATTAAATTAAAATTAAAATTTATAATTTTAAAAGTTATAAAAAACTTCGAATATTATTTTAAAAATTACGAAAAATTTTAAACTTTAAAAAATACGAAAAACCTTAAAAAACGTTAAAATAATTTTAAATAAATTTTAAAAATAATTTCGTATAAAACGAATTATTTAATTTAATTATTATATATAAAAATACGTTTTAAAAAAATTATTTATTTATATATATTTTTAAAAAATTACGTGTTTTTTTTATATAAAAAACTTTTACGAAAAATTAATTATATAATTAAAAATAATAAAAATATTTAAAAAAATTATATATATAATCGACGTTTAAATTAAAAATATATTACGAGAAAATAACTTTCGAAACTTTTTACGTAAATTCGTTTATATAAACTTAAATTTTTTATATATATCGTATTTTATTTATAATAAATCGAAAAAATATTTTTATTTTTAAATTTTACTTTTTAATTTTAATACGTTAACTTTTATTTATAATATATTTAAATTAAACTTCACAATATATTATTAATATTATCGAATTAATAATTATAAAAATAAAACTTAAGAACATTTTCCAAAAAGGTAAGTAATGGCGATTTATGCCTGAAATCGCATAAATGATTTAGTGCTCGGTAGATTTATACCGACCTGTCTTAGCCGTTTTGGCCGTTTTAAGTTCAAGTGACTTTGGCTGATGACGATAAAATTGATTTCCCATCCGCTACTTGTTCGAACCTCGGTGTATGCCAAAACCCATCCCTTCTCATAACCGACTCACCCGTACTTAATTGATTTATGCCTACTAGATAAATGTATAGAAATCGGGATATATATTCCAGGTTCCTTATCGTTGATGCATGAAATAGTGTATCAACCATTTTCGTCAAAACGTTGCCTAAACCTCTAAAAGCCATACCAACCGCAAGAAGTTATTATTCTTTGTTTGCGACATTCGGAATTCTTAACTTAGTTATTATCGGCATTAGCTTCCGATATTGAACAGTTTACTTGTCTATTATTAAACCAACTTGGAATTCAAATACGGATTGAATTACTTCCTTCTTTCCTCTCTTATTATCTAATATTAGCTAATACATACATAAGAGGTAACTCTAGGCTGCTCGATACCCATCCGGCCGCTAAACGCTCTGACGTACCTTCCCTTAGCTTGTTCTCTGTACCCCGCCAAATCCCCCATATTCTCCCATTCTTCCCCTCTAACTGGATCGCCTAGAACTTCGTCCCCTCTATCCCTATTTCTATTATTACTCCAGACGAAAAAGAATCAGGCGATCTCAGAAGCCACTGGTCCCACCTGTTAGACCATTTTCCATGCGAATAACAAGCCAGCGGACCTATTATATTCACCGCGTTTGATATCCATCGACCCACCTTGGCATTAGGTTGGCATTAGATACGCATTGCCCCATAGCCCTACATCGCCCTCCATACCAAGTCACCGAAAACCCTTACAGTGGTACATACCTAGTAGTGTTGGGTTCTAGGTGTGCCCCAGAGAAAAGAGTTAAAAAAAACTGCCCCTCTCAAGCTCTCTTCCGCCCCCCTCCCCCCCAAACTCGGAGAGCTCTAGGGTCATCCTGCATGAGACTTCCGTTACCACACTACTACCACACCTACCTCACCTGTATCAATTGGCTTAACTTATTTATTTAAATATCTCCCTTCCTCAAACAATGCCCTTCGATCCATCATATCACGGTCAATCAGTATCTAGAGTGAAAAGTCTTGCAAGACACATGTCTCCACCATCAGCAACGAGTTTTACCCCGGAGGTTGTCCCTCAGGCACCTGAGGACCCTCTGTTCGGGCTTATGAGAGCTTATCGAGCCGATCAAGATCCAAAGAAAGTAGACCTAGTATGCGTCATTACTTATCACAATTGGTATATCAACATTATTGCTAACTAGAATCTAGGGCATTGGAGCTTACCGTGACGATAATGCTAAGCCCTGGGTATTACCAGTCGTGAAGAAGGTATTTATCTTATTCTTGTCATCCACCTCATATTTCTTAGCTACCTAGGTAGGTATCTACCTACCTACCTAGCACCTAGGAGAGGGATTTCCACTGCATTAGCTCGATTTAGCCCACTGCACTGCTTGTGCAATATAGCTGCATATCGTTTCATTTTGAATCATTTTACTCACCACCACTCCTTTATCTAAACAGGCAGACGAGATCCTCCGAAACGACCCCGAGCTCAACCACGAATATGCTCCCATTGCTGGTATTACCTCTTTTACCGGAAAGGCCGCCGAGTTGATTCTTGGTGGTACCGACTCACCTGCTATCAAGGACAAGCGCGTCACTTCTGTACAAACCATCTCTGGTACCGGTGCCGTACATTTAGGAGCTCTCTTTCTGGCCAAGTTTTACACAGGAAACAAACAGGTCTACCTCTCAGATCCTACTTGGGCGAACCACAACCAAATCTTTAACAATGTTGGCATTCCCGTTGCCAAATACCCCTATTTCTCCAAGGAGACGAGGGGACTAGACTTCGAGGGCATGAAAGCCACCCTGCTAGGTGCTCCAGATCGATCCGTTGTTTTACTGCATGCATGCGCACACAATCCTACAGGTGTCGATCCCACCCTGGAGCAATGGAAGGAACTCGCTCAGCTTGTGCGTTCTAAGAACCACTTCCCCTTCTTCGACTGCGCGTACCAGGGCTTTGCCTCTGGCGATCTGACGAAAGACAACGCTGCCGTTCGATACTTCGTCGAGCAAGGCTTCGAGCTAGTAGTAGCTCAGAGTTTCGCCAAGAACTTTGGCCTCTATGGTGAACGGGCAGGTTGTTTCCATGTCGTAACTGCTCCAGCGCCAGATGCAGAGTCCACCATCAGCCGAATCGGCTCTCAACTAGCTATCTTGCAACGATCCGAGATTTCCAATCCCCCGCTATACGGTGCTCGCATTGCTAGTACGGTCCTAAATGACTCTCAGCTCTTTGCAGAGTGGGAGGAAAACTTACGGACAATGTCTGGCCGCATCATTTCCATGCGCAAGGCTTTGCGAGGGAAGTTGGAAGAACTCGGTACTCCAGGTACCTGGAATCACATCACAGACCAGATCGGCATGTTTAGCTTCACCGGACTGACGGAACCGCAAGTCCTAAAGATACGCTCGGACTTCCACATCTATATGACCAAGAACGGTCGTATCAGCATGGCAGGTCTGAACACAAAAAACGTCGAGTATGTTGCCAAGGCGATTGACAAGATTGTTCGGGAAGCTCAGTAAAAGAAATGAGGGGTATGATGTCGAGCGACCTGTGTGAATTTATGGGCTTTACTGGGGTTTGGTTCGGGAATATAACGAAAACGGATTAGGGCATGCAACTCTCCTCGTAAATGCGTCGAATTTCACTGCTCCGGGCTAACGGCTAGAATGGAATATGATAAATGATAGATGCATCGAATTTCTGCAATATCTAGTCCCGTGAGGACTTGATTAACGTCTGAGGATACCAGTTCTTTTCTGCTCTGGTCCAAGGCCGATCATTGACATTGCATCCTCTCAAGTTTTCAACTGCAGAAGCGAGGCTACCTCCGTACGACCGTGGCCACGCCTTGTTCTGTGTTGGATGCACCAGACTCCTGATTCATGCCGTGCCCTCTAGGTGTACTAATCTCTCAACATCAGATGGTCAATTTTGCGTAGCGATCCACGGATCCTTTAATCCCTTAGCCATATATTCATTGAGTCTTTACATACACGTATGTAAGGGAACCCGAAGCTTCCATGGCACAATTACGCTTCCAGCTCACTTGGCAGCCTTACGACAACGTCGGCGTCAGGAAAACACATTGTCAGGTATGTGCTCTATGTAGCAATACGGAAGGATCCCCGTTAGGCGAGGTAATTTTCTTTTCGTGAGGCAAGAACGCGTGATGGAACAAAAGCGATAGGCTCATGCCACTATGCTGGTGTTTTTTTTTTTTCTAAATTTGGTCTCACGAAGGCCGTTCCACTTGTGGTGAGTTGGGTAAGAGAATATGTAAGAAGGAAGGCGAGCTAGCGAGGCTGGAGGGACGCGTAAGATGGCGGGCTCGACACATTCTACCACGTTCGGAAGGACGGCCTGTGGCGCCACTCGCGTGAGACGGCCCGGGCCAGTAGGGGGACAGACAGATTTAGCAGGACAACTTAACTGCCTTGATATTACCCCACGGGACGCCCGAGTAGTCCGTAACACGGAAACGCATTGCCCGACAACGTCGGCACATGACTGTCAGATGCTTGAACGCTGGGAACGCAGATACAGCAACGGTTACCGTGGCACCGTGGCGCCGCGGATGCGTTTGCAGATTGGACTGTGCGTCATCCAGGTCAGGGGAATCTGAACTGAAATACGCGGAATTGAATTGGTTGGATATGACTGTCTTGCTTGACCGTTGGATAATCCTTAGGAAGGGCTGACTATCTCGACCATTCGCTTCACCACCTCACTTCCTTACCGGGGAGATGATGCACAGGTGCTTGGATAGGACCCTCGTCCGCGAATGATATCGGCGGAGCTAGACCACGCCTGAATATGTGCGAGGTTTCATGAAGGTGATACTTACTCAGAGCGACGCGATGGAATCAAGTTTCTCGGCTCCGAGTAACGAGGAATGAGCACGATTTCGTGATTAGGATGTCGAGGGGAGGTTTATTTAAAGGCGCCGGCCCTCTGCGGGTTGAGTCTGAGGAGTTGTCTTTGATCAAACGAAACTCAGAACACAACAACAACTTACAAGTACAATCTTTGATCAAACAACTTAACTCAAACATTTTTCACTGTCAACCAAACAGCCATGTCGGTCATTCCATTCATCCTTGCTGGCCAGTTCGAAGAGGTCGGCAAGGCCTTCAGCGAGGCCGTCAAGCCTGACTTTGAAGGTAATCCTTATCATGATGTCCTCCCCAGCCCTTTAACCCCTTTAAATGTCCGATCTAACGTCACATATAGTGGTTTACTTTGCCACCTCTCCCCAGTCTGCCGTCACCGACATTCCCCTTGTACTCAAGGGTGAGATCCCCACGCCTTCTTCGAAGGTTGGGTCAGGCAACCTCGTCCATGGAACCCCAAAGGCCGTCGTCATCGGGGCCCAAGTCTATGACGACACTTGGATCGAGGCGGTCCGCCAGGAGCTACATGCTGCTGGGAAGCAGGTCCCGTTCTTAAAGCCCGATGTTACGGGTGCTCAGGGCGGCGGTGTAGGCGCCGGTAGCCAGGGCGATAGAGCTAAGGCTACAGCAGAGAGAGTCACGACGGCGTTGAAGAAGTTAGAGGGAGAGGGGAAATTGGACGGCAATGACGATGGGGTTTACGTATATTAGAGAAACCCGATGAATACTTGGGATATCCTGTGGAGAGGGTGGGTGAGGTTGGGAGCAAAGTGTAGTAAAACGACAGGATAGGGGGCGATATATTATAGTCTGGTACTGGTCTAGGGCTTTAGGTTACGAAGGATATCGCTTACTCCTGCCGACTACCTCTACGGGATGATTTTCTTTTTGGGGACAAGATACCTAGGCAATTTGAGCCGAGCTTTACGGTGCGAAGGGACCATGTCTTAGATATTGGTTGCTTCGCATTTATTTCGTTTGTAAGAGAAAAAAGAACAAGAATAAAAAAAATTAGATAGTCTAAAGTTTATTATAGATGATAGTGAAATTTGCAGTAGGATCTAGGCTAAATATCCTATAAGAAACCTGTACTGGTTTGAAAGGCAACAAGAGAAAATAGGAGCAAAAGATAGATTGACTTATAACTCGAACTTTCACCTATAGATGCATATTCTTGTTTGCCTTATATTTGATTGCATTACCCCGCTAACACAATACAGTTGTTGCCTCATTCATCTCATTGTATCAAACTGTAACAACAACTTCTCATCAATTCAAGTAATTTTTAATCTTCCGAAATGTCGCTCATGACCTATTTCAACAAACATGACACGTAAACTCCCGTGGAAGAGGCAGACTGGGGGAAGCACCACTAGTACTCCAAAACCAGCCACCCCAACTTCCGTTCGGCCACAGAAAGTAAAGCGCGATGATTTAGATGGAGAGCCAGTAGCTTCACCGGCGCCGAATAAAAGGATAAAGACATCTACTCCTATATTTGCAACGCCTAGCAAACTCCCTCGAGCTGGGTCAACATCGCCTCCTCCAGAGCCACTGCCAGAAACGTGAGTGCGGTTCGTCCTAGACCTGATGAACTCATCTAACACGAATCCTAGCTACATGGTTGAAGGGCTAGAAAACGATGATTTATACCGTATGGTAGAGGATGAATTCTTCTCAACCGCCCAGCAATTTACCGCTCATCTTCATGCAGCGGAATATCACCGGTTGAAGGCTGTCTCTAAATCGCAGAATGCAGACACTATTAAACATATCTCGCGGCCCGTAGTTGGGCGAATGACCGATTTGGTTAAAAAGAAACAGGAACGCAAGACTCGCATTCAGAAACAGAAGGAATTAATTAAAAAGGCATTGGCAGACAATGGCCAAGATGAGGATGCAGATGGTAAAGACGATTGGCAGAGCGCATCGCTGTATGGTCTCATGGAAAGTCCGAGAAAGCAAGCGGCGCGCCTGGATAATCTCACGAAAGCGGTGAATACAACACGGGCCGCCGCAGGTTTCAGCACCTCCAAGCCTCTTTCGTCATTTACTACCCCTCGTCAAGCCACCCGCAGTATTCATGGTAGTAAGTCTGTAGCTCCGCCAAATTTGAAGGATGGCAGTGAGACGGAAGACGACGACGATTACAGCCAGGCTTCCCCTTCTCTCGAGATACGCACGAAGTCATCATGGAAAACGCCATCATCTACATCTCAACTCCCCAAACCAAAATACGGTACTAGTGTCACGAGAGATAGTCCATCATTACGCTACCATACCTCAGCAGGACACCCAAACGCTCAGAAAACAACAGCAGAGGCTTCAAAAGACACCAATCTATCAAACGACACGGAAACAGATTTTCTCGCCCGCCTCAAACGACGGCAAGAAGATCGCGAGAAACGTAAACTAGCAGCGAGCAAAGCACAGTCAAAGCGGTCAACAACAGACGATATCATTCCAGGCTTTCTATAATAAATACATTACACACACACACACACGAAATCAAGACGAGGGCTTGTAGGGAGTCTGATACGGACGCTCGGCCTGCGGGGTTATGCGCGCCAGGTGTCGGCGCTGTCCGCTCTTCCAGTCCAGCAGCGCCGAGTGCTGGGTCACGCGGTTGTCCCACACTACTACGGTGCCCTCCTCCCACTTCACGCGCGCTTGGAAATCGGCGCCGTACGCGAGGTGGTCGTATAGGAATTTCAGGATCGCGTCGGATTCTTCCTTCTTGAGACCGATGATGTCGCGGGTGACTGTGGCGCGTGGTTAGTACGTGTGTAAATGTGAGGTAGGAAGGGAGACTTACATTGAGGGTTTATGTACAGTGATTTCTGGCCGGTGGCGGGGTGCGTGCGGACGATTGGGTGGACGCTCACGACGGGCTCTCGTCTCTTGATGCTGTCTTTCGCGACAGAGGCGTTGGCTTGCTCGATGCCGGAGTGCGTGGCATTTAGGCCGTGTAAGCGCTCCTGGAAGAGGGGGCTCAGGCGGTTGTACGCCTCGACGGCGTCTACGAATAATGTGTCACCGCCAGTCTCGGGCTTGTCTAAGATGTAAAGGAACGTGGTTCCTGGTGGCTGCTGTTCGTATGAGACGTCGGAGTGCCAGGCTACCGAGCTCGTTCTGTTCTCGAAGAATGTCTCATGGGTCTTATCTCCCTCGCCACGATGGACAAGGTGGATTTCTGGGTGGCCTTCTGGGCTGCCGCTGGTTGGGTGGATGTGATGACGGCCGAAATAACCACCAAATTCTAAGGCTTTGTCGATGGGAAGGTCGGCGAAGTCTTGGTCTCGGAATGCGACTACCTTCCTCTCTGCTACGTATCGAGCGAGCTGGTCCTTACCGGCGTTGCTAAGAGAGCTTAGCTGAACACCTCGGATCTCCGTGCCGATAGTCGGCGTGAGATCGTTGACGGAAGCGCCCTCTGGGAGAAGCTCTGGGTACGAGGTATCGGCATCCTTGCCGTGCTCGTAGTGCTCAAAAGGCTGCAGAGGCCCATACTTCTGGTTTGGGTTCCATGTCGGCAGGTAGTTAGGGTACTGCGAGTGGATTAACACTACGTTCATGGTACGATCTTATTAGAGCTGCCTTACCTTGGCCGCCTTAGCCGCCGTCTTGCCTTCCTCGACGTCTTTGTTGTACTTGACGGGAGCAAGCTCCTTGTACGCACCCAGAAGCCGCGCCTTAAGAGTGTGCGGCAGGGACGGGGCCTCAGTTTCGGTGATAGTAGCAGATGGTGCCATATTTATGAATTATCTGTGTGACTTGGTGTTCACATCCGGAAAACTGGGAATGGAGAGCTTCCCTCCCTGAATATATAGGTACGAGCTCGACACACTATACTTCACTGCCTCAAGCTATGCTGATGTGCGAGCATGGACCTTATCACGCAAACATCTGCCGTTCCAATAGGAATCCGGGCATCAACATATGATCCCCATTCCAAGCCATCATCGAAGCGTCTTATCAGATCCGATCGGAGCTTTCGTAGCTTCTGTCTGGCTGGCGGGTCGACCCCGCGTTCGAGCTTGGTGTCGACACACGCGATGTTGCTATCGCGCGCCGCGATCACGTCATTCAGCCGGTCGTTGTAATTGTAACCAAACTTGTCGGGACTCGGTCGCTGATGCTTCTGATACGTCTTCATCCCCACCCCTTTTAATCTTTGCGGAGGAGACTAGTCGGGATGGGTTGATACATGCCCAGGTAGTCAATCTGATGTGTAACGCGATCTTGGCTTAGTTAAGCTCTGGTCCTACAGTACTCTTCTTGCGTATCCTCATTTCGTATCACGGAAATGTCTGTCTCTGGCGTATTTTGGGTGGCAAGTGTAGAAGAGTGAAACTGTAAATTTTATATGAATCATTATGGGACTAACTAGGTAATCTCTAATGAATTCTCACGGACGATATCCTGGACCTCGTCGTCGAATTCTGGAGAGTGGATTTCTAATCCGGGGCTAGATATGTACCCGTTCATCAGTATATCCCTTTCTCCGTCGGAAATAGCCGGACGAAGACGTCATGCCATCTTCGACGACCCTCGACCCCAACTTCTGGAACTACGAATCAAGTTGAGGCTCATTCCAAGTTGTGTAATCATCACCCTCCAGGATAAGGGGTCAAGACATAGGTAGTCACATGATAATAGGTACTGATGTTTTTACCATTATTTATTCGAGGGAATCTTTCATAGGATATTTAGTGTGGGGTAGGTAGGTAAGATTGCAAAACGGTTATTTAATACGAATGTTCAATATTTTCTTCTCGTCTGATTTATTTTAGGCGAATAAGTATCGAATATCTCGTCTTCTTATAAATGAGACTCTAAAGATACTATCTACCTAGGTAGGTAGAGTACATTTACATCTTCCCACTCCCAAAATCCTTCGAAAGAGCCTCAATTTTAGTCGGAGAACACCTAACCCTAGTTTAATCCTTTCAGCGCCTAGATATATGCCTAATATACCAATTCAAATCCGCCTTATTTACCTCTTGGTGGGATCCATGGATGTCCGTGAATCGTTGCACCAAACCCACTAATTAGGCGTTTTTCTAGGGGTCTAACCGCCAGCGTTTGCGGCACAGCACATCTTAACCATGCTAGATTTATAGGTATCCCCGTTTACTACCGTTTATACACAAGACTCATGTATAGAAATCCATACAGGCATATAATTATTCGTCGACAGATAATCTGCTGTTGGTTCCATCCAGGAAAACATGAGCTTGGCATGCATAACATTGATCCTGACAATGTTTACTTACCCATATAATTGTGATACTGGACATGACGTTATGCAAATCATATCGGCTCAAGTCGGGCTGAGTTGAGTTTTTTATTTCTTTACTTCGTTATTAATTTTTCGGTTGTCGAATAAAATAAATGATTGATATTATTTCTATCGCACGTAATGGCGACGAACGATGGGTATGAGTCGGTTGGACAAGGATACTCGAACGAAAGTACAGACCTTGGTCTTCATTATCCCAGCAAAGAGAAAACCAATGCCGAAGTGAAGGAATATCCGCCACAAGAAGTTGGTGCTGTTCGTCGCCATCATGTCTTCCGATTCTGGCCTTGGGAAATCATGTCGCTCATCACGGCAATTGGCTTGATAGCAGCCACCTATTCGATTCTATCACACTTCAATGGCCAAAAATTGCCAGAATGGCCATTCAGTATTAACCTCAACACGCTGGTCGCCCTGTTATCGACTTTCATGCGAGCGGCAATGCTTGTATGTGTTGCTGAAATTATAAGCCAGACGAAATGGAGTTGGTTCTCTCGACCGCGACCACTCAGCCACCTCCAGTATTTTGATGACGCGAGCCGTTCCTTCGCCGGTTCTCTGAGTCTGCTCTTTGTTGCACCGGGGAGCTTGTTCGGCGTGCTAGGCGCCCTGCTTACCATTCTATCACTTAGCATAGGTCCCTTTGCACAACAAGCTATCAGAACGGTTCCGTGTCTTCAAACGCGTAACGAACTGAAAGCATCACTCCCCTTCTCTCACTATATGCCCGCCGCAAATACGTACTATGAGGCCGTAGATGGAGTGCTCGAGGCCCAGGTCGATATGAAAGGTGCCATGATCAACGGCATTACCAACCCGACGGGCAACGATTCCGCCATTGTGCCCAGCTGCGCCACCGGGAATTGTACGTTTGTCCACCACGACGGCATTGCACTTTCTTCGATGGGGATGTGTAGCTCCTGTATTAATACCACCTCATTCATTGAACGGAACAACACCAGCAACTTCACCTTGCCCAACAAATTATGGGTGAGCATATCCAGTCCCGGAGTTTATCTTACTGTGGGCCAAGGCACCCTAAATTGGGCTTCGTCTGCTTTCACTCCCGAATTCTCGTCGAGCATCGATGCAACAATAATCAATGTGACGGTACTGGCATATACGACCGGTTGGCCTATAGTGCTTGCTACATCGTGTTCGCTATATCCGTGCCTGAAAAATTATAATGCCACAATAGAGAGGGGCGTGTTAAAGGAAAATGTCGTCTCAACCCAACCTGCACCTATTAACTGGATAGAGGGCAAAAGCAACATAGCCAGAATGAACTATACCGCGCTCAAAAGCCCTTGTTTTGTTGACGACGGATGGTACGACCTGTCCAACATGTCAACTGCTCCTAAAACGGGAGGGAGGGTGTTCACGGGAATCAGCATCGACGGGAAGAATTACACTGCGCCAGACGAGTGCTTGTACAAGATGTGGTATTTGTATGCTGGCGGATTGAGCAAATTTATAGGACAAAACTTATTCACCGGCAAATGTGCCTATAATCCCCAGCAAGGTAAAGATATAGCCTGTGGCTCGAGCTGGTGGCTTGCCAGTTTATATAATAATAAGCAGGCGAGTTTTGACACGTTGCAAACGGCTTTTGACCAGTTCACTACGGCCATTACCAACAAAATTCGGATGACGGGCTCGAGCAACTATGACCAATATGCGCATGAGATGGTGGATGGAGTGGTCAATGAGACGACGATATGCACGCAATTCGATTGGCGCTGGCTGCTGATGCCGACAATCCTAGTGGCAGCCACGGGGGCGGTCCTGATCGCCATCATAGTGCAGAACTTGCTTAACAAAAAGCAACCGGTGTGGAAGTCGTCGTTGTTACCACTGCTATATTACGGATTTGATCAACGTGCGCTCAATGAGGACCCGAATAAGCCCATAATGGATCTCAATGAACTAAACCAAGCTGCAGCGGATACAAACGTCAAGTTACGGAATGGCGCTGAAGCAGGCTTCGTTGATGTTACTCCGAGTATTAGCGAGGTGATAAGATCAAGAGGGAGGGATGTTGATGTAGACTCTCTTCTTGAGGGTAGATGAGTTGTATAAGATAAAAGAAACAATATACATAGATAGAATTATGATCTCGGAAGCTTTATAACTTACATTAATAAAGTTTGCTTAATAAGAAGAATACAGAGTACTGAATATTGTATTACATGGCATTGTCGCATACATGTAATCTAGTGGCGATAACCAGCGATAACCGATAACCGGGATAATCCACAAAAGTTCTGCTTATCAATCGAGGGGCAATGTGAATTTCCATGCATGGCATTTTTTCTTATCCAGAATCTCAAAGACCCCCACCATCGCAACTATTTTATCATCATTGGCAATACCTTAACAAATAGCCACGATGTCGATGGATATAGATGTAGACGCGCCTATCTCGATCGCGCCGTCGCAGGGACTCGACGGTGCTGCTGCCACTATATTTTGTTGCGACTGCGGTGCTCCCATTGATGGAACGGCCGCAATAGACGCCAAGTGCTACGACTGCTTCAAGCTCACTAAAGATATATCACAAGGCATCCAACGTGAAGCCACTCTACATTTTTGCCGAGACTGCGATCGATGGCTCCAACCTCCTACTAGTTGGGTGACAGCCCTACCAGAATCCCGTGAGCTTCTGGCCCTATGCCTGAAAAAACTAAGCCTTAACCGAACACGAATAATCGATGCGAGTTTCATATGGACGGAACCACATTCCAGAAGAGTACGAGTGAAGCTTGTGGTTCAAGCGGCGGTAGCGGATGATCGGGTTATGCAACAGGCTTTAGAGGTCGTATACGTCGTGGCATACCAACAATGTCCTGAATGCGCCAAGTCATATACAGCCAACGTCTGGAGGGCGAGCGTGCAAGTTCGTCAAAAGGTATTACACAAACGAACATTCCTATACCTCGAGCAACTCATCCTAAAACACGGCGCCCACCGAGAAACTATAAATATAAAGGAAGCGAAAGATGGCATCGACTTCTTCTTCTCTGCGCGAAACCAAGCTGAGAAGTTCGTCGACTTCCTAAACTCAGTCGTCCCCGTCCGAGTCAAGAAATCCCAAGAGCTCATTTCTCAAGATACCCATACTTCCAAGAAATCCTACAAGTTCACCTTCTCGGTCGAGTTATTGCCGATTTGCAAGGATGACTTGGTTGTATTGCCTATTCCGCTGGCTAAACAGATCGGGAACATCTCCCCACTGGCGATATGTCACCGCGTCGGCACTACGATCAACGTGCTAGATCCGAACACCCTCCAGACAGCCGACATCAGTGCTCCGGTGTACTGGAGAACACCATTCGCCGCGCTAGCCGATGCCAAGGACCTCGTCGAGTTCATCGTCATGGACTGCGAGCCGATCGGACCGACGCGGGGAAAATGGGTCCTAGCAGAAACACAACTCGCGCGCGCCACCGACCTCGGGGTCAATGACAAGACGTACTTCGCGCGAACGCACCTAGGCGGGCTCCTACATGCCGGCGACTCGGTGATGGGGTACATGCTAACCGGAACCAACTTCAACAACCCACAGTTCGAAGCGATGGAAGAATCGCACACATACTCGTCGCGGATCCCGGATGTAGTGGTGGTGAAGAAACACTACCCGAACCGACGGCGCAACCGCAAGCGGAACTGGAAGGTCAAGCGTATGGCTAAGGATGAGGGTGAGCTGCTGCCGAAGAAGACGGACCAGGAGCGCATGGATCGCGAGTTTGAGATGTTCCTACAGGACATCGAGGAGGATGATGAGTTCCGGCAGGGCGTCCAGCTATACAAGCAGCCCCAGCGCAGCAAGCAGGCCGATGAGATGTCTATGGTTACGACGGAGGATGGGGATGACGATGACGATGCGCCGAGGGTGGATATGGATGAGTTGCTTGAGGACTTTGATGAGCTTACGATGCAGGATCAGTAGAGGTGGGTAAAATTGGAATGGGAACGGATTTAGGGGGTTATCGAGATGGGGAAGGAAAATGTCTATACCTACCAGGTACCTATATAGTACTTAGATGAACTTACTGATGACCAAAGACTTCCGCTGTCTTATGAACGGGAAAACATAAATACGGTATCCACGAGCTAAAGTAGATTACTTTTGGTCTATAAGATGTGAATAAAATTAAGACATCTATGTTTCTTACAAAACCCAGATTCCAATCCCACATACCCCTTTATCCTTTGTCGTTTACGATAAACAATCCTACGGCTGATTTTAATCGTCGTTCTGCCCGGGGCGCTCGAATACATCGTCCTCTTTCGGGACAAGGGTCAACGAAGAGGCGGTAATCGTAGTAGCCAGACCAGAGGGACCCAAGCCTGCTTTGGGTTCTTCAGTTGCCACCGATTTCTTCCCACCTTACGATTTCTGACTCTTCAGGTTTATTAGCGACGACCGGTCTTATGCTTTCGATCGACATAGGCACCTTGATAACAGGCACACTCATATCTTGGTCTCTATATGCTCTCCACGCCCTACTCTTGATTTCTCACAGACTGGGAACCTTATAATCGTTAACTAACCCCTCTAAATTATCGTTATACCTAGATCTCGCTATATGCAGCAGAATTGGTATATTCTCTTTGAAGTGCTTAGAACCGCTTAGAAATTTGCATTCTTTCATCACATCGGCCGCGAACATAATATCCTCTGCCCTGCTGGGGTGATGGGAATTTGGACTTGGAAATATAGAGGATTCTGCGGTTTATATGTCTATAAAGTAGTCGGGTAGTCAATAAACTACTTATAACTCCTTTAAGCTATCACAGAACGAATTTGAGACAATACCTATTAATTCATCTTACGACTTGAAAAAAGGAACTCCAGCCATGTAGAGAAATTTTGGGTATCATTGAAAGAATCAAAAAAGCTGACTGAGGACTCGTTTGGCTTCCTCGGGGGCCTTTTCCACTCCATTCCTCCCCACAGAAGCTTGCTTAAATTTCCGCATATTCCTATAATCTTCCGAATCTTTTGTTGTAATAGGCACAGATTTAGTAGTGTCGTCTTCACCCCTGCTCCTTTTTGCGGCTGCTTTGGCCTGTATCCCTCCCAACACTTTGGCTTTCTCGATGTTCCTTACAAACTCCTTGTTCTCCTTAGTTGATTTGCTGATTTCTGCCCTCATTCTGCTCGTCCTTTCGGCCATTTCCGAATTGATCTGCTCCGTGAGGTTGTGCCATTTAAACCCCTTCAAATAGAGAAGGTTCCAGATGTCGTCCCGATAATAACTATTCTTTTTCCCTCCTATCGTTCGGGCATTCAACAGATCGACAGCTTTCTTAGCATCCTTCTTTTCGACAAATTCCACCCACCCATCGGTGTACATGTGTTTTTTATTTCCACCTTGTCGAATACGTCGAGAACGTTCCTGAGGGTCTTCGGGAGTGAGGAAGATCCTGTTAATTTTGCCATATGGTTCGAGGAGTGATCGTAGCTTCATAGGCTTCATGAAAGGTGGTATGCGCGAGAGATAAACGAGGCCGGATTTCTTGATTGCCTTTTCCGTAGCGACCAAATTCTTTTTGGTAAGTGGACGTGAGATATCAGGCAATTCTGTTTGTAAATCTTCGGGCTTCAGCTTAGCGCTATTGGACTTTGTAGGGAAGTCGTCTTCCACTTCGTCGTCGTCGTCGTCGCCGTCTTCTTCTACAATGTCATTATCTCCAATTTCTTCTTCGGCGCTGTGCTCGTCATCTTCGTCGCTGGCAGCATCGTCGCTCAATTTGCGACGCTTTGCGATTCGGCCACCTTTGTGTAATTGTTCGATCTCGGAATCATAACCTTGACTACCGTCATCTTCGCTTTCATCTGCGTCTAGGAAATTGTTCCTTTTCTCGGGAGGCATCTTTACACCCAAATACTGTAACAATTGATAGATTTGATGGCTGTGTTGACAAGAATTAGAGATTAAAGACCAAAGAAAAATAAAATGGAGCTACTCTCGATAAGATTTCTGATAAGGAATTGGGAAAACAGGACCCGGTAGAGTGAATATTCATATATGCATATCTATAGAAATATGCTATTATCAAGATTATGGAGGGGTTGTCGATCCCCCACTAGTCCATCGCCTATCTACGATCTAAATCAGTGACGTCTGTCAGAGGGTTGAACATACCTAGTATGTACAATGATATGATAACCAAGTCCGAATCGGAACTTGTGTGGATATCTAAATCAATTTCGGATTTCTTAGTATCTATCATCTCATATCGTCTCATCTCATCCCACCTAAGTTCATCTTATTGTAGCTACTTCATATTGTTGTAAATCGGAACAATGTCTGTCGAAGTCCTTACTACTATTTCGCCTACCACGAACGAGCCGATATTGACTCGGAATGGCATCACAACTTCTGAGTTGGAAGAGCTTCCTAAGATCGCTGCCGAAAAATTCAAGAGCTGGAGTAAGACTTCGTTGACAGATCGACAGATCATAGTCAACAAGGCATTGAAACTACTCGAGGAGAAGAAGGATGAATTGGCTGAAGAGGTTACCGTCCAGATGGGACGGCCAATTTCTTATACGGCCGGTGAAAGTAAAGCTCACAGCATTCTCCCCAATTGTAAAAAGAGGGTTCCTAAACTAATATCATATCAGTCATGACCGCTATCAAACGTGCTAATTATCTCGTCAAGATTAGTGAAGACACTTTGAAAGATACGGAAGGGGAGCCGGAGAAAGGATTCAAGCGATTCATTCGAAAAGTCCCTGTTGGCCCAGTTCTCGTCATCTTCGCATGGAACGTAAGTCAATCAGTACAAGTATTCACATAAATTGCATACCTTTTCTAAATCTTTCTTAGTACCCTTACCTTATTCTAGTCAACTCGCTTATACCCGCGTTGCTTGCTGGAAATACCGTGATCCTCAAGCCTTCGCCTCAGACTCCTACGATAGCGGAGCAGGTTTCCAAGATTTTTGCGGAGGCCGGATTACCTGCTGGTGTCTTGCAGTATTTCCACTGTGGATCGCCCCTAATTATGGAGTCCGTCGTGCGAAATCCAGCAATTTCCCTCATCTGCTTCACCGGTTCGGTGGCGGGAGGTTTAGCAGTCCAGAAAGCGGCTGCCGACAGGATTGTCAACGTCGGCCTAGAACTTGGTGGCAAAGATCCCGCGTACGTTAGGGGAGACGTCGACCTTGATTGGGCGGCGGCCGAGATAGTCGATGGGTCAATTTTCAATTCGGGGCAAAGCTGCTGTGCTATCGAACGTGTTTACGTTGATGAGAAAATTTATGATCCCTTTGTTGAGGCGGTCCAGAAAGTCTTGAAGGACTACAAGGTTGGTGACCCACTAGACAAGGCGACCCAGATCGGACCAGTCATTTCGAAGCGATCTAAGGAAACCATCGAGTCGCACATCAAGGATGCATTGAGCAAGGGTGCGAAAGACTTGACACCAGAGAATCCGACGTTCGACGTTCTCCCGGCAAAGGGCAATTTCGTCAAGCCTACCCTCCTCGCTAACGTCAACCACAGCATGACAGTCATGACAGAGGAGACATTCGGGCCGGTCGTTTCTATCATGAAGGTTAAGAGTGACGAGGAGGCTGTAAAGCTAATGAACGACAGCGAGTTTGGTCTCACAGCTAGTATATGGACTAAAGACACGGATAAGGGTTTCGAGTTAGCAGACCAAGTCGAAGCAGGAACTGTCTTTGTCAATCGCGCGGATTACCCGAGTCCGGTAGGTTTTTTCAAGGCTTTTTTTGGTCTTTTATCTAATATGGAAGTTGTCGATAATTTGCTAATATTATATCTACGTAGGATCTGGCCTGGACGGGATGGAAGAACTCGGGCAAGGGCGTTACCCTAAGCAGATTTGGCTATGACCAATTCGTGAAGCTGAAGAGCTACCACCTCAAGGATTACCCGAAGTAGGCTGTCGCGCGAACCAATAATGACGAAGGGGGCAATGTTCTGGAATGAACATGGCCCTTTATTCCATTTAATCCCCTGGCGGGAAGATCCCTTTTTTTGGGATTTTGGTAATATGTGTTCTTGTTTCATGCATGTGCGGAACGACGACGACGATATTATGCAAGCTGAAGATTGTGTCTCAAAAGTGGGCGTTTCGAAACACTCTTGGACCAATTCCATTCCTACGAATGAGATGATATTATGCTGTATTATTTCTTGAGAAGGCCTGAGCAGGTTAATAAGTTACATATTAGACCCCTTGTTCTGCAGAGACAAATTGCCACATTCCGGAGTTGCCAACTTTTTTTAATTCTTTTTTCTTACCACCTACCCACTAGGTAGTATGCTATTTTAATTTGGAGTGACGATACTATCTTATTTCTTGTGTTGTGTGTTAGTTGGCAATGACTTAGTGGTTCTACGTGTACGTGTATGTATGTATTTGAGTGTATTTGAGTATTTGAAATATGCATTTTCCATTCTTGACTTTGTCCTGTTTCTTTCAGTGTCAACCGAAGCCTAAGACTAGATGGTACTTTTGCGATACGATACATACGCATAACACGATCATTTCTTTGTGATGCCCCCTTTACGATCGAACTGCATTTCGTTCCCTTCCATACTTTTATATGACATAATTATTTACCTACCTACACTACACGATCTTTGAAACCTTTTTGTATTTGTCATTACCTAGTTATTAACAAATAATTACTATACTTTCACTTTCACACTCACTTTTAGAACTAATACTGTCGTGTTCCTTTTTTCAGCTCTAACTCCCCGCTCCGGACGATCTGTCAGACTTGCAGCCACCGATCCAACTAAGAGAGAATTCAGCTTCGCCTGTTTGCCTGCCCTAAAGAGTTGAGGCTTTGTGGCTCATAACGATTCCTTACCGTCATCCTTCGCTGTCTCCATCTCCATCCATTCACATCCATCTACATCCTACAGATCAGATAGTAGTTTTCTTTAGTTTTCCTTAGTTACGGAGATCCGTCGAGCTGGGACGTTTATTTCAGCAAAGAGGAACCCGCTTCTTTTTTTTCTTCTTTCTCTATATTATTTTCAAGGTTCTCTTGCTTGCTTGCATGATTGTTGATCAATCATCAACTGCGTCGATTTGGAACGGATTAGGTACCTGCATATTCCAGGGCTATACGTATTGTGCAGTCATCCCCTAAACTTACATACCTAACATATTACCTACACCAACTTCATTGGAGGCCAACCTGTCGACGGGCACTGCGCATTCGACTGCGCATTCGAGGACAAAATCCATTTTATTACCGCCTTGACCACGACCACAGCGCCCGTCTACCTTTACAAACAAACATTTGAACCTTGAAATTCCTTGAAATTCACGATACAGCGTTTGGACCACTCTTCGTTGCCAGGCATCCGCTGTCTATTACTCCTTAATCTTGGATTTTTAGTTCGCCTAGGCATCAGCTCGTCGCCTATCTCGCAATTACATTCGTACTTGACATATTTTAAACAGGGTTCCTTTGTGCACGACGCAATTCCCAACTTCCTTAATCCCGACACTCAATTCTACTGATTTTCCCACTCGGCTTTCGAGGTTTTGCCTTGTTACTATTGACAACATCTACGCCAACGTCAAAGCCCACAGTCGTTCCGCCAATTCTTTCTTCTACACCAATATATTCTTCTTCTTATTTTTATCTGATTGTCGTTTTCAATCCCGACTACATTTTCTTTTCCCGACCGAATAATTACCATTCAATCTACACGGCATCGCAACACAATCACCGTCGAAATGGCAGGCTGTGTCGGTGGCTTCTCCAATTTCATGGCGAGATTGCTCGCACTCGTCGAGGTCAAGTCCAAGCCGTCTACACCATCCGAGAAGGCGCCGCTGCAGATTGTAAGTCGCTTCGCTTACCATTTGCATACAATAAATATATGAACCCTCCTGCGCGCACATCAATCACATCGTCCACAATCTATTCTACCCACTACCGGGTAGCGATGTGACGGTGCTTACTAATTTCATCTATATCGTTTGTACACCATCGCTAACACGCCGCCTCATCATAGTCGGCGCCTTTCAACTTCAAGCATGAGACCGTTTCCTTACCGGGTGTCTCGGAAGATGAGTAAGCAATTCCCTTTCTTCTTCTTTTTCGTCTTCTTTTCCCCTTCCCTTTGTTTTTTTTCTCCCGCGTATTACGCCCAATAGCCTTGTTATTTTTGCGCCTCATCGATCAGCTTTGCTTTGCATCGCCTCAACTCGATGCAGTTAATCCTTGGGCAGTACGTAAGCACACTATGTACTACCTCATAGAGATTCGCGGTAGGAATACATGGGAATGGGAGCAGGGATTGGCTATTAGATAAACATTGGACTAAGATCTGAAACTAACGGATTCTCTTATTTCAATAGGATCGCCTTTCTGAAGGAGCAAGCGGCGGCAGCCCGCCTTGGCGTAGCCGATCCCTCGGCCATCGGAAATCCGCGCAAGGCTCCTGCTCCGCCGACGCTACGACCTGTCACTCCTATCCTGAAGGTAAGTTTGAGTTAGAGTTTGTCTTTGTCATAAGACTATTTCCATATTTATATATCATGACCAACTAATTTTTCCTAGGTGACACCAAGCACTCCCATCTCCCCTGCGGACAACCTTATCTAGGACTTGAAGACCTAGACTAAACAGTCGATTCGACAAATAGCAACCATAAATGAGCCTTAAGGCTATTGGCCTGACCTTACTTTAGCTGAGCTGTATCATCTCCTCTTGCTCTCGCAGATTTGCCCCCTTACCCTCAGCAAAAATGAACAGGCTGTAGGTGGGAACACGGTCGGTGATAAGGTGGCCTAATTTCTCGATACGAATATCGTACTCCGCCACCTTAATTACCGCCTTGCAGTACAGTAGATACCTATATCTACATACCAACGAATGAATACGAAAAAATGAAATTCTGCTTAAGCAGTTAAATATCGTAAGAGGAGGGGGTGTATGATAGCACGATAACCGGCGCGATACCTGCATTAGATCCACGATTCCCGATTATTCCTTTTTTTTTTCTTTCCCAGCAAAGCAAATCCAGCAAATCCATTGAGGCGTTAGGTTTAAGGGGATTAATGGGGCTAATGAACGGTTGGTTATTATGCATGGTCGGTTTATGGGGACCTCCTGGTATTAGGTATCCGGCGTTTTCTGGCTCTCATCCGTGATAGGAGAATTATTCTTCGGCATACCGTAGCACGAATATATAAATTGCAGAGAACTGGTTTTTCTGTGATTATATCCAAATGACATATTGTATTCTTGACCATGTAGTCCCATTGTCGACGTAATGAATTATCTAGTGACTCATAGAAAATGAGGTAAAAAATCCCAGACAATTATCAGTTTACGATATATCGTACATCTAGGTAGCTTGCAGATAACCTCGGTGGTTCACCAACACTCTTAAAAGACAGATCTGGGCAATCGCAGTAATGAAATCTATCCACCAATTCAAAGGAAGCATGACATTCTATTTTCAAGACGTAGATGAATAGGTAGACGCAAGAACATCCCCATCCAATCTATGAGATATCTAAATCCTTTCAAGCCAACCCGTTGGAACTTAGCAACCACCAACCTCAAGACAACCACCCATCATACTGACCCAACTCCTCCGTTCTCACACCCTCCATTTCCCCCTTAACATCCAACAACCTAACTTTCCCACCCTTCTCCTCGCTCCACCTCTCCAAAAACGCCTTAATCCTCTCCTCCGTCGCCTCATCATCCTTAACCAGCAACGCGAGCGCATCGTACCCCCCAGCACCAGGGACCACGCCAGCATAAACGCCCTCAACCTCCTTCGTCAGCGCATCCAACAACTCCGTCTGGCTCTGCGGCTCGATCGGAACCCCGCTCTTCTCTCCCATCTCTCTGATCAGACTCCTAACCGCCTCTACCGCCTCCCTAATCTCACCTTTCCGATCCTGACTCAACACCTTACCAACCTCCTCATTCCGTTTCTGCAGCTCATCCCACAACTTCTTCGCGCCAGCGGGATCGGTCTCGTCGCGCCACTTCAACACCTGCTTCACCATCCCCACCGTCTGGCTGCCGCAATCCACATCGCACATCCGTAGCGCGACGCCAGGCGGCATGCTCACGCCTTCCTTCGTTATCTTCGTGTCCCATCCCCCTTTACCGCCTTCAGCGGCCGAAGACGGGTCAACACACGCCGCTAACGTAGGCGCAAAACCCGGCGTCCCGACTTCAGGTAAGTCGCGAAGCAGAGCTGGCGAGAAGCGGTGGTACAAGCAAGAGCCGAACACGGCGGCCGCGACGTCGAAGCCGGAGCCGACTTTGCCCTGGGCCGCGCAGTGGGCTGCCTGCGCTAGGTTATGCAAGACTGCCTTGCCGGCTTCGGTGGTCGGGTCGAAGGCTGAGCGTGGCATGTAGTGGGTTAGTAGAGCGGCGGTTAGCGCGGTGACCAGGGCCGCGGAGGAGCCGAGACCGGTTTTGTGGGCGTCCTTGAGCTTGGTGGGGAATTTGGCGAAGCGGGCGGATGAGGAGGATGAGGTGTGTGGTTGTGAGTAATAATCGTTGTCGGCGAGGATGGTGAGTTGAACCGGGTCGAATGTGTATGATTTCTTGAGATGTCCGGCTGTGGTGATGTAGGTGAGGGCGTAGGCTAGCGTGGTCTCGACGAAGGGGTTTTTGTTTATGTTGGCGCCACTGGTTAGGTGTGTTGAGTACGAGACTTGTGTATATGCATATTTGCAATTCATTTTATTAAGTATGATAAGATGAGGGTAACAAGATAGGTGAGAATGCGATTACCCGGTGGTGTAAGCACATTATAAACATTCATAATTATGTCTCATAGTAAAAGACTAGAATAATTCACGATATAACAGAACGAACATTTTAATATTAGGAGATGGTGAGAATACTTACACTTGCAATTGAGTTACTTTGATGCCGCCATCTCCGGGGGCAAGATGGTATCCATAACGCCACTGAGCTTCGAGGAACTGGGGGCTATCAACAATAATCTCACTCAGCTGTACGCCCTTGCTGGTCTTGATCTCTTGAGCAACGACATTGATGCGGGCACTCAGACCGAAGACGAGCGCGGTATATTGACGGTCGAGAACGAGGTAACCTCCGGCTAGAAGGACCTTGCCCGGGGCGGAGACGGCGGTGGGTGTTCCCGACATTTGAGAGCTCTACCCCGCGTCCCTTTTGTTCTCTCTATTTGTATTTGTTAGGAATCTGGCCGAGTGACTTGAAGTCAATTGGAGAGGAATAAATGATCGACAGGGGAAAGCGTTCAAACAAAAACCACTTTTTTACCTAGTATATAAAAAGTTAAAGATTCGGACCGTAACTCTGAAGGAGAGTTTACGATAGTTGAATTTTAGGTAAGGTTGAGATTTCCAGCGTTATACGGTGAGGATCTAAGTTTGATGTGGATGGGACGGATACGGTTTAACCTTCTTTTTTTCTGCGGGGAATTGGATTTTTCTATCCCAACAGGAACCACCCCCCCTTAACTCGAGTCATGTATATTTGTACCCAAATTCTTTAACATACATAGTACTCATGTACATCGTCATAATTCATCGTCAGACTGCATGCGGAGCCTAGCCGCATCGTAGCGATATCCTCTGGTTACCAGAACTACAACGATATTTGTATATCCGCTGTACGGAGCAGACAAGATACTTAGGATGTCAAAACTGGTGCATTATCTTTGGCCTTGCCCTGTACATATGTACGTATGTACCTCTGCATGTTCCATGTTTTGAGGTCTACTCTGAGTATTAAATGGGAAAATCCCGAGTAAAAGTAGCAGAACAAGCCAATAGTATTGGTGGGATGACAGGTCAGCAGAAAAGGGAGGCATATTGACGCAGAGGCTCGGGATCCGAGAAAATTATGAAAGATTATAATGAGACAAATTTTGAGAATATCTTGCTTTGTAGGTAATTAATAAACTTCTTGGGTATATTCAAGCATTGCTTAGCCTAGACCTTTGCAAGGGGTTTCAAGACAATGTTGTCTATGAGGCGGACTGCTGGTCCTCCGCTATGTCCTAAGTCTTCGCCTGGCTGCGGTGATTCAACGGGCAGCATCTTCACTGCGCCGCTTAGGATGCCACCCTCTGTTGGGTTAACTTCACTTAGTTCCTCCATCGATAGAGGATCTGCAAGTGAGATATAGTCTATCTCATACCTTACCCTTTTCTCGGGGGATAAGGCTGATTGCTTGTTTAAAAGATCCGTAGCTACAGAGCTGGCAGCTTTCAGGATCGCTCCCCGATCTAGACTTCCGTTCAAGTATTGGGACTCGGCTGCTCTCAATGCGTGATTTAATACGGTAGCAACTTTGCGTCGCCTCTCGCCAAGGTAAACGTTCCGCGAGCTTAGAGCAAGGCCGTCGGACTCTCGGATGGTAGGGCCAACAACAACCTCGGTAGGTAGCATAAAGTCCCTGACCATCTTCCGGATCACTACTGTCTGCTGGACATCCTTTTGGCCAAAGTACACCTTTTCAGGTTGCACGATGTTGAAAAGTTTCATGCAAACAGTAGCCACACCCCTGAAAAAGGTTGGTCGAGTACCGCCTTCAAGAAGTTCACTTATTGGCGTTAAGACCACGAAACTTCCCTTTGAGTCCACTTCCTGGCCCGGAAAGCCGGATGGATACATATCGGGAGTGGTTGGCGCAAAAACAGCGCTGATGCGACCTAGGTTCCCGCCATCGTCGGCCAACTCACGGTCTAGTTGAGCCAAGATTTTACAATCCGATTCCCAAGTGACAGGATAAGAAGCCAAGTCCTCCTTGATTCCAAATTGTGCCGGGTTTACGTATATGCTGACGACGACGTGATGGCTTTCGCGGGCTGCGGAGCGTATTAAAGAAATATGACCTTCATGCAGGGCTCCCATGGTGGGTACCAGGCCAACAATCCTATGATCGAGGTAATGGGGCTTTCTCCATCTTCTAACCGATTCGACCGATCGTAGTACTCGAATTGGCGAAGATGGAATAGTTTCGAAAGCTTTATGGCAGGCAGAAGCTATGGTTCGGTTGAAGGGTCTATTAAGAGTACGCGAGCCTGCGAAGCCGCGAATAGAGAATGCCAACATGATTGATGAGGATTTCCAGATGATAATGTAGTAACGAATGTTACGGAGGACGAGATGAGGCAATTATCAAACCATCACGAGCCATCGTAGTGGCTCAAGGCTCAATGGAAATCGTGATGGTTTCTGCTGCGGACATTTGAGGCCGGATCTGTTGAAATTTTATGAAGCTGTTAAGAAAATAAGCTGCCTGTATTTAGTAGCTTAGGTACGATAAATTGCAAAGATAAGATCCCCCACTGATTACGCTACCTATAACGGGGTAGTATGTAACAGAAGCTTACTGTACCCATGTATTGTACCTAGAGTGTACCCAGAGATATCCACTGCATCAATGTTAAGCTTCAATGCTCGGTATGTTTCTACTTTATTAACGGTTTATTCCCGAGAAATCTTTTAACTCCTTGTTCTTAATACTCAGGTTGATCTTATCAGAATTGGACATAAATATGTAAATCTTGAAGGTAATTCAAGGAATGTTTCATAACACGATGACCTGAAACCGAATGCTTCGAGAAGGCTTTATGGACATGACGTTAGCGTTAGCGGGGGTTAGAGCCGAAGCTAGAGCTTTTAATTCCACGATTCTGGCTATTTGTGGTATTTGCGGGGCTAGAGTTACGAGTTCTGCCAATAAGAGAAGTTACCATAACTGTAAGCGTGTCCCCACGGAAAGAGCAAAAGAGTCTAGAGTCTTCATGAAGAACCGCATCAAGTCCCTGCAGGTGCGGTCTTCCTTACTCCGATTAGACTTTAAACTTTCCGTCCAGTTGTAATTCCTTACAAGGTGCAACTTTGGTTCTTTCTTTTCTTTCCTCATGAACAATTCATGACCTATATAGAGCTAGAATAGCTCGCGCGGTATCAATGACAGGTTCAATAGGCTCTAGCTTGCTCGTTGCGAGCTTGTATTCGACTTTCGTATTGGGATCGGGTCCTCAACCACACGCATACGGCCAGGAACAGATTCCCTTGAATGGTTTCCAATATCAGGAAGCTTGTCCAGATTACACACAATACTCAGCATACCCTCATCGACCCCTCAGCGATGGGCCTCTTGCCCTACCCTTTCAGAGACCCGACCCGCGATGCCGAACCTTTCACTCGGACGCTATAGAACAAGTTATACAGGATGTGACTTCTCGTATGAAGGATCCAGATCTTGCGCGTCTCTTCGAGAACGCCTTTCCCGTCAGTCGGACTACGCTCTTCCTCCTGTCGTACTTGTCCAACTGTATGACTGTATAACTGACCGAGACAATCAATGTAGTCAACCACAGACACGACCGTCAAGTTTCACACGACCGGATCCGAACCCACCAAAAAGAAGCCGAAGAGACATGCATATGATGAAGGGAAGTGGGAGGGACCACATTCTTTCATCATCACCGGTGATATCATTGCAGAATGGCTCAGAGACTCAACCAACCAACTTTCTCCTTATCAACCTCTGGCAAAGAAGGATCCCGCAGTATACAACTTAATTCTAGGTGCCATTAACACTCAATCCGAATACGTCATCGAATCCCCTTATTGTAATGCTTTTCAACCGCCACCTATAAGTGGGCTACCCGTATCCCATAATGGACAAGACGATGCCGTCCATCCTGTCTACGAGCCTTCATCTGTCTTTGAGTGCAAATATGAATTGGATTCTCTCGCTCATTTCCTTGCTTTGGGAAATGATTTCCATGATCACACGGGATCTAAAGAGTTCTTGACGCCGCGTTGGTACCTTGCATTGGAGACCCTATTAAATGTTCTTGAGCAGCAGTCGATGTCGACATTCGATCCGGAAACGGGCCGGTATAGGCGTAACGAGTACACTTTCAACCGTAACACGAACACGGGGACAGAAACCCTTAGTCTTAGGGGCGTAGGGAATCCTCTAAACAATGGCACCGGTCTCGTGCGCTCCGCATTTAGACCGAGTGACGATGCTACAATCCTGGGGTTTTTCATTCCAGCCAACGCAATGATGGCCGTTGAGTTGAAACGGACAGCTAGTATCCTCAAAGCTGCTGGGAAGAATGTCCTAGCTCAGACTGTTGAATCGTGGAGCCAAACTATTACCAATGGTGTGTGGGAGCATGGTATTGTCCGCCATAGCACATTCGGCAATGTCTTTGCCTATGAAGTGGACGGATATGGATCATCTATTCTAATGGATGACGCAAACTACCCATCTCTTCTGGCTCTTCCGCTTATGGGCTTCTTGTCACCGGATGATAAAACTTACCAAAACACGCGACGTATGCTCCTCTCGAAGTCGTCAAACCCCTATTATCTCACAGGAAGAGAGTTTCAAGGCATTGGAGGTAGGTTACTCCTCTAATCGTTTGTCATTAGATTTATGCTAATTAATTCATGAAGGTCCTCACATTGGTCTCTCAAACGCGTGGCCTATGAGCCTTCTCATCCAAGCTCAAACATCTAATGATGACGAAGAAATAACCGGGTGTTTACAGCTAGTTCTCAAATCGAGTAAACTCGGATTGATACACGAAAGTGTTGATGTCAATCTAATTCATTCGTATACAAGTACGTTTTCCCTCCGCTTATTATTAGACGTGTTTACTAAAACTAGAGTTTAGGAAGTTGGTTTGCTTGTAAGTTTCGAGGATAGAGCTCGGATGACACCCATTTACTAACTGTCTTATAGGGGCGAACGGAGTCTTCGCGGAAACGATACTTGACATCGCCAGGAGGAAACCGCACTTGATTTTTAAGGAACCCGCGACGGCTTATGAAATATGATTTTATCGTTGGGAAGTCATTTGAAAGGCGCCAGGGCATAGCACTACGTCGTTTTTGTTTATACAACGGTGGGTGCATGAGATATATCCTAACAGCCCTATTGTAGCATAACTTATCTGGATGCATACCCAACCTACCTCCTATCAGTGGGAGACTCGATGTCATTGAATTCAGTTTATTCAGCCTGATATTTGCACCCCTTCGAATTACCTGTCTCATCTAACAAAATATTTTTTTCCTCGTTATCTTATGCTAAAATCATATACAATATCATGTATCTTAAAGACTATAGTCTCTATGCTGCACGCCTTTCGCGACCGCTCAGAAGATAAATACCGGCGCGAACATCTAGGAGCGGATCTGCCGATGCTTCAACTCCATCCACCCTCGGGATTGGGTCAAAGATAATCCTCTTTTGCTGTGCGGCCTGATCGTCGATAACGGATTCTAACTTAATTGTGCCAAGCTCGACCACTTGACGTTCTTCTGGCCACTTGATAGTGTTGTCGTCAGTTACGTCGCCGTCTTCTGCGACTTGCGCTTTTAGCTTAAATACGATGGGCCCGGCCTTCAACGATTCCGATACCCCATCGTAAAGGAACGATGGGCTCTTCTCCTTTAGAGCAATGTCGTCAAGGTACTCCTCATCAGCTTCAGGTATGATGCGGTATCGGATGAATGTTTCCTTCCCGTTAGCCGCAATGAGCTTGAAGGCGTTTACTCCGAAGTACTTCTCTTTGCCAAAGCTTGATGGAGTCGGTTTCGGGGCTTGGATGAAGGCCAGCGCTTTCGGATGGGAAGCTAAATAGTCACCGATCGAACCATCCTTAAGCGCAGTAAAGAACTCGAGGGCGTCATTCCCGTTTGACCCTGGGAATCCATCTACAGAATGAGTAATGATATCGGTGTGGACGCGACGAGGAGTTTCGGCTAGCAGGAAACGAATAGCAAAGCCGCGAGGGTTTCCATTAGGATCAGTATCCGGGATCTCGGGGATCCCAGTAGAGCTGGAAAATCGCACGATTATCGGGGTCGATGTATTGTTAAAGTGAGGTGCTTTCGAGAGCGCCTTGGCCGCCTCAGTGGGTGCGAAGGTGCCCTTGAGTAGGACGCCTTTTGCGTGAGCTACAGATTTCGGTCAGCATAATCTCATCCGATGAAGCTGTTTTATGGGCGAATACCAGGTCGAAATCCAGGATGCGGCCCGAAAATGCTATGCAAGGTGCTGACTATAGCGCTGCTAGTCTGAACGACCTTCTCGTCAGACGGGAGAGGCATGGTTACAAGAGACTTTCCGCAACACTAGATTTACTAAGACGAGAGATTTTCTTAATGCGTCAAGGAGTAAATATCGGGGAGAACTCCTTTGCGAGACAAGAAGATAAAGAAATAAGGCTTACCCTCGGCGTTCTTATTTATATCTACCAGGCACTCATCTACAATACCAATGCTCTACGGACAGACTGATTAATACCTAATTTGTGATTCGACATTCGCCATAGCTCCTGTTGTCACACCAACTCTTGGTACTGTACATGATGACCGCATATTCAAGGTCAGTCGCATCGAGATCTGCCCCAATAATCACATAGGAGAATCACCCAATTCCTTTATCACTTCACATGATGCTTCCTTCCGTGGTGGCTCACATAGCCTTGTGGAAATTGTAGTAGTATGCGGATGCAAAAGCTTCTGCATTAGCAGCCGCTCGTATTTTTATACTCTTATAGGAAACAGCTGCGCCGCTGAACAGTCCCTCGCCGAATCAACACATTTGCCAAGGTGGATTCCCCGACGATAGCTTCGCTCATGGAGCGGAGATCGACTAGGGCTATTACTAAGGGTCGCGTAACTTGCAGCAAGGGTATGTATAATTCTCACATATTTACCTTTTACAGATGATACAGCCGGAATAGTAGTTTTATGGTTTTATTATACGCTAATGACATAGAACTAGATACATACAATGAACTTTTCGAGACTCAAGCACCCGCAAAGCAACATCCCCCCTCCCCTACTCTTCCTCATCCGGATCTTCTGGTTCTTCTGGGTCTTCCTCGACCGGGTCCTTCTCCCCCGGTAGCGGCGGCGCATTGGGGTCCATCATGCATTGATCCACACGCATCAGCTGCTTGCCTGTAGCCTTAGCTATCTCGATGAACTCCTTGAGGTAGCTGACGGTGCTGTTATACAGGTAATGCATGACGACGATGTCGCCTCCGGCAGCGACGTCACGCTTGAAAGCCTCGAGCTGCTTCTCCGGCGTGTCGGACTCGGCCCACAGCCAGTCCTCGACGTCGACGCTCCACTGCACAATATACGGCTCGTCGATCAGGGCGGCAAGGCGCTGGCGCATGCGCGCACCTTCGGTGCCGAACGGCGGGCGGAAGTATTTCGGCGTCAGTCCGTTGAAGGTCTCTTTCACGGCTTCGATATCGTTGCTGTACTCCCAATCGATCGACGCCTCGTCGGGAAGCCCTTCTAGTGGCGGGTGCGTGTAGCTGTGCAGCGCGATCTGGTGACCCTTGGATGCCATCTCGTTGTATATCGCGCTGAGGTTCGTGGTGGGGTCGCGGAGCGGGGCGCCGACTGTGAAGAATGTCACGGTGATTCCCGCGTCGTCGATAGTCTTCATGACCTGTTGCGCGAAGACCGGGTCCCCGTCATCGATGGCGAAGGCGAACGAGTTGGGTCGTTTGCACGAGAACACAAAGGTTCCTGATGGGAGCTTCTCCGGTATGGTGAAATCCTCCGGCACCTCGTTGACGATCTCGATCTTGGAGAAGACGGTCGATTCGGTGCTGTAGAACCCTTTGAAGGCGAAGCCGATCGCGCGAGAGCGGTTCACGTTGAAGTGGTCTAGCGGGATGTAGATATCGGCGTCGGTGGCGTATCGCTGGGCCTCGAGCGAGTCCCAGGTCTCGGGATAGGGGTAGATGTCATTGTTGCACTTCTCGTTGTGCTGTTGCAGAGATACGGTAAATAACTTGCTTCCGCTATATGCGATGTGCAAGTAAGATCCGTCGAACTCAGTCAAGTCCCTGCAGGTGTCCGCGACTTGTGTTACCCACATCAGATCGGAGTCGTTGGTCTTCAGAGTCATCGTGTTCTTTCGGAATGTGAGGGTCATGCCTTCGTCCGCTCCGTGCCATTGCTTCAAGGCGTTCGTGTCTTTGTTGGAGAAGGTATCGATCACGAGGTTCGTAGCTTTGCCTGCTGGTGCAGGTACGGTTTCACTTGGCCCAGATGGTTCGACGACGGAAGGGGGTATGTACTCGACAACTTCCTCTCCGCAGTACAGGCTCATTGGCCCGAAGGTTACGGCCTTCCTTAGGTTCGAGATGTACACCATTTCAAATTTTGTCAGATCAAGACCATCGAACTTAGAGAAGGGAATCGAATATAGTTGCTCTGTTCCATCGAAAGTCCAGCCGAGTTGTTTAGTGCTCAGAACAACATCACTGGTGCGCTCGGTGCCGCATTTTCCTCTGGTCGACGACAGCTGAACGTCGAATGTGCTGCCAGCGGGTGCCGATATTCGGAGCGAAACACCTCCGTATGCTTCTGCGTCGATACAGCCGAGTTGTGTGTAAAAGTAAGAGTCAGTGTCCGTAGGTGTAAATGTGACCCTATTGCTCTTAACTACAATAGACTTCATGGTGCTGTCATCGCTGCTCGATTTTAGCAAGGCGTTGTAGTAAAGGAACGTCAAGCGCGATTGGGATACCCAGTCGTCGATGAGTAAGTTGCTGCATTCGTTCTGTCGTGTCACGAGCTGGGTATCGTCTATTTCAGCTTCTGGAGCTGGCGTTGGAGTAGCAGACGCCACAACCGGTAGGTCCGAACCAGAAGACCATCCGCCCCATGGGTCGTCTTCCCACCATGGAGGGTCTTCCGTCGGCCAGACAGGGCGGCGCGTAGTAGTCGGAGGGAATGGGTATCTCGTGGTGCTATCGTCATCCCCAGGAAGGGTTACGATAACCGTGGTTGTAACCGTAAAAGTCGGGCCGCTAGTCGGGACCGGTGCCGGTGCCGACGTCGTCTCAGGCGGTTCCGGATCCTCAGGGGGCGCGACGTCGGCACACAGGAACTGCACATTATCCAGCTGCCATTCGTTATCGGTGCCCGTCAGACCAGCCGAAAATCCATACCATAGAACGCCGACGACACCGTTCAAGTTGGCGTCAGGCCAGCTATTCAGCGGAATGTTGATGGTCTGGAGGGACCCGCTCAAACCGTCTAGCGTATAGTAAAAGCTCTGGTACTCCTCCGAAGCACAGTCGGATACCGTCTGCAGCTCGATAGAGACGGATGCCGCTTCGGGTCCCTTGATGTTGAAGGACAGCGAATCATAACCTTCAGCGGTGCTGTCCAGGCAAGCAAACTGTTCATAGATGTACGAGACGTCGATGTTGTTGGGTGTGAAGGTCAGGATGCCACCGTCGGTACTGGTCGAATTCATGGTTTGGTCATCTATATCGGGGTTTAGCGGTTTGTCACCCTTACAAATATTTTTTACGCGCTGAATGGAGATTTGGGGCATTTCTTACCGCTTGTAGCACCTGCTAAGAGGTTCTCGCCAGTCTCCCATTGGGTAAAGTCGTCCACCATCAAGTGCGCACTGCATGTTTCGACAGGAGCAGGGGGTGCAGGTGCAGGTGCAGAGGTTGTAGCTGGCTTGGTTGTCGATGGGGGAGCGGGGGCCTTAGTAGTAGAGCTCGGTGGAGGAGCTGGGGCTTTCGTCGAAGTGGAACTGACTGGAGGCTCGGGAGGCGGAGGGGCCTGGGTGGAGTTGGTTGGTACTGGAGGGGGTGCAGGAGCTTCAGTCGAACTGGTCGGCACCGGAGGGGGTGGAGCTGGGGTCTCAGTAGGAGCTGGAGGTGCCGGCGTCTCGGAAGGTGGTGGCGGTGCTGGAGTTTCGGAAGGAGGCGGAGGGGCAGGTTTCTCGGTAGAACCAGGAGGTGGAACTGGCAATTCGGTAGAGGCCGGAGGAGCCGGTATCGAAGAAACGGATGTTGGAACAGGAGGGGGGTCTTGTCTCCTCGGAATCTTGGCAGCTGTTACGCCGCTCACTAGAAAGGCGGCGGTGACGCCGCCAACAACTTGGCTGAACCTCATGATGAGTTCCTTGGTGGCTCAAAGCTAGACGGCCATCCTACATTCAGATCATCTAGCGGCGCAATCCGGACTTATATTGACGGGCACGACTAGGGTCCTCGATTTGTTGTGAGAAGGACTCATAGCTTAACCCATCCAATACGCAAGATCCAATGTTGCATGTGGTTATAATTCTTGGGCTCCATTGTCGTGGCTAAATGTACATCCTCTCGAAGCATATTGGCTGAACCCGAAGATTGCAAAACTGCGTGTTCCCGACAGGGTTCTCCACACTCCGGATCTGATGCATTAGAGGTTAACCTGCAGTCAGGAACACGAGCAATTTAATGTTATGGCAGCTTCATGGCTTGGCGAGATTCCCGGTCCGGCATTTTGGTTGCTTTTTGTTTCCTCCTCATGACTCGTAACGAGGTTACTATGATGGTAAGTTCATGTCTTTTCACCAGTATATACCAGAATACCTACTCTATATCTTGATAAAACACGTGGTCGGTATCATAGAGACATTGGTCTTGACTTTTAAGAATTCTCTGACTTGGTTTAGTTTTCGTGTCATACAAGGTGGTTGCTGTCAAATATCGGATCAGATACGAGTGTGGCCGACTACGGATGCATAAAATCTGTCCATAGAATGCCAAGAGGGGAACAAACGCAACGGCAGCGACGGCGCCGGCATAGCGGCGTGAAGGTGGATATGCACTCCCAAGTCTAGATCTTACGCGGATCTAGGGCTAAACAGTCGTGCCAGATCTCCTCATGTCGGTAGCAAGACGGCAGGTCAAGAACCTGAGGCCTCGTCAGCTCAATCTATTACATGAGGAAATATGGATTGAAAATCGCGAATCGGTCGGCATATGCAGGAAGAAAAGATCCCTCAAAAAAGTAAAATTTATCATTTATAGCGTGACAGTGTGGTACCTGAATCAGATCGTTCGCTTATGGGACGGCAAGACTTAGGCTGGGTAGCACTGCAGGTACTGCAGACACGAGCCCTACTGCAGTGAATATTGCCAATTTATCCTGTTGTATGTTCAGCCGCCTTGGCAAAATTCATAACGCGCAATTCGAGGTTTATTTTACACCAGAATTCCCTCCGATCGAACCATCCTCTTCCTAGGTATGTACGTCTCGTTGGCAAGCTAATTGCTGCCTCGATTCTTTTGGGGGCTCAAGCATGCATGGTCAAAATGGAGGGTTGTAACATACGACAAGACACCGAACCCATAACTAATATATTCTGAAATCTAGGTACTCAGAATGAGTTACTATTTTATTTAATATTAATATCATTCTAATAATCAACGTTACTACACTCAGGTATGAACTAGTTGTCGAATTCAACGATTGCCTATTTGGGTCATGTGGGGATAGGAAGGGCCAATCAGCTTTCTCCTACGTTACTTGAGAACCTTAACTTACCTACCGTAGCTACTAATGTTAATATACATGTAGACAACAGTTTAAAATCTTTAATTATATTTACCTATATTTTCTTTAATCACTACCTACCTGCGCAGGAAACATATTCCAAAGTCTAGACTCTTCTCTCAGATTGCCACAACGTTGCAACCGGTAATCAAATTCGTTGCCAGTCCTGCAGCACCTTGGATGCTCCCATGCTTAATACTCCTTGACAATTTAACATGACCATATTCTATTACTCATAGAAATTCCAAGATTGATGTTTACCTAGGTATTCAATAGACTGTAATATCCGAGACCCAACTGCCGGATCTAGTACAGTTAGCTAGCTAGTGTGAAGTTGTCTAATGTTGGAAGGACTGGGGGGTTTACCGGGAAATTGCGGATGAATTCACTTCGTCCGAACGTAACAAATGATGCTACGGCCAAAATCTTGCATGAGGCGAGATTCAACCACCTATGCTTTGAATCCTATTATTGAGATGTAACGTCTCATTTACGTAACTTCAACCTAGATGAGATTGTGAGTCGTTGTTTTGTCGTATGTAACCCGTCAACATCTTTAATGGAGGTGAATGTGCTATAACTAATCTAACTGCCTACTTACTAGGTATCTTAGGTATTTTGTAGGGAACATAACTTCGCCTTTTTCTCTTACTCTGGTCTACAATCGCGAAACTTATTGCAGGACCTTGTAACTAATAGATTCAAATGTTCTCTTATAGAAATTTCCATGCTCTGGTCTCTAGAATATACCTACCTAGCGTAGTGGTACGAAAGTGACATGCCGTTAAAATGATTAGTGTCGACAATGCAGTTTATTAGTTTGGAAATGGTATGGGTCAGTGGTGACAAGTCGATGCTAGGTATAGAGTATTGCACCATGAAGGAAATAACTATTACTTACATCAAGCTACGTCAATGTGGATCTGGGTATGGTGGGGTTAATTATGATGAAGTGTGGCTTATACTCATATACAGAAAATAAATGTGGCGCCTGTTATCGATACGTACCTTGCCGGACCTAACTTTGCTGACAGCCCGACTTTGTTTAATTGAATGGGAAATGGGAAATAGGAACTTACGGAATAACATCATCGCTCCAACTTGAAAGGCTTGAAAGGACTCGAGTGCGTAGTAGACCTCCTGGCTCAATTCGACATAAAATGTTTACCTAAGCCAACAATATTCTACTATTGGTGCTAGCGGTACTATACGTACATCGTGTGTCGTATTCTCTAACGTTTCAGTACTTCGGAATTAGGGCCACCTTTTCCCTCCTACGCCCTACGCCCTTCTCGGGTTGTCGTCGCCAGATGCGACACCCAGCAGCCGAGTCGTTTCGAGGGATAGAAAACCAAGGACATACTTCCAAGGTTGCCCGGCTTCATGCAACCTTCCGATCGTGATTCACCGCCTGGGGGTGGATCACTCCCTACGTCCCCCGTACTATCCCAGGCCTTAAGGGTCCAAAAGAGCCGCCACACCCTCAACGATGTCTCACCACTCTACAACTCCGAAATTACCCTACCATACCGACGATCACATCCCTCCGCCGCCTCTCTATATGCCTCGACTCTATCACCTCCAGGTTCGAGGTCCCAATCCCCCGTCGGTCGTCCATCTTCGCGATTAGCCTCTGGTTCCGTCTTCGGCGCAGCATCAAATAACGCCCTTGCACTTGTTTCCAACGCTGGCGACAGCCCGGGTGATCCGCTGAACCTCATCCTAAGAGCCTTCGTACCACATGTCGCCGTATATTCATCTGAGGATACCGATATCTTACTGAAGGAGAAGGGGTTTGCGCGTGGCCTATGGGAACTACTTCGACCGTTCGGGGAGCGCGTCCAAGGCAAGGTTATAATACGAGATAGCAATGGATCCAGCCGAACATACGAAGACTATTCGATACACTTCGTCCAATTCGGGGAGGGTGTTGTACATCCAGAGCCCGTAACAACTGGATTGAGGTCGCAAGTGCCGAGGACGAATGGTGTCTCGGAAAAGTCGAATGATAAGGGCCAGCCGAGACAAGGGATCGCAATCCCTGATGTAGAGGCTGTTGTGGATCGCCATTTGAGGTATGCTGAAGAATCATTCTTCAGTTTACCTCAGAGCCCTACAAATAATGGCCTAGATATCGATGTTCCCTCGCCATATTATGCCTTATATCTACGTAGGCTGCTCTCTGGCCTACCTTTAACACCACATGAGACGTTTGCTCACCCTGTTGCCTGCGTCATTGCGATAAGCTCTCGAAACCAGACTCCGATAGAGACACTGCGACGATTATACGCCGAATCTAGCACGGGAGACAGGCGATTACCCAATTGGGTAGATGGGGAATTCTTGCGTTATTATGTCCTGGTCCATGAGGAGGAGAGAGACGATATTACAAGATCTATGTCTCTTTTCGATCAGATGAAACGAAATCTTGGCCTCCACTGTCACTTACTCCGTATAAGAGGAACGCAGAGCGTCGCTACTGATGATGACAGCATACCACTTCCCCGAAGCGAGTGGATGTCCGCTTCGGAAGAGTTGGTCGATATTCGGAGGAGCGAGGATCAAGAAGATTTTGAGGATCCAACTAGGTACATATTCGAGTCAGATGCGACTGCAATACGCACTTTCATTCGTGAAATGGTAACTCAATCTATAATACCGACCATGGAGCGTCACGTATCAGTATGGAATGATCAAGTAGCATCGCGAAGAAGAGGATTAGCTGGGCGGTTTGTGGGTCTAACGAAACGATGGGGGTTCGGCGGTAATTCTAGGACGTCATTCGCAGGGCCGAGCTCTGGGAGTAACTACGATTCTCACGGCTTTTACCGGCAGGACGCCCCTGAAGCCATAATGCGGAAGTTGGCAGACTACGCCTTCATGCTGCGGGACTGGAAGTTAGCTCATTCAACATACGACCTTCTACGCGGCGATTTCAATAACGATAAGGCGTGGAGATATCACGCTGCAGCGAGCGAGATGACGGCAATTAGCCTCCTCATCATGCCTCAGAACCTAACAGCCAAGTCAAGGGCGGAAACGATAGATACCGCATTCGAAGCCGCATTTTACTCATACATAACACGCTGTAGCGCGCCATACGGGGCGTTACGTTGTCTTTCTCTTGGCCTAGAGCTCCTACGTCTACGCGGCGGCTCCAGCGTAGACGAAGCAGCGAAATGGGGGCTTCGGCTCTTAGAAAGCAAGATCACGGGACCCGTCGGGGACGCGCTGATAAAGGAGCGCCTCGCTGTCTGCTATGCCTCTAAGGAAGGCATGGGAAATCATCGCTGGGGCAGCAGGAGGCGGAAGTCCGCTCTTTGGAGCGTACTCGGCGCCGAAGCCTGGGTCCTGCAGGCCAAGTACATACAGGCGCAGCGGTGCCTCAACGAGGCCCGAAAGACGTACTCGGACCTGCCGAGCGGGAACGGCATCGACAAGTTCGCGTACGCCAGTGCGTTCGTGCTTGGTATCGGGAATAAGCTGAACCAGAACCTCGAAGCGGCCGACCAAGACGACGACGACGAGAATTTGGATGATCAGAGCGACGAGGTAGATGAGGAGAGTGAGGCACTGGAAGACAATACGAGGGGGCGACGTATTAGCACGTTGGGGTTGCCTGGCGGAGGTGCCGGCGCAGCGAGCTTAGAGACCGCGCCATTAAAGGCGCAACTTGATGCCAGGGAAGGAGAAAGGGGCAAACAGGATACGGGCGAGGCTAAGGATGATTTTGGTTAATTACTGTAGATGGTACGGCACGGCTGGTTGGTACGGGGCATGGATGGTTTAGAAGGTCCTTCACATGATACTGTTTTGTATTGGGGAGGGCAAGTAATTATTTAACTCATGGGAATGACAACATTATTTTGCTTCTTCATTTAATGAATAGCTAGTTATGATATCGGTGCCTTTAATATCAACTCCGTGCTAGTATGAAAGGTATCGTTGATCTTCGATGAAAATAACCTTATATATGTATATATAAACATGTATATAGGGATAATGCATTTATGAGAACATGCAACTAAAAGCTAGATATATAACTGGGTCCATGCATATCACCGCCAAAAAAGTTCATGAAATTCTGCCGTTTCCCACTATTCTCAATCTCCGTCAAGTACATCTACAATTTCGCGATCATGGCGGACGGTGGTATGCTCTTGAACTTTGACATTGGCGGTGATGCTCCGCCAAAGAGGCAGGTCAAGTTCACAGGCGGTCGCTGGAGAGATCGGGTTCATGCTCAGAGAAGCGCACGAAAGAATGGCGAAGGGCATCCGACATCAGCCAATTTCACCCCGCTGTCCAATGATCGACGACACACTCACCATGAATACGATCACGATGAGAGGCCAGCAAAGCGTCAGAGGACATTTGGCGACTCAAATGGACGAACAGCGCACTCTGGGAATGACACATTCAATACAGGCCCTAGACAAACCAATGCGCCTGGTGGTGTTACATCTAGATTATTTACCTCCAATCCGACACCGAGAACCGTCTTCGAGGACGTAGTAGAGGAGACCGAACCCGCAAAGCCATCTAATGCTCCATTATCAGACGAAGCCGAAAACTTCCGCGCCCTCGGATTGTCTCCGCGCATCGCACAGCACTTATCATCTAAGCTTGAGATGAAGGCGCCGACTTCTATACAAAAGAACACTATTCCACTGCTTATAAAAGACGACAGCGATGCTTTCCTGCAGGCCGAGACTGGATCGGGGAAAACTCTAGCCTATCTATTACCCATTGTTCAACGGATTATAGCCTTGAGTCAAAATGAAGACGGTTCTAATACTGGAACTCGAATACATCGCGATTCAGGCTTGTTCGCTCTTATACTAGCTCCGACGAGAGAATTATGCAAGCAAATCGCTACCGTGTTGGAGAAGGTCCTGAATTCCACCCCTTGGATCGTTAGTACGACCGTGATAGGAGGAGAGAGTAAAAAGTCCGAAAAGGCTCGATTAAGGAAGGGCGTTAATATATTGATCGCCACGCCTGGTCGTCTCGCCGACCATCTAGACAATACAAAAGTCCTAGACGTCGGTACTGTGAGATGGCTAGTTCTCGATGAAGGGGATAGACTAATGGAGATGGGATTTGAAGAAGAGCTGAAAAGCATCGTGGGAAAAATTCGCCAGGAGAAATTGAAAGAGACGAATAAGGAGGGAGTAACCCTTAGCGCCTTGCCACAACGTCGTGTCACAGTCCTCTGTTCCGCCACAATGAAGATGAATGTACAAAAACTGGGCGAAATCAGTTTACAAGACGCTATCCACATCACGGCATCCAAGTCAGAAAGCGAGAACGATGTGGTAATCAATGCCAAAGACGCTGGTTTTAGCGCGCCATCTCAACTGAAACAGTCTTATATCGTTGTCCCAGCTAAATTACGCCTGGTCACATTGATAGCACTGCTCAAGTCTGCCTTCGCTCGCAAAGGATCGGTCATGAAAGCTATCATTTTTATCTCTTGCGCCGACTCGGTCGACTTTCACTTCGACTTACTCCGCTCTACATCGTCTCAGTCCTCTTTATCTAACGATACATCCCCTACGAAAGACACCGTTGCCGACGCTGCTTACATCACATCGCCAGCAAACCCCGATATAACCCTCCTCAAACTCCACGGCTCCCTCCAGCAACCTGTTCGCACATCCACTTTAGCCGCCTTCCACGCCTCCAAGAACCCGTCCGTGCTCATCACCACCGACATCGCGTCTCGTGGTCTTGACGTACCCGCAGTCGACCTTGTCATCGAGTATGACCCTGCCTTCAGCATTGATGACCACGTCCACCGTATCGGCCGAACCGCGCGAGCGGGCCGGCCAGGGAAGGCCGCGCTCTTCCTCCAACCGGGTTGCGAGGAGGGATACATCGAGCTCCTGAAATCCGCGACGCCGCTCACGCCTCAGTCCTACGATTCCACGCTGCAGAAGGGCTTCGTAACGCCCATCACTCTACCCAAATCAGACAAGGGCTCAGAAGCCCAGACCTTGGTATCGGAACGACAGACGCCGAACTCTCGCGCAGAAGCGCTTCAACTACATATAGAACAGCGCCTCCTGGCCTCCGACAAGGAAGGCACCGAGGGAGGAAAAGGGGGGGATGCCAAGAAATTGCTAGATAAGGCGCGCCAGGCCTTCCGCTCACACATCCGTGCGTACGCCACACACGTCCGCGACGAGCGCGGCTTCTTCGACATCACACAGCTACATCTAGGCCACGCCGCCAAGAGCTTCGGCCTGCGTGAGGCGCCCGGGGGTATCGGTGGGGGGCCGTCGAGGCGGACTTATAAACCTGGGCAACAGAAAGGTGGCAATAGTGGTAGTGGGCAGAATAAGAGCAGAGGGGACGAGGATAACGATGGCGAAAACGCTGTGGACGAAGACGCGGCGAGGAGGATGAGGATGAAGATGAAGCAAGTTATGAGCGCGGCTGGGGAGTTTAATATTGGTTGATATTTATGGGATTGGTGACGGGTGACGGGTGATACCTTACGAACGAATCGGACGATTGGGGGGCTCAGGGGGGTGAAGACCGGCATAGATTAAAAAAAGTACGAGCATAACGAAGAAGTATAGTTGATGAAGAATTGTATACGGGATTCTTAGGTACCTACTTGGGGGCGCTGTCTTACAAAACTAGAGAGTGACCAATTTATATTCATACCTACCTACGCACCTAGGTTATTATTATCGCAGAAACGCGATGCGGTTAGACGATTCAAATAAATGCGATACTGTCTACATGTATACCTACTATTATCTTCTACTGAACGGTCGACACAGCTCGAAAAGAAGTTGACGTACTTCAAGAGGTATCGGGAGATATCAAGAGGCACACACTACCTACGTAGTATTTGTTTCGAAGTTATCAAAGTACCAACCTTCTAACATCATATCATGATTCAGACACATAAATATTCAGAACAACTTCCATGTATTGGTTTTATCATACAAGGCACCTGGAGCTACGTCAACCCGAATCCACAAACGCTCTGACGCATCAAATAAATGTATCGTGAGTGCATTGCCACCAATTAACCGTCCCAAACGCCTCGTGGGCTGACCATCGCCCAAAACCCTTGGGGTCCTGTTGTTAGTCCCCCTGATAGCTCCCCGCCCGTAGATAATAATAATATGGAAGTTCTTTCGCATTATATGCAGAGTGGAGATTGGTCTATAAATCCATGCCAGCCCGATGCCCTTTTCCCCTGGTACCCGACCCGTAATCCGTTTTACATGCAACCCAAAGAACGCCTGGTCCGAGATCAGTTATGCTGCCCTTCGCTTCAGCCGACTACCCCGGCGAAAAAAATCATGTCAACCTCTTGTAGCACAAGATGGGGTATCGCGATGAAGAGCAAAGAACAAAGGAAATAACAGAAGAAAATGGAACCCGCAGCAACGTCGACGGCGTGGTTGGCGTTTAAGCAACAACCGCTTCTTCGCTGCTTCCACCGCCGAGAAGTTCTAGGACCTTGTTGACAACGGCACTAGGGTAACCTCTTGAGAGCATCTCGCCTACCACCAACTTAGCATGCTCACGGTCCTCGACAGCAAGGTAGGCACGAGTCATTGCCTCGTATGTGCTAGGCTCACGCTTGTCGCGGCCAACGCTGCTGTAGATCGAGATGGCCTTGTCGATACTCTTCTCGCCGGCCCAGCCGTGGATTAAGGTGTTGGCAATGTATGGAGTAAGTTCAACACGCCTTTGCTTCATCATAGATAGGACGGCTTCGGTGTCGGCGACTTGATGGTTAGCAACCATAGCTTCGAACAACGCCTGGAAGAGGCAGGCGTTGGGACGAATGGCCGGGTCGCTCATGACTGAATCAAAGATCTTCCTCGCGCCTTGCATATCGTGCAGGACACAACCGCGAGCGTGAATCAGCGAGGCATAGTGTACCGGTTCGGGTTTTTGGCCAGAAGCGCGAATCATATCCAGGACGACTTCAGCAGCGGTCATATTGACAGGTTCGAGAGTGGCGTGAGTATCAACAAGGAGCTTATAAGTATGAGCAGTTGGCGCAATTCCCTTGGCTTGCATTCGGTCGTAGTAGGCGAGAACCTTAGCCTTGTCGCGCTTGGTTGTGAGGAAGAATTGCATCATACTGTTGTACGGAGCCGGACGTGCTTTGTAGTTGGGCATAGACTCCATCTCATCGAAAAGTTCCTCTGCAAATTTCTCGTCGCTAACACGGCATAGAGCATTGACAATTGTTCCGTAAGTTACGCTCGTTGGCTTGATACCTAGAGCGCGCATTTCGGCGAAATAGAAGAGACAGTCATCAATGCGACGGGCCTTGCCAAGCTTACCAATCAGAGCATTGTATAAGAATGACGAAGGTTCAACACCCTCGGCCTTGGCACGGTGGAAAATCTTGACAGCTTCGGAAGCCTCGTCAAAGGTCTTGGTTGATTCCTTGAGAGTGGTGATGTAAAGGCCGAAGGTGTTTGCTGAGGGGGCAGCCCCCATTTGAAGAAGTTCGAGATGGTACTGTTCCGCCAAAACGCGGTCGCCAAGCGTTAAGCAGGAACCGACCATGGCGTCGAGAATAGAGGACCAGCCGTAACGAACAATAGAGTATTGAGGGAGGAAAGGTACATCGTTCCGTGCCATGGCTAGAATGTCATGGCACAAGTCCATCTTGCCCTCTCGCGCGGCCGCAGAGATCATCTTAGCGTATGTGATGTATCTTGGGTGACGTCCTGCACGTCGCATATTGCGGAAACGTGCGAGTGCCTCGTTGAGTCGGGGTCCCTTGCGTCCGTGTGCACCCTCAAGCTCATCAGAGATGATAGAAGAGCCCTTGAAGTCGGTATTGTGAGCGTAGGGATCAAAATTGTCCTCGTAGCTCGAGACAGTAGGTGTGGATGGATAGGGAGACGCAGAAAAATTCTGTTGGCTGAAGCTAGTTTGAGAAGCAACTTCACGAGGATCTGCGATGCTGCGAGTAGCCATAAACCTAGAGATAAATTCAATTCCCTCGTCAATCTCATCGGCAAGATGTAGTTTAGTCTCATTCTCGACAGCTCGAATTCGCTGGAACATCAGTTCAGACTCGGATAACCCTTCAGCGACCTGACCCGAACCAATCATAGCAACAGCATACATGGCTGTCGGCTCGATGAAAGATGAGTCAACTTTTGTATCGGGGCTGCTCAGCACGTGCCAATACCTAGTAGCAGCTGGAACATCGCCATCTCGAACGCTGAGGGCTAATAAGGCCATCGCAGGAGTCGCAATACCTGGGAACACTGAGGGGAGGTTGGCGAAAGCAGCGACTGCAGTAAGTCGATCTCCGAAATCAGCCGCAGCAGTTGCAATTTCCGCCAACGCATTCAAACGTGCGCTGTTTTCAATGCTCTGGGCCCATTGAAGGGCTTCATGGTAGATTCCCCTTGTGGTGAAGCCTTTAACGAAACCTCCGCTGATGATGGCGTCCCGGATATCGGCAGTACGTACACCATATGAACCCACGATCTTCTCGTAAAACCTCTTGGCGCCATCTAATTTATCGTTGATCACATAAGCATTTATTACCGAAGCATAAACCTGCGAATCTAGTCGGTCATTTAGTGTATAGTTACCATTGTCATGGGCAACAGCGAGATCCTTGTACTCGTTATAACATTCAACAGCGCTGGCGAGATCGCCCGTGTTCGCGAACGCGGTGATCATAGAGGGAAAGGTTGCTGCAAAAGGAACCGCACCACTTAGCTCCATATGCTCGAATAGGTGGAGCATATCAGAGACACGACCAGCCTGAGCACATGCTGAAATGAGCTGATGGTAAGTTTCCGACGAGTAGTTCGCTCTATTTGTTAAAACAGAGGTTTCGAACAGTTTGATAGCAAAATCGAGCCTGTCGTCCTCCGACAGAATGGCGTGTTCCAGCTCATTTGAGGCGAACATGAATTTTCCAGGCTCATCCATACCACCAAAACGAAGACGCTTGACCTCAAGACCTTTCTTGAGGGATGACACTTCTAGGCATCGAGCAGCCAATAGCCCAACTAGGATATTATAGGTGTCGCTGTCAGGTACTATCTTCCGTCGCATCATGTCAGCGTAGACATCTAACGCCTTGGAAACCACCCCGTTCTTCTCACTAGAGATGTGAATGGCAGCGACTAGCAGAGCATTATAAGCTCCGGCAATAGGCTTGATATCGGCAACAAGCATTGCCTCGAAGACAGCAGGAATTTCAGCATATCGACCATCTTCAGAAAGCTTGGAGAGATGATCGGCATAGCTCTGGGACTGAGGATCGACTGGTGGGGTTGCGGTGCGAGCAATGCTAGCAGGAGTCGCGGATCTCTCAACAGCCGGAGTGAGAGGACGAGACTGAACACCACTAGCAATAGATGGGGTTGGCGCTCGCGGGGAATGAGTAGCACTCTCCTCAAGGGCCTCTCGCAACCCACGAACCTCAATTTCCTTCTCGATAGCGGCATCTATGTGCGCCAACGCTGCTTCTACGTCGACGGTAGCAGGTAAGTCTTCAACTCCATCCTGGTCAGCTCCGAGAGCTTCAGCGACATCGAGGTTCGGCGTCTTGGGCTCGGGGCCATCGAGGACAGAAGAAGCGTTCGGTCTCCATTCTATGGGCTTGGGGAATTGAAATTGTGTCCATTCTTTTTCGACTTCGCCGGTATCCTGCTGTTTTCTTAGTGCCTCAAAGTAGGCATCTAAGTTTCCATGGCTGCCATGCTTGTCGTGGCGTAGCTCGTGCTGATTCGAGCTATGAAAAGCGTTCTGGAGCTGGAGACCAGAGAGACGTCCGAGGCGCTGACTATTACGTCGCGCAAACGACGGACGATTCTGTGAATTTAAAACATGGGGGTGAGTCGCAGCTACGACGGATTGGGCGTAGCCGTGAGTGAAAGATTTCGCAAATCCTTGACGGATGAAATTCTGGTACAAGGACGAGTAGATGGTGGGCATTTAGATGACACCAGGAGGGGAGGGTGACTAGATCGAGAGCAAACAAATAATTCAATTAGCATATACTCAGTAGAGTTTACTTGGTGTTTGATTTGTTTGTTTGTGAGTGAGTGAATGATTGAGAAGAGAAAGAATGTCAAATTTATTGAGGTCGCCGCTCGAGTACAAAATTTGATCGCAGGCGCGAGTGGGACGCGGGAAAAAAACAAGGACCTAATTCAATGACGACTTACATAGAGAAAAGATATAATTGGTCGTTGCAGGTTCATTTGACAGCACCACAGCCGTCAAACAAACGCGCTATTGCAATAGTGAAGAAAGATAGTTATGGCGTCGGGTGTAAAAACCTCAGAAAACACAAGGAAGAGAGGAAGAAGAGAATCTCGTCAAAGTAAAAATTGGTGTCAATGGGATTTGGCGGATGATATTGGATTTTGGGGTGGAATAATAAAAATTGATGGATCGTATTTTTCTAGGTATTTTTTCTCTCAATTCTACTATACCTAATAGGACCATAGCAGCTGCCCGGTTGGAGAAAGAAGCAGGGAAGGTTCCACTTGAACAAGGTGTGGTGCGTGCATTAGCCCTATGCTAATGTCTCCGGCTCCTTCTTTTCCAGTTGGCCATTTGTGTTACATTTCCATGAATTTCCAATCAAGTCAGTGGATCTAGAAAGTCTGTTAGTGTCGCTATCGCAACTACCAGAACTACTACTACTAGGTGCATACCTACCCATTTAATACCTGCATATCTGGATTATGTGACTCAGGCAACCGGAACGTAACCCAAGGTATTACCTAGTAGGTAAGTACCTAGGCGGGCTACAACTTTTGATAATGCGGCTTTCCTGAAGTCGTCATTAATTAGTACCGATTCCAATATCAAGACATAGAAGAATAGTAAGTCTATGCAACGCCCTCGTCTCCATTCACCAAACAGACCCAATATTAATCCATTTACAAGACTTGGACGAAAGCAATTATTCACCGCAAGAGAAGAATAACAGTATACATACCTAGGTAGCTAGGTAGGTACGCTAACATGGTTCCAGAATCATCACCTGCATTCGCTATTTTGTGGTATCTGTATGTATGTATCCCCCCGCCCCCTCCAAAGGCCAGATCGTCAGTATATTAAAAGTTGCAAAATCAAAAATCCACAGAGCTCCCATGACGAAACCATATCATTGCCTGGCTGCCTAGCTGCCTAGAAGCCATGGGTTCCTAGCTGATCATTGATGATTATTACCTAGGTATTGTACCTACCTAGGTAAGCATGCTTGTAAAAGTACAAGCTACTATAGGCTACAGGTTACAGGCTAGATACAGTACAGCTGAGAACGCTGAGAATAGCATGGACGAGTAAAACTAGTAGGTAGCAGAGCGGCGCGGCAGCTTCGGAAACAACCTTGGAAAGTTTTTCGTTAAGCTACTATGTAAGAGAACAAACCGGGAGGATCAAGATGTGTGCAGGCAGGCAGGACCACCGGGTCTATGGGGAAGGATCCTGATTCGTCTGAGCTTGGCCGAGATACCCAATGAGGAAAGGCCCTCATCCTAGACAGTGGGTGAAGCCGGAACTCTATCCCAGTCTGTCGGGATTCGACGTTGCCCGCGCCCACTCCTCCAGGTGCATCATAATATTAATACACACCTACATATGTCATACATACAGTTCGCAATTGTGTAAGTAAGCATGGATGTGCTATTATAGTATGGCGGCTCGAAGCTTTCGCGGAGAAATCTCATGATGTTGGCCTGGTACCCCAGATTTTACTTCTTCGAAGAGTCGAGGAAGACGGCAATTGCAACTTGGCGGCGGCGATAAATTTGAACCCTGAATATTTAAGCTCGGCCGATGAGAAATTTTAGTATCGCGATAATATCGGCAATCTATGTACATGGTAATTCAGATTCATGCCATAACGAATTAAACCAATTGAGCGAAAGGGGGGGATATTGATAAGGAAATCGAAATGGAAAAGTTATACCACGCTACATAATTATCCTCACGGGCTTTCTTAATACCTCAATCGCCCCATCAAATTTTTATATTTAGGGCTCTCTTACTTCGCAGAACTTTCCCACACTTAAGATGCGAAGTTTCCGAGCACGCGACGCAACTATGTGATAAGGTACATATGTAGGTAGGTATGTATGTAATCCACTAACACTTTAGAGAATAACATCCATTCAGCCGCCTTAAGCCCTAAGTGGGTATGAGGGGGAAAGGGGGGGAGAAGTGGCATAAGAGAACTCACGGGATCAACTTCTGCTTCCTGCAACGAAAATGCTCCGCGACGTCTCACTTCATCAACCATGCACCGCCTCGTGTCCACGGGAATTGCTGGGCATGCTAACGTCCGAGTCCGATCCTAACCCCGTATCCCGACGGCCTAGCCATTGCCCCGTTCTTCCGCTTATGTAAATTACCGATTTACTAGTTGGAATTCCAGGAACTCATCCTCCGAAGTCGACCGGGTTCTTAAGTAATATCAGATGCGTCACTATATGTATATCTTGATAAGTTAACCTAGGTACATACCTACCTACCTACCTACCTAGATATCCATATAGTACATGCTAACATTGAAGCAGCTTCCAAGTTCTGTTCGGTTAGGTCTACCCGGCCTAGCTCGGTCATTAGCCACGCAGGCCGCGTAAAAGGTACCTAGGTAGCCATGAGGATTGCTTATAATTAATTTGAGAACTGCTGAATGTTTCTTGGTTTATCGAAGTCACTTGCACAATGGTGTAAGCAATTTGCATGACTCACGCAGAATGCTGCACTGCAGCACCGTAATAAAATTAGGATAGTTTGATTTTTAAAATGATTTTTAATATTATATCCGAGTTCCTTCGGTGCGTTTCTTAACCGACTGTATATTGTAAATCGTCGATCCCATACATTAGTAGAGCATCTATGCATGTGCTTTACCGTTTGCAAGGTCCAATATTACCAACGCTACTACTTATGCACCCTACTATTTAGCTCTCTGGATTATAAGTTGTCTATTCGCTCGAAGTAGGTACTTATTTATCTACAGAGAAGGACAAGTTATAGCATATACCTGCCTGATAGGCTGATACTAGATAAGGCATACTGCAGAATAGATACAATCGATTGAAGGTGTCGCAAAATCGCTGAAGACTTCACGACGATAGCTCTCCATGAGAGAATAAGGAGTCAACATTTTTTTCATTCTTTTTTTCAGGTTCCCATTCCACCGACCTAGTAATCTAGTGATATAATGTTGTGGAATGTAAGTATTATGGCCTGCCGATGGATTTCTAACTCTGCTAGGAAGATTTGCAAGATAGTCTTCATTTCTTAGAAAAGAAGGACATGATATTACCTTGACCCTTCCCAGCTACCTTCTTGGATTTCGTAGCGGTTTCTGACTTGATCGGCTGGGCTTTTGGTTTGGCCGATGGAGGAGGGGCCTTCTCTTCCTCCGAGAACGACTCCCAGCCCTGTTCTTGTATTGTCACGAGATATCCTTTATCGTCCATGACCTGCTTCTTCTTTGTGACACGTCGTCTTCCCCTTCGCCGACCGTCACCTGTACTTGACACTATCTCTGCGGGTTCTTCTGCCTTGGGCTCCGGCTCCGGTTCAGGCTCGGGAGGTTCCTCTTCCATAGGTTCATCAGCCGGACTTTCCGGTTTCTCAGGTTCCTCTTCATCGCTTTCTTCCATCATACGACGAAGCTCAGCCTGCCGATTTATTCTCGATTGTCTAGCGCTACCAGACTCGTCTTTGGCTCCGGGCATTGGCCCTGTGTCATCTTCTCCATCATCCGACATAGCTGTTTTCTGGTCATCCTCAGCGGCGGGTTTCGTGACAGGTTTCTTGGGTCGAGCGGCCGCCTTGGCAAACATCTGCCCAATACCTCCCGAGGAACCTTGGCGCTTTAGTGAAGCGGCTGCGGACTTTTTGGTAGTTGAAGCTGCCGGTCCTTTTGCACTGGCTTGAGGTGCTGCTTTTGGTTCCTCTTTGTCGATGGGAAGTTTTAACTCCTGCGTCGATTCGACCTTAGCAGCAGGCGCACTAGCAACAGGCTTGGATACTGGTCTACGGCGCTCCCTTCTGTGTGTATTGGGATTGGCGATGGAACCAAAGTCCTTGCTCGTGGCTGGAACATCACCTACGGTCGATAATTCTATAACCTGCCGACCTGTATCGGCTAGCAGCTGAAGATCCTTGAGTGGATGTTGCGCTAAGCTATAGATGTGAATAGACGTGACCTTGTCATATTCTGCTAGCACATCTACCCTCTATTAGTAAAGCTGATGAAGGTGTGTGCATTCTTACCAACCTTGCAGTTGCTCCTCCTTGACCAGAGAGAGCGTGTAAGTGGGGGTATCGTCTAAGAATGGAACGTGTGGCACTTCCGAGTTTTGTGAGTCGGTCATCTTTACGTCGCCATCCTGCTCTTCCGCCTTTTCCAACTTCTTACTGCCATACACGAGATAGGTAGCATGAAGACTTCCTGGACGTTTGTCATTTTGCCATTTATGGAACTCGTATAGCATCCTGGGAATGGTTAGTATTCTTCGATTTTGCAAAATAAAGGTATACACATACTCTTTAGCGGTATTGACATGCACCTTCAAGGACCGGCTCAGAAGGCGATATGAGATCTTTAGAATAAACGGGTTAATGATGTGGAACTTGAATCCTCACACAGATTATCATAACGTACGATATGATCCTCCGTAAGGATTTTCTGAGCTAAATACTGCTTATAGTCGTCCATATTGATTAGTTGTTGAAAGGATTGATTGACTAAAATTTTGCCGCCGAGCAAGTTGCAGTATGTCTCATTCCCTTTTTACTTGATCCTAGATTGCTTAGAAGCTTCCGCAAAGAATTAACTGCCGACTATGGATTATTAGATCGAAATGCAATTGAAATATAGGTAAAAAGTTAATAGTGGCCGTTGCCGTTGCCGTTGTCCAGGGCTAGAATCTTAATGTGGTCGACCGCGTAGAGAAAGAGCGACGCGTTAAGTGGTGGGGGCCGGTGGTTTACAGGTCCAATACACTATAGTGACAGGGGTTTACTTTTTAAGTGGTCGGCGCGTCAAAAGGGAATCGCGACTCAATGATCTCATCAGACATACGTACATTCACGCTTTAATTTTAATTTGGACCCTTCTAAGTTGTGTCAGCTACAAGTTCTTTCATAACATGCGTACATATCTGTCCTACTTGGTACTGTACACCTATAGTAAATCTTCATATATTTGTTGTCACCAAAGAATTGCGAAAGATTGAAATCCCCGAAGAACTAGGCTCACCTACGCGCCAAAGTTACAATAAGCACCCTTAAATCTCTTCAAAACTATCTTTTCCGATCCAATGAATGACAACATACTCGAGCCCTTCGACGATGTCGCCGACTCTACAGACTGGCTATCAACGCCGCTTTCTGGCCTTGCTGCCGTAGAAGCTGCATTGCGATGTCAAGTCTGCAAAGACTTCTACAAGACACCGATGCTTACCTCCTGCAATCATACCTTCTGCTCAATATGCATTCGACGCGCGCTTTCTAACGACGGAAAATGCCCCCTATGTCGCACATCCGAGCAAGAAATGAAATTACGTAGCAACTGGTCCATGGAAGAGGTTGTAGCAACATTTACGAAGACCCGTACAAGCATTCTACTTTTCGCAAGGTCACAAGGGGTAGTAGCTGAGCCGTCGAAGAGGAAGTTAGAGGAGACGGAGGATTCCGAATCAGGTATCCAGCCATCAGGTAAGAGATTGCGATCTTCCACAAGATTAAGCAAGTCGAGAAGTATGGAGGCGACTTCCGAGATGGCGCGCTTGGAGGCCGACATACCAGACCAAGATCAAAGTAATTTCGAACCTGACGACGGGCTTGTTGCATGTCCTATCTGTTGGCAACGCATGAAAGCAGCCCAGGTCGACAGGCATATTGATATGTCATGTCCGAGCGAACCACAACCGCAAACAACACCTTCGAGCCAACCCTCCCGATCTATGAGCATACCGGTTTCATCTCCCAAAAAGTTACCACCTAGAAATGTGGATCGATTGCCTGCAATCAACTACTCAATGATTAAAGAGCAACAACTACGAAAGAAGCTATCAGAGCTGGGCATATCGACAGCAGGAAGCCGACAGATGTTAGAGAAGAGACATAAGGAGTGGATGACAATATGGAACGCAAATTGCGACTCGCAATACCCGAGGCAGAAACGAGAACTATTACACGACCTAGACTCGTGGGAGCGTACGATGGGTGCCAGGGCACCTGTATTTTCAAAGTCAATTACCACCGGGGTGCAAATTAAAGACAAGGACTTCGATGGCGCTGCGTGGTCTACTAAACACGACGATTCGTTCAAGGGCCTAATAGCTAATGCGCGACGAAACAGAGCTTTGGCAGAGCAAAAAGCTAGCGAAGGCGATAAATGTACGGAGGCGACGCAGCAAACCGTTGATGTCGGAAACGGAGGAAAGGAAATCGAGGAAGGTGATGCTGTTCCGCAGCTGGATGTAGGGATGCCAATATCATCACTATCCTGGGAAGAACGGCAAGGCCCTGTCGGTCACGCATCAGCAAGTAGAGTAATTGATTTAACAGGTAATGGGGTTTCCCCAGATGGGGGCAGCGGGACGGTAGATCTAGATACTTCATCCAAACCGACAGTGTTATCATGAATTATATATTGCTTGCTCCAATGGAAGAGGGAAAGGCCGATTTAGTATTAGATGGTTGCTAATGAATTTACTCGGCCTTCTGCGCTATCTTCTGCGCCCCATTATCATTCTTTATATGCATGTCTCCCAACTCATTAGCAGTGGTAGTAACGGGTGTAATAGGTCTCGTATCCTTCTCCGTCATCTGACTAGGCACAGGTAATGGTCCTAACTTCTCCAGTTCGGCCAACCTTAGCCTCGTCTCTTCGGATTCTCTCTCTTCCTGGGCTTCCCGCTTGATCCTCTCTGTCTCCTCGTCCTTCTTCCGCTCCTCCGCTAGCATGGCTTCGAATTCGTCATCTACCTCCGTCTCGTCGATAGTGGCGCCAGGTCCTACTTCGGCGATTACGTTGCCTACTTCATCCACTTCGCCCATCTGCTCGCGGAGATTATCTAGTACCTCATCGACTTTGTCGGCGCCACCCACTTGGGCGTTTAAGTTGCGAAGCGCAACCGTGCTTGACTGCATGACCTTCACCAATTGGACATTATCAGCTGCCTGCTCGATCTTAGCAGCAACATCTTCTAGCTGGCTGAGAGTAGCGTGACGCCGCGAAAGATTCGCTTCGGCCTGCTTCTTTGACTTGAGAGACGCCAGCGCGGCAACCCGGTTCTTTCTGCGCACAGCATCTTGGGCGGCGAGGTTTAGTTCGTCGATGCGATGGTTCAATATCTTGGTTTGTCGTGTCAAGTCTTCCATCAGCTCCTTTAGGGACGCAATCGCTGAGTCTTCCTCAGTGACAGTCGCATCTTCAGCACTATTCCGGATCTTGATTGTGTTCCCATCCGTAGCTAGTATGTGCTTGTCTCGCGATAGAAACTTTACCAGTACCTCGAAGTCCGTCTCGGATAGTCGTTGATTCTCCTCGAGTAAGCCCTCGGCAAAGGTTCGTCTAAAATGAGCCTTCGAGAAGCTTCGCTCGAATGGTGAAGTACGGTCTACGATTGCCTCGCTAAATGCCTTGGCAATCGCGTCCAGATTTTGCAATACCACGAACTGGCCCCGGGGTAGACTGTCGCCTGGTCCACCTATTCCTACCTGCTTAAGCCCCCACGACATGACAGACCACGGTATATTCCCCCATGATCGGTAGTATATACTCTCCTTGGTCTTGAGGAACTGTTGCAGTGACATCATCTCTCCGTTCGCTATAGCATCCTGTAGAACAGTTCCCAATGCTAGGGGCCGCCCGAATTGCTTACTTTCGAGGGAGCGTAGGAGCGAATCGCTGTCTAGATCGAGGATCAGGTGATTCCGTGTAGTTGATTTAGATGGTGCGTAGCCGGCGAGCGCGGCAGAAGAGAGCGCCTGCTTCCATGCTGCGACGTTGGCGACGAAGCCATCTGGATTTAGGGTCCGTTGGGAACGGAAATCGGAGTAGAGAGCTGGAAGGCGAGCCCTATTGACGGATATCTTATGTTAGAGAAGATACTTCTTCGATTCCCCCATAATGGAGTAACGGGTGGGTCTTTACCTTCTAAAATTCTGATCATGCTGTACTAGATAGTTGAGAAGATCACTCATGTTGAGGATAGAGTTGGACCAGATGAGAGACCTTGGGGATATGACGGTTTCACGCTTCTTCGAGGTCTACCCGAGTGCTTCCAAGTTGCTTCCAAGTTGCGTGTGCGGAAAGAATGAACCAGGGAGACGAGATCGCATAATAAGTATGTATCCTGTCTGTTCCTAAATGTCGGTGAGTACTAGGTACTGACGCACAATTCCTAGTGAAGGTCTACATATGCATAGTAGGCAACAGACTCGATGGTCTTAGACCCTTGAGATTTAACTTGAATTGTTAACTGTTAATTGTGAGAAATTGTAGGTTGAAAGCCTGAAGTCGAGCCGTGTTTTTAAGGTACCCGGGATGCTAAAAGTACATACCTAGGTACCTACAAAGGACCTATTTGAGGTTCAATGCTTATCAGCGCGATCCCGACGTCACTGAGCACTAACTACAGCGGCCGGACATTAGTTTGAGTCCTGATCTGGTAGACCTGAAGTACCGCCAAGACTGACTATCCCTGGTATGGTAGTTAAAATGCTGCTGCTTTTAAAATGTGGGCTTCATGAGGGATCATTACGTAAGTTTTTGATCAAAAATCATAAAGCAGCGATTGAAAAGTTGCTATATTGGGTATAGCTCATACCTAATAGAGAATAGCTTAATCTGTATTTTGGCGGTACTTCAGGTTTATCAGATCAGACTCAAACTAATGTCCGGTCGCTGTATGTAGTACTGTAGAGTTGCTGATAAGCCTTGTGGAGATGCCCGAGTCCAAGCTAGGTAGGTACCTAAGTACCTAAGGTTTCCAGAATACTACGTACCTAGGTAGGTACAATGCCCCTAAAATTCAACCCCTTACAGCTTGCAACTTACAATTTCTATTCACCTCCAGGTTTCCAAGGTTAACGCCAACAACATATCGTTAATTTGGGAGTTATTCGGCGATAGCAACTCTAAGTCCGGGTGCCCTAAAGTCAATTTAACTACATCTGAACTGGATCGCTATGCCATTGGGTGACATGCTATCACGTATTCTACATGTATTAGTCTAGGTAGAGACGGATGGCGCCAGCAGCTGCTACCATTTACCGATTTCTATTCGTAGGCTCACCAACCACGTTGGTAAAGACTTGGTTACAACCATACCCGTCGTTGTACTGAAGGTAGAGCATTCCAAGAACATCGTGTTGTATTGTATAGATGAGCTGTAGTGAGTATAAATATAAAATAACAGTTGGTTGAGATATTTTCACAATAAAAGTCTTGAGAAGACGTTAACAGGTTACGGGTTACAGATCCCTCTCCAGGGGCGTCCATGATCCCCTATCTAGGATACGGTAGTATACCTACTAAGACCATCCGAGACAGCCACTCCCCTTCACCGGGGCTAAGTAATGACTCAGCTTAGATGCTACTAGGTATGCTATGGATCGTATTTTGAGGTTTGATGGCGATTTAAACCTGGCTACCTGTATGCACATACGGCCGTAGCTTGCGTTAACACCGCACCTTAAGCTATAGTATACAATAATATAAATTCGGAATGTTTTCCCGCTCCCTAACCTTGTGATGAGGTATAACACAGTTGAAGAACAAGCACAATTAACTCTCTATTTCATCCTGTCAGGTTCCATTGGACTCTATATACCGCCAGCCATGTCTTTTACATTCACCAAGCCTAAGGCCAAATTGACTTGGCTCATCACAGGGTGCTCCTCGCCCTCAGGGTTTGGTATGGCACTAACTCGGATAGCCTTAGGGGCAGGTCACACAGTCATCGCAACTTCACGAAACCCCTCGCGTACGCCCAACCTTGTCGTCGAAGTTGAGAGTAACGGGGGAAGGTGGCTGAAGCTTGATGTGGATGACAGGAATAGCGGTGATATAATCGAGGAGCTTGAAATGTCTGGTGTTGAAATCGACGTGTTGGTAAACAACGCCGGCTTCTCTATCTTCTCTCCCGTCGAGACCTCTACGGAGGAGGAGATCCGTGGACAGATGGAATCCATGTACTTTGGCCCCTTGCGTCTGATCAGAGCCGTCCTACCTCGCATGCGCAAACGCCGCTACGGTGTCATCGCGAACTTCAGCACAGGCGGCTCTCTCGAGGGCAGAGATACTATGGGTCCCTATGCTGGGGCGAAAGCTGGCCTTGATGGTACGTTTAATGTAGCTGCCGCTTCTCATATGGTCATTTGCTTACCTACCCAATAACAGGTATAACTAGAGTTCTAGCAAAAGAGGTGGCGCCATACAATATTCGGACTTTGACTATCATCCTAGGCGCATTTAACACAGACATGGGCGTCCACACTGTCGTAGGCAAGAATCCTCTTCCCGAAGACTACAAGGGTTCTGTTTCCGACAAGATGTTCCAGTTTCTCAGCAGTCCTAAGTCTAAGCTACCGGGCGTGAATTTCACCATGGGTGATAAAGATAAGGCTATGAGGGCCGTCTATGAAGTGGTTCTTGGAGAGGGAATTGGAACTGGACGTGAGGCGGAGCGAGTTATTCCTCTGGGTATGGATATGACAACTCGCGTAAACGGGATTATAGAATCGTATAGGCATGCCTTGGAGGCCTTTGAACATGTCACTAACCATGTTGCTGTCGACAAATGATCAACCTACTAATGTTAGTTCCGACACAGGATGTCTTCATAACTTAGATAGGTAAGTAGATATTTATTTATATCAATTCTTATACCTAGGTACCTATAAATATCATACTCTACCATTAATTTAGAGACACGAGGACTTTAGTCATTACCTACTTAATTGCGAATATTTATGCTATCTTTCTAGTAAAAGTTTCGCGGGCATCGGCTGCAACTTCTAAAAAAGAAGATACAACTCAAACAATATATGATTACCCTCGTAGAAACTAAGGTAGTTGCACGTGTATGAGGTTGCTTTGAATATTTTGAAGCTACACTGGAGGTCGGATATAAGGTACTGGATATTGCAGAGTATGTACACTCCTTCTTAGATGTCCCAAATTTGTGCCAATCTTCCCCTTTACGGCCTCCCGCGTTTGCTTGAGGCTACTACCTACCAATATTCCTAGCGGAGGACGATTGCCATGACAGTGGCTTTATAATATATAAATAGGTATTATAATCTTATAGGTACTCGATGGCCGTACCTGAGGACTGTGAAGGCATCCTATGCATATATTCAGCCGTTAAATCACCTGTGACTTGTTCAGGGGCACTGAGTACCAATAGAAACAGGTGCTCCCCCAAGACTCATCCTCGTTTATCTCAACACAGCCGCCGGAATAACGCGGTTCTGAGTGTCTACTCTAGAGTTATCACTTAGATGTGAAGTTTTATTAAGGTAATTAATATACGTGGGTTAGTTAATATAGTCGGCGGTAGAAGCTAGATGCGCACTGGTGCCAAGATTGTTGATATCACCGTCCATTGCTACTTGAAAATTCTTGTCAAGCCGCTACCGAACTTTGTTCTTTCTTCTAGAAGAAATAACGTTAGAAACGAGTGTTAGACAATAAACTACACACTATTTGTCTTTCTCCCCTAACCTAGTGTGTTGAAGTTGTATATCACTCAGCAAGAATAAAATCAATATATACCTACCTAAGTAAAAAACAACTAAGCTACATATAGCATTAGCTTGAGAGCAAGTTATCGTGAATGATGGTTTAGAAACTGCCAATCCATCCTATTCGATAGGTGTCTTCGTATCTCTATTATAATTTATGTGCAACCGTGATACTGTTTAACATGCTGCAGAATGCATATCGCCCAAGCATGCCCCCTTCCAATACTTTTACTCCATCCATGCCCAGACCTGCCTTCGCATAGTAACCCTCGCTGATGCCAAGCTCCCGACCCGACCCGATTTGCTCTGATCTTTTCTACAAATAGTTCTCGAGCACCGTCTATCGGCACTGTGGAGTGTCGTACTACGTCCGGGAAGGGAATATGTGCCTGAGAAAAGTGGGCAAAGTATAAAAGAGTTAAACGTCGCATATGCCGCCTTAGAAGGTATCGATAAATATCCCAACATTCATACTCGGAGACAGACCGGCGTCCTTATTTGGCGTATGATATTCTATGTACAATTCCGCTGCAGCAGACCCTAACCATGCTTTTTTTCTTTTAAATACACCTCAGAGAAGCCCCTGAGAATTATAAGCATTTGACCGGCTGGGCGGTTCATACCAATTCTGGTATGGATGGTTTGGGAGACTGAAATCGGCAAAACTCAACGGATTGACATGCATCGGTCGCGGTGCTGCTAACTGCGGAGGACCCGACTGCGAAACTGTGGGCATCATCTGTTGTTGCGGAGGTGTAGTCGTCCGAATTGTTTGTATGGCCTCCATCTGTTGCTGACGCTTTGGTAGTCCCATCGTTGTCTTATGACCAACATCAGCTCGGGGTAGAAATTGAGCCGCGAGTCCTTTCTGCCCCATCTTCTCCCAACCCCAAATTTTCTTGAGATTTTGGATGACACCCGCAAGCTTCCAACCTGTCTCATGGTCGATCCTCTCTAGAGTTGCTACCACCTCCTGCTGCTCTGCGAGATCGGTCAAAATCTCGGCTACAATAGCTAGAGATCTAATGGAGACACTGGCAACACCGCGGTCCTCGGTGTGTGCTACAATACCACAGACCTGATGAGCATGATGCTGTTGAACGCTGCGCGCCTCTTCGGAATCTTTAGGAAGAACAGGGTTGATTTGAGCAAGCAGACACTGCGCTGTGTGGTAATAGAGCCTACCGACAATGGCGGCGCGCTTGATGAGCCTTAGTAATCATTAGCCTTCTTGTTCTAAGCAACATAAATAGCCAACGACATGGATGGGAGATGACAGGGATGACATAACATACCAAACGTTTGGAAACAGCGATTTGTTGGCACCCGTCTGCTGGGAAGGATATAAGTAACCGAATGGGTGCATGGGACGAGGGCAGGAATTGTTCCAGCTGTCACACATATTCTTGAGGCGCTGCCACTCTGCATATCTAGCTTGCAATCGAACTTGCTCGTCGCGGGGGCTGGGCTCTTGAAACTTGGGGATGCTGGCGCGGAAATTGGCTATCTTGGCCACGATATAGAAAATGCGATGGACCCAAACCTCCTCGTTGCCCGTGTCCGTCTCGGTGCTGAAATCCATATCGACGCCCCATTGGTCTGGTTCCCATGCAGTCTGCCAGTTGAATGCTAGGCATGACAGAAGCTCCATACCAACATTTAACCAAAAACAAGCGGCACCCAACCCATCACTCTTTGCGTTCCACCCGCACTCGCGGATGAGTGCTCGTGCGCCAGCGATATGGCTCATACGCTGCGTCGGTTTCTCACTCATGATTTCGTACACGTTCAGCACCACAGCAGTAGCTGCGCATTCGGCAGTGTTGCGTTCCGGGTTCTGCAAGCTACGCAGAAGCTGTGTTGTCGCCGTATCGTAGTAGAAGAGTGCCTTGTCATCTCCGTATTGTTTCGTGAGTGTAAGATGCTTCACTCCGCATGCGAGGAGCGCGTTTAGAAGCATCGGGCACTTGAGCGCATGGTATGGAATTAGGCGGGAGAAGTGCTTTTCTTTATCGAGGCTGTCCATCCAAACACCTACTTCGGCTACGAAAACCTGCATGAACCGTAATTCCTCGGGTGAATTGAGGTATTCTCGTTCCCCAGACTTTTCACTCGAAGGTGTCATTATACCTGCATCGACATCCGCTTCCACATTACTATCCCCCGAACCTCGAAAGGTGGACGGTGGGCCAGCGCTAGTGAAGCCGGCCACGGAATTTGTTGCCGACGCATCGCTACTCCGGTACCCGTTGTGGGATGGGGCGCGGCTCACTTCGCTTTTGACGGCCACAAATGAATCTGATACTATGTTACCGTATCCTGTTGAGTGAGAAGAGCCTAGATGAGCCATGAAGGAAGCGTCACTGCCCTTCCGCGAATGCGGCTGGCCGTCTGCGATAAGATCCAGATGTGCCTGACCTCGCTCCCCGTAGTAAATTGTTTGTGCCGTCGGCATCATTCCCACGGACCTCGTCTCGACCCTGCTCCGTGGTTCGAAATTCTCAACGACGGGTGGCCGTAGTCGACGGGTAGGATCAGGGTCGGATTCCCGCGGCGGGGTGACAGCTTGATACCTTCCTAAACCCCCTTGATATTCTGACGCGATCATACGAGACTCGTCTTGAAATTGTACTATATTTATGTTAGCGTTGAGGAGAGTCTAGCGGCCTCCGGCGCAAGGAGAACATACCCGCCCATTCTTCTGCCATAGGTATATAAGGTGGCTCCTTGCAAGTCATATCGATGAAGTTCAACCGCACGCCTCGCTTGCACTCCCTATTGCTCTTCCGGCAATTCAGGCAGTCCGGTGTACCCTCATCGCACTTGAGATGTCTCTCTCTACAAGTTAAGCAGCCTGTCCGAACTCTCCTGCTCTTAATGGGGACCGCATCCGAAGAAGTCATATCGGCGGCCTTGCCAGGCTTGGCTGAAGCACCCCTCTTCGGGTTGGGCGAATCAGGACTGGAGAGTCTCCGACGCTTCGAAGCAGAGAAGCAGAATTGGTCGCTCGGGTAGCCGCTGTTGACGGTGTACAATGGTAAAGACTGCTCGGCATAGTGGTGCATCAATGGCGCAGGCGCGCCGAGTGGGTAGCCCGCTACGAGTATATTCAACGGGGCGACGTCGTAAGCCGCCAGGACTACGGTGGATAAGCCCCCGTATATACGAGGTAGCTTGGGCGAGTTGGGTTAATAATGATAATAATATAATAAAGTGTGACTCTTTTGGAACCTTCGGCAACGGATCAGGCAAATGAGCAAATACTATCCTCTGCAACTTCTCAAGCCAAGAGTGTCTTTATCACTACTATATCGACAGCCTCGTTAATAATGGTCAATACGTACAATGCCCACCTTTTTGAAGGTCTGTTAGGCAAGTACTGTCGAGGACGGGACACGGATGGTGGGGAGGGGGAGGGATTGATAGGTTCTGCTGAACGCTTCGAGATCCTTCGGTACGGTCTGTACGGCGTGGCGTACACAAGGGGCCACGGCTGCTTATTCTCCAGAGTTAAGCTCAGGCACAGGATCTTGATATGTGTACCGAATGTCTCGGGGTTTGGTCGAGACGAATGCTAGCTGATTGGAAGCTCTCGATTAGGCGAAGCTGTGGTGTACCGTTGCGAGTGGCTTGTGTGTCGTGCCAATTTAAAGATTAGGACTAGGAAGCCAGATAGTTGATTTGCTTTCTCTTCCTTTTCACCTTCTCTCCTTTCCTTATCTATTCTACGGCTTGCGATCCGCGATCTTCTCTGATTTCCGAATGGCCTAGATCGAATTAGCTTCTACGCATAGGTTTGCGGTCGTGTAGATGTGCAACTGTGTAGTTGTGTTTAGTTCGTAGTTCTTTGAATAGAGAAAAGGAAGGTTTGAATGCTAAGTAGACTTGGCGTCTGATTACTCAGAATATATGGGCAATAAGGTAATAAGAGATAGGAAGGTACGAAAGATAGGACGGGTAGCCTTTAGAACATGGAAGTCATGCCGCCTCAACGTTCCAAGGTTGCTTCCTACCTAGTACACTTAATAAGATGTATATATGTACCTACTTGTAGCGATGTGATAAAGTTCAAGAGGGGGAGGCGCAATGATGAAAAAGAAAAGAAAGGCACAACCTTGAACCTCCACCTAAACAGTTCAAACGGCTACCGGTCCGAGTGGTGTAGAGTATAACAAGTACAAGTAGTAAGTAGGATGGATGATCACGATGATCTTCTGAAAAACAATTGCAATTATAATAATAGTAACTAGCCGTAGTTATAGTCGTTTGTACTTGTAGTTGTACTTGTAATAGATGGGTAGGCAAGGAAAGATGAAGTAGTTAAAATTGATATTTAGTTTATCTGTATTGTTCGTATTAGTAAAGTATGGTCATCTAAATGTATATTCGATAGTTCCAATACGTATAGTTTTGTTTGTTACTTCATGAAGCCGCAGCAGAAATACTCAAGGAAGTCTCCAACCATTCCGTTTTTCTATGCTACACTTTCTAGAAATAACACGGAACGTACATCTCGCTTTCGTACAAGAAGTATTCGGAATTGATCGGTGATCGAATCATCAGTCAAAATATTTACAGGGGTAGCTTTTTGGCGTGAGATCCCTTCAATACCAAAACGTTGCCCCTTGTCTTGTTTTCTCTTTTTAACCTTGTTAGTGAGAGCCAAAGCTGGACGCAGATCCGACTAGGGGGTAACTGACCAACCATATCGATCGAAACCGACTACTTTCCACGATTCGTGCCCTTTTTAGTGTCTAGTACGTCTCCACCGCCCCAATATCATGGTAGCATCCCGCTCTCCGTGACGAGTATCTCTTGTTAGAGATGTGCTTCGGCTTAAGTTGCTTCCAGGAGCTCAGAGGCGCGCCGAGAAGTCCAGGGGGGGTCTTTCGGCGGATATCTTACCAGGCACATACATAATAAAATCTAAACTAGAAACGCCGCGCAGACTCCAACGCATGACCAAGGAAACTACACAAAAGAACTAGATAGAAAAGAAGAAAAAAACACGCGAGCTATGAGGTCTAATACGCAAATAGGACCCTGCCAAGCTTCTATGCAGGTGTAAATTATACGGGGATAAGACAGATTGGATAAATATGTCCAAGGTATCAAGTCCGCTAAAATACTTGGCACGTAGGTATCGAAAATATCCACCTTCTGTCTAATGTTGGAGGTTTGCTCCTTTCGAATGTTATGCCGTCATGAAGAAATACGGTCTTCCTTCTAAAGGTTGGATGGTGGCTATGAAGCTTCGGTGCTGTTTGATCGTCTCACAGTGGCAGAGTGGTTACCTACCTGGTACCTACCTAGTAGGTATCTATTATTCTCCACTAACCTTGTCCATAATTTTATACCTGTCAGCTTGGGTAGGTCAAATCGTAGAAATATCTATGGAGAGATCAGCTCTAATCGTACATAATTAGATGAATCGCGATGTCATCTTGTAGCATATTTGCATATGTACTAGGCAGGTATGCATGAAGTCGATACTTAGGTATATTATAGATGTATGTCATAGTTGTGGTACGGGACGCGAATAGGTACTGACAATTGTTTCGCCGACGTTTGGATGGGATGGTTTTTCGTTTCAACCAACATTGGCCTGCAGTGCGTTCGATCCGGATGGGTCTCGGCAGAGAAGCGAAACCCCCTGCCATCCGGTCTCAGCGGGCTTAGCAAATGGATGAGGGGTGGGGTTTGGAGCTAATGCTGCCGATCAAGTTGCTTCCTCGCCGGTTTCGACGGAAACCGAGAACTCGTAAGCGCTACTACTTACCAATATCTTAGGTATTTACCTAGGTACAGTAGGTACAATACATACCTACCTAGGTACCTAATGTAGGCTGGTAGGTAAAGATTTGGCAGTACCTATGTTTCGATATCAGTTATTGATTCAGTACTAGGTATGGCCGGTATGGATTTATCAGCCAATCTGATAATTCTAGGCGGTCGCATATTCCAATCCACAGCATACCTACCCGAAAGAAGAGCCGACATGGATCTCCAATGGCGGTGCTGAAGACATAAAGCGATGCAGATAATGTCAGATGATCCCTCAGAAACGTGAGGATACGTATGACACGTGCTTTAGATTGGAGGCGATCGAGGGCTTCTAGTAAGAAGGTAAGATGACTTAGCCAATGAGGGCATCACCGAGATGGAAGCGATATTAAAATAGGCCAAATTTCAGACCCGGCTCGTAAAAAGTCGGATCCGGTAAGGAGAACTGTCGACAAGTGCCATGTGTTTCTTGTTGCGGGTAGTTGCTTGCATCTAACATGGTACATAGAGGATATTACCATTACCTAGTATGTGTACCAGGTATAACCTACCTACCTAGGTATGCAGGCTATCATTGGATCTCTCGGTATCACAGGCTACACTCATACTAGGTACGCTTTCAGGGACCTAGGTAGGTAGGTCGGTAGGTAAGTAACGTAACTTGCTGGGCGGAGAAGTGCTGTCGGCGCGACCTGTCGTCCTACGTGTTTGCTTCATTGGACGACACCACCCGAAGACCCATAGAATAGAAAGGACGAAGGCGTCGTAGAACTTTGATGTTCATCGATGAGGCCATTAGCTTGCATGGCTACCTACCTAGGTACCGACGTAAGTACCAAGTAGATAGTCGTAAAATCTGAAAATCTGATCAAGTCCAGCTGAAATCACTTTCTTGTCGAGATATTGAACGTCTCGTAATACATGCCCTGGATGTCCGTCATGGGTATGGGAACATGGGAAGCCTGACCACTGTGCGTAATATTAGCAATACCTGTCTTATTTCGATATTCTCTAATACTTCGTGCACCTTTAGAATCAGATTAAACGATGATCATCTAACCTTAGATCTTGCGTGGGTTCGGGTAGTACCTACTAGGTGACTGCCCAGGTAGGTAGGTATGTGATATGTTTATATAATGGCTGACTAGGTGAAAATAGGATTAGGTAGTATGGAGGTGTTTTGAACCTTATTAAAATGTTGGAGTGTGATACAAAATAATCCACACACTAATACTAGGTATGTAGGTATTAGGTAGTAGTTAGGGTTAGATTAGGTAGTATGCAACTTAACATGTATTTTATCCCCGCTATCACATTAAATACAGATACTGGGTAGGTACTAGGTACCTACATACCTACTAGGTACCTCATAATGAAGTGAGGCAACTTTTGACGAAATCTTGACCTTGGAAACAATCATATTGATGCGGCTCAGTTGAATTATATAAATTTATCTTCTTAATAATTATCCACGACAAACCGTTTCGCTCGAGCAGAAATAGAGTCTTAGAAAGAGAACCATCGCCTACTCATCCCTCTAAACGTACATTTCCGTGGTTCCCGTACATACGCATCGCATAAATGATGGCGTACAAGGAGAAGAAATAAGCAATATAGCCTTCCTATCCTAGACGTGCTACAGGAGCTTATATTCTCGAAAATCAACTTCCGTCAGGAAAAATAACCATGTCTCAGCACCAGGACCAACCTGCGCAGCCTAAGTCTGTCCTTCGAGGTCATCGAGCTCAGGTGCACGTCACTACGTTTATTAGAGGCAACCAGAGACTAGCATCTGGAGATGCTGATGGCTTTGTAATACTCTGGGACTTGACTATCATGCGTCCTAGAGCTGTCTGGCGAGCTCACACGAACTCCATACTCGGAATCTCCGACTGGGACGGCGACAAGATAATTACGTAGGTTTAGTCTCATATCACAACATCTACTCTATTTCGTTTTATTTTAGCTTGATTTTATGATTGGTTGTTAGATAGCTGAGAAGGGCCTCTTAGACATGGTAGGGACAATCGACTAGTTGTGTGGAAACTAGGTAGTCAGGATGAAATTGCGATGAGCACTGCTCTTCCACTTGACGAATCCGTACCCGAACGACCTCAGCCGTGGATCCTATACATACTCGAAGTAAACACGTTAAACTTTTGCTCCTTTTCATGTTGCCCCCCCGTATCAGATATCGCTCGGGATGAAATACTCGTAGCGGTTCCTAACACGCTGGAATCCGAAGCTGTGAGTATCAAGCGTATCCCGGAAGGCGACATATCTCTCATGCCCCATATAGGTTGATATCTTCCAGCTTCCGAGTCAAAGACGACAAGGTACTGCTAATCTGGGAAATAAAACAGAGGACAAGGGTATGGCTATGTCGTTACGTCTGTTCCGGCTCAACGAATGCCTCACCCTCGTTGCTGCGTATGAATCTGGCCTCGCAGTGCTAGCGCAACTCGGAAGAGGCGAAACGTGGGACATTTTATATAGAGCACAAGTGCATAGTCAACCAGTGCTATCACTAGATGTGGATCCTCGCAAGAGATTTTTCTTAACCTCCGGTGCTGATTCTGTCATTGCAAAGCACCCGATTCCTACCGCAGCTATTCCAACCAAGGAGTCACAGGGCATAGGACAAACAAACGGCGAAACCGCTGCCCTCCCACTAGAGCCCAAGTCTGCCATACCCCCTAGGCAGGCTAGACAACGCATCGAAACACAGCCGCTAAAGACTATAAATACCAAGCACTCGGGACAACAGAGCCTCCGTATCCGATCCGATGGTAAAATTTTCGCGACGGCAGGATGGGACTCCAAAATCCGCGTCTATTCTACGAAGACTATGTCGGAGCTGGCCGTTCTAAAATGGCATGAAGTTGGCTGTTACGCAGTTGCCTTTGCCATATTGGCTGATACACAACCACTGGACTCCTTGAAGTCAAATCTTCAGAATGAAGAAACAGAAGAGAACTCCGAAAATGGAGTTGCTAATTCCCATATCCTAGACAATCGAGCTTCAACTAGAATGTCCACCTCACCCAAGCCAGGGCAGCTCAGTGTTAAGGATCGACGAATGAAGATGGCGAAAGGTGCTCATTGGTTAGCGGCTGGTAGTAAGGACGGGAAGATCAGCCTATGGGATATTTATTGAATACCACTTAGGTGGTCTCCAAAAGGTGCCGTGTCCTTTTCGTATTATCTACACATGTGCGATGTGCCTACTACGTCGTACATACTACATATTTTATGTCCACGAAAACTAGGCTAGGAGGTGCATAGTCACTTTCCACGACTACACGTATGATTACCTACATAGGCTTTTCTATCTCGGATATAAATCTAGGGCTCTATGGAAAGCAATGCTCATGTACTCTCAACTTCATTCGCCCGTAGTCCGATGACTATGCCGCTATTCTCTAGACGGCCTGGGTGACAACCCCACTAGCAGTGTCTTCCTTCATGGATGCATCCAACTCGACCTCAGCAGGCGGGATTACTATTCCATATTTACCATATGGGAAGTTGGTCAGATCGAGGAAGTAATCGGCCCACCCATCGTCGATCTGTCCTAACTGGTGTACATCGACGTGGCCTGCTTCGCCCATACGTCCTGCTAAAATCTCCGGTTCTCGACCTTCGTATTCTTTCTTCAGCATCGGATGAGGGCACCAGACAACTCTCATACCTGCACGTCGACCAGCCTCGACCCCCGGAACGCTATCTTCAAAAACCAAGCATTCCTCGGGAGTAATTGGCTTTTCACCTCGCTCTAGGCTGTCGTTGATCGTCTTTAGCGCCAACAAGTAGATATCTGGGAGCGGTTTGCCACGGCCAGGCTGGATGCGTTTGTCGTCGCCTAGGACTCTCCTATGCGACTCAAACACAGAGAACAGCTCGGTCCACTTAGAAGTTTTGACGGCGAAATTGGCCGATGTGCTACTTGTTGCTAGCGCAATGTGAACTCTTTGCGCCTTGTGCCCATCGCCAGTGCCCTCCTCTCCGTTCCTCACGCCGTTCTGGTCCTTGACATCCCACCATCTCGTCCTCCCCAAGTCACCGAGCAATTTCTCGACGCCCGGCAACGGCTTAGCGGCGGGGAAATGTTGCTGTTGTAGAGAGGTCAACTGGGAAAGGTAATCCGAATCTGTGACGGGTAACTTGGCCCAGTCATGGAAGAGTGCGTTGGCTTCAGGACCAGGCCGCCCCTGCAATTTCGCTTTAATGGACCAGGGAAGCGAGGTTTTGCCGTACTTCTCAAGGATGAGGTTAATGCAGAGTGTATATATGTCCTCGGTATCGAGCAGTAGACCATCCATGTCGAATAAACAGGCTCTTATAGGTGAGAAGCTAATGAGGGTTGATCATTAGCTTTGGAATAGAGCCATGTGTACGACGGGGGAGGGGAGACTTGCTTCGTGCGAGGTGCCATTGTGTGAAGTATTGAAGTATTATCGCGAGGTTATAGTTAGAAGTTCTATATTACTACCTTTGGTGGATAGATTCTCAATAGGCTTCATTTACAGCTTGACTTTGATCACAATAGTACAAGCACTTACCTCCAAAGGTTATCTTTCATGTAGTAGGTAGGTAAATACATAAGTTAAATAATATGTCGAACTTATCACAGGCGGGGTGCGGGGTAGGTAATCCCCCACATTGCCCACTCTTGGAGACCCAGAGATCTGGGTACATGTAGTAAGTACCGGTAGGTACTTCTTTAAGTGAATAAATATAGGTAGAAACAGAAGCCGCTTCCTCAAGTAAAGTTGGGTCATAGGGCTGACGGAAGCATAAAAACAGACCGGTTCGCCCAATCTAAACACCCCCGGGTTCTAAATTACCTACCTACTTATTCATCTCTTGTTAGAGCTTCCCATGCGAAAGTATGCCCGGTTCATCAAGAGCGAAAGACACGAAACCCAATCAAACCAACTTACAACCCAAAGACCAAGACACCGATGATGAGCCCGTAATATCCGAAAGGTTTACCCCCGAAGAAGAAACAGTGCGTCCACCACTTTTAAATAATTCTCTACCTTCCTGTCTGGTCTTCTGCTAACGAAAGGGTTGCTGCATAGAACCTTCTGGGGGAATCCAACGACAAGAAATCCGAAGCGAACACGCTATTCTCTTCGGCAAAGTACGAGAATGCCATTACCAAATATGAAGAGGCTACTTCGATATGCCCGCACTACCTAAATTATGAGCTTGCTGTTCTGAAATCTAACATCGCCGCATGCCATCTTAAACTCGATCAATGGAAAGAAGCCATAAAATCTGCCACCGATGCCATAGATGGCTTGGATCGTTTAGGGAAGGCCGAAGCTAGCCAGGAGCAAAATTTAGAAGAGAAGAACAAGAATAATAATACTGAGGATGATGGGGTAGAAGAGGAGATTGTCAGTTCCGGAGCCCAGAGAAGCGCACCCGCGGAAAAGGAAGGAGGTTCTGCCGAAGTGATGAGGCGGAAACGACAAGAGGACATCTTGCGGATTAGGGCTAAGGCTTTGATGAGACGAGCTAGGGCAAGAAGTGAACTAGGTGGCTGGTCAAATCTTGCTGGTGCTGAAGAAGACTACAAAATTTTATCGACGATGACAAACCTCAGCTACGCAGATCGTAAGATCGTCCAGGCCCAGCTAAAGATTCTGCCACCAAGAACCAAGGCGGCCCAGGAGAAGGAAATGTCGGAGATGTGGGGGAAGTTGAAGGATGTGAGTACTCGGCACAGAGAATCGATATAGCTTTTGGTGAGAGGATCTTCTGACTGACCATGCGTAGCTTGGTAACGGTATGTTGAAACCGTTCGGACTCAGCACGGATAATTTCCAAATGGTTAAGGACGAGAAAACTGGCGGCTACAGCATGAACTTCTCACAAAACGGCACAGGCTAATACCCTTTGAAATTCGACTGATGATCCTAGTGTTGGCGGACAACTTAAAGATATACCTTGAGAGCAAATAACTTCCCGGATGTTGTGTTTAGCGCTATCCTTCCATTGTTTTTTTTCCCTATCATATCCCCCATCCTTATTTACGTAGGCGAAATTATGCTTTATTTACGGGACTAAAGCAGGTCAAGATCGAAGAAAATCATATGAACGACACGATTACATCATGTCTAAGCATCCGAGTAATATTTATAGGAGAGTTAACACCTAGTAGTTTGCTCTCATACATACTACTAGGTACCTACCAACTACCTACCAACTACCTACCTAGTACCTACCTAGTACCTAGGATACAGTATATGTGTGGTCATGGGAGAACACTTAAAGGAAAAGTATGCTATCTATGATATCGACGTTGCAATCGATTGTGAGATGAACCTTATGTGTCATTTCTGTTTTATTCTTTATTCTGGTTTTATCTGAATCTTCGGAGGAATCCTGGTTGGCTCATAGATAGGCAAGTTAACTGAACGACTACCTAGTAGTATGCCGCGTCGACCCGAAGTCCTGCATGAGTCTAACTTATCACACAGGCCCACTGCCGAATCGCTATCTCCTGTACTTCCCTCCACGACTGTTATCATCACGCGGAGTAACCATGTTGATAACTCAATAGGTAAATCTACTACCACCCACATGGGGTATCCTATGTAGGAGCCTATTGTTATATAGCTGGTGACAAAACTCCCCATGCAGCTAGAGTGTGAGCTGGATACCCTTCAACCTCAGTTCGGGCTATACAGCATACTCAACTACCTATTTCAAGGGTGTGCACTCGAATTATATTGCTAGCATGGCTCCCGCCGCCGTAACAATCGCGAATGGGGCAACATGGCAAGATGTCGCGGCCGATAGGCAGCGGTATAGGGATGCAACTATCGCGGAGGTCCATCCGCCGGTACCGGAATTGAAATCAGAAGACATCCCTCTTAACACTACGGGTATACCGAAGAAGCTATTGACGGAAGAAGAGATTAAGATCACGGGTACGAATGTTGAGGAGTTGGTTGAAAAGATAACTTCGGGGGAATGGACCTCGACAGCAGTTACCAAAGCCTTCTTGCGTCGGGCAGGCCTCGCTCAGAAACTTGCCAACTGTATCACAGAGCTACTACCAAAGAAAGCTCTCGAAAGAGCAGCCGAGCTCGATAAGTATCTAGCCGACAGCAAAAAGCCGATCGGCCCTTTGCACGGGGTTCCCATTAGCGTCAAGGAGCACATGGGTTTCAAGGGCGAAGATGCGAACGCCGGTTTCGTCGGCTGGGTCGGGCAAGTTCCTGAAGAGGATTCGCTGATTTTGCAGTATCTATGGGATGCTGGCGCCGTATTTTATGCGAGAACTACGCAACCGCAAACGTTGATGCATCTCGAGACGAGTAGTAACTTGTATGGGTAAGTATGCATCGTAATCCCAGCGGGGATCATGAGCACCTGGATATGATCCAGCTAGCTAATATTTACTAAGGGCCACCGTAAACCCTTGCAACACAACCCTCACTGCCGGGGGGTCTTCGGGCGGAGAGGGCGCACTTATCGGGCTCCGTGGTTCGATCCTTGGAATCGGGAGTGACATCGGCGGATCTATTAGATCGCCAGCGGCAAATAATGGCGTGTTCGGGTACAAGCCTACAACTCTACGCCTGCCTGGCGATGGATGGACTGTCGCCATGCATGGAGCAGAGTCAATCATCGGGACTACGGGTCCTCTATCGACGAGCCTTGAGGGTCTACGGCTCTTTTCAAAGGTGCTCATAGACCAACAGCCCTGGCTGAAACAGCCGAGTCTAACTGCCATGAACTGGAAGGACTCGGCGGAGTTCTTTCCGGACAAGAAGCTTAGAGTCGGGGTTATGTACAACGACGATGTCGTGAGACCGCACCCTCCCATTTTGAGAGCTCTTACCGAACTGGTCGGGAAACTGAAACATAGCCCCGATATCGAAATTGTAGACTGGTCCCCATGGAAACACGATCTAGCGTGGTCTATCATAGTAGGCTCCCCCTTTCTAGGCTCACCTCCTTTGTCTTACTAGGTCAACTAGGACCACATCTAATAGAAAGTATAGGCGAGCCTATACTTCGCTGACGGCGGCGCGGATGTTAGAGCCGCGATTGAATTGTCGGGAGAGCCGTGGCTACCCCTATCGAAGTTCATACTTGTTGACAATCCCCGCGTAAAAGAGCACACTATCACCTCGCTCTGGGAAGCTGTCTCGGCGCGTGAGGAATACCGTACCAAGTACGCACAGCTGTGGAACGAAACGGCAAGTTCGAGCCCGGATGCGCGCCCTATCGACGTGATCCTGTGTCCCGCGGGTCCCGGCGTCGCTCCTAAGCTCGAGACCAGCAGGTATTGGGGTTACACCTCCCAGTGGAACTTGCTAGACTACCCAGCTGTGGTGTTTCCCGTCGCGGATAAGGTTGATACTCTGGAAAGGGAGAAGCCCTTTGAGTATCCCGAGGACTATGTTCCTCTTGGCGAAGAAGATAAGTATATCTATGACCTGTGGAAAAAACATGGCACCGAGGGTTATAAGGACGCTCCCATTTCACTACAGCTTGTTGGAAGGAGGTGAGTTAGCTTGGTTTCATTTGATTCCATTCGAGTGGCAGCGAATTCATGATGTGTTGAGCTAATGTATGTTTTACCTACAGGAACCAAGACGAGCAGCTGTTGAAAGCTACTCAGATATTGCTTGAGAAAGCAGGCTTGCCAGCTGTTGTGCCTTCGTGAAAGATCTATGGATACTTTTGGGTTAAGGGGCGTGATGCTTGAGGTAGGTATATTAATTTGAACGTTCGAGGTTATGAAGCAACATGTCCGAGTTTTATGTTCATGAGCGAAAGACACTTTGAAGTTTTTATATTACATCTTAATTAATCTACAACTTCTATTGCCGCCTTTAATAGTAAGCATGATAAGAAACTCTTTACTACCTACCTAGGCAGTGAAAGAATTCGCAATATCATAATGTGATGATTAAGGCCGTCACTGATTATCGACCGGAATTCTAGGCCTGTTTGACTAAGCGATGTTCTTCCCCTTGTAGCTATTAGTAATTAAACTACTCTTCAGTATAGAAGGTCTCCTCCAGAGGTCCTCTTCAACGTCATTACCAGCATAAGCCTGTTGCTCCGAATACCTTTCATTGACTGGAACCCACTTCCTGGGATATGAAATAGTATATCATCAGACAGATAGATGGAAGTATTTCATTTAACATAATGATGGCTGGAGTAAGAGAAGTGGCGTTTCACGTTAGTCTCCTATTGAGTATAGTGTAAATACTATAAGCGGAACGTGACGACCCTTTTCCGGTTACGTTCCCGTATGTCTAGAATCTTACTAGGTATAGAGTAGGTATTGATGATATGGGCGCCAGTAGGTTTCCCACCCGTATTGGTTGCCCATAATGTGACCCGTACTCTGTAATGCAGATTTCCAGTCCGGGTATTGGATAGCATCCAGTACGGAGATATCGACGTTCGTACACAGATTCTTCAAGGCGTCCATAGATAAACAGGTACATAAGGATTTAAAAACCCACCCTTAGTAAGCTCATAGATCCTTTAAGTAATGTGGTTTGAATTTCTTAGTCGCTCGATCCGCTGATCGGTGTTGGAACTGGTCGCCGTGTATCTCGAACGTAAAGGGCCTCCGATTATGAGCGGTCGTGTCCTCTTGGCTCCGATCGTGCGCGGGAGGAACATTGACACAAAACATAGTGCCCTCCTTAGGTACGGTCTTGATCTGATTCTTTCTCGTAACAATCTCAAAGGCGAAGCGCGCATCTTTGATAACGATGCCTCGTATACCGACGCGGCTAGGGCAACCGCTACGAGAGACTTCAACCTCGGCACCATGGAAATCGGCAGCGCTAAGCTTGGCCGCCGCGCCCTGGCCGCCGCTATATAGCTCGTTACCAAGTATTTCGCGGATATAACCTAGCCAGAGCTGATTCAGTGGCTCGAATACAGCGTATTTCTGACTATCCTTTGGTACATCGTAGAGCCTAAGCTTGCGTCGCTGGCGTGCGGATAAAGGCTTTGGTTTAAGGGCCTTCGCGCGCTGTCGCTTTTCGGCGCGTGCCCCTCGCCGTGCATCGCGCGCATTAGAGGAGGGTGGGGGAGAGGTCGGCTTTAGGAAGAGAGGACGATGTTGAATTTTCTCAGTGAAGATCCGGTTCGTGCTGTCTGGACTATGGGCACGGGAAAGGAGTTCGTGTGTTAGGGTGTTTGTATTATTTGTCGCCATAGTAATATCGTCGATGCCGGTTTAAGAGATTGAAGAAATTATGCGTCACATCTTGATTCGGCGCGAATGGAAGTTCTAACTACTAGTACTAGTGACGGAGTTGTAGGCTAGTAGCTGGTTAAAGATTTCAAGAAATGTCAACCTCAATTGCTAACAACTAAAAAAAAATAAAAATCAGTGGATAGGGTGGAGAAAGTACGGCTTAATTAAAGCTAGGTACCTTGGTTCACATGCCTATGCCTCGGCTTGAAACCCTCTAGCACGTTTAAGGTTCCCTGCCTACCTACCGTCCATAGGTACATACCTATAGTTTCCAAGGTTATTTACAGTTAACCTGATTGCTACAGGAGGAAGCTGCTAGGTCAATACAGATTACCTAGCATATTGTACCTAGATCATAGTATACCGTATACTTTCTTTTCTTGTCTTCTCTTGTCTATGCAAATGACGTATTCCTATAACCATGCCCTTAATGTTTAGCATGTAATTCTACGAAACCGCTGAGAGATCCTCAGCCGTACTCGAGACGAGAAGTCTACGTTCCATTGATCCCGTAATCGCCTACAATAATAGCATCATGGCGCAACGAAACGATCCGACACGCGACTCTGCACCTGATTTGCAGATACTAGGTGATCAGATTACCCTTCAACCGAGGAGCTATGTCGAAGCTCGCCGCGACGATGGTCAAGAAGAGCCCTTGATGCATAACATGGCTCGCTTTCGCTCAGAACCTCTACAGTATGGGTTTCGACCATCTTCCCTCTCCCTACCTACCTAGATATTGTAATAGGCTGTAGAAGGCTAATTAGTAATTCTGTGTAGATTTCTTCGCGAAGTTTCCTTATACGTTTCCGGCACAGGATGGCGAGCTTACGACAAGGCCATCGGTCAACCAATATTCTACTCTGGCTTCTCCGAGCAGATGAAGAATGCCGTCGTGTCCGCGCCTCTCTTGCAGACCCGAATATCCCAGCTAGCCGACAAGCGACTAGAAGTCGAGGAGAAGGAAGGTTGGCTTAAGAAAGATGACAAAGATTTTGATATCAAAAGAGCCCAGAGGCGGGCTATCATAGAGGCCGGCATTCGAGAGGTCGCCGAAAAAATGACGAACGATATGATTTGCAAATTCGAGAGTAAAACCTTCATTAGAGGCGCATATTATTTGGTTACGCAATTGCTTACGAGGGCATATCATCAAGGTGGGCTCTCAATGGCTTCTAGCTCCTTGCCTGTTCACTCATCCTAATTAGCTGTATAGGGATACACGTGTCTAGTGAAGAGGTTTTGAGGTTACGAAATGTAGCTGAGGTGGCAGAGGCAAAGAAGCAAAGCATCATTTTTTTGCCCTCTCACCGATCACATGTTGACTATGTTTCTATGCAACTAATTTGTTATCGGTTGGGTTTAGCATTGCCTGTTGTCGTTGCAGGGGATAACCTTAACTTTCCAGTCGTCGGAAGCTTTTTACAACACGCAGGTAGGTCTATATCATGCTCACTTCAGTACTTAAAGGCTATGAAAACTCACTATCCTAGGCGCAATGTGGATTCGGCGGTCCTTCGGTAATGACACACTTTACACGACACTTGTACAAGCTTACATAGATACCTTACTTCAAGGGGGATATAATTTCGAGTGTTTCATCGAGGGTGGTCGTTCGAGGACAGGAAAACTGCTCCCACCTAAGTTTGGTATCCTTAGCTTCATCCTCGACAGTCTCTTATCGGGCCGGGTGGAAGATGCCATCATATGCCCAGTGAGCACTCAGTACGACAAAGTTATCGAGACAGAGGGCTACGTCACAGAGCTTCTAGGTGTTCCTAAAAAGAAAGAGAATCTGGCCGACTTTTTGAGTGGCGGATCATCCGTCTTGTCTTTGCGACTGGGAAGGGTTGACGTTCGTTTCCATGAGCCTTGGAGCTTACGTAAATACATTGACGAGCAGTTGGCGAAACTCTCTATATCGCCTGACACTTTACGATTAGATGCCAAGAGTCCAGAAAATGCCTCTGTCAAACAGAAGCTGCTAAGAATCATGGGATACAAAGTTTTGTCGGATATCAATGACGTGTCCGTGGTAATGCCCACGGCTTTGATTGGAACCGTGTTGCTTACCTTAAGAGGTCGTGGTGTAGGAATGTCAGAACTTATGAGGCGGATCGAATGGCTCATCGCTCGCGTGGGGGCAAAGGGGGGACGCGTTGCCCACTTTGGAAATGCCCCCCTATCTGACGTCGTGGAACGAGGGTTGGATGTACTCGGAAAAGACCTTGTTGGCGTAGTTCAAGGACTAGCAGAGCCAACTTACTATGCCGTGGACAGATTTCAGCTCTCATTTTGTGAGTTACTTTCTAGACATGCTCTCTCTTTGATTGAATTGCGGGGATTGTTATCCATGGGATATGCTACGGCTCCTTCATTCGCCTTTTAGAGACTACGCTAACGTGTTGCAGATCGCAATATGACGATTCACCTATTTATCTCGGAAGCGCTCATTAGCGCCAGCATGTATACGCGTGTGAAGTTAGGTGGCGGCCCCGCTCACCAGGAAATATCTTATAGCACGTTACGGGAGCAAGTACTATTCCTCTCGTCATTATTCCGTGGGGAGTTCATCTTCCCGGGTGAAGGATTAGCAGCAAATTTAGAGAAAACGTTAGTTGGATTGGAAAACGACCGTGTACTAGACCTTAAGAGAGACGAGCAAGGAAATATATTGAGCATCGGGCTTGCAAATGAAGAAAGAGCCGCCGGGAGAGAAAACTACGACTTCTACTGCTTTTTAATCTGGCCATTTATCGAGTCTACCTGGCTTGCCGCTGTTTCTCTTATGGGACTTACCCCTCCTCTCGAACAGAAAGACGGCGACGCTATTTGGATTGATGTCGCAAAGGCGCAAAACACTGCGCAACTAGTAAGCATATGATTAAACCGTCGCCTTAAAATCGAAATACCATGACTAACACCCCTAACAGCTTGGCAAAACTCTTTACCACCAGGGCGACCTAAGTTATTTCGAAGCCGTGAATAAGGAAACGCTAAAGAATTCGTATCAGCGTTTTGAAGAGGAAGGCATCATTTACGTGGTAAAATCGAAAGACTCGAAAACACCGCCTCGCTTACGCCTCGCGTCTGAGTGGATGCCCTCTCGCGACTCGACGAAGTCCGGCGCACTACAACCATCGGGTAGACTTTGGAACTTCATCGAACGCATCGCCCCGAGCAGACGAGAAGGCAAGAACCGGCGAGACGGTGCGACTGTCAGTACTCGTGTGTTGAGACTGGCGGATACCCTGGGGGCGGAGCTGTTCAAAGAAGCAACTAGTCCGGAAAACAAAGCCGAGGCCATGTTGAATGACGAAGAAGCGGCAAGGCTCAAGAAGGCCATCAAAACGGAGAGAAGGAGAAGGAGGTTGGAGGGCAGAGCCCATTTGTGATTGATGCGCTGCTTTGCAAATACCGACCGCATAGACAACACTATCATTATCGCCATCCTATCAATGGTTCGATTCGGAATTACTACTCTCAGCGGCGGACTGAAACCGGAGCATATTTGCACGCCTACTTACACCGCCTAATACGGCGGAACACAGATAAAGCACTAGTTTCCCATTCGTCAACAGCGGAAATCCGCGCACGCTTGACGGTAGAGAAACATTTAGGCGGATACAGGGGAGAATACGAATCCTTCCCCGGTGAGTGGATACTGCAACCCTCCGGCGCCGGCGTGGATCGCGATGGAGAAAATGGGGAAAATGGAGAAAATGGAGAAAATGGGGAAGCTGGAGGGGGGGAGAGACCGGGGGATGGAGCATGTGATGGTGTGGTACTGCGGGGAACCGCTCGTTATAACCTAGATTAGACAGGATTGGTTTAGGTACGGAGAAGTCATATTACAAATATGAAATCACAATTTTTGGATAGGTAAAGCATTCCCTCGTTCCCTTTATTAATTCCTCAGAATCGCCAATTTGTTCGAGTTAATTAGGTGCTCTCGCCTAGGTACCTACCTAACCATGTCATCATCATCATCGTCGTCGTCGTCGTCCCCTTACCCATACTTTGCACCACGATACGTGATGGCATCAGTTGCCGTCTCGTTGGGAGGTCTACTGAATGGATATGACACAGGGTCAATTGGCGCCATCACGCATATGCCCCAATTCGCCGAATCCATAGGACATCTTTCGTCGACGATGCTAGGCATCACAGTCTCGATGATCATGCTAACGGGCACCCTTCCGTCTGTGTTTGCCGGACATTTCGCGGATAAGTTTGGGCGGATATCCGTGATCATTCCCGGAGCTCTCATGTTCGGCTTAGGTGCGCTAATACAGGGACTCTCTCACGGCTTACCGCAATTCATCGCCGGCAGAGCGATTGCTGGATTCGGTCAAGGCGTGTTTCTCAGCAACATCAGTGTATATATATGCGAGATCGCGCCATTCAGATACCGTGGAACGTTGGCAGGACTGCCTCAGTTTATGGCTACAGCTGGGGTATGTTTTGGATATTTTACGTGCTACGGTACCCTTAATATCGAGTCGGATATGGCATGGCGCATACCGTACATCGTCCAGTGCCTTTTCTCCGCCCTTCTCTCATGGGCTTGTCTTCTACTTCCAGATTCCCCGAGGTGGCTCATGCTAAAGGGAAGGCAAGCTGACGCACTTAGAGCTTTAGAGCGGCTTGACTTCAACATGGTCGAAGCTGAGCGAGATTTCCTGATAACCACTGAGCAGAGACCTAGTCTATCGCCCTGGCAAAGCTTCTCACTTTTATTCAGGAGAGGTTATCGCGCACGTACAATTCTCGCGCTGTTCATCCTCGGGATGGTCCAGCTGTCGGGCATAGATGCTATCACTTACGTACGTATTCGTCCTTCTATCTCGCGAACCTTCTTACCGAATTGACCTAACATATCTTACCCCTTAGTATGCCCCTATTCTTTTTGAGCAAGCTGGCTTGTCATCGGCCAATGCCTCTTTTTTGGCCTCAGGCCTTTCGTCTATTTTGATGCTCGCTATATCCATCCCAGCCTTCTTGCTTGCCGACAAGTGGGGGAGGCGCACCTCCGCCATCGCTGGCGGCCTCGCCCTCGCTAGCTGTATGTTCCTTATCGGGAGTCTCTACGCTGCAGGCGTAGTTCATCCTTATGGTGTTGCTAGATGGCTCGTTATAATCGCCGTCTTCGTATTTGGCTTGACGTATTGCGCGACTTGGGGAATCGTTGGGAAGATATACGCCAGCGAGATACAACCAGGGCATACGCGCGCCGCAGCGAACAATGTTGCTATGGGCTTATGCTTTGGCACGAATTTTCTGGTAGCTATCCTGACCCCAATTCTTCTGGAAGCATCTGCTTTTGGGGCCTACTTCCTATTTGGCGGCCTGGCTCTTGGCACCGTGATCGTGCTCGCCGCTTACATGCCCGAGACTCGTGGCCGGTCCCTAGAAGATATACAAGAAGTGTTTCACAGACCTATGGCGTCTAGCAATCTTATACAACTTCTGCGAACCCTCGGTCTCGGTCTCGGCCTTGGGACGAGACGAAGAGCTCATCCGGCTGCACATGAGTTGGCGGCAGGTGAAGAGATCGAGATGGAATCCCATAATGAGACGGGCGCAGTTGCTGCTAGCGCTGTCTCGGTAGAAACAGTGTCTAGGTCTATGAGACTTGAAGTTTTAGTATAAGCTTTTGGGACTTTTTTTTGGCGCCACCATGGAAGGATCATCCATGAGTTTAGATTTATGGTATCACACGTCTCATTAGTTTGTTCCCTACTATCTAGAGATTATACCTGTATGCAGGCTTTACCAGGTCTCCGTCCAACTAGCTGTGTGTTGTGTAAATATCTTACATCCTGGACATTATACTTGTAACTATTATTTATAGCCGAGAAAGACAAAAATACACAGCACTATGTATCATTGCAGATTTTTTTCTACTTTGATCATGGAGGTATCGAATTATTCAATCCATCGTATCAAGGCGATATTTTATTGCTGAAGTAGATTCCACAATCCCAATGAGGCTCCTGCCAAAGGCATAAAAAGTCGGAAAGCATTCAAGTTTCCCCACGTATCAATCAGTTTCCGAATAGCCTCTTGGCTGAGCGGCTTACCAGTGCCCGAGTTAGCCGCTATCATGATCTTATTAATCCCTCCGATGAAAAGCAGCGTGAACGGGGCGAGCAATAGGTTCGACACAGCTCCCGCGGCGAACCCCCTCCACTCCAAGCCCTGCGCTCTATACCTATAGGCCAGGTATACGTAGTTCAATGCAATGAAAGCACTCGTTGTTGGTATGTAGTGCATCCCTCTACTGAATTGCAAGTGCCACCCTTTCAAAAGTCCTTCCGATGTAGTCCCACTCTGGAGAATCGCGGGTACTGCGCAGATAGACAATGCCCCAATACTTCCTAAAGGCCGTAGTTAGGTATGTTTAGACATAGTGTGTTCTCATCAGCGATCCTTTGCGAGCCTACCTGATAGCCAAGCAGAGCCTAGAATACCCCCTATAGCCGAGAGGGTCAAAGGCGTCGACAGGAAAGGCATGTTTTATGTTGAAATGGTTTTGTATTTGTTCAATAGAGATTTTGTGTACCTTATAAATTTGAAAAGGTAAGTAAAGGTATAGCTTCACTAAGGTTAGGTAGGTAGGTAGGTAAGGAAGTACCAGGTAGTTATATAATATAAATTATTTTTTGCTGTTCCAATAGGGGTCGTTGACTATGCTGCGGAACCCGGACAAGTCGAAATTTCCGTTTTAGTCCGGGATGGAAAATCAGACCATCTTGTCATTTTTACCTCACTATTGTGCAATCAAATATTAGGTATATTTGCGTTCAAGTAATATCGGTGAAATCGAGGTTTCTTCGACGGCGGACCATAAGAACAAATCCGCCAACCCGCCAATTCATGTATACAGTAAAATACAGTATAATACTGTACAGTCTGATACATATCCCACACAGTGTCCTGATTTTTACAGGGGGTTATAGCGCTACAAGGCGCTGGAAGCCCCTGTAATTAATGGTGGTTATAGCGTATAGCCTTTTTACATACCTACCTCCTAATAAGGCTCACCTAACACCCCTCGTTTTGAACTATTACGCGTATATTTTTATTTACCTACCTACCTACCTATTACGCATTCAATTGCATTAAATTAATTAATTAAATCAGATCGATCAATTTAATTGGTTTCGAAAAGGTTCAAATATTAATAGTAACTTTGAAACTTAAAAGGGCTTTAACGTTAGCTTTAAGGCATTTTACATACCTAAAAAGCTACTTATAAGTTATAAGGAGCTAATACGTTATAAGGCCTATAAGTTATAAAGCTTTCAGCACCTTATAACGCTATAACCCACTGTAAGACTTGGGGCACCATATAAGATATATATCAAACTATACGATATTTCACTATATACATTTCAAGACATTAATTAAATTGGCGGGTTGGCGGATTTGTTCTTATGGTCCGCCGTCCGAGACGACGATTACTACCTAGCATATAAAATTGAATTGATATTAATTGATTCCATTCTAATTTGTCAGCGCAGCGTCAAGCGATAATTCGTAATGAAAGAAAGGGGTTATGAGGTTAAAATCAATAAAAGGAGGTGGGACGGTGGTGATGAAAAACCAATCTCTTAGGTTTCTCTCTCTCTCTCTCTCTCTTTTACATGTTACAAAACCTTATGTTCACCCTTAGATACCCATTGGAAATATAGAAATACCAAACGACCTTAGAAGGTAGGTAATGAACATAATATAGACTTGGTAGAAATGGGCAGAGTGTCAGGTTAGTACCTATTCCTTATTTAAGGTAACCCTCAACGATGGCGATGTAACGCTAACAACTTTTCCACTAGAGTCTAAGTTGAAGATAAGCTCATCCATAGCTGCCGATCCATATATGACTGACTCAACCGAAACCCACGATCCGCACTCAGTTGAGAACATCTTATTCTCGTTCCGTGGAGCGTTCGCGTCCTCGAACATTGCTTTAAAAACCACGCGCTTTCCACCACCCTCAGCTGGCCCCTCTAAGCCGCTTGGATATAGCCTTATGCGCGGAGTGACTGGGTAGTATTGGTTCTGCAATGCCGTAGCTACCCAGGCAAAATCTGTTCCGTTGCTGAACCACTGGGATATGCTTAGCCCGGGGAGTTTGTCAATAGTAATCGTCATAGATGAATTCAATCCGTCGTCCGGGGAGACGTAATGGCCACTGTATAAAGAATCCGCTTCGGAGCGAGCAGCTTCTTCCACTGATAGAAGGAGAGAATCCCCAATTATATCTGTCTTCGTGTAAGCATTCTCATATTTTTATGCTGTTTTTGGTAGGTACAAGCATACCAGCAAGACTAAATCCAGCATTGCCTGGAAGTTCACCAGCAAGAAGAATCGATATTCCAATGTCAAAATCCGGTAATATTGCCAAGAGGGCCGAATAATCTCCTATATTTCCTGCTTTGTTGAAAGCTGTGGTATATCGATATGTATCATCCAATTTGATCCTTCTAGCCCCCCAAGGCACTGAGTTAATAGGAATTAGTTACTATTGCTTATTATGAGTAGCAATTTTGGATTATAGCGATAATTGACTGTCGAGGAATTTAGGAAATTTTTGACTCTTAAAACAGATACAGGTACCTAAACAAGGAGAAAAAAGAAAAGGGGCAGGGAAGGAAGGGGAGATGGAGGAGCTGAGATGGATAGCTCTCTACGTTACATACTACCGACCATAGCTAGTGGATCCGATGAAAATGCGAACGGCTTTAGCCATCGTCGTGTCGTAACCGGTGAAAGCAATTTATGGCTGAGAATTGCTCGACCTAAGGCAGATAGATCTGATGCTGACGCATACATGTTTCCGGTACTTTGGTCATATTAACATCTACCAGCAATTCATGCATCACAGGCACTTACGCTGCAGATTCGCCTATATCAAATGCCCATCCTGTCTTATCGTGATCTCCGGGTATGATTCCCCGTGAGTCTTCTGGGGCTCGAAGAAATGTGTTGTTCAGACCTAGTGGTTCGATCACCGTTTCGTCTAATAGAGTTTGAAAAGTCTTTCCTGTAATTGTTTCGAGAGCATAACCTCTAGATACTTCTATCAGATGGTTCGTTGACTCGGTGAATCCGGTTTCATACTTACAAGAGCTGGAATGCAACATTGGAATATGCAGGTGTTTGGTATGGTGCTAGAGACGGATAGAACAAGCCAATCCCTTGAAAGAATTCTTGACACTTTTGTCAATATGTATTATCAGTCTTGTGGGTGATTTGGAACGTACGTGCTCGATCACAGGTTGGAAATGCTCCACACTGTAGCATATGATGTTAATATTGAAGTGCTACTGTGGATTGTGAGTTATAATCGGGAGTTTTACGACCATCTAATAAGACCAGGGCGTTGAAAATAGACGAATTATATAGAATATACGGAATGGAGAGAGAGAGAGAGAGAGAGACAAGGACCACGATGATTAAGGTAGGCTTCCTAATCGACTTACTGGAGGCTTTTGGTCTTGAGATAAAGGTGGGAATCCAAGCTGAAGCACCTGGCCTCTCGTTTCTTTCGACTGTGTAAGTTCCCCAAGTAAAGCATCTGAAATCGGTTAGCCGTAGATCATCTCATCTCAATATTGGTACTAACATTCACGTGGGATTCCGGTCAATTGCGTTGCTAGTCCTCCAAGGGTGATTTCGTCCCATGATACATAATTTACGGGATCAGATCGATTAGCTAGCGCTTGGAGCTCGGGTATATATCTGGTGATGGGTTCATTCCAGTGGCTATCGCCAGCATTGATCAAGAATGCATATATTGTGTAAATCTTAGTGAGACTTCCAAGTCGAAATACAGTATTCTCGTCGACGAGTTTCACCCCTGTAGAATTTTGGTTTGCGAGGCTTGGTGCTGTATGTGACAAAGAGAATAGGGGTGCTGGATCGTTTGCTGAGAAGACTTGTATTGACATGGAATAATTCTGAGCTCCTGCCGTGATGTTGACGAATCTATTTTTCAATGTGGCTACCGCAGTTTTAACTGCATCGTTTCCAGAAAGACGAAGAGGCTTCGGGAACACCGGCCCATCAAGTGGGCATGTAGGAGAAGCAGAGGAAAGCAGCACAAATGCCCCTAACACAAGGCCAGCTACACTAACGAGCATCTTCGAGGTATTCGGGTGGAGTAGGATAAATGTAAAAATATAAAATAGAGGTATGTAAGTTAGAAGTACCTATATCGCCATGTTTGGTAGCATTAGTTTGTGACTGAATCTAGACGAGACGAGAATTTCCCAAGACAGACCCTCGAGATATATAGACAAGCTCGAGGACAATAGAATAGGAATAGGTAACCGGGGCCACGTCCAAGTCGTCGGAATATGATATTGATATCGCATCCATGGCACATCTAACCAATGGTATAGCTAGCTCGTATCATGGCTAAAAGCAGAGTTCCGGGTTTTTGCGGTGACACCCAAGGTTACTATTTACAACCCTATAGCTACTCTTGTAGCTACTAGGTTCATAGGCAGGTAACTACCTTAGACCCTTGGAGTGCTGGAGTCTAGATTTGAGGATAGAGTCATTGCGCGTTCTGTAGAGACCTCATATGACAACGAGGTCGGCTGTTTACTATACCAACCATCTCGAGTATGGCCTTAGCAGTGTAACGTTGGTCCTGGGGGGGGACAGCTTGGCAATCTGCGTTATCGACGAATGCGGCGAAGCTTTAGCACCTTCTTATACAGACTTCACAATTCCGACCTAGGTAGGTACTTAGGACGGAATTACGAATTATCGCTTAGGTACCTAGGTATCAACGCGACCTGCGACCTGGAATGGAAGGCTGACCCCCGTGCGTCATAGTAGGCATCTTCGTAGCAGCGGATAAAATCATACGCGTAACAGTGTTATGGATATGGCGACGACTTTGGTCCTTGGCATCTAGATTGCAACAGATAATCCGATGCCCACCGGCGGAAGAGGTCAATTCCTTCCTGAATAAGATGCGCTCCGTAAGATGCCATCATAGTTAGGCGGCGATGGGCACAATCTAGATTGCGAATCTAAAAGAGTTGCAATCTCACGATGCTAGGTATTAAAAAAACGTATAGTTACCTACCTAGGTAGTGGACCTATTATATTCATTTGTGACATGGATGCTAGAAGAATTAAGGTGTTAAGAAATGTCAAGACTAGGTACCTACCTTAGGTAGGTAAGCACGGCGAGAAGAACAGAAATGTGCCCTATAGATTTAGCGCTGTACAGCACCTGAGTCACTGTCATTACAGGAGGGTTTAGTGGATAAATACTGTGCGACTGGGGATAAATTGATATGATTATCGACCAATGTAGGTGTAGGACGTAAGATGACAGACAAAACAGAATCAATAGAAATAACAGAAATAACAGGAATTCGGTCACAAGATTAATTATGAGTTTGCTTATGTGACGATAATTTCATGTGATTTGAGCAACGCATCCTATTCAGGAAGGTATCGAGGTTAGTCACGTCTGTGATATCATGTATCGTGCCTCATGGTACTATCACGTTAGATAGATAGTACGTACTACGTACTCTTCTTTTTAGGATCTCGACTATTTATCGATGGCTGGAATATTAAGAGGATGAAGTAAATCTGCTAGGTACGGAAGATTATCAGAATACGCCGCAATACTTCGAGAAATAGCATCACCATGTATTTATCCGTATCCACCATTACCGCTATTCTCATTTCCAACTTCGCGACAGCAACAGCAACAGCGACAACGACAGCTACAGCGAAAGTAATCCACCTATCAGATCTCAACGGAACTTTCATTGAGCGCCAGGTCCAGCACCCAAATGGTAGCCTAGTCAACGTATACCTTAGAGACTCCTATAAATCCCCTCTCGGTAGCGTAGACTCTCTCGACAAGCGATTCCATAAGACGTATCATGATGGTAACCACACCGAGATTTGCGCCGAGACTAACTTCGTCGATACATCTACTCTCGAATCAGCTCTCTGCAGCGATTGCTCAGCCATTATCACCGAACTCAAGGCTAACCCGGGTTTTTTCGAAACGGGAGACTACACGGACAACGAATACAATTACCTTACCGTGTGTGGATCGTGCGCGTTTGGTGTTCATCGTACCGACGGCTTAAGCTCGCGGGTGGACATTGGTAGCAAGGATGTGATAGACAATATCAATTCGGCTCTCATCAGGTGAGTACCTAGTCGCGCCGAAATTCCCATTCGTGTCTCCCCTTCTCCCTCCGTGTCTCTCCGTTTAGTTAAGGTTGTCTCACACAAAGCGATAGGTTCTCTGTCGATGATCATGTTGGAGCTACAGGAAATTTCACCTGTAACTCGGCCCCTATTAACTGGGCAATATTGAAGGCAGCTTAGCTATAGCATGTCCCATGTTAAAGCGCCCTGGTCAGCCAGTGAGAAGCAGGCGTGCCCTTTTAGATAGATTGCGACGGATATCATAATTTTGATTTTAAACATCTGAGCCCGATGCATACTTAAGTATATACGAGATTTTATTCTGCCCATCACCACTTAGCCTCTTTTCGGCTCTGGAATCCCTTCAGTATCCCGACAATATTCTCAAGCGCGGCCAAATATGCCCTCAGCTCGGCAGCAACACTAGCCTGGTCCTCTCCAAGCTTAGGGTAGAAGTCTTTGCGGTACGGGCAGGCACTCATCGCGGCGGAGAAAACGGGCTTGATAAGGATACCGTGGTGAGGCTTAAGGGTCGAGCCGTATGCGTTCCTGAAGGAGGTGGAGAGTTCCTCAGCTTCCTGAGCTATGTTCTGGCTGAGAGCGATGCAAGTAAACTCCAACCCACTGATTGAAGCAGTTCGTTAGCTTATGTATACCCTGCAAGAGATGACTTAGGCATGAACATACCGAGTTAGCCATAGAAGCCCCTCGGTGGCGACGTGCTTCTTTGTCTTGAGCTCGTTGATGACGAGAGCTTGCAAGGTCTCGGATTCGGCAGGGGCGGCAAGTTGGCGTTCGCGGAGTTTCTAGCACGGGTTAATTTCATATAGTCCCGATACATTCTCTGAATCTACCCTTACCTTGACGTTACCCAACATGTCAGACTTGACCGGCGAGAAAGCCACTGATCCGAGCACATCTACGCCACGGCGGTGGTAAGTAATGAATATCACTTAGGGTTGGAGATTGTAGATCATGGACGGACCAAACATAGTAGTTAAAGACTCGGCGGCGTCGAGGAATTCGGTGGTGGAGATGGCATTGTCATTGTTGGCATCGACTGGCACGTCGACGAATGACTTCTTGAAGGTCTGGAGCAGAGTGCCACCAGGAGGGAACGCAGGGGCAGACATATCGTGGTTGATTTTGTTGGAGGAAATACTGAACTGGAAAGGTAATTTGGGAAGAGTACTGGGTAGAGTGGAAGGGCGGTCAATAATATTGTTAAGTCTAAGTGGCAGAGTGGATAGGGGTACGTGATACCTCTTTGGCATGGGCTGCATGGAGGATAGGTACCTAGCATTAGGTACCTAGCTTCAGGAGTGATGTGTAATGGGGGGTTAAAGAGGGGCAGGTGAGGGGTCTTTCGTTTACTAGCCACCACTCAGCCAGTCAGCCACTGTGGATTGTGGATAGTGGCTTATTACACAGTCTAACCAACTGTACATGTGGATATGCATGTATTAGGTACTTACTTCGAGTATGTCATTGAATACTAATGATGTCATCGTACTTAAACTCCCAAGCCTCCCTTTCTTTTGTTTCGAGCAACCTTGGAACTAACCACACAAATCTGACATCGCAAGATCGCGCCCGGGAACTATCTTGGCATCTATCTAATTACCAAAATACCTACTCACAGAAATTGTCAGAAACCGAGGTCAATATTAATTACCTACATCCATCTTACCTATGATTTGCTGAGCGGAATGCCAGAAAGGAAGAGTCCCATATTATTGTTATGGCGCCTCGGGGATTTTCAAAAACAATCCCATCCTCCTTTTTTGGAAACAAAAAAGCAAAAAAAAAACAAAAAAAAAAAAAAAGGTACAAGTCTCCCCAGTCAGCCAGGCTGCCAGGGTACGGCTACTACAATTCAAGCTTAAAAGTAAATACCCTGCCAGCTTACCTTCCTGTAATACAGTAGGCTGCTAGGCTGCTAGGTAGGTTTTTACTTACCGTACCTACATACTTCGTAGTCTTACCTGTTTCAATATCCTAGAGCAAGTCAATCAGCCACATATGACGACGTTTCTTTTACCTCTACATACCTAGGTAGGTACGTATTCTATACATATCTTCACATACACACAATAAATAAAATATTAAGCCTATGTCTTGTCCTTTCCTCTTTCTCTTTACTCTCGCCTCTCTCCTCTTATCTCACACCACGCCTTGTCTTAATTCTTCCTGGTCTCTCCCACGATCACTCAACCACCGAGTTTAGAGCTAGTGCGTTCTCCTAATACTCCACAGCGTCGTCATCGTATATTTATGTAGTGTAATATAACTTAACTGTCATCCCTCGCGCTCTCCCATCTTTTCGACAGAGCTAGAAGCTGTCACATCCTATTTAGATCCTCTTTAGATGCCCAGGAAACGGGGTGGCGTATAGGTCTACCATGTCTGGCTCTCACGAACACGATGGTCAACATGAGCATTCGGATTTTGTCGAGAAATTGAAACATCCATTCCACGACCTAAAAGAGAAGCTTAAGGACACTCATTTGTACGACGCAAAAGTTAGCCTCATCCACAAGAAGTATGCCTACAGTCTTAATCACAATCTTGAATTCGATGTATTGATTATATTATAGGCATAAGCTCGGGAAACTTGGAAATCTCGTATGTTCACCTTTGTTTTTAAAGTTACCAGTGCCTTATTCATGAGTATATCATGAGTATATCACTCACAAAAGCTCGTCGTATAGTTTAATCCGGAGCATCGCCACGATGAAGAACATGAGAAAGCGTGCGACGAAAAACGCAACAGAATTTCCAAGAATCACCGTTTCAATTCGTATTTCCCCGAGCATGATGGCAACCTCATCAAATGGTATGTTGATGGGAGGGACTACTTCTGGGTAAGCGTACCTTCGAATCTCTGGAGCCTCTCTTAGCGTGACAAGTTTACTTACCTATGGACGCAGGCTGTATCTGTAGCTCTCGAGCAGGCGAAAGAGACTATCTATATTGCGGACTGGTGGCTTTCGCCCGAGTTATTCCTTCGCAGACCTCCTTATTTTAATCAAGAATGGCGCTTGGATAGAATTCTCAAGCGTCGTGCCGAAGCTGGCGTGAAGATATATGTTATCGTATACCGCGAGGTTGAAGCCGCACTAACTTGTAACTCCGAACATACGAAGCATGCGCTGCAGAGCTTATGTCCTGAGGGTTCTCCAGGCTACGGTAACATCAAAGTCATGAGACACCCAGATCATAACTTTTTAGAGAATGCCGCCGATATGACATTCTACTGGGCCCACCATGAAAAATTCGTCGTCATCGACTATGCGATGGCCTTTATTGGAGGCCTAGATCTCTGCTTCGGTCGCTGGGACGATCACCAACATATCCTCTCTGACGTTCATCCTGAAGGAGTCGCCAACGAAGTTTGGCCGGGCCAAGACTTCAATAACAACCGTGTCATGGATTTTCAGAACGTCCAAGACTGGAAGCAGAATGAGTTGAGTAAGGCTGACTATGGGCGGATGCCGTGGCACGACGTAGCCATGGGAGTGATCGGACCATGCGTCTACGATATTGCAGAGCACTTTGTCCTACGCTGGAATTTCATCAAGCGAGATAAGTATAAGCGAGACGATAGATTCGATTGGTTAATGCTACGGGGCCGGGAGGGCGACGATGAGGACCTTGTGGGTGTACAGCGACCTAAACATCCGGTTGGGGATTATGTGCTTCACCCTTTATCGCCACTGGAAAGCAAAAACCTCGAGGGGCGAGGAACAATCCACGCCCAAATCGTCCGAAGCAGCGCTGACTGGTCCAGTGGGGTACTTACAGATTGTACCATTGCATCTGCATATTCGGAGATAATACGTAACGCTCAGCATTACGTCTACATCGAGAACCAGTTCTTCATTACCGCAACAGGCGATCAACAATCCCCCATTCATAATACTGTTGGAAAAGCCATCGTTGACGCCTGTGTAAGGGCCGGTAGAGAAGGGAGAAAGTTCCGAGTTATAATTGTAATCCCCGCCATTCCCGGATTCGCCGGCGATCTTCGCGACGATGCAGCAACTGGGACACGCGCCATTATGGACTATCAGTACAAGTCGATATGCCGTGGCGAACATTCAATCTTCGAGCAGATCAGGGTGCAGGGGGTCAATCCGAGAGACCATATCTTCTTCTTTAACCTGCGTTCTTACGATCGCTTAAACAAGACCCCCGCCATCAGGAAGCAGGAAGAGGTCTCTGGCGTCAAGTACCAGGAGGTTCAGCGTGCTGAAGCAGAGGAGATCATGGGTGAAGGTATCCACGGTATCGCAGATGTCGAGGGTGAACGAGATGAGCACATGGGTAAAAGAGAGCAGCAGAAGGAGATTGCGGAAAATACGAGGAGTAATGAGGCCAAACGTCGTTTTGAGGAAGCCAAGCAGGATGGCCAGGACACTCAATCGGCCTCAAGTGTAGCTCATCATGCTATGATTGACACTGGTATGCTTTCGGAAGAACCGTGGGAAGGTGATCCCCATGAGGAGGTTGATAATTGGATTCAAGAGGAGCTATACGTCCACGCCAAACTCCTTATCGTCGATGATCGCACTGTGATATGTGGCTCGAGCAACCTAAACGACCGTTCTCAGTTAGGTAGCCATGACAGTGAGCTTTCGATCGTCATGGAGGATGCTGATAAGATCCAAAGTGTCATGGATGGGCAACCTTTTTCGGCAGGAAGACACGCAGCCACCTTGCGAAGATATCTTTGGCGGGAGCACTTAGGTCTGTTGCCACCGCAGCAGCACGATGCAAGTAACGACCCAAACGCCCAGCCACCGGGAGAAAATTCGCCCAACGATATATGGGATAGAGATGACAGCTACAAGTTCGTCGAAGATCCGATGAGCGACAAACTCTGGGATATGTGGACCACCAATGCTACGACAAACACGCAGATTTTTAGACATCTATTCCACGCGGATCCTGACGATCACGGTAAGTACCCGTAAATCGAAGAGGAATTACAGGGATACTAAAAGCTTGAAAAATCTAACCTAAATCTAGTCAAAACGTTCGAAGACTATAACACTTTCTTACCTCCAAAGGGGGTAAAAGCCGGTCATATTTTCGATAGGTTTCTGCCGCCAGATGACATTCGCAAGAAGCTTGACCAGATAAAAGGGCACCTTGTATGGATGCCGCTGGATTATTTAAAAGACGCGAACATGGCCGAGACGGGGCTGCAAGTTAATTCATGGACTGAAAGCGTGTATACGTAGGCGACCTCGTTCACCAGGAACGGGATATCTAGGTATGTATGGAAGAGTGCACAGAGCTGACGGTGGATCTTCCTATAGTATCTAGCTAGATCACATACCAAGTGTTTAGCTTCGTCTAGAGTTCCTAAGTAATCGATGACGGAGACTGATTACTGCATATGTTGGCGAAGATTTCGTCTCTAAACCCGTCCATGATCTCATACCCGAGCAGGCTACTACCTCCTGATTGACTCCCGTCACAGCGTCGACTGTAGATGCGAGCCCGAGTATCTTCGCTTGCTCTACAATAAAAACCTGATGTACTAAGAATGCAAAGTTTGGACCCATAGCCGGGATTACTCTCTATACCCTAACTCACAACAGGAATGTCATGTGGGCACGCATTCAAACGGGGGAGTCGCGCGTGATGCAAGATGAAAATAGTTCATGATGCGGTCTAAAGGAGGTTTTTGAAGCCAAGCGACGATCCCAAATATATCATAGGTAGGTAGGTACCTATGTAACGTCATGCTACACCGTCGGAGATGTGACGCCGTGTCCTCCTAACGGTATACCAACATCTGCTCCGCAAAATACCTACTAGGTATATTTTTGGCGATTTGTTGGTAGTTGGCTGTTCCTACCGGATGAATTGGGAGTAGCTGTCTGCTAGGTAGCTGAGCTGATTGGGTGCAGCTTGACTCGTCGCCTCGGTATATCATCTCACGAGCATTGCCAATTTTTCCATGGCGGAACTCGTCACGATGCAACTTGTCTAGAGACAAACATGAAGTCTAGACATAGATTAACATTCCCTTGATTTCGTGCGATGTAAGAAGTTCTTAGTATATAAATCCCCATTGCCAGATGTTCCGTCCCAGACTCAATTGCTTGTAGATACACCTAGCTGCCAAGAAAGTGTACTGGTTTTTTAACATATTATACTAGTCTATTATATTATTTCTCGGCCAATACATAACAGCCACAGCCATGTCACGCCTTATTTACGGGTTTATAATCTTGTCGGGCTTAGTCATGGGACGGCCAGTAGCTGAATGCTCTTCCAAGCCTCCGGCGTTCTTCCTGGCAGGCGACTCTACGACAGCACCGGACGGTGGCTGGGGAGATGGCCTGCTAGCTACGCTCAAGAAGCCAGCCTGGGGTGTGAACATCGGAAAGAGTGGCGCCACTACGGCATCATTCTTGGCCGGAGGGTACTGGGCCAATACGACAGGGCATGTTAAAGACAACGTAGCCAAATACGACAGCTACGTCACCATAAGTGTAAGGACCCAAATCCCGAGCAAGATATAACCGATTGTGCTGTATAGCTGTATAGGCTAACGAATAGGCGCATCCGCCAATCGTCTCTCCATAGTTTGGGCATAATGACCAAAAATCAACCAGTGGGGTTACCCTCCAGAAGTATCAAGAAAATCTCATCAAATTCGCCAATGAAGTTAAATCGCTGGGTGGCAAGCCGGTATGTGTCTCCTGCTGCCCCTAGAAAATAGGACGAGAACGTACCTAGATATGCAGTCATATGAGAAGAAAATGAGAAGAAAACGAGAAGGGAGTAGGGAAGAAAAGAGAGAAGAAACGCTTCAAGGTTGTCACTAACGTATGACTTCCCTAGCTTCTTACGTCTTCGCTTACACGCCGCGTCTTCCCCTCCGGTCAGGACCACAATGCCACGGACTCGCTTCACGACCAGCGCCTAGCTGCCATTGCGGCGGCTAAGGCCACAAGTTCAACTATAATCGACCTCAACGAAGCAAGCTTGAAGTACATTAATGCCATAGGGAAAAAGGCCGCTCGAGAATTTAATTACGGCGCAGACATGTCGGACACGACACATTTAAATCCGCATGGTGGCGCTGTCTTCGGTCGTATGGTTGCAGACTTGATCATCCGCGCGGATCCCTGTTTGGAGCAATATTTTACTCCTAACAAGACCCTGAGTGACTTGATTTGGGGCGATTTGCCAGCTTGAAGTAATCAGGTTCATGCGGTGGCTATTGCTAAACTTGGGAGCCCGAATCTGTAGCAGCAGCTTTGTTAATAATATACTAGTTACTTAGATAGATATGTTTGCGTCCCTGCGTAATATATAGACTGGGATATATTATAGCGAGTCCTGGAGGCGTAGTTTAAATTGGTAGACCAATCCAATCACGACATTTGCATTTGATTGTTGAAATTTAGGATTCCTCTCCTACCATAAATTCAATCACCATCCCCTCCCAGCCATCTTTTGCTCGGGCCTCATGCTGCTTACGCTGATGCCAACCATCGCCTCACCGAGACCTTCACTGCACTCGGCTAGCACTTTCGGATCTTGGTAGTGCGTCGTAGCTCTGACAATCGCCTTCGCTCTCTTAGCAGCATCTCCAGACTTGAATATACCACTACCGACGAAGACACCATCGCAGCCTAATTGCATCATCAACGCAGCATCTGCCGGGGTCGCCACTCCGCCGGCGGCGAAGTTAACCACCGGTAAGCGTCCCAATTCTGCCGTTTGTTTCAGAAGCGCAGCATCGCACTCGAACTCTCTCGCTAAAGCCCTGATAGCCAGATCCCCGCCCTCCTGAAGAGTAGCTCTCGCTCTCGCAATATCGCGGTTGACGGTGCGCATGTGCTTTACAGCCTCGACGACATCACCAGTACCTGCCTCGCCCTTGGTGCGGATCATGGCAGCTCCCTCGGCGATGCGCCTTAACGCCTCGGGCAAGTTCCTACACCCACAAACAAAGGGAACTTTGAATCCACTCTTCTCGACGTGGTACGTATCATCGGCGGGTGTTAAGACCTCGCTCTCGTCGATGTAGTCAACACCCAGCGCCTCCAGGATCTGGCACTCGACAAAGTGGCCGATGCGTGCCTTGGCCATAACGGGAATGGTCACGGCGTCCTGGATCTCCTTGATCTTTCCCGGATCGGACATGCGTGCCACGCCACCCTCCGCCCGGATGTCGGCCGGAACACGCTCCAGAGCCATGACAGCACAAGCGCCGGCTTCTTCGGCGATGCGTGCTTGGGCTGCGTCTGTCACATCCATGATGACACCGCCCTTTAACATCTGCGCCAGTCCCGTCTTGACGACGAATTCGGACTTGGAAGAGGAAGGCAAAGATGTGCCATTGGTAGGAACCGAAGTACTATTTGTGACACTGTTCGTCATGGTTGTGATCGAGGGTTGTGCTTTGCTTTGTCGAAAATTTGACTAGAGGTAATGAGGGTGATACTTGAAGCTTGAAAAGTTTTGGGGACTTTCAACCAGAAGAATCGAAGGTTGGGAAATTCGGAGAGAGAGATCCAGAAATTCGGAGATGAGTCAGTAGATACTTAGTAGGTTGTAGGTATCTACATTACATTAAACAAGGGTCAAGGTGTCAAGGACATTGACTGACAAGGTACGCGAGGATCGGGACTTCCCTATTTCCTTTAAACTTACTCGTGGATGCATCATGGATGTAGGTATTCTTATGTAGGTAGGTACCGTGTATAGCCGTCCTTTCAAGATACAGTAGGTAGGTACCAGGTAAGCTTGAGGGGAATTTCCAGGGACTAGTCTACAAACAAGGACTCATTCGCCAATCAAATGATTGCCCAGATATTTAACGTATCTTTGGTTTGCCCTAGAACACCTTGTTGGGTCGCGGGTTCCGATCAATGGAAAATTTTCCACGGCGAGGAAGGCAAGGAAGGCAAAGAAGACCTCGGAGGGCGGGATGACGCATACGGAACCGCCGGTCTCGGGGATAGCTAAAGCTATGTAGGTACCTACAACGAAGTACGTATAAGGGGATAATTCCGCGGAATGCGGTAAACCTACCTACACATGTACCTATCAAGATAAACCTGTACGTGAATTTGATCAGTGATACATGTATGCACGTATAATTACCTACTAGTAGGTAGGTACCTACCTACTAATGTAAGTACTAGGTATTTATGTAAAGGAACGTCGAAAGAAACGGAAACGATAGGTACCTACTAACCTAAACAATCCCGGAACATTGAATATCATATTCAATCGCCGTGATCAAACGCCTACATATAACTCATCCATGGATAAGTATTACTACCTGCACTAGATCCCGATTATCTGTATTGAAATCCGCCATCGAACACCCCGTCTGGTTCTGCACGCCTAAATTACTTGTTTGCCAGGCAATATCAGACGAGAAACCTATTTGACGAGAGTCAATATGGTAACGGTCGGTATTCTTGCACTTCAAGGGGGCTTCTCAGAACATCTCAGCTCTTTACAAAAAGCAGCTACCCATCTATCGGTCTCGTCATCGTCATCGCCATCGTCATCGCCAACGTCAACGTCAACCTTCGACTTCCTCGAGGTACGGACGCCAGACCAATTGGCTAGATGTGATGCCCTAGTCATCCCCGGAGGAGAAAGCACTACGCTTTCACTTGTAGCAGCACAGTCTGGATTGTTAGAACCGTTGCGGGAGTTTGTCAAGTGAGTATACCATGCATGCATACTCGTATCTTCTACTAATGACATAAGAGTCAACAAGAAACCAACATGGGGTACATGCGCAGGTCTCATTCTCTTATCCGAGCAAGCTAGCGCCACTAAGAGAGGTGGCCAGGAATTGATCGGGGGACTTGATGTCAAAGTCCACCGTAACCATTTCGGTCGACAGATAGAAAGTTTCGTGACAGACTTAGACCTGCCTTTCCTATGCCAGGACGGCGCAGGGGACCGGGCTGCTCCATTTCCGGCCGTCTTCATTCGAGCTCCTGTCGTGGAGGAGGTGTTGGCCGATTACGTCGAGTCTATGGAGCACATGTCAGAATCTGCGCCACCGGAGATCGTCAAGCCCATTTCTAGAGGTCAGGTTAACCAAGTCTTAAAGACGAAAGTCGAAGTATTGGCAACCCTTCCGGGGCGTCACGCCTCAAACAAGGCAGCAGCTATGGCAAGGATTAAGACCATAACGACACCAACCGGTAATGGAGACAATCAAGTTGCGTCTCCTAAAGGAGCAGGGGATATTGTAGCGTTGAGGCAAGGTAATGTATTCGGGACTAGTTTTCACCCAGAGTTAACCGACGATATTCGAATACATGCCTGGTGGCTACGTCAAATATAAACATCTAGGTATAATGCTGTACATTGGATGGACCAGGGTGCTAGACTAACCTACCTGGTAGGCACATGAATGGCATTTCTTGGGGTATTCCGGCTTGACTTCTCCCCCCCTTCTCCCGAAGCTTCATTCAACACCTGCTTTGTACATAGTTAGGTACCTACCTCGTTAGAGATACCCAATTCAAAGGATTTGGGCAGACTAATTTTGGTACCCTGTTGTAGCTTCATACTTCGTCTGGACTAGGAACGCGATTTAACATGTCGGAGGCGCCCGAATTACATCTAGAGCGGATAAGTCAGCGTACAGCGTAGATACATCGTATCTGGAACAGCTTACACTTGCGGGGTATCGGTGCTAGGGTAGTACTAAGTACCTAGATACGTAGAACGTGGAGTCGGCACCCCGTCGGCGATCAAGAATGGGGGTTGTACCTATGTACGCCGTTTAGAAAAACCAGAACTCTTTATTATTCAAATCGAACACAAAAAATATCGAACACCAATATACAACATACCAGGCACGGTATTTACCGAATATATCCACCTTGGCCGAGACCACAACTTACATACTAGGTAGTTTCGTTATGGGAAAGAAGAAAGTCCTCGTCGGGTAAGTTTTAGCATCAGCTCTCGCGAACAACGAGATGAAAGAAAGCAGCTGATAATTCCCAACATTAGTTACGGTGTAGATATTGACGCTGTTGCTGGCTGGCTTGGTTCGTACGGAGGTGAAGACAGCACAAGCGACATTAGCAGAGGTTAGATTCCTCAGCATTCGAGCATCTATCTGGTCACAGGTTCCTAACTTTTTAATTAGGGATATGGGCTGGTACGGTTGGAACTCGGCGTCTACTGAGACTGTTTGAAAGGTACAATATTAAAGCGTCATGGTTTATACCTGGCCATTCACTCGAGACTTTCCCCGAGGAATGCGCCATGGTGAGAGATGCCGGTCATGAGATTGGCCTACACGGATACTCGCACGAAAACCCCGCCGACATGACGCTTGAGCAACAGCGAGACGTGCTAGATAAGACCTACAGGCTTCTTACCGAGTTCTGCGGCAAGCCCCCGAAGGGTAGCGTGGCGCCTTGGTGGGAAACGAGCAAGGAGGGCACTGAATTGATGCTCTCCTACGGGATTGAATACGACCATTCGATGTCGCATGAGGATTGCCAAATGTATTGGCTACGCACCGGCGATACTTGGACAAAGGTAAGAGGAGTCGAATTCAGCCTCCGGTTCCAATCCAATTCGCTTTTCTATGGTGGTTAACTCGGCCATAGTATGTTACATTACGCTTCCATTGCCGCCGTCACGTCCTAGAAATAAGGTCTATACATTCAGACACGGGGATTGGATATTCAGCGATGGATATAAATTTCCACTCGAGCGCTGCTAATTTGTATTAGGATCGACTACTCGAAGAAGGCCGAGGAATGGATGAAACCTCTCGTCAAGGGGCAACCGACAGGCTTGGTAGAAATACCAGGTAGTTGGTACATCGATGACCTTCCACCTATGATGCGAGTTACATTGTTCTTCCAGCTTCATACCCACGATTTCTCTGCATTAATTTCATACCCCATTAAATAAGATATATTATGATCATTAACAGATAGAGCTTTTTAGGTTCATGAAGAACTCGGCAAATTCCCATGGATGGGTTAATCCGAGGTTCGCAAAGGGATCTCAGTTTGTTGTTTCTGTCTAACGATTGATATAGGGATGTTGAGGATATCTGGCGCGACCATTTTGATTATTTCTATCGCGAATATGACGAGTTCATCTTCCCGATGACGATACATCCCGACGTGTCAGGGCGACCACACGTACTTTTGATGCATGAGAGGTATGATTGTTCCTAACCATCACCGCTGGCATGATACCTATCTAGTACTTATCCCAATATAGATTGATCGAACACATTAACAAGCATGAAGGCGTGGAATGGGTGACGTTTGCCGAGGTGAGCTTAGATTCGATAACCTATCTACTCACATCACATATCTACCAGCACTTCTAACTACTTAGCGAAGATGTGCGACCACTTTAAAAGTAAGAACAAGCCGCCTGAGGGTGCCATGATGCCGGCTCCTCCAGGAGAAATACTCACGAAGTCTAAAGGGGGAAGTTTCTTAGGTACCTAGGTAAGTACCTAGCTAGCTAGGTCGGTATCTATGTATATCTTCATTGAAAATAAAATAGTACCCTATCTCGAAGTAATAAAAAGAGACCTTATAAATCTTGAGCATTTTATTTCGAAATTATCAATATAGACGCCGCATTCCAGGAACATATTATTCTATCCATCTACTATATTTATAGTACCTAGGTAGGTAGGTTCATATGTTGCTGTTGTGGATGAAATCAGTTACATAGGAACACTTCCTCGAAGCAGCCCATCGATAACAGCACCTATCGCTAAGACCTTTTCTTCTTCAAGCTTCCTCCCGGCTATCTGAATGCCAACTGGCAGACCAAGCTCAATCATCTTCTCCTTGCTTTGGGTCCATACCCCTGCGTTCCATTCGTCCAGTATATTCCTTGGTATAAAATTCCATGGAGCGTTATCATCTATAGGAGAAACTTTACCCGCCGGGAGTACCAGAGCGGAGTAATCCAGAACATTCCAAATCTTCGTATAACCCACCCATCGACAAGAACGATGCGGAACAGCAGTATGGGGCATAGGCGGCATTAGCACGACGTCGACCTGTTTTCCTGTCTTTGGCGATTTCATCTCATTCCACTTCCTAAGGTACGTCTGCTGAAGCGTAATTTTGCGCTTATTCAATTGCCAATAATCGTAAATCGAGATGGGTTGGCCTCTATTGACCAATGCCTCTACGTGGGGAATAAAAGGTTCCCCACCCGCTAGGATATCCCGACGAATGTCCTCGCCACCATCAGCTGTATAAAATTCATCCTAGATCAAGAATGTATTAGGAATATTGTTCATAGGTACCTTGGAAGGAACAGTATCGGCAATGAGGAATCTAGTCTTACCATAACCTGAATACATTCATCATGGAGGTCGGCATTCCATTCAACGATCTCATGGCCTGCTATTTGAAGCTTCTCCGCCAATGATAGGAGCACTCGACTGATCGGCGGGTGTGGTCTTACCACTCCGTCGTCGGTTAGTAGACCGATGGTCAGCGGCTTGGATTTAAATTCTCGGAAAATCTCATCCCTCCAGGGCACTGGGGAACACCGAGCATCACGTTCCCACGGCTTCATCTGGACTAGCTCTTTCATCACCATGGTTAGCGACGATAGTTTTCTAGCCAGTGGCCCTACCGATGAGGGGACGTGCTCTTGCCCTTCGGTTGACACAGGCACCCCGTAATATGGGAGACGGGAACTCTACATATACACCTAATTATAAGAACTAGGACCATCTAATGACACGGGGAAGATGCCTCTCACACTTGGCTTCAATCCGTATAGACCCGTCATGTGGGCGGGTATCCTAATACTACCGCCGATGTCTGTGCCCCAACCAACGATGCTGCCGCGGAGGTTTAACAACGCTGCTTCACCACCGGTTGAGCCCCCCGGAGTGTACTCCTTACACGAAGGATTTGAGGTGAGACCCCAGAGGGGATTTTCAGTTTCGCACCACTACGAGCGGCTATCGTTAGATGACATTTGCATGTCAACATTGAGAACGAGGGTCAGGATTTACCATTATGCTCTGAGGAAGATTCGTCTTGGCTAGCACGATAGCGCCAAGATTTCTAAGCATATCAACTAGGACGGCATCTTCGGTCGCGGGTGCGAAGGTGCGGCCGACGTATCCGAGTGTAGTATCATAGCCTTTGACGTCGAACTGATCTTTGAAGGTGACGGGGATGCCATGCAACGGACCAACAACGCTTCCATGCTGATTCCGATAACCATCGAGCTCACGAGCCCGTGTCAAAGCTTCTTCGAAGAGAATCTCCGTGAGACTAACATTATTATTGGTTAGGTAATCACCAGACGGAAGTTCTAACGTAGGCCACTAACCAATTCGTCTATCATAAAGTCAGACTGCACTTTTTGATGAGTTGACTACCTTTACCTGGCTGTGAGCTGCAATAGCCCTTTTTTCAAAAATTAGTCGTTTATGATTGATATTATTATTAATGGGAAAAGGTCTTAAAATGATGATGATAATAACGAGAATAATAAAAATCAACTCAGCGGTCTCTACTAAACTTGTGTATATATGCCCTCGTCACTGTTTCCGACGTCAGTTCACCAGAGGCGATGCGACCGACCAATTCCGAAACATCATCGATATCGACCACGGACGAATCAAGATCTGGATTCTATAAGTTTAATCAGATTTAGCAACTCTCGGTTTCCATATAAGAACCTTTATTCGTCGCAATGAACGTTCGTGATTGAGGCCAACCCTTTCACACATACTTGATCATTGACAATTGTAACTAATGCTTGAGCTTGAGCCTCGCGTTTCATCCGAACTTTCTCTTGCCATGAGCTTGGAGGATTTTCCATCGTGAAATAGGGACCTCCTTGTTTCGTGTGGATCGGATAATGGAAGGGGTTTTGGAACTACTAGGTACTTCGTAATATATGCCTACCTATTATATACCTACTAGGTAAGAGGTAACATCAAAGTTGTGGTGATAAAAATGGCATATAGAAAGACTATATAAAAACTATATAAATGAAATGATTATTATCGTCGAGCTGGTTGCCGGATGCGCACTTGCGAATTCGGTCGTATCAACGAATCGGTCCCCGTTAACGGCAAGACACGATAACGTATGTAGGTCCCTAACTGGCCAAGGTATCTATCTGTTCGAGAGATACCCAGACACCTCCGCGTGCCCAAAGTGGGATCTTGAATATTAGGTACCTAGATACCTACGCCTAATATATCACTACTAGGTAGTACACATGGGCACTAATAGAATAAGTAATGCTAGTTGCTGGCTGCGATTTGCGATAAGCAATTATCAACTCTCCCCTTATCCACCTGCTCTTATTGGAAGTACCTAACCTGAAGAATAACTGTAGGAAAAGTGGTGTGATATCTGACAAGGGTCATGTATTGCTTAAAGTAAGGTGTAGTTGTAATAGCGCACATAAGAAGTGGGAGGACACATGTTGCAGCCAGAGAGGTTTATGTACATACATATAAAAGGACGGAGAAAGCGAAGGATGGGGGAGGGGCAAACGAAAGATTAAAAAAAAAAAACCCCAAAAAAAAACATACCTATCTACATACAGTATATTATAGTACTGCCAAAAACAAATACCAATGTCCATTTTCAGGGACCCAGAAGAAAGGGGGGGAGGAACCTCCAGGGCTTAGTCTAGAACAAGTCGAAACAACCCACACTTACACCCACACCAGCCCACACTTTTACGCCCAGTTAAAACCCAGTTACACGGCTCACTCGCCTCTCAAGCCCCCGACTTAGGGATCGGAGTGGTTCGAGAATGGCACCAAACCACCTGACAATGGTCTGAGCACAGTGCGAAAGTTTAATGGGTATCACCTAAATCTTATATTTTCACGGTTTCCTAAAGTCTTCTTACAATTGATTTGAGTGAGCTTGTCCGGTTTTATTCATTCTCATTGGCTCCCTATTTACTTCTCACTCACTCTCATACACTCATACGTTCTAAAAGTCACCTCAGGTCACCCCAATTCTCTCCCCCCCTCCCCCAATTTTCACAATCGATTCACGACCCCTCCAAGGGTTCAACCTTTTATTTTTATTTTTATTTTATTTTTTTTTAAATCTGAACCTGAGGCGGAACGCTGTTCGCCGGTGATTTGCACTGTTTCGGTTCGATGAGACTCGAACACCTCCATTCCACAAATTCCACAAATTCCACAATACATACAATCAAATACATACCTGTACCTACATCCCCCATATCCCCATCCCATCAAATCAAGCAAATCAAGCAATTCAATCAACCGATGAATCAATCCATCCTCGATCGGGCCAGCCGCCATCTAACCTACCACTACTACCCTGTCACTTTTTGCTACCTAAAACAAGCCACCACCTTACTCTAGATATTTATCATACTCTGTTTTAAAATAAGAAAAAGAAAACATTGAAGGAAAAAGAAAAGGGGAAAAAAAGAATTTCCGAAGTATACTCGCATGATTTAAAGAAAAAAATCGTCTCGTCTCGGGATTTCTATCGGCGCCATGATTGTAGATGAGATTAACGGTGTGCGACAGAACGGCGACACCAACGGCGAGACCAATGGCGACCTCAATGGTCATGGCCCAGCCAAACGCCGTGAAACCAACGGATCACGACACAGCTCTGAAGTCTGCGTCGTCGGAGCCGGACCCGCTGGCTTAATGTTGGCGTAAGTCTTTTTGTTTTCTCTCTTCCTCCAATAATTCATTCCTTATTTCATTTTATCACCGTTTTTGTTGCTGTCTCCATTTCCGTCTCTATCGTCAGCTCCCTACTTTTCCATTTTCTTGTCGTACACGTAAAATATAAGGATCATGATGGATTCGTTCCCATTGCCGTCAGAACTGTCATGTTCATCGAGCGGCAGCGACATATCTCCCTTATTCATGTACCTAGTTACCCATACTTACATATAAAATCATTTAGTGTTCTATTAGCTAGGTTCGGCATCAATGTTGAGGTCATAGATGAGAGAGCCGACCAGACACAAGCTGGTCGAGCTGATGGCTTACAACCTAAGACCATAGAGACCCTGCGTCAACTAAGACTCGCAGATGGTCTTCTTCAGAGAGGCGCCAAAGTTTTTGACATCTGCTTCTGGGAAGCTACTGCTAACCGCCGTTTAAGGCGCTTAGGCCGTGAGATTCACTATCCTGCGCTAGTCGTTGACCTTCTTGACGATTACATCCTCCTTGTCCACCAGGGGGTCGTAGAGGGGGTCTTCATAGAAGATCTGAGGAAGCGGGGCATCGAAGTGAAGCGAAGCCACCAATTTCAAACTTTCAAGCAGAAAGAAGACGAGGCAGGCTTACTAGAGGTTGAGAGTAAAATTACGAGTACAGGGGAAAAGGAGACGACGCTATCCAAGTACATAGTAGGATGTAAGTCAGAAGCCTAGTCTGCGCCGCCTAACATACCCCTGACTGACCATGATAGGTGACGGTGCCCGATCAAAGGTACGGAACTGCATACCGGACACGTACTCTGTGGGCAAATCACATGAATCTGTGTGGGCCGTGCTTGATGGAGAACTGATCTCGGACTTCCCGGACCTCTGGTCTAAGACGGTCGTTTACAGTGAAGTGCATGGATCCATCCTCATCGTCCCGCGGGAACGGGGCACAACTCGATTCTATGTTGAGATCAAACCCGACACCGAGACTGGCAACCTGCGAGAACTCGGGCAAGAATTCGTGATGCAACGTGCCAAGCAGATCTTGGCGCCGTACTCGGTTGAATGGCGGACCGTGGAATGGTTCGGTAATTATCAGATTGGGCAGCGCATAGCAAATAAATTCACCGATCCGCATCTGCAGGCATTCATTGCAGGGGACGCGAGTCATACACATTCTCCCAAGGCCGCGCAGGGTATGAACACAAGTATGCACGACAGCTGGAACCTGGCATGGAAATTGAACCTCGCAACAAGAGACTTAGCAAAGCCCGTCCTCCTCGAGTCATATGAGATGGAGCGTAGGAAGATTGCCCATGACCTCATCAATTTTGACTACGAGCACGCCAACAAAATGGCTGGTGGCGACGCCAAAGCTCTCGCAGAGAACTTCCGCACCAACGTACGGTTTATCTCCGGCGTTGGCGTCGAGTATGATCACAACGTACTCAATCACCCGGCGAAACGCAGTGGGGGCGAACTAAGACCGGGATGCCTCGTACCACCGGCCAAGGTGACTCGCTATATCGATGCAAACCCGATCGACGTCCAGCTCGATATCCCCATGTTAGGCCAATTCAGAGTGTACTTTTTTGTGCCGGATATTCACAACAGCATGCCGTTCCTCCAAACGTTCTGTAACGGACTGACAAGGCAAGACTCTTTGTTTAGGAAACTAAGTCAAGCCGCCGCAGCGAGTTACGTGGAGAAGCCACGTACTCCGACTGCCGAAGACGTTTACATACGTTCGGAGAGATACACAGGCGTCAGCGAACTCACGACGTTCGCTCTTATTAGTAAGCACGACCCCCCTTTTCACACAGACATATAATCAAGCTAGGAGATGTAGCTAACGTGGACGTAGCAACTATGGATAAGGCTAGGGTTGAAATACAGGACCTTCCCCCACTCTTTGCTCGAAGCGCATGGACGTTCTACTTAGATAATGTCCCCTACCTAGACACTCGCCGGCAGACATGCACGAGCAAGTGGGTAGGAACTTTGCAGAAAGACGAAGTCGCGATAGTAATCTTGCGGCCCGACGGTTACGTGGGGTCGATCAGTAGGTGGGACTCGCTCGGTGTAAATGCTGGCTCGACGGCAGCCGACTGGCTTAATTCGTATTACGATGGATTCCTCAAGGTCCCTGGGGATAAATTAAGATAATGAACTGTTACGACGGGTTTGGGAAGCGGCGTACCCGCGTGGCGACGTGTACGGGGTTTCCTTGTCATAATTTCGGCGAGTTTGTACGGCATACTTCATACTAGGTAGCTCATTTGCGGGGTATATGCTCTATCAATTAAAGTGTCCATTTTCCAGAGCCAGCTTGGCTGCTAGATATTCCCTAGCCGTATGTCAATACCCGTTCCGGGTAGATACACATCTATTCAGTGTGGAAATGCTAAAATGGTTTGAAGGATAGATATCTGGATTGCGTGGTTTGTTTGGAGCAAATAGCTCTCACTATAACCCCAACGACGTGTCGATCACACTGTCGCCCTCCTTGGGCAACTCTGGTATGTCTAACTCTCTTCACGGTTACCTATACTCAAAGGGTCATATTGATGTACGTAACCAGGTTTATACTTACTCGTACTTACCTAGGTTGTAGCGTCATCAAATTGACCTATTAATCTCCACGGAACTAGGCCCCTGAGCACGGTAACACCAGCGTGAACGATTCCCCAGCGGACTTTACTCAGCACCTCAGCCATAACCCACACCAGCCCTCCAGTCCGCTTCGTTCCCTGCACTTCGGGCAAGCCTTCGATTCCAGCTTCCACCATCGAGTCTATTATGGCACTCATCTCTGCCTGGACATCCCAGACTAGTTCGCTATCATCATCAGAGCCAGAGCCCAATCCTTTCATGCCAGCATGGTGAAATGCCCATATCGTTAAGGTAGCGAGATACAAGCACCACGGTACATGGAATAGGCCCATGGAGTCAAAATCTACGAGGGTCCGCGACGCATTTTGAAGGAGCTGAGATGCGTGCCACGCGGCGGACGGGGCGTCCGCTAATCCACTGGCGTTTTCGGGATTCTGGGCAACATTAGTGGCCCATCGCCTTATCACCTTCTCAGAGCGTATAAAATCGGCTCGCTGGACTGAGCGGCCTAGAATATGTCGCGCACCCGCAAATATCTGAATGTCGAGGAACTCGGAGTGTAGCAGCACATGGGCGGCATGATAAACCGCCACATAGGCAGTTCGCCAGACGTCGAGTTCAATTTTCGCATTTTCGGAAACGGCACCCTTACTCATCTCGGCGAATGTGATACCCTCTAGGCGGGTGCAGAAGCTGTCAAATTCCTCCTTCCAGGCCTCGTAAGCTGCTGTAAGGCGGCTCTGCCAGCGTCCTCCTTGCGCTATAACCCCTAGGCTGGTTTGATCTCGTCGTCGCATATCCCAAAATATTGACATAAGTCCATGGAAAATTATGATACGTGAGAGACTATTATGAAGCGGGGCCCGGTGCGCATCAAGCGTAATGTATGACTTCAGAGCCAAGAGATACATCGGCTCATTCGCCGTGAATAATGAGAGACGTGACCACTCGGCGGCTGTAGGTGCCTCCCATAACGCCTGATTACACGGAAGAGGGAGTTTGAGTTCAAAAGCCGACATACATAATGACTGGCAAAATAGGACAGCATGTTGCGTATCCCACATAAAGCAAAGGAGGGCTAACCTAAATGATTACATTAGCTTACTGCGTCAATCTAAAGGCGTAACTGGTGGAATACCAACCTTTTCTTCTCTTCAGCCTCCACCCACTGTCTCCAACTGCTATCATTCGTCGATTCCTCGCCACAGTCACCTCCACAAGGTCGGGTCGGCCGTACCGACTGACAGTCGGACCGCCGAATTAGGTTAATCAACATACCATGAAATAGATGGCTCATATCATGCTGTTTCTGGCCGGCTCGATCTTTCCCCAAGCACTCAACCAGCAGGATGGTTTGGAGCATCCAAAGGTCTGGTTTAGGGTTAAAGCTTGCGTGAGAAAATACTACGAAGACACTAAAGTCAGTGACATCGAACGTGAGTGACAGTAAAATGAAGCCAATTACAAGTCACACGCGATAGTTCGGTGAATATATCAACGATCTTAGAAATACGGTTCTATGGTACAAGTATATAGAAAAAGGTACGTGAGAGACGTGTGAAAGTACCTACTTGCGGGGCGTATTACGTCGTGTATACAGACAGCGAGTTGATGAGCTTCCTTCTCGGAATCTACATTAATAAAGGTTTAGTTTTTGGTTTCTCGGTAGATGAAAAAGAAGGCCATATATGATTAGGCCTCAAGGGTAGAAACCTAGTTTTATGTCTAATCGTTTAGAAATATGGAAAAGGCTCATACTACTCACAAGTAGCCCCGAGTAGGATCATAGATAAAAGTAACAATGGCTCCTTGTTGCTGGGCTCGAAGGTGGCTTGGTGAATTAACGGGTATGTGGAATTGAACCTCCGGAAATACAAATCGCAATATGACTGCAATGAAGGATGAGACAATAAGGGGTGGTTGAGATCTAGAAGAGAGCCGTTTGGTGCTGACGGCCTCGCAGCTTTAATGGTCTCCACGATCCGAGCATAAGCGTAACCGTCGATAAACGGAAAACGATTCGATGATCTAAGCGCGGCTAAGGGACGTTCAAATTCTACCTCGAAAGCCCCCCCAGTGCCCCTGGAAGGAACCTGTTTCGCGGGTGATGGGAGACTAGGTGTAGGCTCGCCTGAGAGGCCGGGGCTTGTTAGACTATGTGCACTTCCCGTATGCTGCACATAATCGAGCGAAGCCATAGATGCTAGGGGGCTCTCAGCCGTGCTACCGTTGTATTGCCTAACTTCTAGCGAGGGGTCGGTCTGACTTAACCCTCCAGATGTAGGTTGTTCCATGCCACAAGAATACGAGGCTAAAGACGTGGTGGAAATATAAGGGGTCTGCGAGACAGTAGTGCTCCCAAAATTGTGGTCTAAGCTAAAAAGCCAGTCATAGTTAATTTGTGTTGTATAGGGCATATTAAATGAGCTTGCAGTATCGGGTTGGAAAATCTCGTCGTAATTGATTTCGAGATAAGGGGATGTGATATTCCGTGGTTGGCATGTCTCCGACGGAATCCAATATTCACCAGGACCTTGAGACTCGAACTGTTCCGTTGACAGCGAGTAGCCCGGTGAAATAATCTGGCCGGTGGAAAAAGCGGCATGCGCCGGGTCGTGATCGTTAAGATGATCCGAGTTGGATGACACCGGGGGCGAAATAGGCCCTTCTACCTGTGATGTAAAGGGTGCTTCTTGGCAAGTATTACTAAGAGGCGGGTTCTCGATAGGTTTCTTTTGGACAATTCGTCCGTCATGATCCTTCCACATGCGTTTGCGCGTGTTCAGAGTACCGATACCTTCGCCACCAGCTTCTTCGTCCTTCTGTTTATGCCGACTCATGTGCCTCTCTACGTGACAACGCGTCAGTCCCTCAGGAGCTACACATGGGGGAATAGGTAGGATGGAGGTCAAGAAGCTCTCACCGAGAAGGTCCTGACGCTTGAAATGAGCGCGACACCGCGGACAGGTTGCGTCGCCGTCGATATGATTTTTCTGGTGGCGATGGAGGTGCTCAGATCGCGAAAAGGATTTCCCGCAGCCATCTTGCGTACAGGTGAACAATCGCCTGGTACCATCGCCATCCCTAACTCTACGTTTGGCTCGTTGCATCTTAAACCGTATCACAATATAACACGAGGATGGTATTTCATTCACCACCACTCAACACTCACCACTTTCAAGGATGTCTCACGTGGAGCCGTTTGAAGGATGGATAAACCCCCATTTCCCATTCTCCAGAAGGGTTGGAGGAAGAAGGGAATAATAGAAGAGAAGAGAAGAGAAGAGAAGGGAGGATAGAGGATAGAGCAACCAACGTAGGTATAGATCACAGAACGTTAGTTAAAGTACATACCTGTCACAGTTACCCAGTGGGCGTGCCGTGCTCGAACATTCAAGAAATCAAAATACATATCGTACCAAGTAAGTAGTTTAAGAGGATTAGGATAAGACATGGAGATAATCTCGACCTTGCTTCTTTCCTTCCTTGCCCCACTCTTGCTATCTCTCGAAAGGTTACCTATTAACGACAAGAGTGGGGGAGGTGGAGGTGGAGGTGGAGGGGGATCTATATGTAGGTAGAGATAAGCCTGCATTCACATGGTGCATCATGTACTTGCACAATCCATGGATACAGGGCTAGGTACTAGGTAGATACATGTAGGTCAGTAGGTATGTACCGATACACACACACACACCTACCTACTGATTGATAGAGGTACTGGCAGTTTTTAATTACAAACTGGAAGCAGCATTGAGTACACGGAATTCATACTAGGCACAAAGCAAAGCTATTAGTAAAAGTTAAAATATATGATACTACGTAGGTATATGTCGCCATATACCAGCACGGCAGCATGAGCACCTGCCTACCTAGTACGTATCCACCTGGCACTGACATATCGAGGTACCTACTAGGTATATACATATATTACATATGTAGCACGTTGTGATGAACCTGAAATGCATCAATGATTACATCCGGGCTACGGCTACGGACATCAAAGAAGGATGACAATATTTGAAGTCGATCGGCACCTACATAATAATACCTACTATCCTCGAACTACATATATGTAGGATACGACACTATAGGTGCCTTTAGATGCATCAGACATGAATCTCTATTTTCCCCTAACAGTATATCAGAGTTGTAATTCACGATTACGCCAGCAACACCAGCAACACCAGCTTCACAAATGTCTCCGAGATCTCCGCCCGAGATATGGCAGAAGACCAGCAGAGATCCCTCAAGCCAGCTACAGGTAAGTCAAATTTACCTAGTAAGCGTGACTACTAGGTAGATGCGTACGATGTCTTACATGCCTACCAAATGCCTCCAAAATCAACATATTAAGGCTAAACACAGGTCATTATCGTAGGAGCCGGGCTTGGAGGCCTCGGTGCAGCGATAGCCATTCTCCTGGCAGGGCACAATGTCACGGTGCTCGAGAGCGCGTCTGAAATCGGCGAGATAGGCGCGGGTATTCAAGTATTACCCAATTCTTCAAGAATATTGATCTCTTGGGGACTCGAAGATAGGATCTCCAAGCATGCGACAATGCCCAGATACGCCAACATGATCGGTTGGAAGGGGAACCATCTTTCTAGGATGGACCTTCATGCCTATGCAGACGCATTGGGTACTCCCTTCTGGGATTTTCACAGAGCCAATCTACATCGCTGCCTCCTGGACCGGGCTATAGAGCTTGGAGCCAAGTTGCACGTTAGGTCGAGAGTCCAAACGATTGAGTATGCCGAAGACGGACTAACGGCGGCCGCTGTATTAAGCGACGGGAGGTCTATGCCTGCGGATTTGATCGTTGGGGCAGACGGCATCTCGTCTCGCTTGCGCGAGCTTCTCCTCCGTAAACCGGACCCCCCTCAACCCACCGGAGATCTTGCCTACAGGTTAATTATCAACGCAGAGGATATGCTGGCCGACCCCGAACTACGCCACTTCATCCAGGATCCACAGGTCAACTACTGGATTGGACCCGACGCGCATGCCGTCAACTATGTCCTCAGGGGTGGGCAGTTGTTCAACATGGTTTTGCTGGTCCCAGATGACATGCCTGCTGCTTCCATGACCGTAGATGGGAATGTAGAAGAGATGCAAGCGTTATACAAAGACTGGGACCCTAGAATCGGTAAGATCTTGAAGCTCTGCCAATCGGTCCAGAAGTGGAAGCTCTGCATCCGCCCTACATTGGATCGATGGACGCATAAGTCGGGATCTTTCACGTTATTAGGAGATGCAGTTCATGCAACGCTTCCCTATCTTGCTAGTGAGTGATCCTCTTTGATATGCCTGACTTATCACTGCCTTGATGTCGTATACTTACGACCCATTCCGATGTCTGCATATCTAACTCCTCGGTTTTACCATTCGTATCAGGTGGCTGCGGCATGGCTCTAGAGGACGGTGCAGCGCTAGGTCTCTGCCTCTCTAAGCTAACTGACAAATCTCGAGAGCAAAAGCTTTTTGCACTCGGGGTTTATGAGGAATGCCGTAAAGAGAGAACGGAGAGAGTAGTCGAGAGGGGCAATTTCCAACAATACATGTACCACATCCACGATGGCGAGGAGCAAAGGGAGAGGGACAAGAGACTCCACATGTTTGGGGAAATTGACGAACGCCTATTCAAAACACCAGAGGTTCTTACGAAGCCACGAGCCGGATCAGGGGATGACCCACTACCTTGGAGGTATTATGGTGTTGGGGGTTGGTTGTTGACATACGACCTCGAGAAGGATGTAGAAACTAGGTGGGAACAAGCCCGGGCGGGAGCCCAGGCACGACCCCTTCTATAAGCCATATAATAACTACCTACGTATAATACCACCCTTGTCACCTTTTACGTCCGGGTAGAAAGACTTGCGAAGCTTCTACATCTTCTTCTTGTATGGACATTAAAGCAGGTATGTCTATCAACGTAGTGTAGCCCAATTTGCAAGAAAATGTATGAAAATTTATCCCCCCTTGCGATGAACAGCATTGGCAATTCTCTTCCAGCCAGCTATCTGAGATGAGGTCAAGATGCCGGAGATGCCGGGGATGCCAGGGCAGCCAGAAGCGTAGTGAGAGATATCCATATCGGTAGCCTCGGTGATCTGCAAGCCGTAATTATCTTAGTTCCATGCCTGAAATACTAAGGTAGGTGAGAATACCCCTAAAGTGGGATGGATAGCTGAGCTTCATATTATTCCGAAAAAGTTGGTAGTTTGGGCTGAGTCCGAGTCCGAGTCCATCAGCACTGGGCAGTGAGCATGGAGAGAATTCGAGTTCGAGTTCTCCATATTTACGGGTTCTTACTTTCGGGCAATAGTGGGGGTGGCGGTGGCATGGGGTGGTGGATGGGGGATAGCCATATGCGTCGGACGGCAAAGCAACATTGAAAGTTTATTCCCATCCACAAGCATCCAAATGCCAGGTGTACTCATACAACCTATACCTATTACGTAGGTACACTCTAACTATCTATGTAGTACCGAAGTGTATATATGTACCCAGTCTTACACAAAAGTGACGAACTTCAATTTTCGCCTCTTTAATATTGTATACCTACTATGTAGGTAGTATCTACCAACTACATACATATGCTTATGGATTTTTCATTATCAAAGTGGGGGAAGGGGAGGGGAAAGAAGGATGTTCGGATATAAACCTTATCAATTAATGTCAAGAGATACCTAAGATATCTATTCTTACGTACATACCCTACTACTACATATGTATGTAGTTGTTCAACCTAGCTATTAGACCGAACTTCCCAATTATCCACATGTTTCCAGCTCGCACGGAGAAGGCCCAAGAGTTGGCCCGGAATATGTTCAAGTCGTCCCGTACGTCATGAACTGAGCTAGGAGAACAGATAGGTCATCGAGATAAACATTCATCCCCTTTGAAGCCATGGCAGCAGCCGACGTCCTCCCAAGTCCGCCAGTCGCCGCTGTCTCTTGTTCTCAGCCTGTTCCTGCGCCGTCTGCTGCAGAGGCTCTTACACCTCTCATACAGTCAACTTATAGGACTTCCGAACTACGTTTCTTTGTGAATGGACGTCGCGTCTGCGTCCCTAACCCTGACCCAGAATGGGTTCTTCTCGACTGGATCCGTGCTCAGGACAACTTGAAAGGGACCAAACTGGGATGCGGAGAGGGAGGATGCGGTGCCTGCACTGTTGTTCTGCAGACCAGGGAAAAGGGGAGACGATTGAGGCACATCGCCGTGAACGCTTGCCTCTTTCCCCTGATTGGGGTCGATGGGAAGAGCCTGATTACAATCGAGGGTCTGGGCACAGTTTCTCATCCACATCCCTTACAGGAAAGGGTAGCGAAGATGCAGTGAGTGGATACCAGTAACCTTTTCGTCTCACCCGACTCATCGTTACTCTAACCCCGGGTCTGGCACGCAGTGGCTCGCAATGTGGGTTCTGTTCCCCCGGAATCATCCTAAGTATCTATGGGTTAGTGAGGAATGCATATCGAGATGGAAAATTTCGTCTTTCGGCCTCTGATATCGAGATGCAAGGCCACTTAGATGGTAACCTTTGTCGATGCGTATGTACCCCATTCTGTCCACCCCTTCTCCCCCCTTCTTCCTTTTTCTCCTCTGGTTCTGAGTCCACAGTGTGCGTTAATTAACCCCCCCAAGACTGGCTACAAGCCGATTCTAGAGGCGGCAAAGACGTTCATCGTAGAAGATCTAAAGGGCAACTTAGTAGAGGAACCCGCTTCCTATCCTATAATGGTCGACGATGTCGCTGATAAGCTTCTACAAATTGCACCGAAGGGGAGTGGATGCCGCGCCTCTTCTACCGGCTCCTGTGGACGTCTAGGCGGGTGCTGTCGCGACTCGCCGACATCATCTAGCAGCAGCGCCAGCGAAACATCCCCTTCTTCTCAACAATCTTCCGCCACTCGGGCCACCTCTGCAAGTTCGAGTGGAAAAGAGACATTGCCTAGAGATTTCGCACCTTACGACCCTACAGCGGAACTCATATTCCCCCCTGCTCTCTGGGGATATCAGCAGCATCCCATATGCTACGGAGATGAAAGGAAGATTTGGTTCAAGCCCACAAGTCTTGAACAACTAATCCAACTTAAAGATGCTTGGCCGTTCGCACAAATCATTGGTGGTGCCAGTGAAACGCAAGTATGCGGATCTTCGTTATTTCTTATTATTCGAAGCATAGCTTATACGTAAGCAGATTGAGGTTCGCTTCAAGAAGTCCGACAAGTATCGAGTATGCATCTACGCGTCAGATATCGATGAACTTAGCTGTTTTGATGAGCCCCAGGGCGATGAGGAATATCTAGCCTTGTCGAAAGTGTCAATTCCAGGGAATATGTCGTTAAGCAAGGTAGAGGAAATATGTGTCACTCTTCTATCAAGACTTGGCTCAAGGGCAAGTGCGCTTGAGGCACTTGCAAAACAACTTAGATATTTTGCAGGCCGTCAGATTCGAAATGTGGCGAGCCTAGCTGGAAATCTAGCAACAGCTAGCCCTATCTCAGATGCTGCCCCAGCCTTAGTAGCAGCAGGATCTACAGTGACCATTAGAACCAAGAAAGAAGGTTCTTATGACTTACCACTGTCAGACTTCTTCGTAAAGTATCGAACAACCCGACTTCCTGCTAACGGCGTGATTACACACATTAACATACCATTATCACCCCGAGAGACTTTAGAAGTGACAAAAGCTTACAAGCAGGCCAAGAGAAAGGATGACGACATCGCCATTGTAACTGCTGGTTTCCGAGTACGTATAGATAAAGATGGTATAGTCCAGCAGGCAATATTCGCCTTCGGCGGTATGGCACCAACCACCACGGTCGCGGCTAAGACGCAGCATGTCGTTCAGGGTAAGCGGTGGTCAGATGGCACTACGCGGGAGAGCGCAATTAGTGCTCTTCTAGAAGACTTCGACTTACCATTCAGTGCACCAGGAGGGATGGTCCACTACAGAAAAGGTACGCTTTCGCATACCTCATATATCAGTATTCGTAATATCTAAAATGCCTAATAGCTTTGACACTGTCCTTGTTTTTCCGGTTCTGGAACGAGAGTGTCACGGAACTAGGAATAGCCCAATCAAGCCATGACTCCGTCTCAGAAATCCACCGAGAAATATCAACAGGGACTCGAGATCACTTCGTTGCCTCGGGTACTAAAGTTGTAGGCAGGGAAATGCCACATCTATCCGCTCTGAAACACTGCACAGGCGAGGCGGAATACGTTGACGACATGCCACAGCAGAAGAATGAGCTACACTGTGCACTTGTGCTCTCAACAAAGGCGCATGCAAGGATACTTGCAGTAGACTGGAGCGCTGCACTCGACATGCCAGGTGTCGTTGGTTACCTTGACAAGGATAGTGTATCGCGTGAGAACAATAATTGGGGCCCAATTCGAGTGGATGAGCCTTTGTTTGCGGTAGACGAAGTTCATTCCCATGGCCAAACCATAGGTCTCGTCTACGCTGAATCAGCCTTACGAGCACAAGCTGCTGCTGCCAAAGTCCGAGTGACATACGAAGCATTGCCGGTTATACTCACCATAGACCAAGCTATCAAGGCCCGAAGTTATTTCGAGCATGGGAAACAGCTCAAGAAGGGCGCCGCCATCCAGGGATCCTTAGATGGCATATTTGCGAAATGCAAACACATCATCGAGGGAAGAACAAAGTTAGGTGGCCAGGAGCATTTTTATCTGGAAACCAACGCTGCATTGGCGATCCCACACATCGAAGACGGTACCATGGAGCTATATGCTTCCACGCAAAACTTGGCAGAGAATCAGGTATTCGTCGCCCAAGTGCTCGGAGTGCCCATGAGTCATGTGAACATGAGAGTCAAGCGTCTCGGCGGAGCTTACGGTGGCAAAGAATCGAGGAGCACGCCAATAGCATGCCTGGTCGCCATCGCCGCCAAGAAGGAGCGACGTCCCATGAGAATGATGCTGAACCGTGATGAAGATATTATGACTAGTGGACAGAGACACCCAATGCAATGTAAGTGGAAGATTGGTACCGATGCAAACGGGGTAATTCAATGCCTCGATGTAGACATATATAACAACGCTGGATACTCCCTTGATATGTCCGGCGCCGTGATGGATCGAGCATGTACCCATATTGACAATTGCTACCACATACCGCACGCCTGGATACGCGGATGGCTCTGCAAAACCAACACCGTCTCTAACACCGCTTTTCGTGGGTTCGGAGGGCCCCAGGCAATGTATTTCGCTGAGTCTTTCATGAGCGCCATTGCCGAGAGTCTCAGAATCGATATTGACGAGCTACGGGTCAGAAATCTATATAAGCAAGGCGAGTTGACACCGTTTTTACAACCGATCGACATTGATTTCCACATTCCGACTATGCTAGAGCAATTGAGCGCCAGTGCAGACTACGAAAACAGGAAGAAGGATGTCAAAACATTTAATTCGAAGAATCGTTATAGGAAGAGGGGGATTTGTAAAATCCCTACTAAGTTTGGATTGAGGTAAATTGCTTCGAGGCTGCTTACGACCAAAAGCTAACCCCTATCTGAGTTTTGCGACGGCGTTGCATCTAAACCAGGCCGGCGCATACGTGAGGATTTACGAAGGCAAGTGATTCCCATCATCCGTCTGCGCATATCTATTAGACTATTACATATGTCTTGAACGTATGTGCTAATCTGATGCTCCGCAGATGGTAGTATACTGCTTCACCATGGAGGGACAGAGATGGGCCAAGGGCTCTACACCAAGATGTGCCAAGTTGCGGCTGAGGAACTCGGCGTCAGCGTCGACCAGATTTTCAATAAAGATTCGCAAACTGATCAAGTCGCCAACCCCTCTCCCACTGCTGCGTCATCGGGAAGTGATCTAAATGGGATGGCAGTCAAGAATGCCTGCGAACAATTAAACGGGCGGCTAGCGCCGTACAGGAAACAATTCGGTCAAGACGCCCCGATGTCAGTGATAGCGCACGCTGCATACCAAGATCGGGTCAACCTTGCAGCAAATGGCTTTTGGAAGATGCCTCGCATAGGTCTGTCATCTCGGTCTCGAAGCACTATCCGGGTAAAATAATTGAGTATTTCACAGGCTACAAATGGGGCAACTACAAAGATCCCCTTCCGATGTACTACTATTTCACTCAAGGTGTGGCGATCACCGAGGTCGAATTAGACGTCCTTACAGGGGACCACACTGTCCTTCGAACTGATATAATGATGGCGAGTATCTATCAAATTGGGAAATTGCTAGGATTTAGGCCTGACAGAGCTGTAGGATGTCGGTCGCTCGATTAACCCATCCATCGACTATGGACAAATTGAGGGGGCTTTCGTCCAGGGACAAGGCTTATTCACCATGGAAGAGTCACTTTGGACTAGGCAAGGCGAACTCTTTACCAGAGGTCCCGGGACATATAAGATACCAGGTGAGTGTTAGCGAGAACCAGAATGTTGTGGGGAATCGTATGTGCTAAACCAGGCGAAAGGGTTTTCCGATATTCCCCAGATATTCAATGTATCTATGTTGAGGCATGATTCGGACGGCATTGCGTTAAATTGGAAGCATCTGCGCTCTATTCAAAGCAGCAAAGGTGTCGGTGAGCCGCCGCTTTTCCTGGGCTCCACGGTATTCTTTGCCCTCAGGGAAGCTGTCAAGGCTGCAAGGGAAATGAATGGCATGGAGGAGCCATTGGTTCTCGATGCACCAGGAACTCCAGAAAAACTGCGTCTAGCTATCGATGATGAGTTCGTCAAGCGCGCTTCTGTGACTCCAAAGGACGGCGAGGCGAACTTTTTTGTTCGTATTGAAGAGTAACTCATAAATATGACCATATTGGGGTGGAGCCGTAGTAGATGGATATGACGACCCCCCTTAGGTCATTCTAAACGTATGGACTTCCGTAGCAAGCCCGTAAAACTTTCGAATAGCGCATAATCGTTCCCCTTCAGCCAATGGGCTACAACTACACTCTCATCTTCGCTGGTTTTTACGTCTCTTGAAACCCGGATGGTTATGGAGAAGCCAAATGAGCAGTATGCGAAACCATGCTCGGTTGTTCCACAATGAAGCTTCATCTGTTGCGAGTCTGGGGAGTTTATCTCGGTAGTCTCTTCTCCCTTCGAACATATTTCTCCCTTTTCTTTTTCCCTCGCCCTTTTCCTCCGGTAAGCTCGACCCCACACGTTTCCATCAGAAAACCCAATGCCTCTAAAATGCGACCTATCCCAGATCCAAGACGCCACGTCGATATTCTCCATCGTATCACAGACGATCTGCTCAAGCTTCTCGGGTTTAACCCGGGATACTGGCCACGAAGCAACAGTTGCCTCCGTAGGAAGAGGTAAGATCTTCTTTCCAGCTGAAGGTTCACAGCCTCTGCTCGCCGACAAACTCGGCCTCCGACTGTGGAAACTCCATCCGATGGCCCACCTGCGGGTCTTCTTACCCTGAACGAATGCATTCACGGCATAATTGGTCACACCGTGAGTTTTCAGAATGCTAATGAGGACTTCTAGACTGGACTGTTTGCCTAGCATGGCTGTATACCACTGCACCTTCTCTCTCAAAACCAAAGACTCGTCAATGATTCGCCGGACGAAACCAACCTCGCCCCCGGCACAAACCATCTCGATCGGGGCACCCGTACATGCGCTATTCGGGGGTCGGGATTTCTGACTAGCTAAGTCTTCAAGTTCCGTTTTAGACGTGTAAAAGGGGGGGTTAACCATGACGAAGTCAATACTCTCCAGACCAAACTCGACCAGAGGAATAAGACAATCTGTGATATTTCGATTGACCACACGTATTCGCGGGCTCATGCTATTGAGTTGGGCGTTATTGCGCGCGTAGGCCAGTGATTTCGAATCTACGTCGGTAGCAATGAACGACCACGATGGCCGCTGAACACAGCCTAGAAGTGGGTAGATAAGACTGGCGCCGGTGCCTACGTCGAGCCCGGTCACCTTACGTGCTGGCTCGTTGGAATCTAGAGATAAGGGACAACTAGAGTCGATAAGGTCCTTCAGCCATAGAATATAATTGTGGCGATTTGGTACAGGTGGGCAGAGACGGTCCGTTGGTAGATCGACTAGTAAGCCGAAATCTAGCTTCAGGAGAGTCTTTGTAAGCTGCATGACAGACTTGGGATTAGCAAAGTCAAGGTATGAGCCGCGTTCCAAAACGGTCCTAAACTCTGGATCGCGCTGCCCAAGCAAAAAGAAGTCGGGCTCCTCGAGATAGAGGTTTTTATAATAATGGTCATCCCTAGATGCAACTACCGGATCCGATGCTAGATTCGTGTTTAACATACGACAACCAGGAACCATCGCCGAAGTTAAATGATTATAGGCGATAGTTGCAAGTTCACCGGTATACTTCCGTTTGGCGCCCCGATCGCAGCTATCATTAAGACCAGGCATATCCGTCTCCTTAGTCTCTACCCCGGCAGGATTAATACATGCTGTACTTTACGAGGTTTAGTTACTATACTTTAACCGAATATGACCTTGTCCGAAGTAGGCTATGAAAAATATGTCGTCGTCGTTTGGCAAGAATTAGGGTATAATAGTAGAGAGATGGAAAGGAGAAAATCATACATGGGTATCATCCAGTACATATGTACATATCTACTAATGATGGCGTCCACTTGGCACGTGATTTTCGACTATTTACACTACATAGGGGAAAGGTGGGGAAAGGTGGGGAAAATGGAGGAGCTGAACCTCAACTTTTCAACTTCCACTAATATTTGTATGTACAAGGTAGTAATAGGTAACGGTACGTAAGCTTTGAAGGTAGGTACCTAGGTTAGGTTGCTTCCACCGCGATCTGACTCCCCTATCGACGCCGCTTCTCTAAATATCCAGATCACCAATTATAGACAACGTCAAACATCGAGCGAAGTGCTCATCAACAGATAGACCACGATTTGGATTAGCTATGTTATAGAGCATAGTCGAACGAGCTAATAGTCGCAACTCAAATGCGCCATAATAATAGTACAAACAAGCTTTCTCGAAGCCACAAGCCCTCCTCACTCGATTACAATAGCCAGATAACATAGCCCTTCTGGCAGGTTAGAGTAGTTGACTTCATCGAGATAAATATAGAAAATCCAGATATGAACGCTTTTTTTTCTGGTGGGCCCTTAACCTCCTATATCTTCTCTTACGGCCTCCCCATGTATGATGGCGATAAGAACCTTTGTCGAGAATGTGTGTCCGCTCCGGGGACAAGATGCTACAACCCTGACGAATAGATAAACCCATAAAAATCACTAAATAATTCCCGCCGCATCATGATAACTGCCCTGCTCTTACTACCACCGTAAAACACGCGGGCTTCAATCGTCGTGAGTATTCTGCTTTTCGCTCGGATTTCAACGCGCCACGAGTGAGTTGTTGCGATGATCGAAGATATAATGACGGCAACAGGAAGGGTTAGCCCTCCGAACGACTTTGAAGAGCAAAGCCTCCCGAAAACAGTCCGGGAACACCAACCAACGCCGATCCATGGTTTCCTTATTAAGGTACAGCCCTGTAGAGAAAAAAAACGCGCCCAACGCTGAGAAGAGGCGCGTGAGTCATAGGTAAGCAAAGACTACGTATTCCGGTACATCGAGACTGGATGCTCGACGTCTCACACGCCGCCGCCCATGAAGGCGGCGAGGTCATCTAATTCTAATAGCTGACGCTCAAAAGCTACACATAGCTCGGCTGCGGTCATGTCGTTGCCTGAAGCCGGTGCGGATTCAGCCGGCTGGCCAGACGATGAGGGTGCCGGGGAATCCGCCTTTGCCTGCCCTGGCGGTGGACTTGCGGTCGCTGGCGTTGATGCTCCGGCAGATCCCCCATTGATAGTGGTGAACCCGGACTTTCGCGGTGGTTCACTACCCCGTCCGTCGGTTTGTTCCTGCGCATTGGCTGACTGAGGACGCTCATAATCCATACTATCGGGGTTGTCAGGTTGGCTTGCTGTATCCTCTTTGATCGACGGCACAGCGGGTTCGGGTTGTGTCCTCTGAAGCGTCCTGTCGCCATTCCGTAGAACCTTATTCATAACAGAGAGATGGCGGTACCATGGAACGGCTAAAATCCAGATATTTGCACCCTCCTGGAGGAATCGCATGCCATCTCGGACAATCGACTCGGCTGTCTCATTCACATCGGCGGGTGTCAATCCTTTCAAACTAAACCAAGCCACGGTAGAGCAAGCCGTAAAGCAAGAGAATAGCATGACCAGGGGAAAGTTGGGGATGGCGTCCTTATCAGCATTGGCCTCCAAAGCAAGCAGAAGGGACACTACGCTATGAGCGGCCGCAAATACTCGGTCGACAGTCTGCAAATGAACATGCGGGACCATGCGCCAGGTCTCATGGTTAAACCCGTCAGTGGTAACAAGGTGCAAGAGCCTACGACGGTTGACCATAATAGTAGCGCAATGGAGGAGACAATGTAGCATAGCATACGTAAACCCGCTACCCATAGTGATGTGAAGATTGATCTGCCCAGGCTTGTCCATAAAATGCGGTGGTAGAGAATTGCGAACCGATTCAATGCCGTTTTCCAGAGACGCACAATCCTCCTCGGAGAAGGTCGTGCTCGTAACAGTAGTGAGCATTTCGATCACATTACGCCAAGCTTGCGTTGCCATCACGATATGGCCAAACTCGCCGACCTCAGTCATTTGCGCAGGCGAATCCGGGATCCCAGGCGGCGCGCCACCTGCTAGAGTGCGCACGCAGACCGGAGTACCGAAGTTGTAGCTCATATCGAGACACGGGAGTGGTATATCTTTAATGTCATGGTGAGAGACGGCCGGCTGGCGACCGGGGCTGCTTGTCAGGAAGCAGTCGAGAACATAGATGAACCACAGGGTGCGACGGAATGATTCGTCTTTGATGAACTGGTCAGGATCGCCCCTATTCTGGTGCACGGCAATTATCCGATACATCTGGGCCATACGGGCAGCCTGGCCGAGATAAATGTAGGCGCGGACGGCATTACGGTTGCCCCATTCGTGGATGATGAGGAGACAAAGAGCCTGAATGTCTGCCAAGCTCGGATTGTCGAGGTTCTGCATAATTAAATTGATGGCCTTGACGGCAAAATGCTCGGAGGCTGCCGAGGCACCTCCTTGGTTCCCATAGCGACGAATCAACCCATGGGAACTCCTATAAACGAGAAATATAGATGGTCAGATAAGTAAACCCAATTCATTCGACTTGAAAAAACTAAACACGCGTTTTTGTCGTTCTCTCCCTTTTTCTTTTTTTTTGTCTTTCTTATTCTTTTTCTTCATTATGCGCGATTGGGAAGAGAAGCGGCGGGGAAGGATTCGTAGGCGAGGGGGAATTATTGGTGCATTAGGCGAGACGCGAATGCACTTCCGGAGATGAATGAACCATTTGCCCGGGATCTTTTCAAAAGTGGATAAGGCGGGTTCCCGGGGGGAAGGGTTATGGAAAGGGTTGTACTCAATAAATATGTGAAGAGAAACAAAGAAAATAGAAATGGTTACCTACCGTGCAGCGCAAGTTAACAGACCGTTCACGATGCTACCCTCGAGAGTGCCAGTCTTGAGCTTCTGTAGGAAGGAAGGCTTGTGGAAGGCGACACAAGACGGGATGGTCTTGGAGATTACCCTTTCACATTCCGTCACCAGTTCCGGAGTGAGTCTGTGGGGACGAACGAAAATACGTGTTAGTGGAGCCGATCAACGCGAACGAGTTTTGGGGGAGGACAAGGGTATTGATTGAGGTTGGGATGGGGAGCGCGAGCGCGAGCTAGGGGGGGGGAGGAGACAAATGGAGCAGGATGGTAGGATATAGTAGGATGGGGGCGATGGAGAGAAAGAGAAAAAAAAGCAGATTGAAGTTCCGAGGCGAGACGAGGCAGCCAGCATCCATAATCCATAATCCATAATCTATCCATAGCCACCCAAAATTTGGGTAGTAAGGTAAGTATTGGGGCGTTTGACCGGCTGTACTCTGGCCTGACCGAGACCAGGGAAGCACAGATCACAGGCCAAGATATTTTCGGGGCGCGTAGTCGCCGCCATCTTAGGTCAAGGCCGAAACACCACAATGCCCACATGGTCATTACTAGGCAGAACCTAGAGACGAGCAACTTTTTCAATGGAAGGGAAAGGGAACATGATTGAAGGGGACCATAACAGTGATAGTTTAATTGGGGGGGTTTTATAAAAAAAATTTAGAATAGAATGAAAATAAGTAAAAACAAATAATAACAATAGTGCTAATAAAAGAAAATAACGTACTTCTCGGTATTCGAAGGAATGTTACGCGGTAATACTGCGCCGGAGGCCACAGGCTGACGGTCGCTGGTTGCCGACACGCTTCGCTCTCCAGGTAGACTCTCTCGGGGACGAGGAGGCCTAGCAGGAGATTGGCCGTGATGATGGGCCATGCTCTCGGAAGGGAGATAGCATTCATGCATTCCCTTTGCGCAGTTCCTACAGGGCGCTCGACCATTCTCGTAAACGCATTTAGTCTTTCCCTTGCGACAGCGCACGCAAGCACCGCCGGCCCTGAGCGACGTGCCGCGGGCGACAGACGCCATGTCAACAAGTAGATAAATGGGATTTCGCAAGTAGGAGATGAGACAAATAAGTTATTCCGAATGATAAAGTGATGCTCCGAAGGCAGGTCCGGTAGAAGTTAAGAGATTTGTTGATGAGAAATGTGAGAACGGAGAAGACGGGAAGCGGTGGATGTTCGGTGCGGGTGGGAAATTTTTTTGGTTGTATGAGTTTCGGTCGGAGTGGAGAGGTTTGAGGTAGGGGTGTATGCTAAGTAAGTGGGTGGTAAATTAGGACGATGGAAAAGAAGGGGAAGGAAAGGAAAGAGAGAAGAAGAAGAAAGAAAGGGGGAAATGTCGAGATAGAAGAGAGAGCCTGGAGCCTGGGAATGGCGTTCTGACGCGATGCCGTTTGAGAGAGGAGGGATGTTGCAGAGAGACGGACAGGACGGGAGGGAGAGAGAAATTAAAGACGGACCAGACTCGGGCGTTTTGCGCTAAAAATCAGCAGGCGCGCACCTGAGCCAAAAACCCAGCCAACTTTTTGAGCACTGATGATTCCCGAGGAAAGGGCAATGCGACAAGGCGGTCAATCCGGGGGGTTGCAAGGCGGCCTTAGCCCGGCTCTTTCTTCCTATTCTACGCTTTCCCTTTTTTTTCCCCCTTCCCTCTACCTTCCTTTATTATTACTATATTTTATTATCTTGTGGGGGGCGCCACAACCGGGGATTCGCCCATCCAACTATTAATCAACCGTTCATCAAGTACTAAGTAGAATAAGAATTTGGTAAGGAAGGTATTGAGATCGGATAACGACAATCTCAATATTGATATCTGCTAGTCGCACCCGTGCGATCGCAAAGAAGGAAGAGATGGGGGAAAGGGAGTGGGAAAGAATGCCTCAACTATGCTTAAAGTCGATCGACCGGAGCAAGATTGATAAAATTCCTAAACTCAAACCTCTTTCTTGAGGGGGTTTCGGCTCCACGGCTCCCGGCGTTGGTCGTCTCTTTCGCGTGGGAGTCGACCAATTTGGCTAGGTAATGATACGGGGCTATTCCGTACTGTATACTTGTACTGTGACAGCACAATACGGGAAGGAAGGCGTGTAACACGTACTTCGTAATCCGTCCGCTCCCGTACTTGCTTTTATTTTCACTCGGGTGGTTTGTTTGGGGAGAGCGAGGGGTGTTTTTTTTTTTTTTTTTTTTGCCTTCCTGTCTTCCTTCCTTATTACATCTAAATATTCACCGGCGCATATTGTGTATGAGTGTGCTCATCGGTTTTGAAATTATTAAATCTCGGTATTTTGAGATAAGTTCTTGCCATATTAGTACTATTTGGTAAGCCGCCCGAACACTTCTTACGCATTCCTACAATCGGTCGAAGCTAAATGACGGGAAAAGTCAAACCTAGATAGTAAAAATTAAAAGCTTAGAAAGGTACGTTGAAACTATATATGCAGCATTAAAGTACATTGCTAGGTACAAAGCATCAAGTACATGCTTCATATGTAAGAAATGTATGTACATAATATTCAACGGATTACATCGAGGCTTTAATCATTTTTCAATTCATTTCATACTGTGGATGCGGACACGGGGGTCCAGAACGGCGGGTTAGGAAACATTTTCGGAGTGTCGGCCCCTATTTTACTACCTACAACCCCTATGTATGTACAATACAATACATTTACGTACTTGCCAATGCAGCACATTTCCCGAAGAGACAGTTCATTGTTCACTATTCAATAAGATGTTTCGCACTCAAAAAGGTGGCTACCTACATAAGTAGTATGTATGCTTCTTTTTTTATTATTCAACCTACTAGGTATTATACATCAATGCCGACAAATTTCGATAAGCTCGGAAATATCGTGCATCGTTCAATGTTCTGAACCTGCCTGAGTACCTGGATACTAATATTAAAAAGTTCGGATACGCAAATAAAAAAGGAACGAATCCATCATTACCACACTTAAGTACATAAGCGATTACGGATATTAAATGTTCGCCAAAGTTCCGCTTGCCTCCGAGATTCGTACTCCTTTCAGCCTTTTATAATACATGTTAGTGCTTAAGGTATGGGTATGTATATACATATAGGTATCTATCGATCTATCTATATAAATACCCGGCATAACATCAAGAATGGGCATCATGGCAAACTCTCGGGGACTGCTGCTGCTATCGGCTGACGAAGCCATGAATCGGCTAGCCGGGGCTGACTCAATGCAACCCTCGACCAGGCAACCCAGCCCGCCACGTTGGCTGCTCACAACTTGCTCCGCCGGCCGTCAAACTACGCGCTGCCCAGTGTGGATGCTGGCGTGTTACAGGCCACTCAGGAGAACACACGGCACCGAATTATTCCTACTGGTCACGCGCACGCTGACCGAAATGGGGTCCGCTTCGCCGTCGCCGAAACCATGGAGATTTGACTTGTGCCTAACCCCAAACGTCCAGTTGTCACACAGCGAGCAAAGCCGAAGCATACGAGAGTCCGGACGGTAACGGTACTTGGTAGGTAGCAAAGTAGCAAGATGGGGTAAGGAAGGCTACTAGATAGGTATACATCTGAGTGCTGCTTCAACCAAATTGAATATTATTCCTTGGTAGACCAAGTTAGTTCTGTTATACTGGAATGTTATAAATACATGGACAATGTACATTGCTCCTGTATCCGGACGGCGGATAGTCCGAGGCGGAGATCGTGCGATGAACTAGGTAACGCTAGCTGCAGTACCATATGCGCAATCGTCGTCATCCCCATCATCCCCATCATCCTCCTTCATTTGTCGGCACCGGGACTCGACAGTCGCAATCTTCCGTCCGACCTTACTAATCCCATAAACCAATACCGTCATTGCCGTCTTGCGCGCAATCTTTTCGAAAGCTAAACAAATTTGTATTTAATCATGTATATTCGCCCCAAGTTAAATGTACCCGAACAATGTCACCTATATCTTTGCAACTCCGCTCCTTAGCTACCTAGGTACCTACCTAGCTAGTACCAGGCATTCAATTTTCAACCATTCAATCATTCAACTACCTCCAAATCTCAGGAAACAATCCTCGATCGGCTAGGGACCTATAGACCGCTACAAATTCTTATACGGTTATCTCTCTCAGCCGAAGGGGGACAAGATATGTAGGAAGATAAGTGGGGGGGAGGCACGCCGAGGCTTATCGTCGCCTAATTAAATCAATCAATTCCCTCCCGACCGAAATCAAAGTTAAATCATTGGAATAGACGCGACTTTTTCACGGAAGACCCATCCATGGAAAACTTGGTCGGACCAGCAATCACCGGATTGTCCCATCACGTGGATATATGCGAATAAGGGGCTAGGTGTCGCAAACTTCCGGAAGGATGATAAGACCTCAGATTGTTCATTTATCCGTTCAATAAGTCCGCGCCCAGCTCACCCCTCTCCCTTAATAATTTTTAAACTACTTCTTTGGAGCTAAACTTCATCTATAGCTTTCCCGGATAACTGTGGAACGGCCGATAAATTACCACCTGGGGTTAACAGGGCATTATTTCATAAACTTTTCTTTTCTTTGCTCTTCTCTATTAAAAAAATATCATAATAAAAAGTAAACAGTATCAGGTACAGGCAGAATCGTAAAAAGTCAGATACGTCTGCTGAATTCAATATCTAGGTAAATAATAAGTACTGCATATGTAAATAACGAATTTCCTATCGCTGCTAAAAATAGACAGAACTTGTGTCCTAGGATCGTTAATGGAAGGAAGTAGGTAGGTATTATGTATCCTCATGTTCATTTTCCCCCTTCTCTAGGTACCTACATAATAATAGGATGGCGAACTCCGTAGCGGAAATACAGTGTCTCTTCCCTAGGTAAAGTGGATCAGCACTGTACGGCGACCGAAAGCTCATGAATCCCGCCAGCCCGTGGTGTCGGCACGCCATACATACTATAGTACCTAGGTATTTCCAAGGTCATCAGAAGTGTCCTCACTATCCCTGTATCATATACTGCCTAGGTAGTAGTATGTACATACATACATGTTGACCATCAGCACCAGATTAGACAGACTTGTCGTACACGTGCTTGTCTATCCGCCGGAAGGACCGGAAGGGCCATAGATGGATGTATCAATGTCTATCACAACTATTTGCGTATCGTGTATCGTGTATTGTGCATCATGTATTGTGTATTGTACGATACAAGTCCGGTAGGCTACATCGATACCGTGCCACATAGGTCGGGTATGTTGCTGTGACGCCTATCGATTAAGGCTGGCAATCGCTACATAAGTCGGCGAAAGTGGATTAAAAGGGGCGGCCCGGATCTTTTATGCTGAAGTTCTTAAATGCGTCCAACTCAACTCAGCCTGTCCAACCGCGTCCCAGCATTTACGCGATTTGTATGCACATACTACGGACCGGCGTTACCACCGTACTCGCTCCCAGCCCCAAATTTATGAGGCGACTCTCACCGACTTGCGGTCCGAATTTTGAAAATAGCCAACTACTGGGTACGTAAACTACCCACCTAGTAGGTACTGAATCATAAAAGTCAACACAACCGACAATATTTTTCATCACCACTGTCACACATATTCGTAGCCCATTACCATTTACGCATACCTCTTCATTAGGAAGAGGGAGGAAGGGAGGAAGGGAGGAGGGAGAGTGGAAGGGGGGCATGCCTGGCAGACCACGCCGACTAAGTTGACGGCTGGAAGTACTCGCCCGTTCCCAGTTCCCCACTCTCTATTCCCCGTCCCCCGTCCGTAACACACGACGCTCTTCCTGTTTCATGGTGACATCTCTCTATCGAATGCGCGGCTGATGGGCTCGGTCGAGTTGTACTTCGTGGTCAATGAAGTAGTGAAGTAATGAAGCAATAAAGCAATAGCATTCGTCTGTGCTAGTTTTAGCTAAGCCCTTATTCCAAGCTTCTAAGATTATAACGTGACTGAGACCCTTAGGTATACTGTGGAGGTGCATGTTTTCGGTGTTCGTAATTCATACTCAAATGATAGATTGAATTAAAGAGGAACATTTAGTGTTCCGTACCGATCACTCTATGTGATTCTTGGTGAGCAGGGACCCCGAGATTATATGCAGTACCTAGGTACCTAGTTAGTAATCGGATAAACAAGTATGTAGGTGTCTACTAGGTTGGTAGTTTGTGTCATGTTTCTCAAGTGCTTGGTGGTATATATAACAAGAACCGTAAACCTACGCCATCGTCATCCGGTTTCCTACATGTTGGAGGATGTGACGCTATAACGCTCTTCTTGTCTGAAAGAGTTTCTAATTCTGGTAACTTTGCCGAGCCTGCATGTCTCTAAGAATCATCTTACCCCGCGACCCCAGCCACCATTATATCTTCATTACCATGCAACTACCATAGTTTATATCAAGAGGAAGAAGGATAAGTACCCCAGAGAGGATAGGTCCACATATTCCAGTCAACGGCCAAGCGAGAATATAACCTTTTATTTTATTTTATTTTGTTTTGTTTTTATCGCAGTATCTTGCTTGGGAAATCCATAAAGTGACAGGTGAATACCTATATCATCGCCATTATTAGTGTGACAAGCTCAATTCTTTACTCATACACCATAGGTCAATGGAGTATCAACCAGCACCGACACCATCTTATTCGGCCTCGGCTTCTGCCCCGGTTCCAGCTTCGGTCCCAATGCCATCGGACCCTAGGCTAGAACGCCCCGTCTCTACTCCTTTTGCCGCAATAGACATACGATCGATAAAAACAGCCTGCGAATACTCTATGGGCGAGTATCTCGCCTTACAAAAGAGACGACGGTATGACGACCCAGCTAGTGGGGATCGCCTCCTTACGCAGCAAGGCATCGTTATGAGTGATCTACAGGCATTGCGCAGCGAGGTGGCAGACTTAGCTAAGACAGCCGAGTCTCATAGATGGCGCCGATGGATCTTGAGCGGTCTTGCGTAGGTTCTCCTCTTCACCTACTTATCATCTTACCCCCCCCCCCCCCCCTCCCCTTCTTCACGATATCTTGCAAAATCTACCAGAGATGTTCAGTTCAGGCCAAATAGTAATACCTCTCTAGTGCGTCTTTCATCCCTGCTGTCCGTAGAATATTTCGTCGTTCATCGAAAGACAACGAGTCCAATGATACCGAGTACGCCTTCAAGAGAAGTAAGTCACTTATTGGGCGTATTTTAGATTCTGTACGTGGCAAAGGCAAGCTAGCATCAGTAGCTTTCTTTGTATTAGCGATCCTGTACGTGTTTCAAAGCGAAGTATCGATCCGAGTTGCTAGAACGATATCGAAGCGACTTAAGCGGCTCATGGCTAAGGTCGAGAGAGGTGATCAAGGCCTCGGGGATGACGACATGAAGATCCTCAAAGGCTGGCGTTGGCGGGTTCTTCTATGGTAACAGGTATCCGCCCTAGTCCCACAATACAGTGTAAATCTAAGGACTCGTTTTATCTCGACGTTTCGACCTATCCTCCAACGCCTCTGGGGTATATGTCAAATGGGTATCTTCCTACATAGCTAAATTCATCATCAGGATCTCCCGTGACGTAATTATTGGGCTAAGACCCTATTTCTTATTCGGGTATCTAAAAACTATTAAGCATCGAGCCTCGTGAACAAGGTTTAATGTCCACCATCCCTTTAATACACACCGTTCCGATCGCGATCATTGCCGATGAAGTTGCCCAATTGGAGTTGGGTCATGCCCTCTCTTGCACCCGCGACATCGCTGGCCACCTTGAGGATGCCTTGCTGCAGCTCTCTAAGCACGGCACTAAGCTCTTGTGCTTTCTCGTTGGGACCAGATGACGTGCCATTCTTGCTTGCCATCATCTTCTGCAGCTGTTCAACCAAGCTATCGGAGACACCATGCATATGCATTTCGATCTCGGTCATATTCTTCTCATACCTCCTCACCTGGTCCTCCATCTCATCTGCTGCCCGCGAGAAGAAACTGACGAGGTCCTGTCCATCAACTTCTGTATTAGCCGTGCCCGTGGGCTGTTGCCTGGGAGACCATATTCCAGCTGTGTGATACTGCTCAGGCAATTTCAGGTTGTCAACAGCCCTAAAGCTGAGTCGGGCATGATCAACATCCTGCGCAACCAACCCGCGGGCTGCTTCGATAGACTGAGCCGCCGATGCCAGCGCACTATGCGCACTGTCGTATTTCTTGGCAATAAAGTTAACATCATTGGGAATACTCTCGAGCATCTCCCTATGGCCTGGCATGAAGGAATCCACCTGCTCCTTGTTTCGCATTTGCTGTTGAATAAACATATCGACTTGCTCGATCTTCTTTTGCAAGTCCTCCTGGAGATCGTTGAATCGTGTGGTACCCTTTAGATTGCTTATGTCGATACGAACGCCGGGGACGCTTTGTTGTGTTGATTGGCCCATCGTCAGGCCGAAGCCGAGGGAGGCGCCTAAACCTAGGCTGGGTTGCTGAGGTTGAGCTTGTCCTAGAGCGGTTGACTGAGATTGGACGGGTTGGTTGAGGAACATGCCACTATTATGGGATACGTTAGCGTAAATAGTCTGAGAGAAGAGAAGATAGCTGGGATGGGCTCACAAGGGTTTCGGCTGAGCCGTCTGATTGAATGAATTGGTGCCAGTGCTGATGGCGGTCGATTGTGAAGGCTTCAGGGAGTTGCCAAACAAGCCTCCCGGCGCTCCTGCTCCCAGAGAAGTTGTCTGACCAGCCATGCTACCGCCGAACAATCCACCTGTGTTCTGGGTCTGGGCCTGCGCTTGAGGTTGAACTTGGGCAGGTTGCGCGTTTCCGAATAGCCCACCAGCCTGCTGTGGTTGTGCAGGAGCGGTAGTTCCTCCGAATAAACTAGAGCTCGTCTGCTGCGGTTGTGATGTTGCGGCGGAAGATGACCCAAACAGACCACCAGACTGCTGTGGCTGTGACTGTGACTGTGGAGCGGCAATCGTAGACGACGTTGATGGAGCGTTTCCAAATAATCCAGAAGGCTTAGAGGTCGTGGACGTATTTCCGAAGAGGCTTGATCCCGTGGTAGGCTGAGAATTCGAGGCAGAACCAAATAGTCCTCCGGGAGCGGGAGGTTGGCTGCTACCCGATCCACTTTGTAGGGTATTCGGAGTTAGCTTGTTTGAAAACATGACGTAAACACAGAGACAGAAAAAGTGTGTTCGGCTGGCGGCATAAGAGTAGGGAGAGGGTGGGAAGGCAAAAAGGCAAAGAGGCAAAGCGGCGATGATGACGAATAAAAAAAGAAAGAAGGAACTTACAACAAGTTCGCCGACGACGTATTGATGGAAAGGCCGCCGGGACCACTTGCTGATCTCGATAGGGCCATGGCTATTCTGGAATGTGCGATGTTTTAATTCTTGGACGGTCAATGTTTAGGTATGTATGTACGTATGTAGAATTAAATATTTACATATAGGTAGTGCATTGATACTTACATATGTACAAAATGTAGCAAGTAAATAGGTAGAAAAAGATTGCACATGTGATACATACATATGTACATATATACAGTATATAAGTTAATTATTAAATTCATATGCACATATTTTCAAAGTCGCGTTTAATATGGCCTTAAACGCGCTTGCATTGTGCTAAGACACCCCTGCCTGTAACCTGGTCATAGCTCCTCAGGGTAGTCGCAATTACGTCCTGGATCTGACCTACATGTAGAATGTACCTACTACATAGTACATATGTAGGTAGTACATAGGGAGGTACCATTGATCAAGCCTTTCTCAACGCAACCAGCAACAATCAAGACTCTATCCTAGACGTCTACAGGTAGAAATTACAATGGATATTGACGACGACGACGATTTCTACGCTCCTGATGAGCCCACTACTCACGATGATCATCACAACCCCACCGCGACAAACGTTGCTACTCTACCCATACAATTGCAGACACAGCAGCAGCAACAAGAACAAGAAAATCGAAATGAAGAAGATTTAGAAGAAGGAGAGGAAGAAGACGAAGGCGCCGACATGGATGAAGACGACTCGGTACGTTTTATAGCGATAATTAAAACATGTACTAGGGCTAATAATTATCTTTTCTGGTATGAAGGACGTAGATATCATCACTGAACGAAAGGACGGTATCAATGCTCCTCCTCCAGCGTGAGTTCCCATCCTTGCCCTCGTTTGTCAACACCTGCTCACATACTCATTAGCCAATCGCGATACAGCGACATAAGAAATATACCTCAACGGTCGGCGTCAAGTGATGCTACCGCCAAGCCCACCGCTATCAAGAAAGAGAGCGCATCAACGCAACCTACCTTAGGTCCTGACCTGCCCGCGGTATCTACATCAAAAGTGGACGTTAATGCAATACCTGTCTATAAGCCAGTGGGGAAACCCATCACGCAAGTCAGCATCGATGAAGGTTTGTCGTGTATGCATCTCTCCTGTTTGCTCGCTTTATTAACCTGGCGATATCTAAGACCTAGCGGAAAACGACAAACCTTGGCGGAAACCCGGTACCGATCTTAGCGACTATTTCAATTACGGTTTCGACGAGTTTACCTGGTCTTTATACGCCGCCAAGCAGGATAATGTCCGCAACGAGTACAGTTCAGATGTCATTGCTCAGAATAACAAGAAGATGCTAGAGGATATACAGATGATGATGATGGGCGGTATGCCTGGAATGAATGGGACAGGCGCGTCAGGTGGCATGGCAAATATGCCCGGCATGGACGGCGTCTCCCCCGAGATGCAAGCCATGATGCAACAGATGATGGCGTCTGGCCTGGATCCGAGTCAGATGGACCCTTCCGCCATGTCCGCCATGTTCTCCGGAATGCAAAACTCTGGAGGCAACGCCGCTAGTGGTCAAGGTAATCAGAATCAAAATTTCAGCGGAGTCAGCCAGGGATTCAGCGGTAACCAAGGACAGAACTTCGGGTATGAGCAGAACTTGGGACGAGGCGGCGGGGGCGGAGGAGGCGGAGGGACTGGGAGTTTTAGTGGCCGTGGCCGTGGCGGGCGTAGGAATTGGTAAGCCTATTACCTCCAGTGCCTCCACTACATACCATATAGGTATGTATCCACATTGCTTAGATTACCCCTCTTGATTACTATATGAGAGGTGTATGTTAAGAGATGATGAGTGCTGCATAGACACTCCGAATAAGTGAAATTTAACCGCATAATCGTCACACGATACTCCACCGTTCAGAATCATTCGGTTCCTGGTATACGACCCGTGTTGTGGTGAAGAGGCCAGCCTCTTTTCGTCCCGCCCAGTACCAGATTATTTCCATGCCACAACGCCGGCTGCATTGCTGTACTAAAAATCGATCTTGATTCCGCATACCTACTAGGTAGGTACATATTCTACCATAAGAAAATACTCTATCACACGAATGCGAAACTTTGGCATCCTAAATATTAGGAAGGCGTTAGATGTATCATGGTTCTTGATTTGAGATCGTACAAGAGCTAGAAACTAAAGAGCCAATCAATGACTACGTCCCAGCACGTTCTAGGAAATCGGCAATCTCGTTACGGATCTGCGGGTCTACGATCTAACATAGCTATATCATTCCCTCATCTTCTCTTCATGTTTCCACCCTATAGCCAATGAGGTGGCCCACGTGGACCCATGATTACATAGTTTAGTGGCAGATATATGGTCATGTCTATGCTATATCGAAATCCGACCTACTTGGACGGCTACGTGAGCGCGATACCATTCCACAGTTGGCTCTCGCAGTAGAGATGTAGCATCCAGCATCTGAGGCTCCACTTCCGAAGGTGTGAAGGGAATCTTGTAGTATGTATATTCATTGGTTGCAGCGCAGTGCATCTCCCTGGACGAACACTCCTAGAGCGGAGAAGACTTATTTAGATAGACGGGTCCCTTGAACAAACTTTAACACAAACTCCCCAGCTCAGTATCGATAGGTATACCATCAGAATCCAGAGAGGTTGACATGATGGGACTCTCTAAGATAGCAATCATCGCCGCGCAAACTAAGGAGTCACGGTCCACGAGCCAACAAAGCTTTAGCATAGCTACAGTCTTCACGCCCATGCTAATGACGATTCTGCGATGTCAGCAATTGCTCGGTATAGCAACCTTGTCCCTTCACAGGCAAGCATGTTGGCTAGTATGGCAGATATTCCAAATCTGCTCTATTATAGCGAATAAAGCGCATGGGGTGTTAAGGGGTGCTCAGTACCATGCAGTCGTCATGATAAGGACAGTTTGGGAAGCTAGGTTTCTTCAGTCCTTAAGGAAGAAGATCGCATTCGAATTGTTCACATTGTTCCTTGGAGCAGGTGGTAACTCCTTATGCCTGTTGTTGTTTTGGCCGGGATGGTGGGTTGTTGCGCTACTTGGGGTGACGGGACGTATGTTTCTTGGTTAACAATGTGTACGATGGCAGTCTCTCGTAAGTAGCCTGCAGTAAGCAGTGAGCAGTTAGATATCCGCGTCATCTAACAGAATATTCTTAGGGGGCATACCAAGGCGATGCGATTATAATGCGTGTCGGCATGCAAAAAGAATCGTGTGTAAGAGATCAACTGGCCTGCGAATCCAGTGAACCACTCAGGAGTAAAAGAAGGCATTTCCGCCGAGATCACGCCTCACTTCCTTTGGATAATCTTTCTCTGGGTCGAACTCTTGCCAGATGCTAGCAGGATATATGTGTTTGTTCCGCTCGTACCATCTTCGATCCACAACTTTGGTGAATGCTGGATCGTCAGAAGCACCCTCCATAGCATTCGCCTCCGTTTCCAGAATAATCGGCGTAACAGCGGGACGTCGATTTTCGACATTTTCATTTTTAGTAGACGTTGCGAGCGACAATCCAGAGATATCAGAACGGTAATCAAAAAGGAGCCTTCCAGTGGGACCAACAGCTTTATTCATGATGAAGAACATAAAATCGTAGTGCTATATATTATGTAGTTAGCAATCAGTTCTGTGTGGAAACCCGGCTGATAAATACTAGAGAAGGAGAACTTACATGAGGAACAATGATATTCCCGCGAACCATCATCAGGTCATCTACCCCGACTCGAGCCCATTCTCTCCTTGCATTTGCTTTCTCGCCCAACCCGAGATCAGCACCAACTTTTCTGCTTTTATCGAGGAACACCCATACAAAATCTCCCTTCTTGACGCGAACCGTGCCTCCTGGGATGTCTGTTCCGTCATAAAACACAAACGGTATCACAATCTCTGCCGCCTTCACTGCTTCTTGCCGCACAAGAAATTCGCGTCGTAAAGCCTCCCTCTCGGCCGCCTCGCGAAGGAGAGCAGCTTTAGTTACAGACCGCGGTACGACCGATACGGAGGTATTGGCCTTAAACTTGAACTGCCGCTTTCCGGCTGTTTTTTGGACAGGATGCCCTTCTTCTTTAGGAACATCATTAGAAACAAAATCTTCGTCAGTCCCGAATGACAGTTTAGCTATTCCAATCCGATCGGCTTTTTTTCCCTCATCATTCCCCTGAACCCTCTGCTTCTTCTTCCTCCTGTGGGACAGAGATGTGTCGCTAACGTTGTTGGGGGTAGCAGAACACGAACGGTCGGGAGGTTCAGATGGGACACCGGATATGAGAACCTCTCTTGCTTCACGCTCTTGCTGCTCGAGAACCTCAGCACGTCGTTTACGAAAATCAGATAGAGCAACCAATCCAACAGTAGTTGTGGAAAGCCTTTCTTGTGTTGTTTTATTTTGCGATGTGAAACGAGATTCCGGAGAAGACATGTTTGAAATGTTGAATAATGTTTATTTAAATTTTTAGCTTATTTCGGCGAGTTTAACGAGTCTTGCTATTTCACTAGTATGCCATTTTAATAATGTGGCTCAGGTTTTACCTCGCATTACCCGAGCTTCGAAAGTTATTTTATTTTAAATTTTTTAAACTTAAAGTTTTACATTATACGTATTATTATTTATTTTAAATAGTTTTAAATTAATCGTTACGTTATAATTTATTTATAATTTAAAAAATAATTCGAATTTTTATATAAATAAAATTAAAAAATTAAACGCGTAATTATTTAATTTAAAATATAATTATAAAAAAATACGTATAATTTAATAAATTTTTATAATAATAATAAGAGTGATACTGCCCGCGCAGTACGAAAACCGGATTTTGGCGCGCAGTATCATGTGACAGCATCGAGTGTACCTCTTTTCGCATACAAATCCAAGTACAAATACATGTACTAGTGATGACTCAATTGACAATTTTCGAAACTTTAATCGTACCCCACTACACCTGTACACCCCTAACTTCAACCTGTTTTCTTCTGATGAAATAAATTGGCAGAATTTTCAAACCAGTATCAATCGAAAGGGCTTTCAAATATGAATCGATTGATATACGATGCACCCACGCTAGTCGCGAATTGGATGAGATATGGGTCGTTGAAGTCAAAGGCATACATTGGCTATTTGGTAAGCTTTCAATCGAAGGTCCTGATCTCATATATCAAGTACATCAAACACCTTTCGACCGATTATCCAGTTGAATAGAACTGTCCACAACGTGCAACCTATATCGATTAATTAAGCTCTTCAAGGGCTTTTATATGAACCTGGCTGCTAAGTCCTTCGAATAGAACTGAGTGCGAAATAATAGGTTGAACTGAAACGTATACTTCACTGGTGGATCTGATGGCTTTCAGTTCTAAGGGAAATGCTAGCCCTATTGCAGAAGTATAACTCTCACTTTAACCACTTATATCTCTACCAGTTTACAACTGGTATAAGTGCATCCTATATCAATCGAATTGTAATTGATTAGGCTTTCGATTAAGCCCGGGTTTGTATTTTTGTTGATTTATTTCATTGCATTGTAACAGGTTAAAGTTGGAGGTGTACAGTTGAAATAAGGTTTCTGTCTTATGTCAATTGAGTCATCGCGAGTACATGTATTTGTACGCGATTTATACGCGAAAAGAGGTACACTCGATGCTGTCACATGATACTGCGCGGAAAAATCCACTTTTCATACTGCGCGGGCAGTATCACTTAATAATAATATTAATATTTTTAAAATTATTAAAATTATAATAAAAATATATTAATATAATTTTAAAAAAATAATATTATTTACGTTATATAAATGTTAATAATACGCGCGTTATATTAAAAAAAAATTTAACGTTAATTTAAACGCGTTATAATTTATATTAAAATTTTATTTTATATTTAATAAACTTTAATTATTATTTTTTTTAATTAATTTTTTAATTTTTAAAAATAAATTTAATTAAAAGTTTTTAATTTAAATTATTTTTTATTATTTTTATAAATTTTTAAGTTTAAATTTAATTATAAAATTTAACGTTAAAAAAAAATTTATTTTAATTAATTTAAATTAATATTAACCCGTTTTAATTTCGATTAATTATTAAAAACTTTAATTTATTTAAATTTAAATTTAATTTATTTTATTTAAAAACGTTTTTCGAAAATAATTAAATAATAATAATTATTAAACTTTTCGATTTATTTTAATTACGAAATAATTAATTAAAAATTTAATATAACGAAAAAATATATATATTAAAATAATTTAAATTAAAATATTTTAATTTTTATTTAAATTATATAAAATAATATATATATTTTTCGCCGGCGTTTTTCCGGGTTTATATAACGTAATAATTAACGCGAATTATATAACGTAAATAATATTATTTTTTTAAAAATATATTTTAAACGTAAAATTTAATTTAATTATTTTTCGTATTTAATTTTTTAATTTTTAAAATTTATTTTTTTTAAAAAAAATTTTAATTACGTAATATAAATATATTATTAAATTCGCATAATAAAATTAATTCGAAAAAAATATAATTTAAAATATTTTAATCGTTATATAAATTAATATATAAAAAAATATATTTTTTAACGTAATATATTTTTTAAAAATATTTAAATTTTTAATTAATTTTAATTATTTATTTTTTTTAAATATATATTTAAAAATTTTATAATTATAATTAATTAAAAATTTTTAATTTAATTTATTTATAACGTAATTTATATCGTTTTAAACGAAATTAACGTTATAAAATTACGATCGAAAATTATAAAATTTTATTTTTTTATTTAATTTTTTTTAATTTAAAATATTTTTTTAATAAAAAAAATAAAAAATTATAATTTAATTTATTCGAAAACGTTTTATAAATATAATTAATTAATAATAATTATATTCGATTTAAAACGTTAATAAAAAAATAATTAATTAAAATAAATTAAAAAAAAATAAAAACGTTTTAAATATTTTTTAAATATATTAACGTAAATTTTAACGTTATTACGCGAATTCGAATATATATTTATATTATATAATTAAAGTTTTTTTTTTTTTTAAATATAAAAATATTTTAAAAAAATAATTAAATTATATATTATTAAATAAATTATTTTATATAAAAAACGCATTTAAAATATTTTATTATAAATAAATTAATATTAATTAATAAAATATTTATTTATAATTATTTTTTTTTATTTTTACGTTAATTATTTTTATCGTATAATATTATATTTAAACGTATAATTTTATTTTTAAATATATTTTCGTATATTTCGATTTAACGTCGATTCGTTAAATTTTTATATACGTTTCGTTTTTATATATTTATTTAAAAATTTTCTTATAAAATTTTTTAATTAAAAATAAAAAAAAACTTTATAATAATTAAAATGAAAAATTTTTAAATTATTTTTTTAATATTTTTTTAAATTTTTATATTATATTTATTTTTTTAAAATTTTAAATAAAAGTTTTATATTTTATTATATAAATTTAAAATTACGTTAAAAATTTTTTTAATTTTATTAATAAAAAAAAATTTTCGATAAAATAAATAAATAATATTTTTTAAAAAATATTATTATTTATAATATTAAAACGTTAATATTATATAATAATTTCGTTTATTATTTATTAATTCGATTTAATCGTATAAAAAATAAATATAAAATAATATTAAATTTTTTCGTTTCGTTAAAAAAAGTTTTTTAAAATAAATAAAGTTTTTTATTTTTTTTTAATCGTTATTAAAATTTACGCAATATACGATAAAATTAATAACGATAATTTTAATAATTTTATTAATTTTTTATTATTAAAATATTAAATTTTATAAAAAAACGAGGTAAAAACGGGCCGGTAATATATTATTAAATATATTATAATTTAATTATAAATAATTTAATAAAAAATAATTAAATACATTTTTTAAATTAAAATTATATATACGAAAACGATGAAAAAAATTAATTAAATTAATTTAACTTAAATTAATGTTAAATTTTACCGAAATAAAAATTATAAAACCTTATTTATATTATTATTATAAATTTTTTCTTTTTTTTTTCTTTTTTAATTTAATTAATATATATAACTTCGATTAATAATTTAACCCCCGTATTAAACATTAATTTAATTTTTTTTTATAATAAAATAAATAATATTTTTAATTTATTATTAAATATTAAAGTTTAATTTTATTAAAATTTAAAAAGTTATTTTTTTTAAAAATTAAAATTTAATAATAATTAGGGTTGAAATTTAGTTACTAATAGTTAATACTAGCCATGACTAAAACTAATTTAATTAGTCTTAGCCCTAACTAAAACTAAGCTTAGTTAATACTGGCCCTGACTAAAACTAACTAAGCTTAGTTAGTTAGTAACTAAGAAAAAACTAAAAACTAAACTTTTGCCCCATTTTTATTTCAAAAATTAATTTCTCTCCCATTATTAAGTATTTTTAAATAAGAAAGATAGTTTTAGAATCAGAAATTCAAGCTTTATTTAATGATATAATGTATATATTATTATATATTTTATATAAATTATAATATCGATTCTAAGAACTTTACCCTGTACGAGATTTTCATGACGTATTACTAAATCAGGAAATTAGCTATGATTACGTAACATGTATTACGTAATAGAGAATTACTTTAAGAGTTTAATAATATATTTCTTATATTTATAACTATTTTATTTAATTAGTTATTAAGGATTTCCTGTAAGTTTAAAGTAACGATATTTTCACTTAAAAAGTTTTTCGAAAATAAAATATTTTTAAGTTTTTTTCGAAAAAATCAAAATTTTCAAACTTTTTTTATAAATCGAAATAAATATATAAAATTGATCTGTTTTATGTTTTTACTTAGTTTTTATTTAAAATACTGAAATATAATTTTTTAAAATTAATAAGTTAAATATTTAAAGATTTAGAAATTTTCGAAAAAATAAAAAATAAAAAATTTAGTTTTTAATATTTCTTTAGTTACTAACTAACTAACTAAGCTTAGTTTTTAGTTAGTCACAGGCCTGACTAAAACTAATTTAGTTAGTTAATTTTCTTACGTAATCTTAGTTAGTTAGTTAGTAACTAAAAAAAACTAAAAACTAATAGTTTTTTTTTCAACCTTGATAATAATTTAAAAAAATCGAATTTTTTTTTCGCGCGGAAAATTATCGTAATAAAAACGAATTAAACGTTAAATTATTATATTATATTATTTATTTGTAATTATTAATTAATTATTAATTATTAATTATAATTTTTTTAATAATTATAAATATTTATATTAATAATTAATTTATAATTATAATTTATTTTAATATTAATTATTATTAATTTATTTATAATAAAATATTTTAAATACGTTTTTTATATATATTTTATATATTTTTATTAATTTATAATATACGTTACGTTATTTTATTAAAATAA